AAGGTATCAAAATCGTCTTGTTTCTCTAATAATTGAATTAAATGTCAAAGCTTCCGCGCTTGGCGCAGGAGGTGTGGATTAAGAGTCGGGAACGGTACAACAAATCGTCTTCTTTCTCTAAAGATTTAATGAAACGTAAAAGCTTCCGCGCTTCGCGCGCGCGGATAGGAGGGGGGGGGAACTGAATTCAGACGAGGATTAAGAGTCGAAAACGGTACAACGAATCGTCTTCTTTCTCTAATGATTTAATGAAATGTACAAGCTTCCACGCTTCGCGCGGGAGGGGGGGGGGGACTGAAAACAAACGAGGATTAAGAGTCGAAAACTGTAATCAGAAGAGCAGGCGCGTACGGAGGGGGGGGGGGGGGATTTGGGGTTGAACCTCCCCCTGTTCGGTTTTTTGTTATGTGTGTATCTTGGAGCAACCCCCCCCCCTTTTTAATTATTTTTTTAAATTATGCCAATGGCTGTCCTAAAAAAGGTGACCTCAACACCCCCCCCCCCCCCTACGGAACAAAATGTCAAATTTTCAAATTTCGAGACCCCCCAAAAAGTGTCCTCTTACCACCCCCCCCCCCCGCTTCCTCTTTTTTGTTCCCTTTTAGCTCTCCTCTTTCCCTTCCCCTTTTCCCCCTTCTTTTTTGGCGGTGGGGGAGGGGGGAGGGGAGAGGCAAGGGCCTTTTGCCCCCCCCCCCGGATCCACAACTTGTTGGCGGAAAAAATAGTAACTGATATTCCCCTTCTTTTCTTATCTTCTTCCTCTTTTTTTTTCCTTTCCGTTATCTCCTCTTTTCCTTTTTGCTTTCCCTTTCCTTCTTCTCTCTTTTTGTTTTGCTGGAAGGGGGAAGTGGAAGCAACATCATGGGAGGCAAGGCCCATTTCGGCCCCCCTCCCCCTTTTTCTTTTCTTTTTCCTCTTCTTTCTTTTCCTTTCTCTCCTCTTTCCCTTTCACATCTTTTTCTTCTCTCTCTCTCTCTCTCTCTCTCTCTCTTTCTCTCTTTATTTTCTTCTCTTTAGAGACTTTTACACCATTATTAAGAGACATAATGCGCAATCAAATCAAACTGAGTGATGTTATCGAACAACTTCTCAATATCAATCTTCCATTCTCTTAAATGATCCTGGGAAGCCTCGGTCTTTATAGACACACAAAATGTATTACCAAATTTGGAGCATAGTTTAATGGTGTTGGCACAAAGTTTAGTGGCGATGGTTCGTTTGAGACTTGTACAGTGTTTATACTGTTTTATTAATGAGAAAGATCTCGAATCAAATCAAACTGAGTGATGTTATGGAACAACTTTACAATATCAATCATCCGTTCTCCTACACAATCCAGCCCCGGGTCTTTATAGGGCATACAAAATGTATTACTAAATTTGGAGCATGGTTTAACGGTGTTGGCACCAAGATTAGTGGCGATGGTTCGTCCGAGACTCATACAGCCTTTATACAGTTTTATTAATGAGATATATCTCGAATCAAATCAAACTGAGTGATGTTATGAAACATCTTAACAATATCAATCTTCCATTCTCCTAAATAATCCAACCCCGGGTCTTTATAGGGCACACAACATGTATTACTAAATTTGGAGCATAGTTTAACGGTGTTGGCACCAAGATTAGTGGCGATCGTTCTTGGAGACTCATAGAGCCTTTATACTGTTTTATTAATGAAATATATCTCGAATCAAATCAAACTGAGAGATGTTATGAAACAACTTAACAATATCAATCTTCTGTTCTCCTAAATAATCCAACCCCGGGTCATTATAGGGCACACAAAATGTATTACTAAATTTGGAGCATAGATTAACGGTGTTGGCACCAAGATTAGTGGCGATGGTTCGTCCGAGACTCATACAGCCTTTATACTGTTTTATTAATGAGATATATCTCGAATCAAATCAAACTGAGTGATGTTATGAAACAACTTAACAATATCAATCTTCTGTTCTCCTAAATAATCCAACCCCGGGTCATTATAGGGCACACAAAATGTATTACTAAATTTGGAGCATAGATTAACGGTGTTGGCACCAAGATTAGTGGCGATCGTTCGTGTGAGACTCATAGAGCCTTTATACTGTTTTATTAATGAGATATATCTCGAATCAAATCAAACTGAATGATGTTATGAAACAACAATATCAATCTTCCATTCTCCTAAAGAATCCAACCCTGCATGGGTCTTTAGCATATAGGGCACAAAAAAGGTAGTACTAAATTTGGAGCATAGTTTAACGGTGTTGGCACCAAGATTAGTGGCGATCGTTCTTGGAGACTCATAGAGCCTTTATACTGTTTTATTAATGAAATATATCTCGAATCAAATCAAACTGAGAGATGTTATGAAACAACTTAACAATATCAATCTTCTGTTCTCCTAAATAATCCAACCCCGGGTCATTATAGGGCACACAAATGTATTACTAAATTTGGAGCATAGATTAACGGTGTTGGCACCAAGATTAGTGGCGATGGTTCGTCCGAGACTCATACAGCCTTTATACTGTTTTACTACCCAGGACCAAAATCCAGTTGAAACCAATTGGAGCAAAACCAATTGAAACCAGTTGCCAACTGGTTTCAATAGGGAAATTGGAACAACTGGTTCCAATTGAAACCAGTTGAAACCAATTGCCAACTGGTTCCAATTGAAACCAGTTGAAACCAATTGCCAACTGGATCCAGTTGCCTAATTGGTTTCAACTGGAACCAGTTGTTCCAATTTCCCTATTGAAACCAGTTGGCTTCAACTGGTTTCAACTGGTTTCAATTGGTTTCAATTGGATCCAATTGAAACTTACAGTTATTGGCATAAACTTAATTAGTTATAAGTTAATTAGCTCTTGCACTAATTATCGCTCATGTCAACACAGAAACATTGTTATATGTGTCTACATTAAGTACAATGTAAAGGGCATTATAATATGCAGACCATATAATATACTTAACAAGGAAGGCATTGCCATTATTGATGTATTTTGTACATGGTTAGTGTTTTACTCATCAACTTTTAATCTGTGTAATTACAAAAATATGTTACTAATGAACATGCTTATCATTGCTAATTAATCTTTATATTCATCTAAAACAAATGCATTACTTGCAAATGAAAATTAATTAATAAGTACATTGTAAATCAAAATAAATTACATAAAACATTGATCTGCACACAAGCATATAATATGCAAATTAACTGGTTTCAATTGGATCCAGTTGGGTAACTGGAAATATTTCCAATTGGAACCAATTGGGTAACTGGAAATGAATTCTAACTGGAACCAGTTGGGTAACTGGAAATTATTTCTAACTGGAAATGAATGCTAACTGGAACCAGTTGGGTAACTGGAAATGAATTCTAACTGGAACCAGTTGGGTAACTGGAAATGACTTCTAACTGGAAATGAATGCTAACTGGAACCAGTTGGGTAACTGGAAATGATTTCTAACTGGAACCAGTTGGGTAACTGGAAATAAATTCTAACTGGAACCAGTTGGGTAACTGGAAATGACTTCTAACTGGAACCAGTTGGGTAACTGGAAATGACTTCTAACTGGAAATGAATGCTAACTGGAACCAGTTGGGTTACTGGAAATGAATTCTAGCTGGAACCAGTTGGGTAACTGGAAATGAATTAACTGGAACCAGTTGGGTAACTGGAAATGACTTCTAACTGGAATCAGTTGGGTAACTGGAAATGACTTCTAACTGGAAATGAATGTTAACTGGAACCAGTTGGGTAACTGGAAATGAATTCTAATGGAACCAATTGAGTAACAGGAAAATCATCTTACTGTTTCCAGTTAAAGGTAATACAAAGTTTTGGGAAATTTGAAAATTGGGTGGATAGTGATTCTTTACAATTTTGATATATTTGGATGCCTCGGTGGATGTATTATAAGCACTAGAAAATTTTGCCCCTAAAACACTTCTGCTTTCGAGAAAAATTGAATATAAAAATTTACCGGTGCTCCCGGTAAATTTTGATAAATTTGAAATAGCGCCTACGGCCGTACAATGGTAGCTGCGACCATGCAAATTTCAGAATATGTAGTTGTGATATATAATTTCCAAACGGGAACAGCCAATCGGTCGATTTTAGTCAAGAAACATTGCTTTATAGCTTAATTCATATCTTGACCTTGAGAGGGAGCTATACAGCATAAAGAGTTTATTATTTACAATTTCATAACTTTACACTCGATTTCAACCACGACAACGATCACTGAATATTGTAGGATCGCATATGCTTCCAATAAGTTCATTTGAACCAAATTCATGACCCCATACCAAAACTTTGTATTACCTTTAAACTTCTAACTGGAACCAGTTGGGTAACTGGAAATGACTTCTAACTGGAACCAATTGAGTAACTGGAAAAATTACCTTACTGGTTCCAGTTGCACTTCTTATTGGTTTGAACTGGAAATGAGTACCCATAACAATATTTTCCAGTTCGGCAATTGGTTTCAACTGGAAATTTTCTATTCCTATTGAAACCAATTGAAACCAATTGAAACCAGTTGAAACCAATTGAAACCAGTTGGAGATTTCAACTGGTTTCAATTGGATTTTGGTCCTGGGTAATGAGATATATCTCGAATTAAATCAAACTGAGTGATTTTATTGAACAACTAAACAGTAGGCCTACTAAATGTCCATTTTCTGTCATTACAAAACTAGCTAGATTAGGGATTGTATTATATAGCCGCTCCGAGGAACGTTTGCTATTTCAATTCCCTGCTTGTACTTGGCTTCACGGAGTAATTCGTCCTTTATAATGATTCTCTTCATTCCGGAGCAATGTATGTAGTAATGCATGCGAACGTACTCTTGTACTAGTACAGTACATGTACCTGTGTATAAGACAGATCCATAGACAGAGTACGCACGCCGCACGTCTGTGACGTAGGGAATAATGAATATTCATATCGCCGTTAATCTTGGTGCCAATATATGCTACCCAAAAGAGATGCGACGAAGATCAGCACGGCACTCTAAAAGATTGCCGTGCATCACGAGTAACACATTATTGGAGTTTACTATTGCTTCTTCAAGTTCCTTAAAATATTAAATTAATTGTTTGCAAATAATGAGGGACGAGATGCATTGGTCGTACGTTGTTGTTCTAACGTGTGCTAGCACAATGGTGATGTTACTAGGAACAGCTGGTGAAGGTTTCGCGCAGGAGGACTCCGCGGAGCCATCCCCGTCAACACAGCCTTCCCTGCCGACATGCCAGCCGGTTTGTAGTCGTCCAATATTTTTAGATCGAACGTTTTTGTCAGATGAATAAAATGTGATTCCGTGTGTGAAAGTGATTTGTGTGAAAGTGATTTTTGTAAACAGTTGTAAAAGTGTAGCATTGAAGCACAAATAAGAATAGTTGCCCAACTAAAGCCTAAACTAGTAAGCCAGCGCCAGGTGTGTCGATCCCTTTTGCAGTTTTGGCTTTTTTGCAAGCTGAAAATATAAACTTGTTTGAATCCTATTGCAATGGTAAACAAGAGATAGGTCTAATACCTACTAAAAACTCTCCTTAAAAGATTAAATGTTTGCCCCGGGCATAGACCTATGCCACAGTTGCCAGTGGTGTTTCTGTAAACAATTATGAGAGATTTATGAGTGAATAATAATAACAGTCAATATTCAGCTTTTATTATATCTCGGACGTCTCTTACTACATGTAAGCGCTTTACAGATATACCCGGTCATTGGATTCAGTGCTTGCCCGCACAAACTGTGTGCACAATCTCCACTCCCTGGGGAGCATTCCAGCAAGGCGTGACTTGACGCTTTAAAACTGTTTGACCAACAATGACGGTCGCATCCTACCGGGTACCCATTTCAACACCTGGGTGGAGAGTAGCAAGTGTAGGCTAATTTCTTGCCAAAGGATATTAGTGCCGTGTGGGATTCAAACCCTTGACCTTCGCATCTCCAGTCAAGCACCTTGAATTGCTTGACCACGACACTCCCACAGTGAAAATAAGTTTCTGTTTAAAAAAAAAAATAGTTAAACATTATAGAATGTTTTTTATCACAACCATGTGAGAGAGGGGGAGGATTGTGGAGTCCTGAAAAAACTCTCGGTGAAAGAGACAAAGTTGCAGTTCTCCTGCTTATGTAAGAGTTAACATTAGACTCATTCCCTACTTTTATTTGTCACGATTACTATTTGTTTCTCTAGTCTCTTCTACCCCATACATATTCATTTCACATCATTTGCATATTATCCATTCATCTCCACCATTCATCTCGACCATTCATCTCCACCATTCATCTTCACCACATACCAACTCTTCAAGCTAGAACAGGTAGTATGTTCTCTTCTCATTTGCATATTTCCACTTCTTACTTATCATTGGTTCTCTTCTCCTTTCTCTTATGACTATTCAGTTTTATTCTTAAATTCTATTGTGCTATATTTGAATATAATTTGCATGGAGCACATGTACAGCCTGGGTGAATAAAACTGAGGCAGAGCTGGACTAGACGTATACTGTGTCAGACGTGTTGTTTTTAGAGCTCTGTGGGCATGTGATAGGGAGAGACTTGATAGGAGATAGGACTAGTGAGTTAGGCAGTGATTTGGAAGATTGGTGTATGATTGATTGGCAAGAGTTTATTATATTAGTTTACACTTAGAAGGAGAACAAAAAGAACATTACTTGTTTCTACCGTTTTGTAGCTTTCAGCAGATGATTTGTCGATAATGAGATCTCTTGCTTTGAAAAATACATGTCAATATCTGCTATTTTATCCAGGTCCTATTCATGTTACCTTGGCTGATGGAGGAAAGCACTTGTAGAATGCATTTAGGTATTTCACTTCCAAACAATAATTTGTGCCCATTTTTACAAAGGGTTCTTCAAAAAGGCCATCTTGCCATGGAAAAGAAGCAAGCAGTACAGTGTACAAAAAACAAAGAGTTTAGATAAGGGTAGTGAATACTATTTTGCCATTGTCATGAAGAGGCTATTACCCAACTTGTGAGGGAAACCATTATAGATTCTGAATTACAGAGGATAAGGGCAGTGTGAAAAAATAATTCATTATTGGGACTGGAGTCCTTTGTACTTTGTTATTAGAAAGATTTTCTTTTTACCAGAATGTTTTTTTTCCTTCAGAATTTATTTTTCAAGCAATTTTGGTTGTTTCTTCTTTTTTCTGCCAGAATTGAATTTGCTGGGGGAAAGAAATTAGGAATGCAAAATCACTCCTGACAATGTATTTGTAACACCTGTAACAGGTTGATACTGGCCTTTGATCTTACAGATTAACAGAATACAGTACATTACTGCATTTTCCTTATTTTGTCTGTACACAAAAATATAGACCTACCTTATACACATGGTAGAACCAGTAGGTAACCTGAAAGTATAGCATGTTGTCCATGATTGGACATGAGCGAAGTATTGTGTACAGGCCTCTCGCCAAGAAATTAAAAACGTGTGGTGCGACCCGAGGGAAAATTTGACCCCCCCCCCCAGGTGCACACAATACCATACCTGCCAACCCTTACAAATAATTCAGAATATTCATTTTTTTTGGATTTCTAGAACCTGAAAATCCGGAATATTCTGATTTTTCAAAATTTCAATTTTTTTTTTTAAATTTAAAAAAAAAAAAAAAATTAAACATTTTTTTTTTTTTACAGAACGCGTGGCGCTAGGTCAGGCCAATCAGGAACGCGTTATCTGTGTACGCGAGGTAAGGCTGCGACGAGTAGTCGAATGCTCGAGTACCCGCACGGTTGACAACTACCCGAATATTCGGCCGCAAAAAAAAATGTCCATGCCCACGCTTACCCATGCCAGGGAGAGTGGCGGCCGCTGGCATGGTACCATCGGTAAAAATGTTTCCCAACTCAAGCACTGTCAAACTCACCACTCAGAAACTGGGACCAAATGTCCAGATTTCTGTTTGGACTCGGAGGACAATGGATTATTCTGCCATCTTTGGTTTTTAAAACAGCATTGTTTACTGTTATTATTATTAATATTAAATCGGCGCCTTCAACTGCAACTCGAAGTAAAATTGCATGCGTTTTCCGCGAGGGACCTGGGAAACTGCCTAGTGATATGGTGGTGGCAAAAAAAGAAAAAAAATCAAAAAATCAAAAAATTCAAAAAAATTCAAAAAAATTATAAAAAAACATGGCGTCCGAATATTCAAGTATTCGCTTGTGAGCCTGGGAGTGTACTCGGGTACTTCATTACACTGTTGTGCACAGCCTTAACGCGAGGGCCTTGATTGTGTAAAGCTGTGAGGAAGCAAAACCAAAGACTATATTCTTGTTTCCTTTCCCTTTCTCAGGACGATTTCCACTATGCTATGACAGAATGTGATGAGGGTGGTGTTAGATGGAGAGTACAAGTCCCCCAACCAGACGCATGTATAGGAGGAGCACCATCAGCACCTGTACGAGCTGTAGACTGTGGTATGTAGCGAATCAAACTGGGTGTTGATGTACTTCTGTAGCAGAGAAACTATTTTTTTTTGTTATCCATCTTAACCCATTGCCCATGGGAATCTTGTGGATCCTGTATTGAGTCTATTGAACTGAGAGAATTCAGTAGTCAATGGGTTATAATAATTTGTGTAGTTTATATAGTGTCAATTTGAAGTGATAAAACCTTCATGAAGGTTGTCTGTCAATGTATGCCAACAGTGCTTACACAATACACATGTATATTGCTTGAAATAAAGTAGACACATTACCACCAAGTCACACCAAGATCTATGGGATAATGCATGCATTCACGCGTGACACAGTGTGAGACTGTCAACTTTATTCCAAGCACCAAGTCACACCAAGGTCTATGGGATAATGCATGCATTCACCCGTGACACAGTGTGAGACTATCAACTTTATTCCAAGCACCAAGTCACACCAAGGTCTATGGGATAATGCATGCATTCACCCGTGACACAGTGTGAGACTATCAACTTTATTCCAAGCACCAAGTCACACCAAGGTCTATGGGATAATGCATGCATTCACGCGTGACACAGTGTGAGACTGTCAACTTTATTCCAAGCAATACTGTAGATGTTACAAACATGTACATGTATATAACTAGTGGTGTAGAATGTTTGAGAAATATCTGTGCAGAATAGATGATTATGTGGTGATGAGACGTAAATGTTTATTAAATTTGTTGACTGTGAAAACCATAACAAACAATACAAAATAATTACAATAGTTTGGTGAATATCAGAAATGTATGTAAGGCACTAATGTCCTTTGGCAAGACATTGATCTACATTGCCACTCTCCACCCTGGTGTTAAAATGGGTACCCGGTAGGATGCGAAAGTTAATGTGGTTGGATTAGCAAATGGCACTTGTAAAATGGCGACTGGCTGGAATACTTCCCAGGGAGTGGAAAATGTGCAAACATTGTGTTGCGGGTAAGCCTGAATCCGATGACCGGGGTAATAATATGTTCCGCGCCTAGAAACAAAGTATTAGGCGCATTATAAATGTGAGCTATTATTATTATTATAAATGTGAAAAGCAATATACTGTTTATCATAGTGTACAGACAATCATAAATACTTGGTTTACGCATGAATAAAACACTTTTAAGGAGCATCTGAAGCACAGAACTTCACATGATTTGTATAATTTACTGTAATACATGTCTTACATGTATGTTTGCATTAGGATTTAATTTGAAATTACTCCTAGAATATGCTTACTCCTAATCAGCCGCAACCATTCCTGTGATATTACCTACATGAACATGCGTCTAATACGAAATACCATCTCTAAGCGCTTTACCGATATTTTAAATTGCCCCGGTCATCGGATTCATTCACGTAATTGTACAATGTGCACCATCTCCACTCTCCAGTTCTCCACTCCTTTGGGAGTATTCCTTCCATATGGTCACCATATGGCTATTACTAACACAAAGGCTCTCGTCATCCTCCCAGGTTCCCATTTCTCTCCTACATTGTAGGTATGGAGTGGCAAATGTAGATCATTAATGCCCTGCCAAAAGACATTAGTGCCATCTACCCACAACATTTAAACCGCAAGTCAAGTGCTTAAACCACTCGATCACGATACCTCTACATATGTACTAGACTACCTGTACATGTATATCAAAAATAGGACTTTAAAAAATGCAAAAAGAAAATACAGCATGCCCCTCTTTATCAACTTGCTTTTGGGCAAGTTGCATCCAAATGCATGTACATGAACATGTTTGCCTTTGCAAAAATGAATATATGTGTAAACTGTAAATCTTTCATGCATTAAATGATGATGATGCCGCCAGAAGCATTATTTTTGAGGTTGTCTGCTGTCTGTATCTCTCTGTCATTGAATAATATATCAAGTTACATGTAGCATCGTAGGAGTAAACATTGTTCCAGATGCTTATCTGAACCTTAGTCAAAATGCACTGGCTTACATGTTGGATTGCTGATTAAAACATGAATTTCTTTCGATTTCAAAGCCCTTAAAATTCATGTACATGTTAAAGTTGCCTTGGTCAGTAGAATGATATGATGATTTGTAATTAATTGCTGCCATGGTATTCACTCTGTACATGTACATTTGTAGATCAAATATAACACAAATAAACATTCAACTATTTTATGCATTATACAAGACTTACTTATTAGACAACATTCAGTACCGGGTACATGTATTTTCTTTTCCATGTACACTGTATGATATATACACTCATGGTATTACCTTCACAATGACCTTTAAACAAACCAGTAAACACTGAGATTTAGTTGAAAGTTGCTGGTATTCAGAGCCTTCGTTACCTTGTTACTAATTTTATGATGGTACTTATGTTTTGCATTTATTTATCTTTTTTTTTTTTACTGCAGTGTAAGAAATTTGATTTTTAAAGCACAGTAAGGAAATATGAACAGCTTAAACGTTATTAATATTTATGAATATAGGCACTAAAAAGTCATGAACATGAACCTGAAACCCAATTGCTGTAAGATTAGTGGATTGAACCAATAAAGAGGGATGGGGCTCATAAATTATTCATATAGCTCTTACAACTGTATATTACTTGTCATTTCCACTGTAGTGAAGACACAGGTTATTATTCAGTGTCTGTTGTGTAGTGTAGTGTTACCAAACCAAATACGTCGTTCACACAAATGCTCAGAATATATTTTGAATATCAGAACATTTCAGAAAATTTTGATATTTATCATTTCATAGTTGGAAATCAGAGCATTCTGACGAAATAGGTGAAAATGTTTTAAAGTAGTATTGTGTGAAAGATATTTACAAAACATGAATTTCTACATGTAGCCTGCGTGTACATTATTGGCAGAATATGACAGAGCTGTACCAATGCATGTTACCACAAGGCATTCTTTAACATATTTTAAGCAATTATAAAATTATATAGTCAGTTTTAAGACACTTGTAGAAAAAAAAATCTTAAACAGTGTTCCTTAATGTATGGAAATTCATTCCATTCAGAATACTTCAATAATTCCATCAGTTGATTTTATAAAATAAATTTTGCTTTTTGAAACAAAGAGAATGAAGTTGACCATATGGCATAATATACGTGGAGACTAGTTGTAGTCTGCATAACTCTGCAATCAAAGACCTATTTTCCTTATAGTCATAATTACATGGTACATATTTTTACTCTCTACAAAAAAATTACAATTTGCATGATGGATTAGGCAGAGGCTCAGTGCATTCTGACTTTAAAAAAGAAGAAACCAAGAGAAGCACTTATCTACTCCATTCCCCATATTCAATATGAATTTGTTTCTACGATGTAATACAAGACAAAAGGCAGCATATGGTCAAAGTGTCTTCATGCAAATTATGCACAGACTAATAACTCCCATGAGGACAGACTCATTATCGAGTGTATAAATGAACCCTCAAGATATGTATGAATAGATATCATATCTGCAGACACATGTATTCAGTCTCACACACTCTCATGCAGTATCAGAAGGGGAAAAAAAGAATCAATATCTCTGACTGTTTGATTATGATTGTGTTTCGAGTTAATTTCTCCTTTTGTTTACTCAGTCTCAGTGAGTGGATGATTAAAGAATTTGAAACAGTAGCTTGTTATGAATTAAGCATGTTTAAAGTCACTTACATTTGTTTTATTCTTAATGATGTGATATTACATACAAGTATATATGGTATGTGTAGGAAATATATACATGTACCGGTAATTGTATGTTGGATAGTTAAGAATATTAAAATATTAATAATATGTACATGTTTAGACCTACAGAGATAAGATTATAATTGATTAGACTGTAAAACAATAACATTAACATGTAGGTGTTTAAAGAATGGACCTTATCAAAATAAAAAGATATAGAATGAAAAATGAACTTGTACTCCTAATTGCTATCATGGATGAAATTTTTTGTTTTGCTTGACTGATCATGCATACATCTCTAGAGAGCTCCTACATGTACAGTATATATATTCAATTTTGCTACATAACAGATATACAGTAATGTGCAGGTTCTTGTACTCACACTTGATACACACACTACATGTACCTCTGACATGTTTCTCATGTTTAAATTGGATCCTGATGGGTTTTTCATGGTATTGATTTTAGGAATTTAATTAAAATACAATTTTCAATGTCAAAATTTCTCATGATTATTGTATCACAGCCATTTTTGTTGTCTGGATGGAGTTTGTAGTACTCACCTCACCATCCATTCTTCAAGAGGTCTTTTGTTTCAAAACAGAAAATAACATTTTTTCCTTTTTTTTTTTCCCTTTTTTTTTTCATGGTAATTTTTTTTAAAGTGATTTTTCTAGATTTCTTTTCAGTTATTCACATGATTACCTACAAGGTATTATATTTTGATTTTCATGTTCTTTGAGAAATACCTCTTTTGATGAACAAAGCTTTACACATCGCCTATTAAACTTTTGGCAAACTCTTTACTGGCTGGTTTACCAGTGAGATAACCTACATGTAGGCAGTTTCTTAGATTGTCAAAATCAACTTTTTTTTCTATTGCATGTTCAAAATTCTCATGAAACAATAACATACATGTACATGTATACCGGTATTCCTTTTTCTAGATTTGTAATTGCCTCATAGAGAAGAAAGTCAGATAATTCAACTTGCCTTGAATCTACAGTACATGTAGAAGGTCAGTCACATAGACACCCAGGCAACTTCTAATTTTGAGCCATGTATGGTACAATATTGACAAATAACCTATCTACATGTACAGCAACTTAGCAATACAGTGATGTAATAATGATATTTTTTAACCAAAACATCTTTATTTCGTCCAGAATGATGAAAGCCACTCTATACATTTGTGTAGATTTTACTATGGGTGCGTTTATTGACCAAATTTTTGGCTAGAATCAGGTTTCTCAAACGTCTTTCAGGCAAATTTAGAAGGTGATAAACGCAAAGCCTTTTTTAAAGGTCTTTAGATATGGGCATATAAGACGCAAAAAGGTGTGTTTTGAATGTGACATACAGCCGGAATCACGTTTCTGAGAGATGATAAACGCAAAGCTGTTTTGAACCCCACAAACAAATCGGACCACCAAATCGGAGGCTAGCGCGCTCCATGTGTTGTGTACTGTGTAGTTGACCTTCGAGAAACTGTCTGCTTCCCGGGTCAAAACAGCTGCGTAGACACAAGGCCTTTATTTTGAATCGTGAAGAGACGATAGTATGATAGTGGGGTACGATATGTACATATCTAGTGGCAAGACCCAATAAACGCACCCTATAACATGTAAACAATCCATGTGATTATCCTTTGAGTTGAATGTACATGTATATGTAGAGGTTTCGTGATCTACATGTAGTAGATAATTCACCGGACTGTGGACCACATAGTTTGTTGTTGGAGTCCCGCCACGGCGCTTATGTCCTGTGGCAAGACATTTACATGTATCTGCATTTGCCACACTCGACCTACAGTGTATATGAGGTAAATGGGTACCTGGCCGGAATCAATTCCTTGAAGATGAAATGCTAGAGCGCCTAATGACAGCCATGCTAAAGCTGGGGTAATAATTGTGGAGCTCTAGGAGTGTCAAGCTTGACAGACATGAGCGCTATACAAGAAGCCATTATTATTATTATTATTATTATTACTTTGTACATGCAGACTCATGTGCTGATCACGTTATGATTAGCATGTTTCCAACTACCTTGTACATTGAGTACCGTAGTAATTGAATGGTAAATGGAATCCTTACTTTAACTGCTGGGAAAGAGCATTAAAAATATCAGATCTGAACTTGTTACAATCACATTTTCTCTTTGAATTTCATGATTTAGGATTCTCTTGTGGAGCTGGTGAATACTTGAACATTGATTCAGGTAGCTGCAAGAAATGTCAGAAGGGAAAGTATTCCCTTGGTGGAGGTGACAAATTCACAGACTGGTCCGAGCTCCCTCCAGACTTCACCGTTTCCTCAACATCATTTTACCTCACTGAAGACTATGAGCACTGTAATGAGTGAGTATACATAATAGCTTGCAATCTCTTGTATATTACATGTATTTATGAAGGAAAGGGAGGTACTGCAGGTTTGTGGGTAGAATGTTGAAATTATCTCTCAAAAGGGCTGTAAACGTAGAAACTTTTGCACTCATGATACAGGTATGTTCACAGATTAAAACTGTCAAGACACTGAATTTGTGTGATTCATGGAAGGAAATTTCTTAATGTGAAGATAACTCATTTACAAATCATGTAAGTTTGTTGTGAAAAGAGTTTGTGGCTTCACAGTGAAGAGCAGGAAATTGCAAATTACATACTAGTACGGTAGTTTTTTATAACACTCAATATCTCAGTGATTACCCATAATTTAGTACTATCAATATTTACAGAAACTTATGCAAATATTTAAACAGAAATTCAGTGCATTTTATTGTATCCATAAATTGGACTGCATAACAATGTCTAAATGTGTGTTTAGTGAAATGGTTCTCATAAAATATTTACAGCATATTAAACGTCTTTATGGAGTGAAAGATATAGGTTGACTACAAAGTGGTTGAAATTGTTATCGTCATTCCATATGTGTTCTTCCCGCAGTAAATTCACATTTATAAATATTTGCACTACAGGTCATTGTGGGACCCGATAGGTAGCTTTGTGAGATCTCCTGATAGCACCTGTTCCTCAAAGCTTATCTACACAGCAAACCTGGCTAAAGAGGGTTCAGTCAACTTCACCTACTCGCTTGCTACTGACTTCAACTATTTCACTGTTGAGGTACTTTTAAATATCATAAAAGCCACATATTTTATTAAAGCCATACATGTATGTTGTATACTGGTGATACAGTACAATGAGTGATTTCAAGCTGGGTTTTTGTCTCGCCTGCGTAGCAAAAAAGCGAGACATAGGCGCCGCTTTTCCGGTGACGGCGTCAACATCAAAAACTTAACCTAAGGTTAAGTTTTTGAATTTTTGATATAATTTTGAAAGTATAAGTTCTTAGTCAATGAAACTTGGACTATAGGGTTATCAAGTATCCCCAATCATGTGAGTAGAATTTCAGGTCACAAAGTCAAGGTCAAAGGTCATTTCAGGTCAACAGACTTGGACTATGTTGTGGCATCATCATCGAAAACTTAACCTAAGGTTAAGTTTTTGAATTTTTGATATAATTTTGAAAGTTTAAGTTCTTAGTCAATGAAACTTGGACTATAGGGTTATCAAGTATCCCCAATCATGTAAGTAGTATTTCAGGTCACTAAGTTAAGGTCAAAGGCCATTTTAGGTCAACAAACTCAGACTTTGTTGTGGCATCAACATCAAGATTTTGAATTTTTTAGCATATTTTCAAAATTGATTGTTCAATTTCCATGAAACTTGTACCCAAGGGTTATCAAGTATCACAAATCATATGACACAAATTCCAGGTCACAAGGTCAAAGGTCAGTAGACTTGGATTATGTTTTCACAACTTAATATGAGAATTAATAATTTTTTTTATTAATTTGTTCATATATTTCATTCAAGTTATCGATCGTGGTACATTTAATAGTAAATAATTCTTCTGATGATTCTTAGGCAATATTCACTTCAAAATGTGATTATATTTAGAGGATTTCATTTTGGGGGGCCTGCTAATGGGCCACCCTGCCTATATGCATAATGTTCCAACCTCAGTTTGTCATCATATCGAATTGCGTAATGCAGGCGAGACCGCCGAGAGCGTTTCCCTTGTTAGGGCTGGTGTTAATGTTTAATAAACACAAACATCAGCCCTAAACACCCAAATGGAAATCAGCTGGTGTTAAGGCTTTGACCTCTGAATACCGTCAACTTGCGGTAGCTAGTGTTATCGATTTCGCAAAATTGTCGTCTGCTGAACAGACCTTGTGGCTGGTGTTGATATTCTATGTACAAATGTCCTATTCACTAACACTAGCCCCTAGAAGCAAATGTTGATTTCTAGTTCGGTGTTAGTGTTAAGCTATCGATATTGATATTGGTATCCGGCTCTTAATTTCATCAGAAAATGTTTAGCTTGATTTAAGAGCTCTTGACTGCTCTAAACACTAACACTATTAAACACCAACACCCAACTTGAAATCACTCAATGTATAGTGTTACTTTAGTTATTACATGGTAATAGTGCTCACTATCATCCATGATAGGGAAGCTGATGCTTATCAGGGTGCTACAAGAATTTTTTTCACCACTTGCCCTGTCGGGCAAGTGGGTTTTCAATTTACTTGCCCAAACAATATTTCCACTTGCCCAAAACTTTAAAGCGAAAAAGGACACGAGGTTAAAGCATTTATTATCTCGTAATGATAAGTTAGTGTTTTAGATAGCAAATTAATGCACATACATGTACAGTGTAACTGTACTGACTAATAACCTAATATGTCAAAGAAAATGGTCAACAAAGGATGGTTGAAGGTTTAAAAAACGCATTTTATTGATTCTCCATAAATAATCAGATTCACATGAATCTCGGCAAGGTAGAATGGTTCAAGCAGGTTTAAGTTTTTAATATTCAGTCATGTAAAAAAGCATAATGACCCTGTTGTAAAAAATATGATACAAACATGTCATTAATGGTAGCCACATGTACCATGGTGCAACATCACATGATCAGCAGTATGACAAGGATTCCACATGATTATCAAAATGACTCGCTCGGTCGGATCTTGAGACCGCAGTAATAAATTGAAAACGAGACAAAAACATTCATCTGATTTATATGAGCAGCGAGTTTTAAATAATATGTTCACAATCATTAACAGTCATTATGAATAAATATCAAACATTTGACTTTTTGTACTTACTAGAAAATCCCTGTTGTTTATTCCATTCCGATTCGCACGTGTTCATTTCCCTAGAATAATGACGTCATATTTGGCGTGATTCAACCAATCGGCAATCAGAGAATAGCAAAGGCCTGTCGGTGCGGCCTGCAGAGCTAGAGAGAGAGAGCGCGAATAAGCTCGCAGCTGGTACGATCGCGCTAGCTGTCTCTAGCTAGCTCACGGCCGGCCGTGCGTGGAGGCGGAGCGGCATTCATGGCTTGAAGTGTCACTGTTGCATGCGCGCTGAGCTAGCTGAGCTGGCTAGCTGTCTGTGAAGTTTTTTCGAAATCGGAACGATCGCTTTTTTGCTTCTGGATTTTGACGACGGGTAAGAAGTTGACGGGTGAATGGTAGAGTTCTTGGACACTAGGAAATTACTGTAAAAGTATCACTTGCCCGAATCGGGCAAGTGATAATTTGATTTACTTGCCCGACGGCTCAATTTGGTTGCCCCGGGACGTCGGGCAAGCGGGTTTGTCGCGCCCTGTGCTTATACTGTAACACTTTTTATGCCTCCGTTACGAAGTAGCCGGAGGCATTATGTTTTCGGGTTGTCCGTCCGTCCGTACGTACGTACGTCCCGTTCTCGTGATCGCGTTATCTGAAGAACTGGTTGATGGATTCCTGCCAACTTTGGTCATGTATGTATCTTGTAGAGCCGATGAACTGATTAGATTTTGGGGTCACAAGGTCAAAGGTCAAAGGTCACAGGGCTCATTATGTATGCAAAACGAGCTCGTGATCGCGTTATCTGAAGAACCGATTGATGGATTGCTGCCAAACTTAGGTCATGTATGTTACTTGCAGAGTCGATGAACTGATTAGATGTAGGGGTCACAAGGTCAAAGGTCAAAGGCCACAGGGCACATTATGTATGCAAAAACAGCTCGTGATCGCGTTATCTCAAGAACCGATTGATGGATTCCTGCCAACTTAGGTCATGTATGTTTCTTGCAGAGCCAATGAACTGAGTAGATTCTTGGTTCATAAGGTCAAAGGTCATGGGCTCATTATGTATGCAAAAATAGCTTGTAATCACAATATTCTGAGAACCTGTTAATGGATTACAATTGAACTTGAATTCGAAAAATTTCTTCTGTTTTGGTTTGTAAAATTGCTCTATGACGGAGGCATCATTTTCGACTGCGCGCAGTCGAAGTTCCATCTAGTTGTAAATGTTGTGTTATATTATTGTTATTATCACATGTTTAGTGAATATTGATGACACATTTAACCTTCAGTGGAGGTGACATTACAAAACTTGTGACGTACATGTATGGGAATGTACATGTATACTCCTAATCTGACGAATGTATACTGTTTATGTACACAAACACACAGTATAAGAATGTTCCAGTCTGTAGCCGGCTCCTACAGTAAAAAAAAAAGATTTATGCTATTGTATGCTCTTTTAATGGATATACGTGATCTTTGTGATAATATTTTTGTTTGCATGTGTCTGTCTACACACCTGAAAACAAAATAGTTTGAGCTGAGAGACATGGATCTGGTCCCCTTCAAAATGTTCATGCCAAATGATGGACTTTGATACCATTTCTTGAAGTTTAATACCTTTCCTGAAATAAATGTCAATGGTAATTTTTCTTTGCCTCTTCAGGTTCACAATGAGTTATGCCAGAGAAATCATAAGAGTGGAGGGGGTAAGGCAGTCACAGCAACAGGAGAGGGAGAATGGAAATCTATAAAGGTAAGTCAGTCATCATTACTGTGATACTGCAAAGGATCTAAATTTGCTTTTTTTTTCTTTTCCTCAGGGAATTCGGTAGGGAGAAAAATTCTGAAAAATACATTGCATTCTTCTTCCAGAAAAGAATTGGTTGGTTAGTTGGGTTTTTAGCTGACTGCTAAGAAACATAAATGCTTGTAAGTAAGCAACCAGACGGCTTACGGCTTTAGGTCCTCTCTGAATGACCTGGTAATGAGGATTAATACCTTACAAAAGGGCACTAGCACATCGCCTTGGTTTCGAACCCGGGTCACCGTATTACGAGACCCCTGCTCTACCGACCGAGCTATCGCGCCTCCTCAAGAAAAGGGAATGTAATTGCCAATATCATGGTCCTGATACTTGTATGAATGTACATGTTTGTAATTATATTGTGTTTAGTAGTGAGGATGGGGGATGCAGGGTAGTCTTTAGAAGTGTCATCAAATATAATTATCATGAAAATCAGGATACTCACATAAATTAAATCTCAATTAATGAATCAAACCATAAATGGTCAATGTTGTATTGATAGTAGCTCTAAGCAATGATTACCTTTAAGAAAAACAAAGGAAAAATGGGTTTTGTCTGAAAAAGGAAAGAAAGATTATATGATTACCAATATCAGCTTCCTGATCCACATTTCCAGCAGTGAGATTGGAAAGGAAGAGATGATTTTTAATAGTTTATAAATGAAAGTTTATATTTTAAAAGGGAAAGAAAAAAGTTGAATTAAATAAAGATGAATAATAATAATATGGATATTTATATAGCGCCGGTATCCAAAAGGCTCTGACGCTCATGGTGCTGTACATATTACAATCACAAACATCACTTAACTAAAATAAAGTAAGCTAAAACAACAAAAATTATTACTCTACATTGAAATAACTAAATAGCACTGTTTAGAAATGTCAACCACTACTACATAGTAAAGGTGGTGGTAGCTCTGAAAGTAATTTTTATTGGAGCTTGATTTTTGTATTTTGTTTCTCAGCTGGACCTTGATGCTGGTCTCAATGTAATAACGTGGAGGTCTGAAGGGCTCTACGTCGGCACCGGTATCAAGATACCCCGGGTCTACATCAGAAGCATTGAGGTGATGGGACTACAGTATACCTCGGACTGTACAAAGTGTCCTGCAGGGACGTTCACGTCAGCAAGAGGAGCTGCCAGGTAAATAAAGCCCTAAATGCACAGTGATGACAAGATGAGGTCAAACAAATAAAATTGAAGGACATCTGTTGGGTATGGACATATTCCGCAAAGCCGATAACTTGAAGTCTGTTGTGAAAAGAGGTATAGAGAAACATAGAAGTCAGGGGATAAGAAGTGTCCAGTTTAGATCATGATCAGAGATCTAGATCATTTTTCTCTTCTCATGAGCAAATCATTGGTTCAAAGAATGATAGAAAGTAGTTATGAGCATAAGATACAATTGGATGATACATGGTTTAATACACTGATTGTATTTCATTCATAATGGCGCCATTGTACATTTGTAACCTTTTTATCTTACAGTCAAATGCAAATCATTGAGTGGGCACTGAGTGATTTTAAACTTCACAATGATTTTTCTCTTCGGCCAACAAAGTAATGCAAATTGGCTTCCAATATTTGTACTCTCATTGTGCTTTTGTGTATTTAATCTTGAGTCCTATTTGCTCTCTTTTTTGTAGTTGTGACGAGTGTCCAGCAAATACCTATTCTCAAAGTGGAGCTACTAACTGTACACCCTGTAATACAGAGACCATGTACTCGGGTAAGTATCCCTGGTCCTCCAAATGACCAGGAAAGTATTAAGTGGGTACTTGAATTATACACATGGACAAGCTCAATACACCTCTACTGTTAATATGCTCGGTAACCAGTGGAAATGCATTTTTAATTTCTTTGATGATGATGATTGTTTTCGTTGACTGCTAAGAAAGCATATATATGCTTGTAAGTAAACAACTAGGGGATCAATGGCTTTAAGTTCTCTCCGAAGCACCTGGTGATGAGCATTCATGCCTTACCAAAGGGAACAAGCGCATTAACTTGGTTTTGAACAAACATCAGTTTGCAGATTAAATATGAACTCACCATATTTGGTTTAAAATTGAATTTTTTGTAAATGGTTGGAAAAAAAGAAATTGGGGCTCCTAACCATGCTTTAAGATGCTTATTAATGTACAAATACATGTATGGAGTATTTTTCTATGCATTTTTAAAATTTAAATGCAGTTGAATTAAAATTTATAAGTTTTTTTCTTCTTCTGGATACGCCCATTTTTAGTTCCTGGTTCAACCAACTGCACCATGAAGAAACCATGCAACGAACACGATTACTACAAGATACATACACCATGCAATGAAAACAACCAGGTAACATTGCTTTATTTCTCTTCATAATCTGTACATTACACTCTATGCAGTTATGATTTGGTGCATTTTGTTGCCATATAAAAATAAGCGAATGATATGAACCATATTACATGTAGGTAACCCATATCAGACTGAAATTAAGATTATGTTGTACTAGTAGTATGATCTCCCGTGTACGTACTAAATACTTTAAAACCAATTCTTCGTTATATTTTTTATAATAATCGAGCAATAAAAATAAAAAATTGATTTAGTTTTTATTGTAGTTTGGTTTTTAGAGGGTTTTTTTCTTCCTTAGTGACAATACTGATGTAAAATAGTGATTACTTACAGAGTGAGCGATACTGTGTGACAAGAGCCATTTTGCTTCAATAATATACACACTCTGTTCTTCATACATTTACTCTAAATTCTTAAATTTTGTTCTCAGTTATTTCCTAACCGAAAGTGAATTAGACTATCATTCGAAAACTATCAATAGCAAAAGTTGTGAATCCTTTTTTATAGGGTAATAACTTTGTGCCATACTGTTTCTTTTCATTACAGACGAAGGTGATGTATAAATGGATTGATCCGCAGGTGTGTAATTCTAATATTCCTGCATCAGTGCAGCTTCCCATCTCGGGTGAATTTGAGGCGTGTCCACCCTGCAACCCCGGCATGTCAATCAACAACAAGACAGAGTGTAATTTCTGCCCTAGCAACCAGTTCAGTGATGGAACAACACGTAAGTACTTCTTGACAACAAAGAAGGGAATCGTGTTACACCTTTTTTTTTTTTCTTACTTTGTTTCAAATCATTCATTTTGTGATTCTGGGTGACTCTATGAATGTACATCCATGTCTCTAGTCGCTGGTTATTTTATGAAATGTTATATTATTTAATATCCATGTAATATATTTTATGTTTTGCCTATTTCATTGATATTTTGTATTTCATCGTTATTTTGTATTTTACCATGTGTATATAGGACCAAAATGAAAAACAGCTTTAGCTGATATTTTTGAATAAATAAATAAATAAATAACCTTGCTCTTCCTATGATATACATTAAACATTGAAAGTATGAAAAGAAAATTGGGGACTTTATCTATTACCTGTATGAGTGTGTTTCTTAAAACAGCTTTGTAGGGATAAGTTGGTAATGGCTGTATTATACATTTTTTTTTAAACTCAATAATTCATCCTGTTAAATTGTTTCATTTTATTATGCATTTTACACATTTTTTATTTCATTTGTTTAGTTTGTAACATATCACTCAGGGCCCGTTGCACAAAACTTACCATTGATGGTAACTTTGCCATCAATGGTGACTACCATGGAAACCTTGATTTTGATTGGCTGTTGAGCCCTGTTACCATCATGGTAGTTGACATTGATGGCAAAGTTACCATCAATGGTAAGTTTTGTCAGTGCAATAGGGCCCAGAGCTGCTAAAGTGCAGTCGTGTTTACTGAAATTTATACATAACCCATCTTTTTTATAAATAATGGGCACCTGCATGTACCCAAAATACCTTGAAACAACACATTGATTCTATATTTAATTTCTCTCAATCCATGTTGATTTTCGTAGCGTGCCAGGATTGTCCTCCGAACACCACACCCGAGTATGGAATGAGCTTCTCATACTGGAACTCTCTGCCGCCTAACATGCATGCATCCTGTGTTGTCACAACAAGTGAGTAATTTCCGTCTGTGAAAACAAATGAGAAGTTCCATTGATATGGAGTCTTTATACCAGTTTCCTTTGTTGATAGTTTGATGTGATATCTGGCTACAGGGAGACTTGATCTCTAAACCTGATTTAGGAACCATGTGTATGAAAAGACCAGTGATCCATGATTCGCTTCATCAATAGTTGCTCTAGGCCATATTTGGGTTATAGATATAGGGTTGGATCATAGGTAGGGTTGGATCAGGTAATGGATTCTTTTGAACACTTTATTGTTGAAACCTGTATGATATAAATGTAATGTAATTGAATTGATAATGTTCATTGACAAAAAGTCAAGGGTCGCAGCTTAAACGATTTCTGTTAACATATTTCAAATTTCAAATTTATTCATGTTTCCAACAAAACATTACAAATCAATTATAAGCATTTAAAACAAATGTAAGAAATACATGTTGGAAACATAGGGGTCCACTAAAAAGCAATGCATGTACAAGTGTGAACACCTCAAATGATACTTAGGAATAATGAGTAATTAAATTAACTAATCTGTAACTACAAAAGGAACTACAAAATAGGGGAAAGAAAAAGGGGGATGCCAACAGAGACGAGAAAGGGACAAGACAATACTTTACACGACAAAGATAGAAGAACACGGTCATAATACAAAGAGTAGCCAATGACAAAAAGAAGTGAGATTGAGGGTACAGAAAATAATACAAGATGATGAGCTGCATGTGGGGTTGAGAAGAAGATAAGGAAAGAGAAATGCGCGTTAGAAAGGAAATAAGCATGAGAAGGCACAATATAATATATCAAATCACATAGTGTGTAGAGACAGGCTGCTATATTATATATTATACATACATAATATCAAGAATAACGGTTCTATGCAAGTAATTTCGATTGATATGATATTAAAACATGGTTGACTGTAAGAAAAAGCTAAGAAGTGCATACAAGTGTTTATACTTGAAGGTTCAACAGTAAGATTTCAGCACTTGTAAAGAATGACTGCACTTTGTGTTTTACTGAGTGTGGTCTTTAAACTCAATGTTTATTCCCCCACCCGTCCCTCCCTTCTAGATGACTATGGCTGTGCCTCACGTGAGGGCTGGATCCTAGCTGATACCTTCATCCACACTGGCCACGGTCACTCCGACGATGCCTACCTCATCCTCGACCTCCAGGTCGATGGATTCCGTCAGGAGGCCAGCTACTTCAATGGCAGGGCTGAAGAGCTGGGTACCATCTCCTTTGCATTCAGTATGGAGTGTCAATCAGAGGATTGTACCCTGTTCTTCTTGGAGGAACTCAATGAAGCCAATGTGATTGAGTATTGGACAGGTCCCAAGGATAAACAGGACTACAGGTGAGGTGTCCCTGCCCCACTCCCCCACCCCCTCCCCACACCCCTCCCCACACCTCCTGATTGTTAAATGTCTAAATATATATTTACGTTGCCTGTATTTCAGTGTAAAATGACAGTTGCATGTGATTTCAATAATGTCAGAGAACATTCTTTCCACATAATCGAACAGATTCTTATACATTTTGCCAGTTCTTGAGTAGGCCTATACCAATATATAATGTATTTATTGCATTTGGGGTCTTGAAAGTATGCAATGCTCCAATGTGGCTGGTTCATTGAAACAAAAAGGCTCTTGAATGCTGCTTTAGTAATGCACTAGGTTTTTATTCTAATATCATACATGTCAAAAAGACTTGCTTGAACTCATATATTCAGTTTGTACATGTTTTGCGTTGATAGCAGTGATTGCTTTTTACTCAAATATAAAAATCAAAACGTTCAGAAACTGAAACCCTCAAAAAGATTTCATGTTCTTCTTCCAGGCACAGGAAAATGTGAAAAGTTTTATAACTAAACTTTGATTTATTTCCTGCATTTATTATTGATGTCATCCTATTCAAAAATTGATTATGATTTCTGTATTTGATAAACACAGATATGCTGTGACCATTGCTGGAAGGAGAAGCTTTACTTGGGCTTTCCAGAAGACTGATGTCAATAAGTTGGACTATGATAACAACCATAAGTACCCCAATGATATGTAAGTACCAGTGATTTATGTTTACGAATGTATTCTGTGATGAGTGATGTCACTTTTAGGCATCTATCTATCCATGCTTTTGACGCTTCATGCTATGGTTGTACAACACATGCTTTGGCAACTGTCCCATGTTCAGTCTCCTACACAAACCTGATTCCTAACTTTATCCTTGAGCCAAACACTATACCCAAACTGCAACTGTAACACTAACCCTAACCGCTCACCCTATATCTTTGATGAAATGGAGGCCAGAGAAATTGTCACTGGAGCATAATTATAGCCTTTTCTTACCATTGTTGAAAGCTCTAAATCTATAATTGTTTGCACTATTATCTAGAATCATCCATGTAATATTTAAAATCATATCACACATAGATAGGAAAAAAGGATTTGTTTGTAGACTTTGCTTTAAAATTTGAGTAATAATGTCATCACTCTATCTTGTCAATGCTTTTCTCTATTTAGTGTGAAAATCTATGACATAACACTCACCAACACAGTGAACGGAGGAGCAGCAACATGTAAAGAATGCCCATTGGGTAGTGACCATACTGGGTAAGTTATCAAACAACTGCATGTCTCTCTTTTAGTGCATGGATATTGAAAATGCTAATATTGATTATTTCATAAAACCCGTCCTCCCACTACGCGTAATGAAAAGAAGAGTTATTAGAAAGTAATTGATAAAGAAGGTGAAGTAAAGAAAGATAGAATACTGCATGATACTGCATGGCAACAAATCAGTAAATCAGTTAATATTCCATGAGAGGATGTTTTGCAGGGTGTACTGCCCATCCACAAACAGGTAGAGAGAAAAGGGACATTGCATGCATAGAGACACCAGAAATGTATTAAGTGCTATATAAAAGCAGAATATTATTATTACGTACTTGAAGACAGAATCATTTTTTACCTAAAGTATGCAAAAAAATACTGAGAAAAATGAGATGTTGCACATTCCAAATACCTACAATGTAAATTATTGATATATATTATTTGCATGTGTCATATACTTTGCTTTTAACTGTTGTAGAGTTTAATGTATGCACACCTCTATGTAAAGGTAGATTTACCTGCTTTAATTGGTGTACACTTGAATGCATGACAAATTTCCAGTATATGTTTTTAAATTTCATTTAAAAATTGAAGGTAGTGACATTAACTTGCTCAGTGGTCCATGCCACTTGAACCTATGTTGATCAAGAGTGAACACAGCTTGTTTTACTGAACTCACAGAATTGATTCATTAACAGAAAGACAATTAAATCATAGAATTAATTGTAATCAATTGAAGGCAATAAGTGAGTAAGATCTGTTTAGGGCTATCAGTATCAAACATATCATTTCATCTCTTTTATCTGTAGAATACAAATTAATGTCACTACCTACTTTCACCTTGCAAGTGCTAATACAACACTAAATTAATGTCATTTATGTTTTTATTTATTACACCATTAATTGTACCATGTTTTAGACAAAAGAATATCATGTCCTCTGACCTTTTTTCCTTAAAATTGACTATCATTTAAAAGATGCATTATTATGAGTTGGTATTTAGATGCATGTTCCATCCCCACTCTCCATCTAACGCTTGACTGATTGATTGATTGATTGATGTTTGCCTCTAACACAAATGCCTTGCTCTGCTCAGTTGTATTCCATGCGGGCCAGGACAATTTATTGATGAAAATTCAAAGCACTGCAAAAACTGCCCAGAAGGTAAGATATGAAGGAGCTGAAAGTTTTAAAGGTTTGAAAATTGTTTAGCCATCTTATTTATTCTCCAATCAAATATACATACTCTGTAATCTATGTGGTGTTTTGTGTTATTGTGTCAATGTATTATTGCCTTTCAACCAACGCTCAAAATACACGGGGGCGGTGGGCGATTCGCCCCCGTGAGCTCCACAATCGCCCCCGTCAGATGGTTCACGGGGGCGATTGCAAAATTAAAAATCGCCCCCGTGGAATTATAAAATAAAGATTATCTTTTCTGATATAACTTTAACACAATATTGAGTATCAATTTTCAAACCTTAAACCAATAAAATGGAACTAATTAGATGGCGCTTTCTCTCCCATCTCTATGAGTATTACCGATACAAACAACAGAGCTCGCAGTGCAGCTGTAGTGCGGCCGTCAGCAGTGGCTATACTGCGCCGGTAGTGCCGGTGTGCACGCTGCTGACGCCCAATATCTGCTGGAGCTGGAGACGATCGCGCAAGGACTGAAACATGGAGAAGTTTTTCGTTGTGAAAAGTGTGAATCCTCTGAAATCTGGTTATTCTAAAAGATTAGCAAATAATGTAACTCGACCAGTAAATCAATATTGAGAAGAAGATCACCAAAGATGTTGCAGGGGCGGATCTAGGCGGTTTAGGGGGTTTATATAACCACCCCCCTCCCCCCGTGGGCTGCCAAGTGAAAATGTGATGTGCATAGAAAAATGCTATCATGTGTCATTGTGTCCAGACCTACACAGTATTAGTAGATGTCAGTAGATGCCAGGAAAATATCACTAATTAACGGGGGTTCAAAATAGCGCCAAAAAATCACCTCGCCGCTTCGCGGCTCCTCGACGATGCTCCGCATGTTTGTAGATGCCAGGAAAACGGGGGTTCAAAATAGCAACAACAAAAATCGCCTCGCCGCTACGCGGCTCGTGGACGATGCTCCACATCGTATTTGGGTTACCCCCCCCCCCCACCCTTAGCAAAAAGCTAGATCCGCCCCTGTGTTTTGGAAGGATATGGTAAAAACTAAAAGTAAAGAAAGAATGTAAATAAGGTTGCTCCGAATAATGAGGAGGACATTGTGTGCAGAGCGGGAAGAAATGGAGAGAATGTCATCACGGAGATAAAAGTCAATAACACGTATGTAACAAGTAAATTTCTAAGAGGGAAAATGCCGACTTAAATAAATGATAATGATAAAATACCAAGGAATTTAGGAGTTTCATGGGTACCAATTCAATGAAAATTTGTATTAAAAAAGAGCCCCCGTCGGTACTAAAAGAGCCCCCGTGAGAGGGCTCACGGGGGCTCTTTTTTTTTTGGAAGAGCCCCCGTGGACAAAAAATTAATTTGAGCCTTGCTTTCAACGTATATGAGCTGAGATATAGATGACAGCACACACGGTTTGATATCCGCAGCATGATCTTAGATATAATTGTAGGGTCAGTCTTAAAAGATTGGCATAACGATTTCTCATTTTAAAGGTAAAGACCAGTTATGGTCATGCGATTGCATTGTGAAAGAAACGTTGTGGAATCGATCAGAAAAGGTTGATCATCTAGCATCTAGCATCTGCAAGGTTCTGGAATCATCAAAATGATAAGAAATTTGGCCCATTCTCCGTAAAGTTACAAGCACTATACACAGAAAGATGTATATGGGACTACCCTATATCTCTCACAGACCATGAGAGAAACAAATTTACCAAATATATGAATTAGTAGGCCGTTTCCCGGCAAATTTGTTATCATCATGTATTAGTCAAAACATATTCTTTCACATGATTGGTAATGAGAGTTTCCATTTCATTTTTTGAAATTGGGGCGTTTCCAATACTGGTCTTTACCTTTAAGCAAGGTTCCTTGTGGGGATAAAATCATTGATTTATGAGAGGAAAAGCTAGTGGATGTTGAGCACAAAGTAGCTAATGCCACAGGGACAAAATGTTGACTACTAGTTTGCCAGGTATTTTTCTAATTTCATGGTGATGATATGATTCAGGAGTTTAATGCACATTATTTGTTTAATTTAAACAGATGACAATTCAATAAAGCAATTGGATATCAAAGATGTATTGTGAAAAGAAAAAAGAAGAGAAAGCCTGTATATATATATATATATATATATATATATATATATATATATACAATTGTTGTCTGGATTAATGCAGCTTTTCCTGCAAATTTGAGCATGGAAGTTTTATTGAAAAATATTGATGAATGCATTGTTATCAAGTATTGGGACTTCAGTTGTGGTTTTTGTTATTTATTTATTTATAGTGGATGTATTGTATGGTGTTGGTTGTGGTCTATTAATTGTTATATAATTATTCATTTTTTTCTCCTATCCTCTTGAATACTCTAAAATATTTAAACAAGGTTTCACAATAGTGCAGACAAAAAATTGCTCTTTCCGATTATGCTTCTTTGAAGGGGTTCTTTGTTTATTTGTACGTCCACCAGACTGTTCTGTTTCTTTGTTCACTTGATGCTATAGTTCAATTTTCATACGTGAAGGAAGTCGTTTTATGTTTTTAACTGGTAAAAAAGGTTGCTTTGTATGGTCTCTGCTAACATGTAGGTAACATACGAGTAACCATCCTGAACATCAGACGATATTATGAAGAAGTATACAAATTTGCAATTCACCGTGGATTTTAATCTTGAATTTGTTTGCATGCTATTTATAGACATTTAATAATAATAATAATAGCCTAATAGTCAACTCCAAATTTAAGATATAAGTGTGGCATATATAACTTCCTTTGACCTGGGACCCATTGCACAAAGCCTTTTTCCAATGACAAATGACAGTTTTTGTTATAAGCTACAGAAATCCTTGCTTCTGATTGGTTATCAACAGATTTGTCACTGATTTTGTCATTTGTCATTGAAAAAAGTCTTTGTGAAACGCTCCCTGGTTTTTTCTTAGGACATGTTTCACACCAGTGGATCAATAATTTTTATTGGTAATTTGATAGCTTCACATTTTGGCACTGGCATTAGTGTGCACACTGCAGGAAGAATAGTGTGATGTTAGTTAGCTGTAAAAGAAGATGAATTGTGTTATTTTGATACTAATAATTGACAATGCAGAGTCTTGTAGTGTGTTTAAGTTCCTGTTATTTTTCCCCTCCAATACAGATATGTATGTACGAGCAAGCGATCCCGTAGGGGAGGCTGCCTGTCTGGAATGCCCATCAGGTCTGAAGAGTAACAAGGGTGAGAGCTGCTACAGCAACTGTCATGTTAGACTGAATGAGAAACACTATGACCTGGTCTTACTGCAAGGGTAAGTGTGTGAAGGATTAGATCATCATTCTAAGGCCTAAAAAAAGGATGTTGTATTGCCCTTTAGGTGCCAAAACATGGGTCGGTCGGTCAGAAATTTTTTTCTTTTCTTTCTTTTTACTCCCTCTTTGGGCTGATATTTCTCACTTTTGAATGCTTAAATACATTTTTTTTCCTAAAAGACTTTTTTTTTAAAAACAACTTTTTTAAAAAGCCGACCGTAGATTTTAAGATTCTTAGGTCGGTCGCAAAGGGCAATACAACATCTTTTTTTTAGGCCTAATGAAAGATGCATTGTATTTTAGATTTAATCAAATGAATTTCAATGTGATTTTTCATGTAAATGAAAGCTTCTTTTCATTATTGCTCCTGCTGATCAAAAGCATTAGAGATGTAGACTTTATGAACGATGGGCTAGTGGACTCTCTTTTGTGCCAGTTCAATGACAGATTATTTTTTTAATGTTATAAGTTATTCATAAAGTAGAAATTTTCTCTTATGCTGGCAAGAACTCTTGTATGATGTTTTTACAGAATGTTTGTACTTTTTAAATTTTTCCTGAGATATCTGTGCTTTCTGTTCCCATTTTGTCCTTGTCATTGTTTGTTTGTCTTCATGATTTTTGTTGTTGTTGTTTTGATTTGTTGTTCATTTTTATGATTATTGTTTATGATTTTCTTATTTTTTCTACCAGGCAACAGTCAGTGATGTCTGGAGCAAGCTTCTTGACTGAGGGCAATGCTTTCTACTATCATTTCAACTTTAGCCTGTGTGGGAAAGCAGAAAGTAATCTAGCTTCATGCATAGACAATTCCACAGCTATTGGCCAGGTATTAAAGCACTTTTACTCTCTAAATATTCCAATGGTGATTTTTTTTGTGTGTGAGGTCATTAGGTAGGAAATAAAGTGTTTATGCTTGAAATGGAGGTCTACCTTGTTTAGACATCAAATCAAAGTCATTCAACTGAGCTGTTTACTTTATGTACATTGTCATTCAGGGCAGTGTGTCTTTAGTTTCTGTTGAAATCCATAGGAATTTTTTCGTCAAATTTGAACCCATTGCCCAGTGCCCGGTGCATTGCACTTGTCATTTGTAAGACGCACCTCTTGACCCCCGGGAATGGTGCGTCATTGTACCGATGGGAGTCGTACATTTTGATACCATGACGCACCTTCCGTCACAGAAAGTGACACACCATTACATTCCATCGACGCACATTTGAGTCAAACATATGACACACCATTTCATGAAAATGACTAGCCAATGACGCACATTTGAGAAACACTTCTGCTTGGAGAAAGTGACGGTCCCATTGACACACCAAATGACGCAACGTGGTAAAGTGACTTACTATGATGCACATATGGGTCAGTATTGTGACGGACATTTTGCGGCCATGACGGTACTGTGCGTCGCGATTTTGGGGAACATGACGCAACCATGACGCACCATCCCCGGGGGTCAAAAGGTGCGTCTTACAAATGACACCTGCATATAGATGAAGTCATCTCAAAAGGTTTATCCACTCGATTTTGCTTTTACAATAGGGACCACCCCACATTGTTCCAATTTTTATGCAGTCAGTGTAACATGTAATTTCTTTCTACCCTACATAGGTTGAAGATGAAGAGGGCGCTATGGTGAATTCCTGGGTGTGTCGATCCCTCATGCTGCCCGGTAGTGACGATGAAAAATACATGACTGCTATCAAACCTATCAGGTAAACTAATTAAGCAATACATGACTGCTTTCAAACCTATCAGGTAAGCTTATTAAGCAATACATGATTTTGTTTTCTTAGCATTGCTAATCACAGATTGACAGTTACACGTGTGTCAGCCAGTCATATTTTACATACAAAATGAATTTGATATTGCCCAAGTTTAAAATAGTTTGTCTGTATACTTGCTCTTGCCAAATGAACTCACTGGAATCTGATTTGTGTGTAAATTTTCTGTAAAATATGCTGAGAGTTTGATGCTGTTTGATAGATATTATAAAAAAATAATTCACAGTATAAATTATAGCTCTTTCATATCAAAAGATGAAGAACACACTGTTAAAAATGCCTATAAAGAAAAGAAAAACCTTGAAAACAATATTTTAAAACAGCATAATGCATTCTACCTCCCTTCTTACAATTATTAAAGTTAAGGATACGTTTGTGCATGTGTTTCAGCTATACTAAACAGTACCAGTATTTTAAACCTTTTTTTCTCTTTTTCCTTTGTGACTTTGAAGCCTTGGAGATACCCTACTTGGAATCAATGATGGAGATAGCTACGGTATGATCACAGATACTATCATCCCTCAGCCTGAGGAAGGACTCAAGGATCTCAAGTTCTACTACCATTCACCACAGTAAGTTAGCAGACCATGGGGGTGTTTCACAAAGATCCTAAGTTGAACTTTTCTCAAAGTTGGGCTTAACAATTATGGAAAACCATTTATAGCCTTAAAATAAATATATTCAAAAGCAAAAATTTAAGTATTTTAGATTTTCATAAACTCCCCATCAAGAACATGAAATCTCCCATGATAATAGAAATATGAATGATTTAAATCAACATTTTATGCTTTTAAAATAACTTTTACAAAATATTTTCAAATGCTAATGGCTTTCCATAATTGTTAAGTCCAACTTAAAGATAAGTTCAACTTAGAATCTTTGTGTTACACCCCCCCCCCCCATTCCATTAAGTGACATTCATACATGTATGTCCAGATTATTAAAAAATGATACCCCCCAAAATGTCACGATATAGATGGTATATGTGCAAATTTGTCTAATTTGTCTTCATTTGTCTCCTCATGAAGTGGAATTCATATAAGAAAAGTTGCGTATAGTAAATTCAAACTGTAGAATTAATGAAGCTTTGTACAATAACTAATTTGGACAAAATTCTGTGGAGTTAAACCTTTGTATGACCTGTGTCAAAGATGGAATTGTATGGTAGTGCTGTAATATTGATCCAAAAGATTGTCTGGAATCCATTGGAATTAGCATGCAATGTTCTAAAACTTGATCGTAATATTGAGTTACACTTATTAACTCATAACAGAGACGCTTTGTGCGGAACTAACTGTAACTCAGATTTTATGGATCGATATTGTTCTCCAGGTTTATTTACTTGAGTATGTAAGAATTAAATTAATGATCAATGCTTTTTGGGGCATGCTATGAACATTTTTAGTTATTTAATCCTTTGACTTTGATGAAATTGGATGTAATTGAGATTACTCTCTATTTCCAAACAGGACAACCAAAGCTTGCCCGAATGGACGTTCCACCATCGTAACACTGCGATGTGATCCCAATGAGAAGGAAGTAGACAAAATAGAATTGCCCATTGCATGCCCTACCGGTAAGATCCTTTATTTCACATTCTTGTTCTCATTTTCCCTTTTTTTTGTGTGTGTGTCAATTATCATCCTTTCAAAAGCAAAAGTGCTGTGAATATTACATACTCCAAGGGAGGGGAGAAACAGTATTATTTTGTTTTATTTGTCATGATTTCAAACTCACCAGCAGCACCTAAATACTGTACCAAAATGTATGTACATTGAATTTTTTTATGAGAGGAGTGCTCTCACTTTATAACTCATTTGGTGCCATTTAGTTCACGTTTATGAAAAAATGCAATAAAAATTATGTACACTTACACAGCTCGCTTCAAAGAAAATCTGTGCTGAATTCTTTAATTTATTGAAACATCAGTCAACCACAAGCTTGCACATGAATTATGTGAACCTATCTGAATATAAATGGCATTTTCTGTGATTATAAGATGCACTGTTTAATTGCAGTTTGGATATACACATACAAATTACATCCTTACCATCTCTTATGATGTAATGCATGATTTTCCAGTAAGTGGTTACTGATATTTGGGAGCTCCGGGATGTAATACGCATGTTTCTGTTATTGTGAGCTTTTTGTTTACTATTCAATCCCTTAAATTTGTGATATGATGTTTACATGCTGGGGAGTTCAGGATCTTAGTTAAACCTCCATGTCAATTAAAATGGAAAAAGTTTTGTGTATTTATTTCACAATTTCTTCTGATAATACAATACATCATTCTTTTTGAAAGTATGAACTCTATATGAAACTGTGATTTTGTTTTGGGTTATGGAATGTCTTGTACAGCTGTAGAGAGTAACCATATGGCAGAGACTACAGTGGCTCAAGCAGGTAAAGTCTATGTTGCATCCCCATGCATGGTGTTTGATGTTAGCAAAGTTTAAAATGGTTCAGTGGTTACTAACCGTTACAGTTGTGCATGGTGAGGCATTCACTATGTTTAGAGTATTATTGTAGAGTTTAGGTCAAACTCCTTGATGCTGCATGCTGCAAATGGGCCTTCACAGATAGAAAACAGAACATTAGAACTCATTATTCATGGTTTGATAAAGCCCCAATTATAAAATTATAGAATGTCAAACTCTTTGTGATGGGTCTATTCATTTTGTGAAATACATAAAATAGAATTACTTGTAACCGTTAATTTGCCTTAGATTGTTGTTGGAAATCTTTGATTACAACTCAAAATTCAATACTAACAAATTTACATTTCTTGAATTATGATATAACACGATACCCCAACTACATGTACCCACCCCCCCCCCCCAAAAAAAAAAAAAAAAATAGGATCACTTAAAGACATGAAAAAAAGTTCACAAGACCTATTACTGTGTTTTGTTTGAAAATAATTCATAAAAAAGAACAGAAGAAAGGTTTTATGCAGAAATCTTCTCTCTAGATAGCATCTCTGTATTCTTGCAGTTCATAAAAGCAAGGTTTACCTAATTAACGAGGGGATGATATAATGGGACGCTTTTGTGCTGTGTTTTGGTGCTGTGCTTTTGTTGCTGACTCTAAGATGAGCATTTCTCTAGTGCCTGCTTTCTTATAATTGGGGTTAAATGTCATAAATTTGGTATGCCTATTTGCTGCATCATGGGCATACATTGGTATCGTTTAGAATAGGAGAAAAATGAAAAATGTTTAAGAAAAGGGGGAATTCCATTCGACCAATAACAATCGTTATAATTGTTGTGATATTCATCTTTCCTTATTCTCGCCTTGATAGAATGGTTTTCTTGATCAGCAAAAAATGCTCTCTGTCCTAAGTTTATGCATTAGCATTCAGTGTTTTGGGCAGAGGGGCTATATTGCTTTGAATAACCACACATTCTTTTTTAATCATCCCTATATACATATATTGAGGGTTCAGTAACACAAAGACGTAACTCCATATTTTGCCAAAATGAATATTTGATATCAAAATGTTCAGAAAAATGTTGGCCAGGAAACACAAAGACTAAACTCCACATAACACCCCATTGAAGTCACTGTCAATGGCTAATGAAACATAGACTTAACTCCTTAAAGGCCAAGTACTCAGTGACACATCTCAAAATGGCCAAAATGGAGTTACGTCTTTGTGTCACTGACCCTCAATATATATATCTAAAGGCTTCTTGCACTTTCAGAGAATTATGGTGGTAAAAAGGGAGATATTTCTCCTCTATATCATATTGGGGTAGAGGAATTGCATATTTATCCTCTTGTACTAAGTTGCTAACAGGTTAAGGTTATATTGTCGTAATTATCATGGACCCCTGCTATTTTGAGTATCTAAGTTATACAAGTGTTTGTTATGTATTCTATCTAGAATTTTCTTTCTTCTACTTTAAAAGGGACAAGTGCTACATTTTTATAGGGGGGAAAACCCTCTTTATTCATTCATCTTTTTTTATTGGGCAGGCCAATAGATTAGACTGTAAAGGTGATGCCTGGGGGTAGAGGGTATAACACTAACTCAAATAGGAGGAGGCGCGATAGCTCAGTTGGTAGAGCCGTGGTCTCGTGACCCGGGATCGAGACAAAGGCGATGCGCTATCCCCTTTGGTAAGGCATTAATCCTCATTACCAGGTCCCTCGGAGTGGACCTAAAGCCATCGGTCCTCTGATTGCTTACTAACAAACATTTATGCTTTCTTAGCGTTCAGGTAAAATAACCAATACTAATAACTCAATTATAAATGGTTGCTTCATATTCTTTGTAATAAAAACAGCACAAGGTATTCAGCGAATGTTCAGTGATTGCTTGTGCTGATGGATATTCATGTATATGATAGAGTTTGCCTTTTGTAATCCCTTGTTATATATACCATGATGTGTGTTTCACCAGCACATATTGTCTCCCTATGCAAAACACAACATGAACCATGATTTAATAGAATGATATTATTTTGAGCTACAAGAAGCCATCTGCATGGTAACGATATTGTGGATCTCTTGTAGTTATGCTTCAGATTTATATTACAGTGTTCACTCCACACTTCATAATCTCTAATATGACATTGACTGTAGCAGTTTGGTGGATTTACTATCCACAGGGCCATCTAGCGACACCAGTGTCTAGTCAATTTCATGAGAAAAATTTGACATCATATCAGCTATGGCTTCATTATATCCTTAGGAGATTTAGTCAAATTTTTGGTGAGGAAGTTTGAATAGCTTAGCCAAGGTGAAATTTTGCTCTGATTGTTGACCGTGCTCACGACACAAACTGACCATTAGTCACTTTCACTTTCGGTCGGGGGTAATTTTTCAAACCATTATTATCAGTAAAGGAGGTTTGATTGGCCTATTCTATGTAAAAATGTGCCCTGATGCTAGAAAAAGTGGTCAAATTTATTGACCCCATCAACTACAATACAGTCAATTCAGTTACTTTTTTGCCCTAAATGACCATTTGTATTGAATTTTGTCCAAAATCAGGCCAAATTTTCAGTCATAATCAATCGATATCTAAATTCAAAACAAAAATATGCGTTATATCAGAAGTATCAATCTAATTGACAGTTTGGACCGCTTTGGACATTCCGATCTGTGGCTAGCATTTTGCTGTGCTACACTGGTTAGAGATGTTGACGCAGGAGCTGAAAAATTGGCCTGTCGTGGCTTGCCAATGGGGGCGCTATTAATTATAAATCCACCTTATTTGATTATTGGCTTGTACCTGCGCATATGTATATTCATATCATGTGCTGAATAAAGATTATTATTTGATTACTGTGTTAATTAAAGGTACTAGATGAAAGCTGTCTTTTTTAGTTGGAACCATATAAGTTACTAGACTTTTGTTTTAACAAAAACCTTTTTCTTGTTTTCTTTTTTAAATTCTTCGTGGAAGATTATATTTACAAGAACACACTACTTGTGACCAATTTATTAATAAATTGAAGCAAGTTATGAAGTCTGCATAGAATCATATGCCAGAGATATAAGCATGTATGCATTGTTACCTACCATATTGCTGATGTTATATGTCACAAATGGACTGAGTTTTAACTGAATCACTTATTGTAGTGCATGCAAATCCAATACCAAATAAACAATGTAATGGCAGAGGTATTCATTCCGTGGTAAGAACTCTCTCCCACTTTTTTTGTCCCCTTACCAGGTACATGTGATGGATGTACCTTCCACATGCTGTGGACCAGTCAGTATGCTTGCCCAGTCTGTACCAACGATGACATCGTAGCCATCAAACAGGAGTGTAAACACGGACAACAGGTCACCAAACACGTATGGAACGATACTGCGTAAGTATGACAAAATCTACCCTGAATCCTTAAAAGCTTTGACAGCTGTTCATGGGGACAAATAAGAACAAATAAATATGATTGTATGGCGCTCTTGTCTGTCACGCCTGGCGCTCCATTGTTACTACCCTGGTTTCGGCATGGTTGCAATTGCTGCGCTCCAGCATTTCAAGGAATTAATTCCTGTCAGGTCACCAGGGTCAATTGTTGCAAATGTAGATTAATGTCTTGCCAAGGGCATGAATTATGATGACTTATCCCCTAGACAAAAAAGAAACGAAAGCCTCTACATAAGATAGAATTGGACGAAAAATCCTTTCATAGGCTGTCAGTTCTGTTTTATATCTTATTTGGATAAATCACATAAAATTAGTTGGTGAAAATGCAGTGCCCTAGTGAATAATTATAATTATTCACATTTAATAAAATTTTCTATGGTTCTGTCGTTAAGCCTTTGATTATAGGAAATTTGAATAGTTCAGTGATATTCTTTTACGTGATCAGTGTCCACAAAAGATGAAGAACTATGACTGCCGGTATAATACATGGTAAAACAGTCAGTGCAGACGTGTCGACCCCCCACCTCAAATCTTCTATCCTTTCTAATATTGTCTTCTTGTCATCATTCTACATGCACCACTGATAAAAATTATGCATTATTCATATAAAGTGTAAATAATTCTGAGGTTGTTTAATTTATGTTCTTGCAGGAAATGTGTTGGTGGTATTACCTTACCTAGTGACAAGACAACAAAATGTGTAGTACCACCCTGGTACAGTCAAGTTCCTATGTATGCACAGATTGCCATAGCAGCCTTCGTAGGATGTGCCATACTGCTCTGCGCTATGATCGTTTGTGTCTGGAAGAAAAATAGAAAGTGAGTATTCATACATCTCTATATCCGTTGTATAATAATAATAATTGTTGATATTTTTATAGTACTCATATCCACCACACTAGATGCTCCAATATTGTCCTGTCTCTTTAATACTAGGCTACCTATTTTAGTGCTCACAGTATTCAAAGAATTCCTTCCTATCTGTACCTATTGAACACATGGATGGAAAGTGGCAAATGTTGATTAACGTCATGCCAAAACACTCTAATGCAATGACCTATGTATCTCTAGTCAAATAATTTAATAACTTACTCGCATGTGAGACGAAAGAGAAAGATATATATCTCGCCCCAAAGATCCAAGTTTCTCCTACAAGTTTCTCCTAAGTCATAGCATAGCTTTATTATATCCCAACATTCACAATTTGGTTGATGTAAGAAGTTATCCAGTTGTAATGCGAGCCAATACCTCTTCCATCGCCCCCTCCTCACCCAACCCTTTGCCCTGTCTAGAATACAAGTATTAATTCCTTTTGCGAAATGCTCTAAAGGCCATTCAAAAATCTTTTAGATTGGCTGATACCATTAAAATGAATGTACCCCTTTTGATGTTTTCTCTTCCAGACTTGAATACAAATACCAGAAGCTGGCGAGTTCTACATCGGGCGAGCTCCCAGCTGCTGACTCCTGTGCTATCGATGAAGACGACGACGAGGATGAGGTTCATTTTGAGGATGGCAATAAAAAGTCCAGGTCCTTCCTCAGCAAGTTCAAGTCTCGTGGGAGTTCAGATAAGGTAGGGGCCTTCCTAAAACCTGTCAGGAATCTTGTCTTGCTGAATTGGAAGTGTGTTCATTGTTGAGTGAAACCTTTCTCTGCCAACTACAGTATCTCCCTTTCATTTTCTTCTATTCTTCTGTTTACTGTGGGTTTTTTATAATATTTTGTTATAGTTTTCTCTCATATAGGGCAATATATTTCGAACTAAAATTATGAACATATAAGAATATAAAATTGGGGTTCCATAAATGAATCATGAAGGGAAGAAATAAATATTTAATATTTAAAAAAGTATGACTGCATGGTAGATGTATATGTTTTTGGATTTGTAGCTCTTAGATGTAAGAACGAGTTAGAATAGACGTTGTATATGTGTAATGTATGGTACTCTATACATTCATAAGGTTTTTGATTAATCATTTGCTGTGTATAGTTTATTAAAAATAAAAATAAATCAGCATTTTTATATAGTGTGATGTGACATACATTCTCTTTATCTCTGTTGATGCCAACGTGTCATATCCTCTAAGAGCTAGGCAAAATCTATGTCATGCCAGTTTTCCTTTGCAAAGTTTTGATCTTGGAATAAAAAAAACTCAAACTACTTCTAATAGTGCTTTCCCAGTCCATTTTAGCTGAACTGCTGCAGTGGTCTCATTTTCTACCCACTCCTTATTCCCTCCCTCTCACCTATCTTCACAGGAACATGCATACATGGAGGATTCACTTCTGGCCATGCACTAGGTCGCATACAGTAAATCAGATTCAAATTTTTAAAATGTTCTGCATGTCCATTTTGATGGTTACAAGTTTTGAATTGTCCAATTTCTAACAGCTTTTCTTATTTCTAAATTGCTTTATTATTTCAAAATACAGAGACCAGATTTTCATTACCTCTTCTCTCAACTGTAGGGTGCATTTTGGAATTTTGCCTAATATTTTTGTTCTTTTGAGAAGACACTGTTACAGAATAAACAGTTTTGTATGCTCATGTAGTTTAAACAGAAGTATTTGAAGCAGCATAAAATACTGCAAATTCATTGCTCAATAAGATGCTCCAATATGTATGCACGGTTTCTTCCCTGAAATTTTATTTTCTATTTTTCATAATCTGATTTTTCCATTCACTTTGATTCATTTCATAACCATTTTCTCTTCTTTTTTTCAGTTTATCTCAAAGTTTTGCACGTTTTCATTTGGAAATTTAGGGGGATGCTTTCAAAATCAAAACTCTCTCTCTCTCTCTCTCTCTCTCTCTCTCTCGCTCTTTCTCTCTCTATCTCTTTCCCTCTTTCCCTCCTTTTTCCCTTTGATAACTTGATTATTTTATTCATTGTGCACTATCTGTTCATGCAGTAATGTTATGTAGCATTATTTTCAAATAATTAACCGAGGAGAATGCTTAAAAAAGGGAAAAGGAAGTTCCATATTTTTTCGCTATCAGGACTTACTACGATGCATTCGCAGTTGGTGTTAGCCAAGCCCTAAGTTGTAGAGTTACATGCTGCTTTGTTCATGTCAAACCCAGATATCACTTGAGACAATTGCGATGATCTCTAAATTCTTAGTCAAATCTCACCCATTATCTTCTGAACATAGAATGCATGTATTTAGGAGGGAATTCACCTCAAAATGCCATTAATCAGGGATGCCAGTTTTCAGGCCCTGGCGAGTTATTTTCAGACCATAGTTTAGGCCTTTTTGTGTGCAAAAGAGCTCATTCTAGGTGATTTTCAGGCCCTCTGATCAGTTCTAACGGCATCCCTGCATTAATTCTGTAGACCAAATCATTGATATTCTCCTTCTGTTCTCTTTCTTGTTTCTTACCCCTAACAGCAAGGGTTGCTTGATGGTCCTGACATGGAAGCCTTCCGTATGCAGGATCAACCTTCCATTATGACTCCATTATCGGAAACCACATGATGATGGCGAGGTGACACATTCCTGTCATTTTTTGTCAATTTTTTTGTTAGGATAAGAAGTCATTAGTCAATACAAATACTTTTTGAACTAAAAAAAAACAAAGTTTGTACTAAAATCAGTATTTTGTTGCTCTGTTCCACTAGTGCAGAAATTAGATTTTTTTTTAAACAGGAAAGGGCTGATCAAAGCTTTAGGGGTTTAGACTGATGTCTAAATCATCAACAAAATAATGGACAGTTATACATGTAAGTCTGCAATGCATTCAATTTGACCTGTATTTATTACATCTATAAAATGTGGTAGTATAATTTGCTCAGGTGTAACAAAAGCTGGTTAAATTGCATGAAAGCTTTTTTTTATTAGGGGGGGGGGGAGCATGTAAACCGAATTAAAAATCCTTGAAAATCCTTGAAAACATGCATATTATTTTTAGCCATTAGGGGCAGCTATATGTGATTGGAAAGATACCTTGATGAGTATGCTTCTTTTGAAATGTTACAATAAGTTGTTATAAAGAGATTGCCTGGGTCACACCGAAGTGATAATCAGAGATGTTGGTGGTAAAGAGATGGCAGTTTGACCCCTGTTACTATCAATCCATGTGGCCATTGATTGAATACAGTTGTTTGATGACTACATAGCTGCCAAACATTCCTATTTTGAACCACATATATATAGTCCTCTTGTTTTCTGAAAACATCTGTATGAATGCATGTAAAGTACACCGTATTGCTACTTTTTGCTTCAGAGATTCAAAAAAAATGTTCGTAGTGGATAGTTGACGGGTATGTGACTACAAAAATACATAAATTTGAACAATTTGGAAGAGACAATACTCCTATTCTTATGCCTTAGTCACATCACCAAACTGACTATAGATACCGACTCCAAACCGACTGAATATTGGCCGTTGGAGGCAATGTGATTTCTTGTTTGATCAGGGGGGCGTTTTCACAAAACTTGTCTTTAGTGACAAATGACAGTTTTTGTTATAAGCTACTGAAATCCTTGCTTCTGATTGGTTATCAGCAGATTTGTCACTGATTTTAGTCATTTGTCATTGAAGAAAGGCTTTGTGAAACAGGTCCCTGGTGTTGGTCTCGTTAGTGTGACTGGGGTTTGAGGCAGGATGTAGCGCCCATGGCATAGTAGGGGTTCAAGTTTACTACCGACAGTGTACTTCATCGTGATGTTGATATCCAAGTTTTCATATCAATATCCATTTGATAGGGATTAAAATTGTCCGTGATGCGAATACTATTGGGATATAAAGTGTGTCCAATGTTTTCTCATTGCAGAATCAGATGAAATGAAGATATGAAAGGCCACCATGTTTATTGCTTGATTTTCTTCTAAATTAACATGTTGGACGCGTTTTTCTTTTCATATAACATGTATTTAAAAAAGACCCCAGTCTAAATTAATTTTGGCATAGTATTCACTGGGTAAATGTTGAGTGGTCAAAGTTTCTTAACATTCCATCTCCTTGCAGTGTGAGACATCTATCTTACTGAAGCATGTGTTTTAAAAGAATAAGATCTAGTTTTTCATTTCTCTCATGTTTCCAATTTTGTGGTCGACTCTTCTGTCCCAAAAGTGAATATTGGAGATAGCTTGGAGTTAGAAAATGCTGTCTTATCTCTTGTATTTCAAAAGGGGTCCATAGATTATTGATTGGATCATATCATAGTTGAGACCTTGTCTTTCAAAATATTCATGATACATGTTTTATAAGCCTGGTGGCATAGACAGGTTTTAAATAAACATAAAGATAAAGTCCCCCCCCCCCCCTTTTTTTTCCATCTATTTCAGAAAAATCATTTCGTTCATTCATATTAACAACTCATTTGTGGCTGTTACGTCCATTAGCCAAAAGTTTATTTTTTAAGAAAAAAAATCTGTAAGAGAGCAGATGTGATCAACTCATTGATAGAATTCAGTGTCAGAAATACTTGATGGATACTGAGAAACCCTTATTCCACTGCAGAAGACTGGAAGTAATGTCCATAGGAATTTGTATAGTACATGTATGTTAAATATTTAGTTATTTCTAACATAACCTTTTAGGCTAAGTTGTATAATGATCATTAGTTACATTATTTTAACTTGAAGAAAAATAAAGAAAAATATTAACTCTGTTCAGTTTTTCATGATTTTTGCCTGATTTAATGTCAAATTGTTATCTTAAGTTTAGTATTGGTGACTTTTCAGCATAAGAAACTTTGTTTTCCAATGTTATGCAACATTCCACTGTGTGCCTTGATGGTATATGTTCAGTGTTGTCATGCATGTAGGGTGGTGGGATAGAAAGAAGACAATATTCCTTGATATTCTAGGGGTACGTTTTTAAGCATGATTTGTACCTCTTTTGCTTTGTTTGTTTTTTTGTTGTTTTTGTACTTTGGATGTACAAATTCAAACTGATTGAATCAAATCATCTGTTGTGCACCAGTAGAATCACTGAGTGCTTGTATGAATGTAAACTACACCTAATGATCTATTTGATTTACTTGAAACCAATCCAATCAGTTGTTGGCAATGGTTTCATATTAATTATAGATTTCACAGGTAAATGAAGTATTCAAAGTATATCTGTCTATCTATATTGTCTTTATGTCAAGTCTTATTATTTTTGTGAAGTGAAGAAAAGGCAATTTGATTCAGAATTGTGCATAATTCATTTTACTTGTAAAGGACATCTACTTTCATGATTGTTTTCAGTATTAAATATTACAAAATCATAACCATGGTGTAGGGTAATTCATGGCTTTATATGTAGATGTGTAGGCCAAAAATTCAGGAATGGATTGAAAGCCATTTTCATAATTACTAGCAAGTTTAGTGAAGATTTGTTTTTTGTTTTTTGGGGATATGGGAATGAGTTAAATTACTGGTACTTTCCTTTTACATTTTGTACTTCTTAATTTGTGTACTCCTGTTTAAGTACTAACGTCTATGTTTGATGCCATTCAATAATGGAGGATTTTGCAAAAGTACTAACAAAAATCATTTCATTTAGTCAATGTGTGCATGTTCCTATCTGCATTGTACTTTATAGACACTGCCAAGGTGCCACTGTATTGTATATCATACAGTACACATGTACAGTTAGTGGGTCACAAGATTTGTAGAAGTTGTATAAAATTCATGATGAGAAGGTATTTTGCCGGTGGGGCGTAGTAGTTAGCATGGTATGCAGGGTTGTTATTTATTAATTGTGTTGAAAAGTTATCAAAGTGATATGGGCCTTGAGATTAATTTTATATCGATCAATGAATGTACAGTATGAGTAATAACATGTGCATGTAAAGGCCATACAGGATAACAACTATGAGGGTATTCCGGAAGCTAATTTTAATAGCCATTTATTGGAGAAAAATCAGTAATTTAAAAATTTTATTCAGTGAATTAATGCTTGCCATTCTAAAAGCTTCTAGTGATTTGATCTCAATATAGCTAAATGTAGCATCTATTTGATATTTTCAAGTTGACTCATACTAATGCTACAAGGATCCTACATACAGCTAATTTTGAGTATTTTTAGAATTAGTTGTACGATTTAGGACTAAAATTGTTTATAATCCAATTAAGTAAATTAACGGCGAAGATATACAAGATTATTTTGTAGAATTTTTTGTCAGTAATTAGTGTAAGCCATTCACAGTTAAGTCCATAATTGAAAAGGGCTTCCAGGATACCCTTGCCTCGTTGATATGCTTGCTAATGTTAATTCAGAATGTACTTCAAGTTACATGATTGCTTAATTAATTTCAGAAAGCTGTACATTTTGATGAAAGTGTCTTGGTTGAGAATTTATTTTCTCTCACTCACTCTCCATATTGAAGCTGATTATGTCACATACATTGTCTGAAAATGTGCAATCTAACAAATACATGTATTATTGAAGAGTATTTAATAAATGTTTATATATTGTTTGGGTATCAGTTTATTGTATTATGAATTGATAAGTTTACTAATAGGGAGGTCCGGTTATGTATATCTTATATGTGTGTATAAAAGCCTTAATGTAATTCTCTCTTTTGAAAATATGTTCACCGCAATTGTTGAATGTAGTAACACTGAATGTTTCTCGTAGTCTTATAAGCAGGGTTTTCTTCTCAAAATTGTATGTATTCTCTGTAGTATTTGGTTTCACTCGACATCGTGAATGAGAGTGAAAATGAGGAAGATAAGTGGACTCTTACTTTCCACATCAAAATTGACTTCCATTGCTTGAAAAAGAAAACAAATATCAATTTAAAGTCGATGTTGAATTTGCAACACTTCTGTGCATAGTCTATCCTTGTCTTCATTTTATCATTGGAAAACTGAGGATTTATTCACCTTCAGCACAAGATATGATTCTCAAATTTATGTCTTCTAAGTTTATTGGAAAAATGAAATCGTCTAAATGAATACATTTTGAATATGCTGAACATCTTATGCATCACTGGCACAAATATTGAAGCTATTGTTCATCTACACACATACATGTATAGGTATTTGTGCATCTTTGGCTGTCATTATGACAAGTCAACATTGTTGTTTCATGTTCACAGTTTGATGAATGATATTTGTAAACTTGTGAGAAGCACGTAAGATTATCAAATTGTTGCACATCTCAGCAAATCTACATTTGTATTCTATTTTTCCTTAACTTGGTATTATATTTATGAGGATTTGGTACAACATCAAGCATCATTTATTTCTCGGCAATGTACAAGATGTGCTATCATGTTTGTCTTTGTCATGACTTCTTGCAGTTCATGTGTACTTCAAAGAGTACTCTTGTTAAGAGTATATTCATATGGTTGTGAAGGACATATTTGGGGATAAACGTTTCTCAGTTTCATTTAAATTATCTATTAAAATTCAAAAAAGAGACATCGCAAATCCATCCTACTCTCGTTGCCTACTTTATGCCTGTGTGAATATGCGTGATAATTGAAAATAATGTAAGAATGAATTTGCAACGAAAGAAAAAGAAGGAGTTTGTGGCAATCATGAAAAAAAGTCGACAATTTATATATACATGTATTTAAAATACTTTATTACCTAAATGAAAGAAACATACAGATCTAAATTCATTAAACTACCTGAATTTGACATCGCTTGCTATGCATTTAGCACAGGTATAGTGAACCATGTCACTTGTACAAAGTGATATATAAGATTGGGTAATCGAACCGATCGATGTACAGCAGTTTGTTTAACTCCTACATAATATTTCTTAAAATTGAAGTATCATAAGAGGTTTTTTCTTTTACCGGTACATCTCTTAGATGAGCATACATATTAGACATGACATTGAAGAATATGGGCACATTTAAGAGTTCAGTTTAATCGAAAGTGTGCCGTCAACTTAAACCTCCAAACAAAGGAATAGCCAATATCTGGCATGTAAAGTGTTTCTTTGTCCAATGTATATTTGTTTTCAAAAGAAAGCTTTTAAAGTGTAGTTTCTTTAAAAGCACATGTCAAATATGCAGAGAAAACAGGGGAAGATTTGAAATTCATCTACTAATATTACTGCTGTGGAAAAAAGAAAACAAATATGGCAAGGCCCAAAAAATTGCAAAAAGCAAGAAGACCTTTTAGAAGGTTGGATGAAATGTATTGCACAGAGGAAGGGAGTTGCCAGAAAGCGCAATAATGGGTACCAGTAATGAAGCAACCACACTGACAGTAAAAACACTTTTGACTTGCCGGTGTTCAATATACACTGTAGTATAGAAGCATGATGAAAAGGAAGGTATTGAAAAGTTGCTATGGAAACGAGCAATTAAGACTCCTGGGTCGATCTTGCTTCAAAATGGCAAGTCTTTTCATGGTAAGTGGGCTAAGTGTTTCCATGATCATACATGTCAGAATAATATTTCTTTCTTCAGCAAGCCAAACAAATTGGAAAACAATGGAAGAAATATTGAAGGTTGGGTGATTGAAGTATTGCACAGAGAAGAAGTTGCCAGAATGAACAATAATGGGTACCAGTAATTGCATTTTCAAGTACAGTGAAACCTCTGTAAAACTAGATGGAATTTTGACTGCGCGCAGTCGAAAATGATGCCTCCGCCATAGAGCAATTTGAACTAGAGAGTTACTTGACCTATTGTGACCTAAGGTCAAGCCGAAAATTGAGAAATTTGTCATTTTGTGTACAAAATGAATGGCAAAGTGAAGTTTCTAGTTTGGTCTATAAATCAGCTTAATTTTACTCTTTAGAGTTTAGTTATCATTTATTCAAGCAAAATATTGATACGTAACAACCTCAAGTATCAGAAGTCCTAAAACAATACAATACATAAGATTAAGAATTAATAACAATAGAATACAAAAGAAGTTCATAAAACAATGAAATACATAAGAATTGAAATAGACATGGACAATTTTTTTATGTGATAATGCCCGATAGGCTTTTTAGAAACTTTTTGCCACAAAATCAACTCTGTAAAAGCTTTATTTATGTAATTGTTAATAAAAATCATTATTCATGAATTTGATTTGCATAAATTAGCATAATTGATAAAATAAGTAATTTTCAGCAAAATTATAGCGAGGTCTCTTCCTTTATGCAATTGCATAAATTAGCATAATTGATAAAATAAGCAATTTTCAGCAAAATAATAGTGAGGTCTCTTCCTTTGCGCAATTTCTCAAGACACGTGCCAAATTTCGAGGCAATCGGCCCCTCCCCCCCCCCCCCCCCCAGTCAGGGAGGTGCTCAAAATAGCCCAGTTAAGTACGGGTTAAGTAACGGAACATATTTCAAGTGGTTCTTGACATATCATGACAAGTCCTATACATGTAGTCTGAATTTTTCAAGTTGACCTCTATGACCTTTGACATACATGTACTCCAAAATCTAATCTGATCGTTTTCCTATGGTGATATATATACTATCCTTAAGTTTGAAGTTTAAAATCTCAAATGGTTCTTGAGATATCGCGATAACGAGCTGAAGACATGGAATTTCACAAGTTGACCTCTGTGACCCTTGACCTACGTGCTCCAAAATCTAAACAGATCGTCTTCCTATGATGATACATACTATCATTAAGTTTGAAGTGAAAATTCTCCAGTGGTTCTTGAGATATCGGGATAACAATCTCAATGTATGGAATTTCATAAGTTGACCTCTGTGACCCTTGACCTGTGACCTACGTGCTCCAAAATCTAATCAGATTGTCTTCCTATGGTGATACATACATGTACTATCATCAAGTTTGGAGTTTAAATCTCCAGTGGTTCTTGAGATATCATGATAACAATCTCAATGTATGGAATTTCATAAGTTGACCTCTGTGACCCTTGACCTTTCACCTACGTGCTCCAAAATCTAATCAGATTGTCTTCCTATGGTGATACACACTATCATTAAGTTTGAAGTTTAAATCTCCAGTGGTTCTTGAGATATTATGATATGGTGATACATACTATCATTAAGTTTGAAGTGAAAATTCTCCAGTGGTTCTTGAGATATCGCGATAACGATCTCAATGTATGGATTTTCATAAGTTGACCTCTGTGACCCTTGACCTTTGACCTACGTGCTCCAAAATCTAATCAGATTGTCTTCCTATGGTGATACACACTATCATTAAGTTTGAAGTTTAAATCTCCTGTGGTTCTTGAGATATTATGATAACAATCTCAATGTATGGAATTTCATAAGTTGACCTCTGTGACCTGTGACCTTTGACCTACGTACTCCAAAATCTAATCAGATCGTCTTCCTATGGTGATAAATACTATTCCCGAGTCTTAAGTTTAAATCTTAAATGGTTCTTGAGATATTGTGGTAACGGTCAAATGGGACGGACGTACGGACGGACGTACGGACGGACAACCCGAAAACATGATGCCTCCGGCACCACCTTCGGTGGCGGAGGCATAAAAAGAGCTCGGATATAACAAGGTATCTGTTATAGCAAGGTGATTTTGCTGGTTCCAGCTGTGTATATTCTTGTTTTCTTACTCCAATATAACAAGATTCCTGATATAACAAGGTAATAAATATCCTTGGTCCCAAAGACTTTGTATTAATGAGTTTCAACTGAAGCCTTACCGACAATGAAAACACTTACTAGTGTTCAATAAAGTGTAGAAGCATGGTGAAAGAGGAGGTATTGAAAAGTTGCTATGGAAACGACGCATGGGTCTTGCATCAAAACGACAGGTCTTTTCATGGTATTAAAGTGGGCTCTTGATGGTAAGTGGACTGAATGTTTCCATGTGATGCCATGACACTCATCAAAGCTCAAAGATGTCATAAATGTCAGTAAAATACATTTTTTCCTTCTCTATTTTAACCTATTCCGCATATTGCTAAAATCAGCCTATTGTACGCTGTCTTTCATGCTTGGTTAACAGAGCAAAGCAAATGGAAGATAAAAAAAAATAATCCAGCAAATAAACACGACTTCGAAATTAAAGGCTTTTTGTAATCTCATGTGTACTGTTAGCCCAAGTCAAAAGGCTGTTATATTTTTTCTTCTCTAGAAGTTGCGTCTGGGGGCGTTTCAAAGGAATTAAGAGAGAGTAATAGAAAATGAAGAGAAACAAAAAGGAGATGGGGATGAAATGAAAACGTACATGTATCAAACACACATCTTTGGCTCTTATTTTGGGTGTTTATACAATAATAAAAGTTGAAATACATATATAGTTTAAATACAGGAAGAGAAGAAAAAGCAATCCAGATGGGAAATTTTTATGGGCAGCAGTTTGAAGAATGTGGTTCTGAAAAGAACTGTAATGTTAAGAACTGTAAAAATTCTTTTTAGAGTAATTCCAAAAGGAAGTGGTGCTATTTGAACCAAAATAATGTATGTTTCTAAGCATTCTTTCAATAAAAGGTGAATTATAAAAGGAAGAGAAGAAGAAGCAATCTAGATGGGAAAATATTGTGGGCAGCAGTTTAAAAAGTGCAGTTTTGCAAAGAACTAATGTTAAGAACTGTAAAAATCCTTTTAAAAGTAGTTCTAAAAGAGAGTGGTACTATTTGAACCAAAAGAGTGCATCTCTTTCAATGCATTTTGAAGTGTGCATTCTTTTCATCACGTTTGTGAGCAGAAGGTTTGCAGAGTGTATTCCTCTCAAGAGCAATTCTATATTAAGCGAGTTTCAACCTATGGCATCGTTACAATAAAAAAACGTATCAGTCTCAACATGTATTGAATAGTGTTCATCACCAGGAAAATAACTTTCCTTTTTCATTCCTTGAAAAAAAATTTATTTCTTCTTAACTCCCCATACGTAGGTTACTTTGATGAAAGAATATATTAATTGCTTTTCCATTAAAGGTACTATGTCCCTTTTGCAGCCCACCTCAAATGCTGTAGAACTTTGCAGGAATTATGAATATGTCATGTATGTCCTATCTGTGAAATTTAAACGTTAGCAGTGTCCTCATATTCAAATTATGCAAGGAAACCCGTTTACTTGCTAGACTTCACTGTCAGACACTATTGAGTGACTGACTGGCTTTTTTTCTTCTTTGGTAATAACATACTTCTTGTGATGGCCAAGATTAAACTGATTGAATCTTTGCGCAGCATAAAACGTATGACCATTCGGTACAATTGTCTGTAAATCAAGACTATTACTTTTGGGCTCTATAGCCCTAAAGTCGATTTGACAACTTATAGTCGTTATTTTCCCACTTGAAGACATTTTCAAGCCCCACCTTTTTTAGGGAAGTTCTAAATTAGTATCATCTTTCAAATGCAGTTGGAATTTAATGTTTTCATTTTTTTGGCCTGCAAATGGGACATAGTACCTTTAAGGCTACGTCATGGTGTTATCAAAAATGTTTCAATTGTGAACGTGATTAACCTATAAACTGTAGGAACCGAGTGGTCCCTTTATTAAGTAGTCATCAATTCACAAGGTTCTGTATCAAACTTGCTTTCCTGGTTCCCAAACTACCGGTATCCCAATTTCTGTCAGAACGTTCTTCTGAAAAATGCCCAACAACATGAGAAAGCCTTTTTACACAATGTGGCCTGACTGCAATGACATATAGTGAAAAGTGATTTCACAAGGATTTCTAGTATTGAAATAACTATCTTTAATGTGAAAATAAAAATATCAGCCGACATTCAATTTTGATTGGTCATTACAGTGACTGTACACATGATGAAATACATGCTTGTATGGAGTAAATTACATTCAAAGAATCTGAATGATTACAAGGTCACATAGCAAAAACCGCAGAGGCATTTGTAGCTACTTGTTTTACAATGAACACATGATCTAACATGAAGAGATGTAAATTACCCTGAAGTTAAACAATGTAGAAAGGCAGTGTAGAAATTGCTTTTCCAGTAGTGTATCTTCTAGTATGTGATATATACTACTGAGGCAAACTTATATTTGGCACTTAATAAATTTAAAGAAGATATTTATTTATGTGAAGAAAGCCCTCTGATGAAGTAAGATGCGTACTAAGATTAAAAGATCGACTCTCACAAGAAGTTCATTAATAATAAACATTTGTAAACTTAGTGGCATATAAGTTGATATAAATCCTCAGGTATTAATGTAGCAGAAAGTCACAGAACTGGGTGTATGCCCATTTCACAGTTTTACACTTTTCAACAGAGTCTGTCATTGACGGAATCTAATGTTATTAATGTGATATCATCTCATTCCTTATGTTGCTATAGAGATTCTTAATTACATTTCTCTAATGGCAAGATCTTGGTTAATCAATATCAATGTCCATGGACTAATATCCGACTCCTTATGTTTTGGGAATATATATCACTCCCTATTCTCCAATAGTGAGATTTTTGGATTATTATTAATGTAATATCATCTGGCTTCTAATGTTGCCATGGAGATGGATGAGTTCATTGACTAGTAGGATGAGGTCTTCTCTTGATTTGTCAGAGGTGAGTTGGTCACTAATTGATATCAGCTTCCCAAGGTGGCCCTGTTCAAAGATGAAAACCAAAGATAAAGAGGTTAAAGGACTAAAATAGACAATGACATTTTTTATAAATTAAAAAATCAGTGGTATATCAGTTTTATTTTTCATTTCCAACAGAACATTAATTTGACAAGAAATTAGATATACAATTCAACATTCAATAATATAATACATTTTACATGGTTTAAAGTTATGAAATAGAAAGTATACATAAATATTCAGTATAAGGTTTTTTTTAAAAACATTTTAAGATAAACCTGTGGAAATGGAGGGATTCACTGAAAAGCAGAGCTTGTAAAATGCGGATCCCTGAAAATAATGACAAACATAATTTTTATAACATGTATATATATTGACTTGGAACAAACATCCTGGACTTTGATGGGGAGAGAGAGGAGGGGAGGGGTGGGGCAAATGGCAGCATACTGCTTGGTATTTTAAACTGATTTGAACTTGACCTACATGTATGCATGTATTGTTTTGCGATGATTGTTGAAAATCTTCCTCATGGGCTACAACCCCCAAACAGCTACCCCACAAGGAAAAATACTATCCTCCCCTCCAAACAATCAGGCTATCAATATGAGATATACTATCCCATCAACCATTTGAACAATTATATGTGGCACTTACCTCAACAATGGATGCTTCTTTGTTCATTTTCTCAAGGTCCACCCTAAACCCAGCAGACATGAGTTTAGAATTCTATGAATAAACAAAATATATTTTTGATAACAATGATTGGTAAAATATCATTTTAAATCTGAGTTTTTTTCTCTTTACATCCATCTAACATCATCAAAAAATTAACCAATTTTCTTTCTTTTTTGTTTTGTTTAGCAATATCTTTCCAGGAAAATAGCTGGGATAATTTGAATTACATTTTGCTTCAACTCCATGAAAAAGAAGTAGCAGTGGAAGTAGAAGAAGTTAAATGCATGGAGATGATTCAATATTTTCTAACATTGAGGAAATTTTTGTTTCTTGAAGACACACAAACCCATCCAACTAATGTTATCCTCATATAAATCATATGTGACTGTTACAAGTTCATTACACATCAATTACATTTGGACTAACCAGAGCATTTTAGTTAAATGGAAATAAAAATGTTTAAGAGCTTACCTTTACTCTTCGATGAATTGCCTCGACCAATCCTCTGGTTATCTCCTCATCTGATGAAGTGATCTGAAGTGAAATCACCTCAGCATTAGGTTCTAGAGCCTGAATTGAAACTAGACAACCACAAGGGGTCACAGCTTCAATGCATGAATCTTTGACCATTACTGACTGGTTGCTAGGCAACAGCTGTTGAAGCACCTGCTTTGATGGGATCCTGCTACCGTCTGCAACCGAACAAACAAATCAAATGCATGTATTTAGTGATATAAAATATTTAGTGATGATGAAATACAAATGTACAATGAATATCAAATATTGAGTGATATCATATATCAGAGTAAATTATAGGAGCAGGTTTTTAAACATATTTACCACTTAACTATCTTCATCAAACTATCAGTACTTACCAAATGTATTTGTATATAGAGTCGATCACACGAACACGTTTTTTTCAAGACCCAATAAATACATCAATTAGTAACACTAGTGCAAATCTATTACAAATACAATTGTAAGAACACGTTGAATTAGGTTTTTTTCATCATAATAATAGAGAGAACATTGTCAGATAAAACATAGTTATTAAGTAACCTTTCGTACAATATTTCATAATCCATCTTCTTTTAAAATTTATTTCTCTATAAAAGTTGTTGTGATGTCCTTACCATCAGTGTGACTGCACAGCAGATTCTTATCAAGCTGAATTGTTATGGAAGCCATCTTATCACGAGCTGCAGAAGACTCTTGCTGCTTGGGACCTCCAGGCACTTGACCAAAGGCTGTTCCTGTCCAATCATAGCCTTGATAACGTCTCTCAGTTCCTGCACCACGTTGGTCTCTCTGCTGAAGTGAGTCCAGAGCATCGACCTTTGAGCTTCCAATCAGAAACACAGCGCCCTCTATCTCTCCATCCAATGTGACGGAACTCTCTGCAATATTGCTGATGTCTTCCTTTTGGAGAGTGTCCTCCAGGAGAGCAGACAGATCAAGGCAGAGTGAACATTGCACTGTCAGTGGCCAGGACGAGGCCATCCCTGATTCATCCAACACAAAGCTAAGCATCATGCTGGTCTTTGGTACAAACTTTACAAGTGGGATACTCTTAGTCCTGTGGTATCTACTACCACTGACCTTCGACCTCTCATCGCAATCACCTGACACAGTGCCCATCAAAGTCCAACCATGTGACATGGTCCACGAGGTACAGTTTGTCACTTTGCAAGACACTTTGGTCCTTTTGTGTCCATTTTCAAGGATGCATTCCACTCTGGACTCAAGTTCAAAGGCATGTGATGTCTCCCAGGTTTGACAGACGATGTGATGAGCACTACTGAGCTCCTCCAGCACTGCCCTCTGTCTGCTGCCCAGTCTTGTTAGAGCGGCCATCTTGGATGATACCTCCTGCATGTTACGAAGGGCCTCGTGGACACGCTGTCTGGCAGCTGTGGAACTGATTTCTGCATGGTCAATGTCGGTGGTGTGTTCCGATGGTAATGATAGATGAAGTACCGTCCCGTTTTTCTTGACTGCTAGTACCCTGTAACTAGAACTGGTACCTGAAATATGAAATGAAGGATTCCAAATGCTCAGTAAATAAAATCAAGACCTATTAAATTAAAAGAAAAAACAAGAATTAAGATATAATGGAAGAAAATGCTATTTCATGATGCAATAGTACAGTAACAATGGTGAACTTTCACACCAATAGTTTCATCTTTATTCCTTAACTGTATGTCTCCATTATCTTCAGGAAGACATCTTAATTGAGAACATCACAATAGTTTGAGAATATGTAGTAAAATAGTCATATATAAATATATATATATATATATATATATATATATATATATATATATATATTCAATACCTTTTAAAAGAGCCATTGCTGCTAATCCAGGCATGCTGCAACGGTCCATAGTCATCTGTAGAACAGCATCTTTCATGTGAAAGGTTATAAAACTCAGGTCAAAGTTTGAGGCACATATCAAAGTGTCCTTCGTCCCAACAGCAGATGAAATGGAAGCACTGGTGTGGAGCCTACTGATTTCAGTACAATTACTATCCGTTGGATCTCCATAGAAAATCATGAGCTGCCCTCCAGCACCAACCAGTACAAGGCAGTCTAAACCGGAGCCAGCCAGATTAGACCGGTTGCTGTAGCTGAGGATGCAGACCTGGGTGACTGGTTCCAGGGAGCGACACAAAAGTCTGATAGCCTTGGCTGAGGAGGATGAAAAGGATGTTGGATGGAAGCTTTTCAAGAGGATGGAATATACACATCCATCTGGTAAGGTGATGATAATAACCGGTGAGTCAACTAGATTTGCTTCCGACCCCCACATTGCATCGAAGAGGGCATCAGACATCACAAGGATGGCGCAGGACTGCATCATCGTACTTGAGTTGCCATGGGAACTTGATGATACCAGTCCATACACACCAACACCAGCGGTTGCATCCACCTCCTCATCGTTGCTATCTCCTGGGTTCTGATTGGATGATGAAGCGTGTCCGTTGAGAGCGTGATGGCTAGACTCCACATCAGCACCGAAGATGAGAGTAGAGTAGAGAGGATTCTTGTCACAGGTGAAAGATTCCTTGTTCATCTGGCAAGGGTGAACAGCGATTCTCCATCCTACCCCTTCCCTGCAACAGGTGACAAGGCTATCATTGACCATCATCAATCTTTCTAAATTGTTCATATGCAGCATAATCTTCTGCTCATCTACCTGGAATTAAAGATACAAAGTATTCAAAAGTCATCACCGGTTAGACAGAAACAAAACAAGAGACATGACAGATATGTTTTGCATTGATATGAATAGCCATTCACAAGTATGCAGCATAATCTTCTGCTCATCTACCTATATAAGGACGAACTATTATTATTATTACCTGGAATTAAGATAGACAGAAACCAAACAAGAGACATTACAGATATGTATTGCATTTATATGAATAGCCATAAACAAGTTACTATACTTTGTGAAGTTCTATTTCATATCATATAAGTTTACGTTTCAGAAAGCTTTACAGTTTAAACTCACCCTCAATCACTCATTACAAAAGTAGATCGGCTTTATTCAGAATATTTCAAATATCTTTGAAGATTCTAAAGAATCAACCCATTGGATACAATTCGATCTTGATATACATACTTTTTCTACAGAACTAACTCCAGCTTGAGTCATCTTTAATAAGTAAAGCATTCAACAGCTCAAATCACACTAACTTTCATTTATTTTTAAGTACTTTAGGAATTACAGAAAACTTTTATTTGATTGGTCAGTTTCTATTTAAAAGGAAAACAAGTCTTTTAGAAATGTTACCATGGTTACTGGTTCAACAGCTTGCATGAATTCTTGGAAGAGAATGTTTGATGCATCCTGATTTTCATCTTTGTTTGCTGAACTAGACCCATCCCCTCCTCCTAGTAGGTCTCTAAAGATGTCCTCCTCCCCATCTGGTCTTCTTTTCTCTTGATTCTCTTCTTTCAGCCCTTGGTTTTCATCCCCTGTAGCTGTCCGGTTTTTATCCCCTGTAGCTGTTCTGCTTTTTGAACTTGCCCCTTCAGCCTTGTTGTCGGATTTGCTAGAGATTCAGGGGAAAAGATGAACATCTACTATCAGTAATTCACAAGTGGGTGTCTGTTAATGAGAGTTAACTCTTCTTTATTTCTTGGAGGAAATGAACTTCTTAACATAGAATGGCTGGTTATTCATTTTAAAAAAAAAGATACAAAAAAGTATCCTGAAATTGTTATCCACATCTCTACTTCAAATAAAGGCTAAAGCTAATGTATTTTGGGTCACCTTCTCAGCTAGGCCACAAAACATACATGTTTACATACAACAAAATTAAGAACGTAAATTCTAAATTCTTATTCTATTAGATTCTTGCATATACTTATAACTCAGGAGGAATCCCAGAATTTAAAAAAAGAATTTAAAAAAGAATTTAAAAAGGTGCATGGGATTCAATTGAATTACAGGCATTTTAAAACATGTATATGGACATCTCTGTTCCATGTCCAGTTCCATGAACTGTAAAGTCACAATAAAATATTTAAAAAATGACTATATAATAAGCTTTGTTGGTCTAACAAGTGAAAATGATTAGATAATGAACCAACCTCTTATTTTTCTTCTTCTTCTTCTGGTGGCACCATTGCTGAAGGCTGCAGCTGAATATGCTCCCATCTTTGAGTCCACACACTAACAACAATAGTCCTTGATGTGAGATTAAGTTGTGGCAGTGACATAGTCCAGGAAATTTAAGAGTACCCTTTAGCAATAAAGAAAGCATCATGATAGTAAATTAATTAGAATTTAGACGTTAAAAAAAAGAAAATCAACCAAGTCTGAGATCATTAAAATATCTGAAGAAAGATGACCAGACATTTATAATATCATGCAAATAGATATCTGCTTTGAACTTCTGAAGTTTGATAAATTGGCATGGGAACCTGCTGATTAGGTACCCATTAAAAGCCCAGGCCAATTAAACATCTAATTAGACCCCTCTATATATTGTTTAGTCTAGATCTATGGGACATATAATAACACTAAAAGTTCCATAGAAATCCATGATCATGACTCATGAGCCCGTTCCTAGAAACCGTCATAAGTCTAACTTCTTGACTATCCCATTGAAACGTGTGTTATAGAATTAACACACGTTTCAATGGGATAGTCAAGATCAAGAAGTTAGACTTATGACGGTTTCTAGGAACGGGCCCCAGGACAATAGTCAATAGATCTACCCATAGGAAAGTGAAAAGTATGCCGCAGACCTGCCGCAGACCTGCCGCAGATCTGCCGCAGACCTGCCGCAGACTTTTAGTCTGCGGCAAAGAGTATGCCGAAGTATGCGGCAGAAAGAAATTTTGCTGCAGACTTGCCGCATACCAGTATGCCACAGGAACAGTCTGCGGCAGATCTGCGGCAGGATGAAATTTTGCTGCAGACTTGCCGCATACTAGTATGCCACAGGAACAGTCTGCGGCAGATCTGCGGCAGGATGAAACTTTGCTCCAGACTTGCCGCATACTAGTATGCCACAGGAACAGTCTGCGGCAGATCTGCGGCAGGATGAAATTTTGCTGCAGACTTGCCGCATACTAGTATGCCACAGGAACAGTCTGCGGCAGATCTGAGGCAGGATGAAACTTTGCTCCAGACTTGCCGCATACTAGTATGCCACAGGAACAGTCTGCGGCAGATCTGCGGCAGGATGAAATTTTGCTGCAGACTTGCCGCATACTAGTATGCCACAGGAACAGTCTGCGGCAGATCTGCGGCAGGATGAAACTTTGCTCCAGACTTGCCGCATACTAGTATGCCACAGGAACAGTCTGCGGCAGATCTGCGGCAGGGCGAAACTTTGCTCCAGACTTGCCGCATACCAGTACACCACAGGAACAGTCTGCGGCAGGTCTGCCACAGGAAATTCCATTAAAGTCTAATAGGGCCAATTGAAACCAATCATCTCATGCATATTCATTATTACTTTACACGTGTGACAGAAAAATACATTTATCATGATTTATTAAGCAAATTAAGACAATGCACATCATTTTTGTGATTTCTATTTTCCTTTTGCCATTATTAACCAATAGATTATTTTGTCTGATCATGTTACAATTACATTCACGTTTAAGCAATAGATATATTGATTACTAACGAAGAAACTATGATTACTAACCAAGAAACAATATACATATTTAGTATATATATGTGTACGAGCCTGTGTCACTTTAAATGTTACTCTTGAATACACTTCAAATGATCAATGTGATGAAGTTAATACAATTGAGAATAGAATATACCTAATTGGTAAGATCGATATCTATTGGTATTACCTAATTGGTAATATTGATATTGCCAATATCGATTATGAAGTATCAATCAGTTTATCACTGGTTCTTCTACATGCATACTTTATTGCCACGTACTGGATATGAAAGAGTATGCGGCAGGTCTGCAGCAGGTCTATATGAGATATGAATATTCATGACGAAGAGTCTGCGGCAGGTCTGCAGCAAGTCTGCGGCAGACCTGCCGCAGACTCTTCATCATACTGAAAGAGTATGCGGCAAGTCTGCAGCAAGTCTGCGGCAGTCTGCGGCAGACCTGCCGCAGACTCTTCATCATACTGAAAGAGTATGCGGCAGGTCTGCAGCAAGTCTGCGGCAGACCTGCCGCAGACAGTCATCTTTTTCACATGCAAATTAGTTTTGCCGCAGACTTGCCGCAGACTTGCCGCATACTCTTTCAGTATGATGAAGAGTCTGCGGCAGGTCTGCCGCAGACTTGCTGCAGACCTGCCGCAGACTCTTCATCATACTGAAAGAGTATGCGGCAAGTCTGCAGCAAGTCTGCGGCAGACCTGCTGCAGACTCTTCATCATACTGAATGAGTATGCGGCAAGTCTGCGGCAGACCTGCCGCAGACTCCTCATCATACTGAAAGAGTGTGCGGCAGGTCTGCAGCAAGTCTGCGGCAGACCTGCCGCAGACTCTTCATCATACTGAAAGAGTATGCGGCAAGTCTGCGGCAAGTCTGCGGCAAAACTAATTTGCATGTGAAAAAGATGACTGTCTGCGGCAGGTCTGCTGCAGATCTGCGGCAAGTCTGCCGCAGGAGTATGCGGCAGGCTCATTTCTTTCCTATGGGTAGGCCTAGATGATAGATCTAGACCCTAGTCAATAGTCTACTAACATTTAGAACAGAAATTAAATATTCATTTTCATAAATTCTGTCCATTGGTGTGGGTATTCTATAAATATTTCAGGTGTGAAAGCCTAAAGTCCTTTTCAGCCCATTGCCCTCTGAGCTCTGCTAGCTAGAGTACAGCAGCTGGAAATCCGAAACATACGGATTACCGTCGGCAAACTCAGCCGACACTTACGGGTGTGCACTAACCAGTATCCTGTTAAGAACTTAAGAGCCCGCGAAATCTGAACTCACCAATTTCTTACTGTCTTTATCATAGATGAAGAGACAATCTGAACCACAGTTTACTACAGCGATACCATGATCTTTACTAAACCGTACATTCCATCTATTTGGACTGCCATATCCTCTGATATGCTCTATTGCTTGACATTTGATCGAGGATTTCTTATCAGCAGACATCCCGCGGCATCGTCGGATCGCGTGTTGAAAACAATACAAACACGTTTGTTATTTTCACAAAAGGGATACCATATAGTCCATTCAAACACAACAAAAGAAAAAGAAAAAGTAACAACAATGATAAAAGGTATGATAAGATTACTGAATATAGAAGCTTGTGTAGGTGCTATCTTATATACATATTTATGTATGGTGTGTATGTGATATAACAAATAATCTGCACGTACTGTTAAGAAACACTAACAAAGCCCATGAATGTTTTGCTTACGATATTATTTTACGATACTATCTTAAAAGATAGATAAATATAAAACGAAATAAATATATATTTTTTTAAATCCAAAATTGAGAGATATAACACGTGCCGTAAAGTAATTTGGCGACAATAGTCAAATCACTGACTAATCGCCAATAACTCAAAACACAACAACAACATCAAACACAACAACAACAACAACGTTGAGCTGAGAGATCGAGATATAAATAAGAAAGGTATTGGGGTTGAAAGAGGAATAGAAATTATATAAATAATAAACGATTAAGAGAGAGAGAGGAGAAAAAGATAGAAGGGCATAATAAATCCATTGGCAACAAATTAGTGAAGTATGACTGTTTGCCATCAAATTATAACGAAAGAAGAAAAAAAAGGGGGAAAAAAAAAGAAGAAAAAAAAAAAAAGAGAAAAATGTGGAAAGTATATATAATTATCAATCGTTACAAAGTTTTGGTATAGGGTCACGACTTTGGTTTAAATGAACATATTGGAAGCATATGCGAATTGTAAATTGTAAAATAAAATTGTAAATAATAAAATCTTTTAGCGATCCCGCTCAAGACTGATATTACTTTATAGCTTTAAAACAAAGTTTCTGGACTACAATCGACCAATAATTTGCTATTCCCGTTTGGAAATTATATATCAGAATCGCATATTCTAAGATTTTCATGGTCGCAGCATGGACAGCATAGGCGCTATTTGCAATATTTGAAATTTACCGGAAGCACCGGTAAATTTTGAATTTTCTCGAAAGCAGATCGAAGTGTTTTAGGGGCTAAATTTTGTAGTGCTTGTAATAAATCCACAGGAGCATCCAAATATTTCAAAAATTAAAAAAAATTACTATCCATCCAATTGTCAAACTTTCCCAAAACTTTGCATTACCTTTAAGAGAGAGAAAGAGAGAGAGAGAGAGAGAGAGAGATAGAGAGAGAGAGGGGAGAGAGAGGAGAAAATAATAATAAAGTCATTAGCAACAATCGTCTAATATGACTAATTGCCATCAAATCAGCTTTAACGAAAGAAGAAGAAGAGAAGTTGAGGTTTAGGAATTTTATTTTATTTTGCTTTGCTTTTGTATATGTTTGTGTGTATGTTTGTTTGTTTGTTTATTTGTTTGTTTCTTGTTGTTTTTTGGTTGTTTTATTCCATTATCCCTTTGTTCATATAAATTCGTCCATCTATTTCATCTTTGTGATTGAAGTTCTCCCTTCTTCCAGTGGTTTCCTTTCTAGATCATTATACCGGATTATACCCCATATCCGTTTTCCTCCATATAGCCTATATACACCTCTTCCCATAATTATTTCCCCTTTCATTTAGAGCTTGGGCCTCTTTTGTTTATTTTGTATATCAATGATTTTCAGAATTTATTCATCTAATGTTTCATCCTTTATATTATTTGCAGATTACACCCAACACAAATTCACATAAAACCCCAATACTCTATTATTAGATACAGTCAACAATGAGCTCAGATGTGTCAATCAATGTATTTGTTCCAATAAGTTTTCAACGAATGTTCAGAAAACCCATTGTATGCTTTTTAATGGCCGTTTCAGTTTTATCTGGTAATGTCGATCTGAATAATCCTTCAATAGATTTAGTTGAATCAACGAAATTTCTTGGTCTTTTTTTTTATATTAAAGGTAATGCAAAGTTTTGGGAAATTTTGAAAATTGGGTGGATAGTGATTCTTTACCATTTTGATATATTTGGATGCCCTTGTGGATGTATTATAAGCACTAGAAAATTTAGCTCCTAAAAATTTACCGGTGCTCCCGGTAAATTTTGATAAATTTCAAATAGTGCCTACGGCCGTACAATGGTAGCTGCGACCATGAAAATCTCAGAATATGTAGTTGTGATATATAATTTCCAAACAGGAATAGCTAATTGGTCGATGTTAGTCAAGAAACATTGTTTTATAGGTTGGTTGGTTGGTTCTTCGTTTAGATGGCGCTCTTCAATCTCAAAGATTATTTGCGCCAGTCAATTTCGTGTATAGCTTTGGCGTGGGCTTCGGAAATCAAGCCCACGAGCGACTTTCCTTGGTGAAATGAAATTAATAGTGATATGGTTTTATTAAAAAAAATAAAAAATTATAGCTTAATTAATATCTTGACCTCGAGAGGGAGCTATACAACATAAAGAGTTTGTTATTTACAATTTCATAACTTTAGACTTGATTTCAACCGCGACAACGACCACTGAATATTGTAGGATTGCATATGCTTCTAATATGTTCATTTAAACCAAATACATGACCCCATACCAAAACTTTGTATTACCTTTAAACAACAAATTTTCACGGAAGAAACACAATATGTATACATTTAAATTATTATCCAGAAATGTTGGAGTTGAATAATAAACTTTATTTTTAAAAAACCCTCCAATATATTACTAAATTTGGACAATAATCTTATCCTTCCATATTTAATTATTGGTAATTAGCATTAGCAACTCCTTCAAAAATCAACTGGATTAATTTGTTGCTACAAAAAAGGGCAATGAGAATGATTTTGTCATAAAAACAGATTAATTTTAGCTCATTCAGATTTAAAAAAAATGTATTCCAATAATGTTTTAAAAATATATAATCTTTGTCTGGGTTGCATTATGTATCAACTGAATATGGACGAGTTGCCTCGTGCATAACTTTTATGTTTTATAAAAATGAGAGATTCCACAATATCATTACCCGACCAGACAATCTTCTTATTACTTTGTAAACAGAAAACCTTAATTTACACTAGTCCGTTTCTTTGGAATGCTCTTGATGAGTCTTTCAATCACTCACCAAGTCTCTTTTCATTCAAATGTAAAGTTAAAGCTAGTTAACACTTATAACGAATCCATGTAACATTATGCTCATTTGACTCAAATTCATGCCATTATTCATGTTTACATTACACATCCCATTCTTGTGTTTGTATTGTTTTGCTTGTCTTGTCATGTATTGTCTTGTTCTGCATGTATCGGCCCATTTTCCCCATCTTTTGTTTTCCTTGCATTTTCTCAATATGATACTATGATATTTTATGTTAGGGAGCCTTATAAATTACAAGCTATGCTTTCCTAGGTTTCCAGTGGCGGATCCAGGGGGGGGGGTTGGGGGGGTTGCAACCCCCCCCTTGGGCGGCCCAAAAAAAAAAAAAAAAAAAAAAAAGGGAAAAAAAAAAAAAAAAAAAAGAAAAAAAGAAAGAAAAAAGAACGCACGCTGGAGAGAAACCCTTTCAAGTGCAAATATTGTGAGAAGATATTCAACTCATCTGGTAACTTACCCAAACACATGATAACTCTGGATATAACTTTGTATTAAACTGTTACTTGATTTAAAAAGACGTTATCATGCACTGCTTTTTATGGTCTCCATTGTGTTAATAGATGCCAGGAAAACATCACTTACGGGGTTCAAATAAACACCCCCAAAAAAATCGGCTCGCCGCTTTGCGGCTCGTGGACGATGCTCCGCATCGTCATTATTTTGGTCAACCCCCCCCTCAGCAAAAAGCTAGATCCGCCCCTGGTTTCCTTCGCAATACGGCAAGCAATTATCTTCTTAGTCTCAAAAGTACCATTTTATGTTTATTTCTCGTTTGTTAATATTTTAATTGGAATGACTTTGTAAAACGAAAAACTTGGTAAATTTTATTTGCTGAGTTATTGTGGAAATAGTTGAAATGAAATGAGTGAAATGAATTGAATATCAGATGATCAAGGATCAATTATGAAACCAATTACGTGGCCTATAGAAATGTCCTCTGATATACTTCTCTAACACTGTTCAAATTCAGGGCATGTATTATGTTTCTCGATCGTGTCTTGGTAAAAAAAAAAAAAAAAAAAAAACGAGTCGGAACAGCAGGGGCGATGCGTGTTTTGCCAGCTAGCAATTATTGTTCGAGCACCACTAATGTTTTAATGGTTGTGACCTGGTGGATTGCATGGCTGTCATAAAGTGCTATAGCGGCAAGAATTTAATTCATTGCGCGTGCCCTTCAGTAATAGGGACTTTTAGATTTGCACAACGACAACGTGGATTGCTACGATCGACGTCCTTTTAATGCACTGCCTTGAATGGACGTCACACGTATCAGTCCACGCAAATCTAAAAGTCCCTAATACTATTAGGCAGGTGAGCATAAACTTCGAAATCAATAGATGTGTGTTTGATTTGAAAATTAAATGTATACTCGGTATACTCTCGGGTTCTCGGCCTATTTGTCGAAGCCCTTTCGCGCCGTGGGTATGGATATATATATTTTTTTATGTGAGCTTTTATCAGGGCATGTGACCTCCCTGCTTTTATCACATTCTATTATCTGCGTGAACCGAGGTTTTTATTTCATCTAATTAACGCAGGTCTGAATAGAATGGACAGTCTCAATTAAGTTACTGGTATCATTTTGAAAATAACTATTAGGCAAGAAGTGAGATCAGTTTAGGAGACCACATGCACAGCCCTTACTTCTCGATCAGTACTTCATTCGATTCCTTCGGTTTTGTTCAACATGGACACGAACAAGGAGTTTCCCTAACCCTTGTTCGATCGTCATTAACCGACTATATCGATAAGTTTTAGATTATAAGCAAATTGTATGCAAATTACATTTGACGGAATCTATGATCGCTGCAATTGTTACATTTTTTGGAAGTATCAGCACGATTAGAACAATATTCCAAGCATAGTATTCTGACAATATCAATTTCTCATTGCAAAATTAATCTTTTCGGAAGGGGAAATTATTTGCTGAAATGGAAAATTACACAGAATTTGAAGTTAATGGTTCAAATTCTACGAGTCTGGACAACGTAACGCCTGCCGTGTTTGTCATAGGCGTCATCGTTGCTGTCATCATCATCCTTTTCGACGTCCTCATCGTTGTGTGTAACATCTTCATGCTTGCTGTCCTACATCATCCACAGATCCAGGACATCGGAGAAGTAAATATTTTTCTTTTCCGAGTCATGGCCATTGTCGATATCTTTGGTGGACTGGCCAGCACTACCTTTCAGCTCTACTCCGAACCAAGTTTTTTCAACCGTCAAGATGCACTTTCAGCTGAACTATGTCTGATTCTGCTCTTCTTCTGTTTCTACTCGGCTAACTTGTCAGTTTGGCTACAGTGTCTCATCACCATTAATAAGTACCTTATGGTGTCTCACCCCTTGCGTTATCCGACCTTGGTAGACGTCAAACGCTCTGCCATCACCTTATCAGTCTGTGCTCTCATCTCTCTCAACTGCGCCAGTTTCTTGCCGATTCCGTCTTTCCCTTACACAGCCTCCGGCATGTTCTTCTGTCGCGATGGGATCTTCGAACATCCAAGTTTATCCCTCGATCTTGGGATCCTAGTCGCATGCATCGCCTGTCCAGCCCTCATCACCTCCCTACTCAACGTCCGTCTGCTAGCAATATCCATATCCTTCTCGAGGAAGGTCTGTGCACAGGATGCAATAACCAACGAAACGTCTTCTGCAGATCATCCAGGGAATCATCGACGACGACCGAATTTTCGTGGTATAAAGACCATCATCCTCCTCGTCATCACTTCGTACTTCTACGTCATTTTCAGTGCTCTGTTCGTTTTGACTCATCCCCTTCTATTATCCGAATTGCTACACATTACGGTCGGTAACCTGCTTTATTTGATGTCGTTGAGCAGTTTTTGGTGGAAGCTCTTCGTGCTCATTATGACCAATGAACGATTTAGAAATGTAGCTAAGAAAGTGTGGTCGGACTTCAAGATGAAATTCACACAAACTTAATTGTTTCACAAAATGAATGTAAAGGACGGGCTGACTGTGCTTTTTAATTGTCACTGTGGAAGGAACAATCATGTAGGTCGCATTTTGTAAAAAATTTCGTCAATAATTATAAGGACGGTGATCAGTGAATAGTTGCTTTGCAAAAACTATGGATTCTCGTTAGACCTTCATCAGTAGGGAGTGGTTTAACTAAATAGGCTAGAACTGATGTTGGGACATAGACATTAATGTAAACGATCTTATTTACATACGGATTGGTTCCATGGAAATAAGATAATGTGCATGTATGATAAAACATTATTCTATTTTGTGCGTAAACGTTTATGAATAAATAGGCATGTACTGATCGATTTGACCGGCCAGTAAACTGTATTTAATAATTGTTCATTGAGAGATATTATCATCTTTATTTGAGTAACCTCAATGGCCACTCACATCACAATACGTCGTATGTGATGATAGCCACAAGCTTTTATACATACAGGTATAAAATGGCACTTTTTCGAAATATTTCATTATGGTAAATAGCATACCCAAGCTAATTACTTTAAACTGTTTTTCTGATTGCATGAGGAACAAAGTTGAAATTTTACTCTAGTTTTAAAACTGTTTTAGTCCAAAATCGAGTGTCGTTCAATAAAACGAAAAATATACAATATCAGAGAAAACTTTCGAAACGTACAGTTTGGAATAATATTTACTGTGCTGTCATTCTATTGTTGCTCGCTTCACTCACAAAGAATCATGTTCTTTATATGACTATTGTTTATTATGATTATTATTTTAGATGCATTCTGATGTAGATGTTATTTTGGTGTATTAATCAATGACGATAGTACCACCCTAAAATATAAGGGCTCCGTCTTAACCATGCGAGAAAGAAAAGATAATAAAAATGCTATAATTAGGGTAGGTATGGGGAATTGGAGACCCTTAAGCACATTTGCATAATTTACATAAACATGAAAAATGTTACACATACAGAAAATTTTGTATTCTCTTCAGTAACTTCTTCTCTTTATTTGGTAACAAAATTGTGGTCATGATGTAGCTGATTAATAAGATAACAATGATTAATGACGTCATCACCAAATGTCTCTCATTACCCACATGACGTGTGTAGGTAATAAGGGACAGTTACAAATCAAGACCTTTTAAATACAATTTGAATGAAAATGGGAATTTTATAGTTAGCTCAAACACTTTTTGAAAGAGATACATGCAGCCAATGAACTTACTGTAATTTTGAAACGATTTTAAAACAAAGTGGACCAAAATATTTGTGTAAGTTTTTTGTTTACAGTAATAAAGGTGCTTTAAATAGTGTTCTGGCAATGTGACTTTTACATTGATCAAACTCACAGCATAGAAACAACTTCTTAAAATGAAATGCATTCAAATGAGAATGGTGACACGAACAACCAAATATGTTTCATAATTGTGCCTTTCAACATGAAATGAACAACTGGGGCAAAGTAGGCCCCCATCTTTGACCTGGTGTCCCCCATTGCCTACACACATTTCTGATCAGACACCATTCATAATGTGCATTGCAACACCCATTCACAGCACACAATGGCCATAAGTTTTCTGTGATGGTTGGCACACTTCATAAACTTCTTTTTAAAACTACTTTTTAAGAGGCACCCCTAAATATCTGCATACACCACAACATTCAGTGAAAATTGTGTTTTCATATCAGAGCAAAATTTTACGATTAAAATTGCTTATCTTGGTCAATTTTGCCAAATTTTATTCTCGGAGAAAGAACGCATTGTAGTCGTCGAAATGAATTGGATATACAGGCCACATTGGCGCTATAATTGGAGCCAACACGGACAGACAGTGATGGGTTCAAGCTTGGTGGTATCCAATTCCCTACGGTCTCCAATTCCCTACACCTACCCTAACTGATAATGAATTATCTACTAAACTGTGGTCCTTTGAAAATGGGCTCGTACGACCATATAATTAATTACAATTACAATGAGATAAAAAAAAAACAATCATATGATTTCGTATCACATTGCTGATATCTTCTTTAAACTGAACCATTGTGAAAATGAAATGCATCGAATTTCAATGTTAGTGGTTCTGCATAATCATAATTACAAGCACATTACAATCCCCCGGATATTAAAAGTTCCGATATTCTTGCGATTAATTGCCGCCTCGAAGTCGGACTGCGAGGTGCCCGAATATCATTATGTTCAGGCAGCGAGATGTCATTTCTGTTAGTTTCACTACAAAAAAGGTGTCAACAATATTCTGCACGCTCGCGAAAACTGAAGAGTTCATTGTTGGGCAAAAGGCAATTTTGCCCGTAGGCCTATAATAATACTCATTCAAAGATATAAGTTCATGTATGTTGAAGAAATAAATAAAATGTTTCTTCATTTATTTTTGAGGAACTAGGTTGTGTATTATGTTTGTCGAATGGATGACTGAATATGATTGAAACTAATACAATTCATGATTAATTTAATAATTTTCGTTTTTGTTTTTTGTCTTTAAGAGTGAAAGAGTGCAAAAATGCATTATTATTTGTAGTATATACTGAAAGGTTAGTAACATGTATATTCGATAACGCACAGATTTTCAAATGCAAAATTTGGAGGTAGAGAATTCGACATTCATATTACTTCATATTTCACCGTGTTGAATACATAAGTAATTTGCATCCAGTAATTTGTTATTTAAACAAACTCTCTCAGCAAATGAAATTTCCAATTTAATATCCAGAAAAGGTCGCTCATTCATGATAGAAAAGTTTGATATGGCCGAAAAAAGTTAATTTGGGATAAAGAAACTACACAGGCGAGAGAAATGTGGTCTTTGAATTAGGACGATATGAATGCTATCATAATTAGGCGCTCGATCTCTCACGCGATTCTCGCAGAGCGACACTAATTACGATTTAAATTTACTTGGCCTAATCAAGTCATGCAGATCTCAGTGTAATCACTATTCGTTTGACGTATATACAAATTGCAATAAAATCTTAATCTACAACAAATTAAAATATTACTTAACCGCCATTAATGAGACTTAGAAATTTCCACTGCAAACTTAATAGGCCTACTATTCAGTCAAGGACAGACAATGCAAACGTTTTAAATTAAAAGTATGTTTCAGCCGAAAATGTGCGCTAACTCTCTTTCTCTCTCTCTCTCTCTTTTTAATATAAAGTGGTTTTGACAACATAATATTTTTCTCAATGTACCCCCGTTTCGTGTTACCTTTCAAACGATTCTTTTCTTTTTACATTCCCCTTACTAAAAATCTATTTGTTATGATTTTTCTCATGTCATTCTTTGACATTTGGCATCCCACTTTCTCCAAACCCCCATCTCTCTGTCTGTCTCTCTATCTTTCTCTCTCTCTCTCTCTCTATCTTCTCTCTCTCTCTCTCTCTCTCTCTGTGAACGATATCATCAATTGGTCTAATAAAAATGATCTTAAACTCAATAGTAACAAAAGTTAGGTTCTACATTTCACCAGCAAATTCAGGAAAAGTAACCAGATGGATGGCATAGAAATAGACAATACCATTATCAAATGTGTCGATGCCGCTAGAAATCTTGGCGTGCAGCTAGATAAAAATCTTACAATGAAAGCTCAAGTCAATAATGTATGTAAAATTAGTTCGTTTGCTCTGCACAAAATTGGAAAAATCCGCCAATTCCTAACCAAAGAAGCTACTAAGCAGCTGGTTCATGCCCTGGTTATATCTCGCATAGATTTTTGCAATAGTTTACTACATTCTCTTCCTGATGTTCACACCAATAAATTACAAAGAATCCAAAACTCAGCAGCCAGACTAATCACTAGAACTAAACGCAGAGAACATATAACACCCATACTTAAACAATTGCACTGGCTGCCAGTTAAGTCCCGTATTAATTATAAGATCCTTTTACTGACATATCAATGCCTAAACGGTACAGCCCCGTCTTACCTCCAAGATCTCATTCTACAATATACCCCTACCAGAAACTTAAGATCAAATAGTAAATCCCTCCTAGTAGCTCAAAGCACTCAAACAAAATATTATGGCACTCGCTCTTTCAGAAATTCTTCGGCCGAATTGTGGAACAGCTTGCCTGATACTGTCAAACAGGCAAGCACAACAGAATCATTTAAAACTCTGTTGAAGACCTATCTTTTTGTAAATTGTTAATTTTGTTCCAGCTGTTTAGAGACTTCTTTGGTTATAGTATCCTGTACATATTTAATATTTAATTTATTTTTCATTCAATTGTCATGTTTTTTCATGTTTAAATTTGTATTACCTGAATTTACAATGTATCACATGTACAAGGTAAGCTATGTAGGAATTGTGTATCATTATTGTTGTTTGTAATTAATTACTTTCATGTATCAGGCATAAATGTTCATTTTTATTCCGCCCTTTTCCTTCTTTTCTAAGCGCATAGGGACTTTCTTTATGTGAGTGATATGCGCTATATATACAAATAACGTTCATTATTATTATTATTATTCTCTCTCTCTCCCCCTCTCTCTCTCTCTCTCTCTCTTTATTTTTCTCTATATCTCTCGTATACTTGGCAACATGCAGTAAAATAGTGTAAATAGTAGAACAAGTTCTGAATTTTATCTAATTTGATTCCTGCTTTCGCCTGTTCACTTGTTTGCTGTCAAAAGTTATACTTGAAAGTTTCATGTTTTTGTTTACGGTAGTAAAAATGGGTTTGCTTCTGATTAACTGTATTTATTTCAAGCCCCAGAAGGGGTCGTTTAAGAAATATAAATCAGTCATTGTTATCATTGTCATTGTTATCATTGTAATTGTCATCATTGCCACTGTCATTGCCAGAAAAATCGTTGGCCTTATCAAATACATAATTTATTATCATAGCAAATTACATACAGATATTGACGTTCTAGAAGTCCTACCAATATAAAACAATGTTCAGAAATACAAGTATCTATAGTTATCACTTTTACTCGGAGAAACACTCAATATTACTTAAGTTATTTTGTAGATTACTTTCTTATTCATTTTTTACGTACATTTGACTTTTTTCCAGCATGCAAAAATACAAATTGTTGCAAGTCATAAACCATAATGACTAATTCTTATCAAAAAGAAAAAACTTTTTCATAAAAGAAACTGAAGTTTAAAGATGTTATCAATGGAAAATAGTGTCAAATATTCTGAGCCACGATGCAGACACCAAATATTATTGAGTCATACATTTTGTGTATCTAAAGAAAAGGTATTCCATGTTTATTTCGGAAAATGGAAATTCAATACTGCATGGTAAGTTGTTCGATAACATCACTCAGTACGATTTGACCATGTAAAGGCTTTATAGTCCCAAACAAACTTACACCATCACACTTTGTGCCAGCACCATTAAGCCATGCCCCAAATTTAGTTATCTTCTTTTGTGTATCAAAAGGCCAAAGTTTCCCAGGTTTCTTTCGGAAAATGGAAATTTAATAACAGTAAGTTGCTCGATAACATGCATCATTCAGTTATAAATTTCCATTTTCCTAATTAACTCGATGTGGTGTAATTAGGAAAATGGAAATTTAATACTGAATGATGTTATCGAGCAACTTACCGGTATTAAATTTCCATTTTCCAAAAGAAACCTTGGGAACCTCGGTCTTTTTATACACAAAAGAAAATTTTGGGCATGGCTTATTAATGGCGCTGACAGTCAGTTTGATGGTGTAGGTATATGTTTGAGACTATAATTATAGCCTTTACACTGTTTCAATTAATGAGATTAAATCGAATCAAATCATACTGAGTGATGTTATCGAGCAACTTACCAGTATTAAAATACATGAAACGTCTATTATTTCACAAAATATTGTGTACAAAACTTGCAAAAAATTCATTGCCATTTCTTATGATGTGACCAACTATGCTCATAAGAATATTGTTGAAAATTACACTTGGGTTTCTTTTTTGTACATTATTTTGTAGGTTTCTCATTTGTTTATTGTTTGATATAATACCTTTGTAGAAATCTGCAATTTTCTCTGAAAAATTCTATGGTAACATATACTTATAATGCTTGATTTATGCTCAAAATTTCAATATACATTGACCATCATAATCCTGTGGTGGAGCAAGTGGTGAATAAACATGACAAGTCTATCTGTCACATCGGCACTGAAAGAGTCAAGTGAGGAAACACAAGAAAATAAACACCATGGCATCACGGTATCAATAGGCAATTATGCTTTACATACTTCACTGACAACTTGTAGGCCCGGATTAAGGGATATTGTGTGACCACTGTTCAAAATGAAAATGTTTGTAATAGTGGATTTTGGCCCAAGTTTGAAATCCTCTTCTTGAGGGAAGTTAAAATAGTGAAAACATTAAAACGAGTTATACCATCTAATCCCAATCCGGATAGTTTGTACAATATCTGGCTGTCAACTATATCGAAATCACATGCGAGTAATATCTGGTATAGTTGAACTGATTGGTGCACATGTTTTATTTCTTTTTTTTTTCTTTCTATAAATCAACTTTTTGAAAGTTCCTCGGTATGAAGCCACGAAAGAATAAACTGTTAATGAAAATAATCACTATGTTATTACAAAACTAGCTATAATAGGGAGTGTATGCCGATCCGTTGACCGTATTGCTACTTTCAATTCTCTGTTTGTACTTGGCTTCGTGGAGTAATTCCTTTAGTCTTTAGATAGTGATTCTCTTTATTCCGGAGCAACGTACACGACTGTACAGGGGCGGATCTAGCTTTTTGCCAAGGGGGGGGGGGGGGGGTGACCCAGTGGCGGATCCAGGATTTTCCAAAAATCGCGCCGTTTTACTGTTTTACTTTTTCCCCCTTTTTTTCTTCCCTCCTGTTTTTTTCTTCTCACTTGGCCGCCAAAGGGGGGGGGGGGGGGTTTAAACCGACGAACCCGCCCCCCCCCCCTAGATCCGCCCCTGTTGTATATGACACACTACTACGCACGACGCACGTCTATGACGTATAGGGAATAATGCATATTCATGACTCCACCAAAGCTCATGCCAATATATATCCTACCTGCCATTTGTATACAAAATCCGACCGTTAAGATATTCTACCATAATTATGAGTTATAGTGAAACAAATCGGAGAAACAATCGATGTATTAAACTTAAGGAATATTGTTGTCATTACGATTTTATGATTTGACAAACAATTATTATAATACACATAAATAAATTACAGCAGTTAAAGAATAACGTAAAATATTTGAAAACAAAATACATAATAACTTTTAATCTTAGGACATATGAAAAAGACTATGGAGTTATTATTAATATTGTGATTGTCTAAAGGCGATTGCTGATATTATGTTAATGCGTCGCACGGATACGGAAAACATTGATTGTTAAATGAGTGATACAGCCGTTGTTTGCAGAGGTGCTTTCAGATGCTTTGAGAATTATCAGATTTTAAAAATCTTTCTCAGATTTTTACGTCCACTACTTTCAAAAAGTTTGTCTAGCGCTATATATAAACATTACAGTAAGCAAACTTGGGCTTACTTTTTGTTATGAAGTCCACCTGGGGTAGGAAAATAAGAAGAAGAAAAAAAAAAAAAAAAAAAAGCAAAACAACCAAGACCGTCAAGTATTGATAATAAAAAGTATCACATAACAGCATATTTCCAAAACAAAATTAGGGGTAGCTAAATAGGGCGTTGGCCTTTTTAAGACCGAACTTCCATACTGAATAATTGAACTTGAAAAGAACAAAAGAAGAAAAGAAAAAAAAAAGAAAATAAAAGAAACACAATGAGGCAAACAAAACACACAATAAATCACTAACACCGAAAATTAGCAAACGAATAAATTTATTATTGGCCATGACAGTGGGTGCTGCTTGCTTGTGGGATATGTTTAATATTTCCTTTTAAAGGAATTTGGTAATTAATGGGTAACTTTTTTTAGTTCGGAAGGCAAAGAACTCCAAAGGCAATTAATTGTACATGCCAAACACATTGTCAGCCCAAAAAGAAGAATTTCCACGATGGCATAGGATTACAGCCTATCATTCCAGATATAAAGGTCAAATGCTTAGAAACGGGCTAGGTATTTTGAGAGGATGGTGCCGGGTGTCATTTAGACTGGTCACTGTTATATCCGTCCTCCATTTATTACCACAAACTATTTCACTGGGGCCTACAGCTTTACAAGCTTGCTTTCGTCAGGTAGGTCCCATCATATTTCTCTCAGTTAATTCAGTACTCCATATTGGCCACTTATCTTGATGTTATTTATTATAGATCATTGAAAAAACAACTTGTACTTTATTTGAAATGTTCATGAGAAATATGAAAATAAATTAAATGAAATGAAATGGGTTACCAGTGTTATTGCTACCTGATCTATCGACGATCCTGCATTATATTTATTGACATATATCAACTGTGTGTCATCAACGAGAACCCTCAAAATATATTTCAAAGTCATAAATAATTGTGATACATCAGCTTTTAATGTATTAGTTGCTGTCTATTTCAGTACTATTTTGATTATATAGGGCTGATGCATCCTATCTCCCCTTCTATACAGCTCGCTTGACTTTTTTTTAAAACTTAAATTTATGCAATAATAATTGCAAAAAGTTTATTATATCACTTTTGAAGATCAATTCCCAGTTAATATACAGTTTCAAGAAATTCTTTAAACGAAAAACTTAAGTCAAAGACAGATAAATCGATTCTTAATTGTTTTATTTTGTTTTATTTTACTGGTGTTATTTGACTGACCTTTTATGACTATCGGCGAAACGTACGAGAAGATTTGGGCTGCTAGTAATGTACAATGCTGATACGTGGCGTCTAACTTCACGCATCTCGAAGCTCGATTCTCGCTGCTGTAAACTACATTTGAGCAAAAATGGAAGACGCATTACTGAAACAACTTACGGGAGATGGTGAGCTAATGTTCTATTTCATTTTAGACCAAAATTTGTATTATTCAAACAGACGGAGACTGAAATTTAGTGACAACATTTTTTAACAACTTTTCATTCGAGTCCCACGCGTTCAAAAATTTGTTGGAACTTTATTTTTCAGAGTCTAGACCCTATGAGCTATGTCTATCAATAGCAAGGTAAATTGGCTATGGTTTGCTCGCTATTTATAAGGGAAGTCATTCGTAAAGAATCGCTATTTTGGATAGCGGTCCTTATGAATAATGTTCTTAATTTTGAATAGCAGTCCTTATCATGCTTAAATTGAATAGATAGCGAACTTGACCCGTCTAGTACACGGCCTAGTCACTCTAGTCTTACTCTCTCTAGTCAGACAGTCTCTACAAACTTCCTACAGCAGATACTTTACTTTATAAACATTTTAGCTTTCAAATTTGACCTAGATCTAGTGACAGTGTTGATAACAATAACAAAAAGAGAAGTTAGAAACCAAGATTGTAATTAGTCTTCTTCTTCTTCTTCGAGATAATCTGCCTCCTTCAATACTGAAGATTCTTGCAGATGCCATATGGGTCTACTCGGCCTGATTGGGGTGTGCAGGTGGACGAATAATGCAATGGGTTCTTAACGTGCAAGGGTGGTGACTCTCTTGTACACGGGGCCTCCATTTAACGTCCTATCCGAGGGACAGAGTGTTTTCCACTTGACATAACCTGCATCTATGAACAAGGGAAGGGGCACGTTAACACACGACGCAGACTTCAGTCATCCGCCTGGATGGGAGTCGAACCCGGGATCTTTGGTTCGACAGGCAAACGCTTTATCAACTGAGCCAACTCGCCTCCTCTATTCTAGACCCCAATTTTTTTCTTCTTTTCTTTTCTTATTCCCTTCCTTTTTCATGAAAATATTATCTGTTACTGATGTCTTTTGACACCTCATTTGCATTTAGAAACTTTCCTGGAGTTCGTGTCGGATGACTTCGATGTGCGTGATCACACAAATAGAGTCATGCAGACGATGGCAATATCTGATCAACTTGCCAAAATGGCAGAAGGAATAAGCCTGTTGGACAAGGAACTACATGCCCAGGTACGTTTTACTTTACTTACAGCATATTTGGAACAAGATGTTGGACTGAGAGTATGTAGTTTCTCGATCTACATGCAAGTATTTAGTTTCTTTTTTAATTTAAAAGAAAAGGAGATTTATTTCAGCCTAGCACGATCAATCAATGAGAAGACAAGTTCAGTAGGGGTTACATTCAGGTGGGTGTTTCACAAAACTTGTCATCAGTGACAAATGACAGTTTTTGAAATAAGCTAGTGAAATCCTTGCTTCTGATTGGTTATCAGCAGATTTGTCACTGATGTTTGTCACTTGTCATTGAAACAAGGTTTTGTGAACCCCCCCCCCCCCCCCCAGATGTATACACATGAACATATTGATGGCAATATTGAATACTAGTTCTTTTTATTCACTTGATCTCTTATTTTTATTTGTTCCATTTAATTTTGTTGATGGCTCTGCTAAAATGAAAATCAAGGTCAATTGGATACTTAAAATGGTAAAGGCCAAACAGTAGCTTGTTGTGACAATGACAGAGTCTTTTTATGCATTCTATTTTATTACATGTATTTGACAACCAGGTAGGATTGAAATAAATGTTGCTTAAATCACCCACAGGAGATTAGAGAGACGATTTGAAGATTTACTGTTTCTTTACATAGGTTGGAGCACATCATGAAGACTTGCTCTCTCAGGCTACAGGGATTGAGACACTAGATGGCGTCCTGCAGATGATGCAGACAAGGATACAATCATTACAAGCAGCAGTAGAAAGGTGATTAATTCTTCCAAAACATCGCTTTTGAATTTAGCTCCTGCATAGATGTGCATCAAATTAAATACAACTGATTTGGATTGATTTGGGGATTTAACTTTTTACCATCATCAAAGGCTGTTACTTCAATTGTCAGAAAATATGGATACAGTAAAAAATAATAGACAGAGGTTGAGTGTGAACCTCCTAAACTTATTTGCCCTTGATGGATATAATTTCAGTCATTGGATTTTATTTTACAAAATCTCAAGACCCATCAATTTGACATAAAGATTGCCCTCACAATTAAAATGTTTATCTTTACCTTGGTTGGATGTATATGAGGGATAAAGTTATACTTTATTTTCAGTGTTGTTATTAGATTAGTTTTGAAAATAAACTTTGATTATTACTACCCATACATGAATTGTATCTGATCAGAACTTTTCATTGACACATTGATTTTTCAGGATTCAAGCAAAGATTGTTGAGCCATACAACAAAATAGTTGCAAGAACGGCACAGCTTAGAAGACTTCAGGTCAGTCATTCTATCTTACGATATCATAATTACAAATTGTACAGTTGATTCAATGAATGTCATAAATTTGATTTGATTTTCTTTTCATTTCTGATCAATATTAGAGAACAATTTTTAAGACGAGTACAGTTTAGGTGACAACCAATTTTGATCTTACCCTAGATATAAACTACATAATGTATACTTTCTTTTGTACAGTCAAACCTGTGTATAGCGACCGCCCAAGGGAAACATAAAAGTGGTCTTTGTAGACAGGTTTCTTTAGTACATATTTCAATTAGAAACTAGTTTCACGGGAAACCAAAAATATGGTCTTAGTAGACAGGTGGTCACTAAAGCAGGTTTGACTGTATACTGGTAAGAACCCTTATTCTACATTAACAATTTGTGTTCAAATTTAAATGATTCAACATCAGTTAAATTTGCATAGTTGTGATAAAGCAATTGTAAAGACATCTAGACTCTACTCCAAATGCAAAATTAATATCTGTGAGGCTAAGGAGAAGGTGTTGACTACATGTACCATCGCCAATATTTGTTGCAAGTTTTCATGTAATGGTTGAATTGACCTCTTCTTGTTTGATAAATCAGGAGGCTTGTGATCTGTTAAGAAGAATCATCAGAATCCTGTACCTGAGCAAGAGACTTCATGGACAGCTGCAAGGTGGAGCTAGAGAGATCACTAAAGCTGCTCAGAGCCTCAATGAACTAGGTAAGCCTTCCCTATTCCCAGGATCAGATCATTACTGGGGTTACGATGAATATGTTTTCATAGGTTAGAATGCACTTTTTCTCTGATTATTGTTCTATAGTTGGTTCCTTTGGTAAACTTTAATAAAAGTTATTTTGTACTTGAAATCTATATCTTGGTGTAAATTACAATGCTGGCAGGAAAGGAGACACTATTGAGATTAATGCTTATAATTATATATTTGCAAACTTATTTTTAATTAATATGCAGACTATGCAAGATCATTCTAGGCAAGGAAGACATAAATTCATCAACAGGGACCCGTTTTGCAAAGCCTTTTTACAATGACAAATGGAGAGAAAAAAATCAGTGACAAATCTGCTGCTAACCAATCAGAAGCAAGGATTTCACTAGCTTATAACGAAAAGGGTCATTTGTCACTGATGTCAAGTTTTGTGAAATGGGGCCCAGGAGAAACGTTATGAAACCAAGCTCTTCTAAAATCAAGAAGTTGATTTATTTTTTAATTTTTATGTTGTATTAGTGAAATGGTTTGCTTTGTACCAATTATTATAGAGTTCATTTTGATGTCGAAAGCTATAATCTAGACTCTGATCTAGACAATGATTGGTGCCCTTTTTTTACAGACTACCTCTATCATGGAGTTGATCTGGCAGGGATAGAGGTTATAGAACAAGACACTGTCTTCATCAGGAAGGCTCGTAAGGATGTGGAGAAACAGGCGCAGAAGATGCTTCAACAAGGCATGGAGACACAGGTAGATTTCCACTACTTGCTTTGTTGTAGGCTTCTTAGCAGAGTATGCTTACACCATGTGATGGTAAAATATGTAAAAATAAATGTTCTTATCGTGGTGTATACAAAAAAGTTATAGGAAATTATCATTGTGGCAGAAATCCTCAATCCTTTCAGTGTTACTAATATCCTGTGAGCCATCTTAATTGGTAGGCCTGATATGTGAACACTAAACATTATGTGCTCTTTGGATTTTCCAGTCATTTGTGTCTGGTGTTCTTTTTAAAATTGTGTGTGATTCTAACCTTTAAACAAGTTGGTTGTTACCTGTACTTGCATAAAATCTTAATATGATAATAATCATTTATTGAACCTGACACAAATATTGAAGGGGATACATTAAAGGCACTTCCAAATTCTTGACAAAATGTTTATGTATTTTTCTGCATTTTTTATATTGACAGAATCAAACACAAGTGGCCACATCTCTGCAAGTGTTTCACAACCTTGGGAGCCTGAAGGATACGGTACAGACCGTTGTCGGTCACTGTGAGAAAGCCTTGAGAAAGAACATCAAGGATGCCTTGGATGTGCAGGTTCTCTCTCATACTACTATACCGGCTGGAAGAGGTGGGTGTGTAGTGAGAGGAGAGGAATGGGATAGGAGGAAAATGAGAGGAGAGGAGAGGGTCGATTGTGTACAGGGGGAATAGCAAAGAAAGTAAAGGGGAAATTACTTTGTGGAAAACTTGACTCAGTAACTAAGAATTTGAACAAAGAGGACTGAAGTATAAATAGGGTTAAGAAATGGCTTGGATTACGATATAATCATATTGGAGATAGATGTGGAGAGTGAGAGTCAAAGGTTACATTTATTGAGTTATAATACAAGATTTTATTCTCAAAAGTCAAAACAGAGTCAGAAGAAAGAGAAGTAAAACATCAGAATTTATGGTTAGAGGGCATAAGAATAGATGATAAATAGATATCATTAGTACCCATGATAAAGAATGGCTTATTTGATAAGTGAAATGGGGATTAAAAGAAAAGCTTGGTTGATATAAACGAACCATAGAAAGTGTAGGGTGGAGTAAAAACGAAACAAAATATTATGACGATAGTTTGGGTATTTCATTAAACAAGCGGAAATTTTAAGTGATAGTGCAAAATTAGTTTCAATGCCCCATGACTAAATGATATCTATTTTCTTTCCACAGGACCTGGAAAAGCAGCCATGCCTGCTCCCGGAAACACTCCAGCTTTCAGAGCTACTCTATGGACCAACCTTGAGAAATTAATGGATCAAATACACGCTGCTTGTGGACAGGTGAGACCGAGTCCATAGTGTTGGAGTAATAAAGATGTCGTTGCATGCCCCAGGGTGGGGGGGGGGGGGGTGTGGGCCAGAGATTGTAGTCATGTGGTTCTTGCAATTCATGCTGCTGCAGCTACTGCTGAGTGGTCAGCTTCCTAGTCTTTACCCAGATTCATTTTTCAACCCTGGACCTGACTCAATATCACTACCCTCTACCCTAACCCCAATTGCAAGCTTAATCCTATATCTTTCATGAATAAAGCCTGAAGCAAGTGTCTTTGGAGTGATTGTCCGGTCACTGTCACGATACAACAGCATAAATGTTTCTTTCAATTTCCTGCATTGTATTTCTTTAATATTTGTGATTAATTATCAGGAAAGCAAAGAAGTAATGTTGAGCAGTAACTTCAGAAATAAAGTTTAATGAACTTCAGAAATAAAGTTTAATGACATTTATACTACATGTAGTATGATAAGATCTTTGTCTCTCTCTCCCTCTCCATCTCTCCCTTTCTCTCTCTCTCTCTCTTTCTTAATGTATTTGTTTGTTTACTGATTTACAGGTGAATCATTTACAGAAAGTTTTAGTCAAGAAACGAGATCCAGTGACTCATGTCTGCTTTATGGATGAACTCAGAAAGGTATCAACTACTCAAGCTTCCTTTTTGTATTAGTATTTTGTCCAATGTATTGAAATGAGTATATTTAAACTTGATAGTTAGATGTTTAATTCTTCTTTTCTTATATCCATAGTGACAATGTCACTCATTTCAAGGTAATTTAGATTTATATTGTCCTGAACCTTTTCAGTTGAAAATTGTTATGCAAAATTACATTTTCTTATCATAAATAATGCTTTTACCCATGCTTTTTCCATAAAATATTTACCTACCAAAATTGTAGAAGATATATGTGATCACATTTTGATGAAATAGAGTGATGTATGTTATTTTGAGTGTATATCTGATGCATATGTTTGCTTTATGTTTATGTGACAGGATGGCCATGGGAATATAATGCTCTCATTTTGGATGTCCCTTACAAAGCTGATGAAGGAAGACTTTGGAGAATTAGCCAATGGTAAGCAAACTTGTAAATGAAATTAAATAAATCTTTTATAGAAATGACCAGTAAGAGGAATTAGGGTTAAGTTGATGTACTACTCTACTTGAGGCTTCTAGTGATTTGAAGAAGATTTTGTTCGTATCTAAATTATATTTGCTCACATATTGCATGCAGTTTTTCCCAGATTTGATATAAAATATCAGTTCTGTAAATTCTATGTTTTAAGTGACCAACTAAAATCATTTATTTTTGTTTCCATGGCAATAACTTCACAGAAGCCTTAACACATTTTATGTTTATAATTTTACTTTTACCTTTCCTTTCCTTTATACACAGCATCAACTTTCATTAAGCAAGCCTTTGAAGGGGAGTATCCTAAACTACTCAGACTCTACAACGACCTGTGGAAGAGGCTAGAGCAGTTTAATATCATTTCCGTAGCGGTATCATCGGTCGACTCCCAAGGGGTTTCCCAGTCACCTGTTGTTGATATGTATGTTGGTCTCAAAGTAGAGGATGATTACAGGTGAGATAGAAATAAAGTCCTAAGTCTGAAAATTTCACCTTTGTTATGCCTCCGTTACGAAGTAGCCGGAGGTATTGGGTGGTATTCTCATAAGTTAAGCCGGGACTAAGTCCAGACTAAACAAGAATTTTAGTTCACACTTCTATGGAATGCTAGGTTTCATCTTCCTCCTTCAATATTCATGACAAAGATAATCTATCAAAGACTTTGTTGAAATTCAGTTCATACTCATATTATCCTTTTCTTCCCATTTCATTGCAAAATTAATTTTTTTGACACTTTTCATTGAAGGATTAAAATAATCTGTACAGGGTAAATGAGTTGGCAACTGGCACTCCATAAAAGTGTGAACTAACTAAGTGCGCGCTAACTTAGTACGCGCTACCGGAATACCACCCATTATGTTTTCGGGTTGTCCGTCCGTACGTACGTACGTCCCGTTCTTGTGATCGTGTTATCTGAAGAACCGATTGATGGATTCCTGCCAAACTTTGGTCATGTATGTATCTTACAGAGCCGATGAACTGAGTAGATTTTGGGGTCGCGAGGTCAAAGGTCAAAGGTCACAGGGCTCATTAGGTATGTAAAAACAGCTCGTGATCGCGTTATCTAAAGAACCGATTGATGGATTCCTGCCAAACTTTGGTTATGTATGTATCTTGCAGAGCCAATGAACTGATTAGATTTTGGGGGTCATGAGGTTAAAGGTCAAAGGTCACAGGGCTCATTATGTATGCAAAAACAGCTCGTGATCGCGTTATCTCAAGAACTGATTGATGGATTGCTGCCAAACTTAGGTCATGTATGTTACTTGCAGAGCCAATGAACTGATTAGATTTTGGGGTCACGAGGTCAAAGGTCAAAGGCCACAGTGCACATTATGTATGCAAAAACAGCTCGTGATCCCGTTATCTCAAGAACCGATTGATGGAATCCTGCCAAAATTAGGTCATGTATGTTACATGCAGAGCCAATGAACTGAGTAGATTCTTGGTTCATAAGGTCAAAGGTCAAGGGCTTATTCTGTATATGAGAAATTGCTTGTTATCACGATCTTCTGAGAACCTGTCAATGGATTACAATTGAAATTGAATTCGAAAAATTTCTTCTGTTTTGGTTTGTAAAATTGCTCTATGACGGAGGCATCATTTTCGACTGCGCGCAGTCGAATTCCATCTAGTTTCATATGCTTCTCTCTTTTCGTTGTTTTGTGGTGTTGTTGGAAGAGGTTAAAGTTTAACAATCTATGACATTAAGAGAAACTGAAATGCAATCTCAAATCTTTCTTTTTCTCATGAATTATTCAACGCATGCATGCATGTAGTAAATGGTTAGTGTTAGTAACATTTGATTTTAGCACAAACAGCTTGAATCAGTATAAATATTTTTCAATAATTGTTATTTCTAGCCCAGAGAAGGCATTGAAGGAGTCCTTGTTCGTCTTTGAGACAGCGTACCTCTCAAGATCCTTGTCTCGTCTCTTTGATCCAATCAACCTGGTCTTCCCGAGTGGAGCTGCCTATCCTCCCTCAGAGAGCGAGGTGGAGAATATCGCCAAGACAATTCAGAGGTAATACTGTGGAGAATTAGAGTTGGTCTTCCACAGCTCTATAAGAAAGAGAGATACAGAGACAGACAGACAGACAGAGAAAAAGAGATACAGTGTCAGATAGTGAGACAGACAGAGACAGAATGAGAGAAAAAGAGAGAGTTTGATTAATCATGTTTGTAGAGAGCCAGTAGGTGTTAGATAGTAGCAGTTTAACTCTTCTGCCTCTCTGCAGATGTTGTTCAAGAATATCCTCTATAAAATTGTATGGATTTTATACTTAAATTTTATAGTTAAATTGAATTTGATTGGATTTTATAAATTCTCACTAATAGAGTTCACATCCTTAATGGGCAAGTTTGCATGCCTCCGGTCTAATAATGTTTGACCACCAATAGAAGGGGTATTTATTGTACCATGAAGAGAAGCATGTGTTCTTGGTGCTGCCCTCTGTAATCTACCCTTATATTCAAAGTCACAATGATGAGACCTACACCAGGCAAAAATACAATTTTTTGTTATACCTCCTGGCCAAGAGTTAGTGAAAGAAGAGTTGGTTTAGAATCGATGTGACTGGGGTACATGTATACGTGTTGATAACCAATTATCCATATACATGTGATTGATGGTGCCCTATTCATGTTTGCCATGCAATGTTGACTCTTCAAAAATAATCCTTCTTTAGGTGTTCGTAATTGATTTCAACTATTTTCCTCCATTTGTCCACCAGTGAGCTGAGTGTAGCCAGTGTTGACCCGAACCTGAGCGTACTCGTGGCAAGGAATGCTTCCAAGACTGTCAATCTCTACGTCAACAAATGTGAACAGATGGTAAGATTGGAATACTCTTTGATTATTTTGTAATGAGCCCCACTCAAGGGCAGTGATAATGAACGGAACCATCCATGCTGTGGACAAATTACTTACAAGTTTGTTTTCTCTCTCTCTCTCTCTCTCTCTCACCTCTCTCTCTCTCTCTCTTGCTCTCTCTCTTGCTCTCTCTCTCTCTCTTGCTCTCTCTCTCTATCTCTCTATCTTCCTCTCTCTCTCTCTCTCTCTCTAAATTTAAAGACAAAGAGACATTTGTTCAGTAATAAGAAAATACAAAAATAAGGAGGGAAAAAAAAGGAAACAACTTGGATATTTAGAGAGCTTGTATTGGTATTTGGTATTTTTTAATGATGTTGATGTTTGCCCTTAAACAAGGATGTAGTGTTACTGGTTCTGCTATTTCCAACCCATGACGACTAGGTATGTATGAACTATGATGTATGGGACAAGATTCATTTAGTGTAGGTGGTATTCAAGTCTTACTTGCAATTCTCAGAAAATAACATATAAATCTATCCTGTCACAGTCTTCTCCAATTCATTGATTTCTGTTCCATCTTAATACCTCTATCAGCTGTGTACCGATGGAGATGCCAGCCAGGTGATAGCGCCCCCTACTGCTGGTCAGGCTAAGAATGCAGCTGTGGTGAACTCCCTCTATCAGTTCCACCGTGCCATCAGTAAAGTCACCCAGGCCCTCGGATCGTACCCTGAGAATGCCATCGCTATCATAGAGGGTTCCCTTCAGGTATAGCTTTGGTTTTAAAGGGAACCAAAACCTTCATACTTAGTTACTTTTATTGTATAGTTTAAGATATTTGAATAAAATCAGTGAAAATTTGAACTAAATCGGGCAAGGAATAAGGAAGTTCAAGCTTTTTGAAATGACTAGTCACTAGAGGGCGATATTCAATTTGATGCGTCATTTGTGGACAACTCTCCATGCCTTTTGTACTTCAATTTCACAATTCTTTTTTTTTTTCTTTGTATTTATTTGTGTCCTTGATCCGACTTTATAACATGTGAAGTAGAATATCATTTTGCATTCTACACCTTGCTTTCAGGGGAGTAGATTATCTCAATCACATGAAAGAAGGAAAAACATGAAATTTGAAGTACAAAAGGCATAGAGAGTTATCCACAAATGACGCATCAAATTGAATATCGCCCTCTAGTGACTAGTCATTTCAAAAAACTTTAACTTCCTTATTCCTTACCTGATTTTGTTCAAATTTTTATTCAAATATCTTGAACTTTACAATAAAAGTACTTAGTATGAAGATTTTGGTTCCCTTTAAGTGTTACTAAAGTGAGACTATAATCAATAGTTGAAAAGAATTTTTGACTGTTTGACGAGAAAAAAAAGTTGATGCGGTGATCACTGGAGAATTTATAAAACCTCTAAATTGCCTTTGATCCTTCTGAACTAATGGCAGTGTGACGATGCATAGTCACTAATAGTTTGAAATTTTACAATGTTTTTGTCAGTGTTCTAATTGAATGTAATTTAATCATTTTTTTGTCATGCTTATCTGAACAGACATAATGAATATGCTAATAGAATGCGTATGAACTGGAATGATTGATTCTGATAAAGGGGATGAATAGAATATATTCATATAGGATAATATTATAAACCTCCTTATTTCATATAAATATTTATTTATATATATATATATATACATATCATATCTTTAGTGGTGGAAATTAGTCATTACTTTCCAATTTATTAGAACCTAAGTACATGTATATGCAACTAGTCATCCATTCAATTACACATTGTTTTGTTGTTTTATCTTCCTCTTATAGAATGTAGTATCCATAATGAGCAATGCAATCCAGCCTCTGTTAGCATCCATCGCTGACTCTATTGAAGCCATCATCCTCACCATGCACAGTGAGGACTTTAAAACGTGAGTATTATGGGGTGTACCAACTCATTGACATCATCTCTGCTTGGTGTAGTTCAGTGATAAAGAGTGACGGAAATGATATGAACTGTACTTGCGTATATGATGTAAAAACTGCAAAACATAGAGAGAGGGGGGAGACAAGAGGAAGATAGAGAGAAAGATAGACAGGTAAAGAGATGAAAAGACAAAAAGAGAAAAGGAAGAGAAATGAGAGGGATGTAAGTACATGAGGAGAGAGAGGGAGGGAGGGGGAGGGAGGGGGAGAGACAGAGAGAGACAGAGAGACAGACCGTCAGAGACAGAGAGAGACAGACAGACAGTCAGTCAGTCAGACAGACAGACAGACAGACAGACAGACAGAAAGAAAAAGAGGGGGGGGGGAGGAAGGAGATGACAGTACAGTAAAACAAGCAGGTAGATCTAAATGGTAGAGAAAGTGAAAATGTAAGGGAGGGTAAAGAAAAATGGTATAATCTGTAGATTAGTGAGACTGCCGACAAGGGGGAAATGAGCTGAAATATGTGTTTTTGATCAGAAAATAATGACATAACATTGTTCTTTCATATTTCTATACAGTGCACCTGTTCCTAAGGATTCTCCCGATGCTCCATGCTCTCTGTACATGAGAGAGTTACAAGGATTCATTGCCAGAGTACAAGCAACTTATCTCTCTCAATTCAATTGCACAGATTTCATCATAGACAGGTTAGTGTTGCACATCACCTAAATGGATGATTTTGGATCATGTTCACTTTCAAATTTCAGTATTGACTAAAGAAATTCCAGTTAAGGCTAAATTTCATTTCAGATTTGCATCATTTCACAAGATATTTGTCAGGTCTTTGTAAATCTTCTTTCAATTGAACAACGGTGAAATTATTATAATCCTTCCTTTTTCCCAACTGCATAACCAAAACACATTATATTTCCTCGGGAGTTTCCTCAAGGCTTGTTCAGATATGAAGAGGTGAATCGTGACTTTTAACAAAATACAATGTCCTTTGCATTTTCAACGAGATCCGTGTTTAAGTTTGAGAAGTGTGAAGCATATTATACTCTTGTCATTATAGTTAAACGAACTGCACCAATTTACAATTTCATATCTGTACAAGGCTCTTAAGTATATTCATGTTTTCCAGTTGACTATTATTAATGAGATCCATGAAATAATACAACATTTATCATTAATCTTGAGCATTTGCCTTGACCATTATACAATGAAATAAAAGCTCCATGTTCCTCTTTGTATCACAGCTTACATAGCATAGCATGTGAAGCCATTAAACTGTTTGTAAGACATGCTAGTCTACTGCGACCGCTAGGTGAGGGAGGCAAGCTGAGATTAGCAGCTGATTTTGCTCAGGTAGGTTGGTCAAAATCCTTAGCATCATGAAAGTAGGACCATGTATTCAGTCTTTAAATTTAATGTACTATGTGATGAATATACAATCTTATTGATATAACTTATGGTGAGAAACTGTTAATGTTGTTGGTGTATTTCCAGGCTAATGTCTACAAGTGCATTTTTTCTTCAAAAAAAAGTAAAAGTATCAAACGTTTTCAACGATGTAAAGTGCTGTGAAACAACAATTGAGTGATATAAGAGCACTGTAGATCAAAACTTTTTGCATTGTATTGTAAAAGCACTCTATAACGATTAGTAACATGTGTTTTGCTGTTTATTATTTTAATATGACATGGCAATGTACATATGTATAATGTTATAACAATGATGAAATAAATTGTGAACCATTAAAAAAGAAAAGAAGAATAGGTTGTTCTGAGCGTGAGTGTTTTTTCTGACACAATTTTTTCCTTCTATTTCCCTTTTTGACATCACAAAGATGGAGCTAGCAATCACGCCTCTGTGCAGACGACCCTCTGACCTAGGTCGACCTTACAAGCTCCTGAGAGCGTTTAGACCGATGCTCTTCCAGACACCTGAACACATCTCAAGCAGCTCGGCCTTGGGAGACATCATCCCTTATTCAACTATCCTACAATTCCTGTTTGCTAGAGCACCTTCAGATCTCATGTCACCTCACGAGGTTAGTACATGACGAGGGTTCAGTGACACAAAGACGTAACTCTATATTTTGCCAAAATAAGTATTTTATATCAAAATGTTCAGAAAATGTGGGCTTTCCAGGAAACACAAAAAATTAACTCCACCCAACACCTCATTGCAGTCAGTGGCTAGTGAAACATAGACTTAAATCCTTAAGGCCCAAGTGCTCAGTGACAAATAAACCACTTTTTCTCAAAATGGCCAAAATGGAGTTACGTCTTTGGGTCACTGACCCCTCGATTACATTTTGAAGGTAAAATAGAGCTTATTTGATTTTGTGCAAAGAACGAAGTACAAACGTAGTCGGTTTTTGTTACACAAGTCACACACACATTTTATAGACAAAATTACAGGATTTGTGTCCTACCAATGTTATTGTTGATTGGGGTTTACATGCTTACGTTCATCGTAATAATGTGGAACAAATTATGCAAGCTATGTATCGTTTTAAATGCTCCTTGTTGTTGCAGTAAGTTACACACAAAAGATTTTATTACAAAAGCTTGATTACAACGATTAAAGCATTCATAGCTCAAGATAGAATTTCATTATACTAAGGGCTCAATTCATGTTCAAACATATTTTACAAGGACCTACTTAGGTATGTCATGTCATATGATTATGAAAGAGAATAATTTTATATTTCCTATACTATCTGTATGATTACAGGTTGCTGGGTGGTCTACTTCAAGGTACTCTCAATGGATGAGTGAACATGCAGCAGAGAAAGAGAGACTTGCATTGATCAAGTAAGCTTAGAACAGTATTGTTCTATACCATCATCATCTCAGATGCCTTCCTTTTCACAGCTATCTCAATGGCAGTTAATTTTCAACTGTGGTTGACTGCGTAAAAATAATTTATTATTTGACATTTTGTCAGTTAAAAAGTAAAGTTGTTGAATTGTTCATAATCCATGGTCAAATACATGTTGGAAATCTTGGAAGTTAGACATTTCAAGCCATTAATGATTTTTGTAATCCTTTAAAGTACAACATGTACCTACAAGACTACGCAAAATAAATGTGTAGGTCAACATACATCATGATAGAAAATATACATCATCATGAACTCTTGGTTTGTAGTTTTCCATTGGTATCATATTATTTAAATTAATCTTTTTAAAGTGAGTTACACCAAATGTATAATTATTTTGTACTTGTTCATCACACAGAGGCACTCTGGAGGCCTACGTTCAGTCTGTAAGACAGAGACAAGGAAAGGAGTTTGCCAGTATCTATCCTGTCATGGTGGATCTCTTACAAGCTGGACTCAAAGCTGTAGAGAAGAATGGATGATCTACAAACTTTGTCCCGAAGAACGAGACTGTCTGGACCTACACTCCAACCCCCATGCACACAATGTGGATTGTACAAGCAGTGTTTACATGAGATTATCATGTGCCCAGTAGAAGGGTGTAAACACATTCTTTTGTTGAATGTCTGAATCGCTTAGTTCTTATTGCTGAAGAGATTATACTACTGCTAACAATTTGGATGATGATGATGATTGGCTAGATGTAGGTCAAGAACATTCCAAACTTGGTATTGTGATTTTCTTGAAGTATACATCTATTGACTGTACATCTGTTCTATTGCAGAGCACAAAAAACATGGTATTTAGAAAAGTAAGATTTACATGAGGTACTCTGATACTGTGTTACCAACTTTTAGGAGACTCAGTGGAAGAAGGATGGGGCAAATCTACAGTATCTGCAGACACTTGAGAGGCTAGCCACAATATCAAGGATTTTATTTTGGAATAGTTTTATCAAAGATGTACTCAATTGAGCAGAGTGCATGTAGGTGAGGTGTGATCTACCTTTTATGCGCATTATATCCACAGGTTTATAGAGCTCAAAGCTGCATATTTCCTTGAAAAACTTTAATAAGCATATCATGTATTCATTTCAAGGAACATTGATTGGCATTGACTCAAAGCTTTTTATGTTTTATGATTTCACTTTTCCAATCAGCAATAAAATTCACTAAACTTTTCACAAATGTTATAACCAATTTGATTGCCAAACTGTATCAAGTCTTGTATTGTTTATCCATATTGTTACTTTATAGTTAATTTATTTATTACTTGGTAGTATGTTGCCTGCATACATGCATTTGCCACTGACGTTCATCATGTCTCAAAATCATTGTTCCATAGAAAACGTGCATTTATTGCAATTTTGTTTACTGTTTATCAACATATTGCTTATTTTTCTCAATAATGTCTACTCTCTTTCTCATAAAAGACTTTTACAATTCAATAATAGTTCTCAGAGTTTCTTATCAATTCAAATCGATTGATTGGACTTCGCTTTTATCAATGTTGTGTAAAAGGGAAAAATTTGTTAGAATTTTGCTTGTAAAAACAAACAACAAATGATGAATGAAAAATGAAAGTTCAATAGGATGTATTTGATTAATTCCAAGACACATTGCAATCATGAATATTATCATTTATGGAAACCTCTTCCTAAAGACCTGATATACAGATTTTGTCTTTACTTTTTACCATTCTTTTTTAAATATATTGATACAGGAAAGGCTTATAAAGCTTCCATAAGAAGTGGTGTACATATAGATCTGAAATTTATATTATATGAAGAAGACTGAATAAAAAGATGTAAAACTATACTTTGCTTTATGATTGTGTTGTGTATTATTGATGTGACGAAGAGGCCAGATGGTAAACAGATGTGCAAAAAGGTGACCATAGAGGATGAAGCTGACTAGAGAGGGTGAGGAAAAAAGACAGAATAGGGAAGAGAAAAGTAGAAAGGTCGAGATAGAAATATAGAATTGGCAAGAGGTTTGAGTAAAGTGAGGAATACTCACAGAAAAAGTAAGGAAAGAGACAAGAAGGGAGGGGAAAAGAAAATATTGTGAGAGTAAAGTAAATGTGTCCATGTGCATTTATCAATTTTTACCTTGTCTCTCTTCTACAAATGTTAAATCTATTTACAGCTCTCTTTGTCTTCTTTCCTCTTCCTCCCCCTCCTCTCTCTCCCTTTCTCTCTCTTTCTCTCTCTCTTACACCCCATTTGTCTCTTTTTCCTCCCCTTGGCCTTGTCCCTTGCTCACTTCCTGAATCAATGAATAAACAATTAACTCAGTTCAAGTCAAGTTCAAGGCAGTTTACTTGAAATAGTAAAAAATAGAAGTATATACAGTATTTGCATGGAATGTAACCCGATCACCACATCAAAGGGTCTACTTTAAATAGACTGCACCCTTTTCAAATATGTATCTCTGTTCTATGTTTTGGAACTACTGGTATCCCAAAATTTATAATACAAGATTTGTCTCCATGGACAACCTACATTCACTCTGTATTACTTTTTCAGAGCAACCTTAAAATGGTTGAAATATTTCTGGTCACGTGAAGAGCCCTAAACCAATCCAAAACCAATATATTTTTAATGCAGGATTTAATAACTACCCGGTACTTCCCAGCCCAAAGGCTAGAAAGACCTTTAATGTTTGACAAATGCAGAAACTATATGTATCAAACTCAGCCTTTCTTAAAGGCTGAGAAAAAAAGTACATCACTTTGGGAGACCTTTATATATTTGAAATTCTTTGACACTAGCACTTCTTATGTTAGATAACAGTTAGAGTAAATTACGATCATGCGAGTTGATATTACATAGTACTCGTGTATTGCACAATAAACAACAGAGATTGTCACAGTTTAATATACTTCATTAGGTGGGACAACTGTTTCTTTATCTAGCCTCTCAAGCAAAATGTTCTTCATAATGTTTGCATCTTATCAATCAAAGAGCTAGAAAAAAAATTAAAAAATGTTTCGAACAAGAATTTTCCCCCCTATGGCAGTGAGGCAATCAATTTTAGAAAAATCCTCTATCTAAACAACATGTACTACACGTTCATGGTATTCATGACATCACAAAGGTAAAGATATTAGAAATGAACATTGCAACCAAAGATACTATTAACATTTTTAAGTCAATGAAATAATTTGAGTTGTAGATAATGAAATGGCATAGTCAAGCAAATTAATAACATTCAGCAGCATGTAACAAGAAATTCAGTTTGTTATCTACATGTATTTCTTGTTTTTGCAAATATATATTGACAAGTATATTTTTCATTAAAATTTTCATGGGGGAGGGGTGCATATATTTCTGTGGGTGTTTAGTTTATACTTGCAGTCCATGCCACTGTGTATTAAGGTGGTTATAGGTTATATATGGTTAATAGTAACTCACAAAAATTGTGCAACCAAAGGAACATGAAAAACAAGCCTCAGGCAGTGTACCAAACACATCATGTGACCTTTTTTATGATTAGGATGCTACAACAACAACAACAAAATTATTAACATTATCCGATATTTACTGCTAAAAATCAAAACATTATCAATAATTGTGAACACCTTTAAAAAATAAACAGGTGTCACAAACCAATGTGAAATAAGTTGCTTTTCAGAGTTTCAACTAGTATGCCATGCTTCTGATAGCATTTCTATGAAAGACAGTTCAATACATGTACTCTAAAAACTTCATATTGCTTGACTGATAAGTATGTTACATAATGTTGATTCCATCTGAAATGAGCAGTCTTTCTCCTTACAGATCATTTACTTGACATTCATATCATTTAACTTTTAGATCCATACATACATGTAATCAATTTAACTATTGTAATTTATACTTAGAACAAGCTACCCCTCTGATGATCCTGTCTCCTCCTGTACACATCAGTGTGCTCTTTCGATTTTTATGCATTTTTTCCTGGAGGTCATTACTGTGAAACAGTGAAATGGTTGCACCTACTCAATTATACATAGCATACATGGTATATTTCCATCTATCATTTCTCCAATTTTCTGATTTCTATCACTGTCCAAAGTTAAAGTTAGTGGCTAGCAGACCTCTGCCTCGACCTCTTCCTCTGTCTCGACCCCTCCCCCCGCTGAATCCCCTTCCGTTTCCTCTAAACCCCTCTTGATACCCTGGGGAGTGCTCTTCTGGCGTCTGTCTGGGTTTGTGAAACCCTCGACCAAATCCAGGAGACGGATAAGACCTGTACTGATCCCTCTGGGCATTCTGAAATCCTGCATTGGAAGCGATTGGAGGGCTACCTTTGGCTTGTTGAGCCACTCCCTGAGGGGATCTTGGACTCTTAGGACCGGGTCCTTTCTTACCAACGTTAGGCTCAGCAAAAGCGGAAGCACTGGCCACCAGTCCCCTTCCTCTGCTGACGTACTTTACAAAGTCTCCTGTACCTCTGGAATTATTAGACGAAGGTGAGAACTGAGAAGATGAAATTTGTTGACCTTGTGACTTTCCTGTGCTATTAATTTTTGAGTCATTATCACAGAAATTATTTGCAGAGGGTTGGACAGGAACAGCGGTAGCAACTTGAAATCTTGCATTCATTCCAGAATTCAGAGGATGCCCTCTTTTCTCTGGGTTACTGTGGTGATGTCCTGATGCCCAAGAAGAAGCACTGAAGTCTTCTCCTGTCTCTTCATCCGAATCATCTTTCATACTGTTCACTGAAGTGTGATCAGATACAGAGTTAACATGATCTCTTACACGGGACTGTTCAGTACCTTGAGGACTAGATTTACTTGGCATTTGCCTCTCCGTTTCCCTCCATGGCACTTGTCTTTGACTATCTTGGTAACGTCTTGGAGATTTCTTGGAACTGGGAGTTGCTCTTTGAGAATTCCTGTTCCTAACATCACCCTGCTGGCTAACTCTTCCAGATGTTGGATTAGGTGAGGCTGACACATGGTCATCTTTATAGAACACTTCTTCCTCATTTGATCTTTCACTTTCTCTTCTCCGTGTTACTGGTCTAGACCATTCCCTGTCAGAGCCAGAGCTACTGTGATGATTTCTTCCTTCTCTACCTCCAGACCTCTCACTGTCTTGTCGTACACGGGCACCCATACGCTCAGGTCCAAACTGTCTCCTTTCCTTCTCTACTCTCTCTGTAATATCCCTCTCCCTAGAGGCTGTGTCTACTGGCTTCGCTCCTCCGAAGATGGAAGATGCACTAGCAGCCTTGTTAGGACTCTGTTCAATCGGCTGTGTTCTCTTCTGCAATACCAGCTTCTTGCGCTCACAGGGAGGCTCTTCTTTTAAAGGCCGATAATCAACTTTGCCTCCTCTCCTTGGAGGATGCCCTCCTTCACTTCTCGTCCTGCCATTTCTTCTCTTATCTCTCTCATATCCTGATCCTATGAGAGGCATACAAGGAACATCATTTGGAATAGCACTTTTCTCGGGATGAATGGTGTTTGATGGATAGATCTCCTGCGATCCTTGGTCACTCCCAGCTGATGAAATGTCACTATTGATGATGACATGGTCAGGTAAGGGGTCACCAGTGGTGTCATACCATCCTCTACTCGGATCTGTCAAGCCATCTGCGTTTGGAACGTCCTCTTCCATTGGGCACCAAGGCGTGGATGATGTGACCTCTGAAGCATCGCTGTCATAGACGTCCCAGATCTCTGTTGCTTTCTTCTCCTCCTTGCTGACTACTACCTCTCCTTGTTCTAAATCTCTTTTCACATGTTTTACTTCAACAACGGGAGAGCTGCAAGCTGGAACATCACTGACAGTATCTGAAGAGTTGCTTGCTTCTGTATTCGAAACATCTGCCCTTTCCTGTATCACACTTTGTACAATATCCCCGTCATCACCTCCATCCACAAGCCTCTCTACACTATCATCAAAATGACTGTCAGCTCTTCTGACATCGCCCTCTTCTTCTGTGACAGACACTTTGTGTTCTGAATAAATATGCTCTACAGGACTTGAAGCTCCATCTTTTCCCACCTCGCCACTCCCCTTTGCCAAGGAATCCACCTGCACCCGCTCACTTGTCTCAGGTACTTCTATGATTTGCATTGGTTTTTCAACCACTTCCTCATCCTCCTTTGGATGCTCTTTTTCTGCAGTATCTTGGATGCTCTCCTCTTCATCTCCGTCCTTCTCCTCTCCCTGTTGACCGTCCAATCTCTTCATTGTTTCCTCACTTGGTGGCTCACACCCTACATAGGCACCATTCTTCAGACAGTACTTCAGCAGCGCCCTCCAGTAATAGTCCTGCAAAAAAGAAGATGACATCATACAAAAAATACTAATCAACATATCTCTCATTCACACACTCAGATACACTGGGATATGATGGTAAATGCGAGTCTAAAATCATGAAAAGTCACATGGCCAAGATCGACAAGATACTACACAGAAATGACATAACCAATGACCAATAGTTCATTGGTCGGGGCTGATTTGGCAGTGTGACGGCGGTATTACATTGTTTCCATTATTGAAAACTGTTCGTTCATAATGTCTAGTTCCAACTTCACATTTTTAAACAATTTTCTTTCTTTTTTTACCTCGAACAATAAAATCTACAGGATATCTATTTACTGATGTAAATGCAGCAAAATTGCTTAAGAACAATATAAACGGTAGCATTCCAACTTACATTGACAAGAAGATGTGGATTTCCAACCACGATGAGCAAAGCTTGGGGTCGAGTGATGGAAACATTGAAACGTTTTGGGTTGCTAAGGAAACCAAGCTGATGACGGAGGTCAAAGGCCATTAGACTGGAACTTGACCTCACCTAGGGACAGGATTAAGATGAAAAAATAAGTATTTTTCTCACACAAACTTGAATATTGCTGCATATCTTATACACATTTAGTTGTGCAAAACAAACAAAACTAGATGGAATTCGACTGCGCGCAGTCGAAAATGATGCCTCCGTCATAGAGCAATTTTACAAACCAAAACAGAAGAAATTTTTCGAATTCAATTTCAATTGTAATCCATTGACAGGTTCTCAGAATATCGTGATAACAAGCAATTTCTCATATACAGAATAAGCCCTTGACCTTTGACCTTATGAACCAAGAATCTACTCAGTTCATTGGCTCTGCAAGTAACATACTTGACCTAAGTTTGGCGGGAATCCATCAATCGGTTCTTGAGAAAACGCGATCACAAGCTGTTTTTGCATACATAATGTGCACTGTGGCCTTTGACCTTTGACCTCGTGACCCCAAAATCTAATCAGTTCATTGGCTCTGCAAGTAACATACATGACCTAAGTTTGGCAGCAATCCATCAATCGGTTCTTTAGATAACGCGATCACGAGCTGTTTTTACATACCTAATGAGCCCTGTGACCTTTGACCTTTGACCTCGCGACCCCAAAATCTAATCAGTTCATCGGCTCTGCAAGATACATACATGACCAAAGTTTGGCAGGAATCCATCTATCGGTTCTTCAGATAACGCGATCACAAGAACGGGACGTACGTACGGACGGACGGACAACCCGAAAACATAATGCCTCCGGCTACTTTGTAACGGAGGCATAAAAACATCAAATTACTGATTATTCAACATTGAAGGATAGAGAAAAAACACTCTGTCATGCAGCAAAAAATATATAAAAAGAAGAAAAATATTTTATGAAAAGCCCAAGGGTGTGTCCTAATTTGTACTTCATGCAGGCAGTTCAGGCATTACTCAAAAAATACAATACACTAAAGATAAAAATTAATGACTTGACCCCATCATAATGAATGAGTAAATAATGTACAAGAAATCAGTACACTATATGCAAACACTCACAGTAGATATGATGATGACTGGTCTCTCTTGGCCCTGGAACTCTTCAACTGATCCTACTTTGGTGTCCAAGATATCCACACTGTCCAGGAGTAGATTCAGCTTATCAACCTACAAAAAAGTTAAGAAACAATAAGAGGGTAACAAGAAAATTGAAACAAAAGCTTCAGAGGAAAGTAAATCATTCTAAACTGATGGATTGAGGCTTATTGAAGTGATGCTTTAAGCTGTAAAAAAATATAATTTATACTTTAAAACCTTATAAGAACTAAAGAATATATTAAAATGTATGTAATCTGTACCACAAGCCATATGAGTGTAGCCCAATCATTTTGAACACTTAATTTGGGGTTCAAAGGTCATAATTTTCAGCACTGGAATGGCATTTTTATCATCAGACATGGTATTTTATCTGCATAGCTTCTCTCTACCTGGGTTCATAACTGAATACCAAAAGGGATGTCAACATTAATGTGGCTGGTGTAAAATGGGGAAAGGATGTTCAGGTTGCTCCCCAAGAAGAGGAGAGAAGTACTGTCAAGTATTGTTTTTATTTCAATGTCAGAAGTAACAATGAACTGTAAAATGCTTTGATCAGTACATTGTGTACTTGGAAAATGTATTTATTTTACAAAGTTCTTTCAAGAAGTTACATGTATCATTATTAACCTACCTGTTTCCTGTATGGTGTGATGATTCCTATGTCAGTCTCCTTGAGGTTCAGTTCAGAGCAGCTCAAAAGATCCTGAAGGTATGACACTGCCTGAACGGCTTCAGCTGGGTTGCACCAGGATGGGCTGTTCCCTTCCTTTAAATCAGCTCCCTGTTCATGGGAAAAGTAAAATTGTATTAGAAGAAATCCAGAAGAAAATTATCAAAAGTTTGTGAAATAAGGTAATATCAACAATTCAAATAGCATTTTACAGAGATTCATTTATATAATTTTTCAATTTTTTATTAAAAAAAAATTGTTGATGCATTTTGATGCTGTGTGAAACCCAAGCATTTTCTTTTGCTAACAAAAAGTGCAACAAAGACCCTGTGCTCATTCAGTGAGATCTAAGAGCACATTTTTTTTGGTCACCCATTAGCACAATTTTTTATTTATTTTCTATTAGAAAAAAATATTGAGGGGGGGGGGGGTTCCTCCAAAACAAACACAAAAAAAAACTAGTTTTCTCAGAAGGCCACATCATTTTAGGGAAGTCCGTTTTTATCATACCTGGATCCCATGAAAGAGAATGGGCAAACCATTCTTGTTAGGGAGCTTGTCCCAAGCACAAGCCATCTCTCTCATCTCGATACTGGCACAGGCATTGAGCTCGTCGTGGTAGAAACACTGAGAAGGAAGCTTCAGCAAGGCAGGGTGGGATCGGTAATTGTTCACAAGCTTTGTTACCTAAACATTGAAAGAAAAGAGAGAAACCCTTTGATCATCATTACAAGAAAAGTAATGATAATAGTGAATACTTGCTGAGTTGTAGTAATTATTGTCCCCCCCCCCCTTGGGATTCTAGTATACATTTTAGATGAAATGTTTACTTGACAGGAAGGTGGAAGACTGTAGAAGGCATCTTCTGAACAATGCTTTTTTTGTAAAACCAATTACTATTAACATATTTGAATACAAGTATTATTTCATATTTTGCAGGAACCCATCAATAGTATTTAAGTTATCATGTGGTAATCCTTGGGAAAAAAAACTAACAGATGTGGGGAATACATGTAGTATTCTATCTCATTTACAAACTCAACTATACTGTCTCTGACAACAAGCATTTCTACCATATTGACAGTTTTTACTAAACGCTAATTACTGCCAATAATAGGATTCACTTTCAGATCAATTAAGGTTAATGGAATCTGATTTTATGATATGAAATAAACGCATATCTAGACTTACCAGCAGTGGATTGTAGCCACCATGGTCCCTGAATGTTTTGCTATCTCTCTGATACATGTCTCGTTTCATCATTCTCTCTAGCAGTGACTGCTCTAAGCCTAGTTCACCAGCCTGAGAACTGGCTAAAACCGGTCCTAACTGCATTGGATCACCGGCTAGAACAGCCTGATAAAAAGCATTAAAGATTGAACTATCAAGTGATGATCAAGGTTCAAGTTTGTTTTTTTAATTGAATTTCAATTCAAATCATTATATATGTGTACTTCAGACAGATAATAATCATTTTTTCTCAAATTATCCAGGAAACAATATGCTAGGAAAAACATCTTGAAGATATGATGGAACCAGAAATACCTTCAGTGTCAGAGGAAGAATTAAGGATAGATTATTCTCTCCTAAATAAAGGATAACTGAAATATTTTACTTGTGAATTTGTGAATAGCATACAGTTTTAGATTTCAAGATATTAACTTACATAGACTTAACAAGGAATGAGTAAATCAGAAATCAGTTCTATATTAAAGATAAAGGCAAGTTCTGGTAAAAAAAAGAAGAAAATGAATTCTCACAGAATCAAACTGAATGTTTAAGATTACAAATAAATGTCATTTGCCAAACGGTTTTGGTAGAAAATGTATACTGGCTGAGTAATGAGCATAGAAAGATTAGGAAATCAAGGTTAGTAGCCCGGACACCATTTGTGCAGTCCCATAAACATCTTTCAGTGTACAGTGCTTGTTACTCTAACCAAGACTGGGCCAAATTTATTATGATTTTGATGACTCCAGTACACACCAATACTTACATGTTACATGATCAACTTTTTCTGATCCATTCCACACCTTTTCTTTCACAATACAATCGGATGACCAGAACTCACCTTTATCTTTAAGATATACGACAATCAAGATTAATACATGTAATATGTTATCCACTCACTTGTCCATCAGGCCCAGCAGCTAGCCCTAAACCAACAAGAGCCTCGGGTTCAGTGGCTTGCCCCGCCTCATCTATTATGACATGAGTGAAATGACCAGGTTTCAACCCAAGCGAATAGAACGATCCCCCTGTAGAACAAGTGCTGATGATGATCCTATGGTGTCCTACAGCTTGAAGCTCTTCTCCATTGCTGCAGTACTGTAGGATGCACTCTGGTATGTTCTACAAAGACAGAACAAAAATAGAAAATAGGAAATACTGTAAAGAGATTGCCTGCTGACAAACATGATATGTTAATGATAAATCTATTGCCAAGAACGGTATATTTTCATCTTTCGATTATTTTTTATAACCATCTATGGCAGACATCATTTGATGAACTAATGCAAAATACATGAAGAGAATAGCAAAATCATACACATGCAAAAAGAAAAAAAATAACTTAGCAAAGGCATCGCATGTTTCCCTCTGAAATAATACAGGCTTAAGTACATGTAACTTGCATGGGCAAAGAAATAATTTGATGTACTGTATATGTACATTAGGTTTTGAGAATCAGTGCATTTACTTTCTGTGGATATCAATTCTTATATGCAGTTAAAAGTAACCCTTACCACGTCTGACCTTCGGAAGGAATTCAGTCTGACCATGTCTATTTTCTTCACCGCACCACTCTGATGTAATCTTTCGGCCTGCGGAGAAAAACGAATATCAATCAAAGTAAGATTCCATGTTTCACATACTTTAACACTGAAATACACAGGTAAAATCAAAGGAAAAGGGTGTAATGCATGCATCAGGTAAAGTCTTTTCCTTTCAATACCATCTTGTCTTGAACACCACAAATCATAAAATTATGCTCTTCATAAACTCTTCATACCCCTCGAATTAATTCACAGGTCATGGGTAGTACCTTTAGAATCTTGAAACAATAACAAGTGCAGTGTTTTTTCTCCAAAGATATACAAAAAACAAAGCTTGAATTGACTTTGTCATGACTTACCAAGAGATCTGCAGCACTGTTGGAGGGTGTACAGGCCAGGATACGACTTGATGGTAAATGGTGGTGAATCTGCAGAATAGTTTCCACTACAGTTATCGTCTTCCCCGTTCCTGGTGATAGTCAAGAAATAAAAATATAGACAATCGTTAACAGTGGCATCATAATCTAGACGTTCCTCTCATAGTCATGGCTTCAAAAAAAGGGCGAGAATCATTTCAGGAATCTTTTTGATTCCTAATCCTAATCCTAATCCTAATTTTTTGGCTCCTAATTCAAATGAATCATTACGGCTGATTGAAAAGACAAGACCACTTCTTATCAGCTGTGAAAGGCCTTTCAGGAATTTAAAACTGATACTGTCATACCGGTACTTGAATGTTAGACTCTGTGATCTCACTCTTTAGAAATACTTATATTGTGATTGTGAAACAAACAAAAATTTAAAATTGATTTAAAAAAAAAAAAGGATCTGAGACTTTTGTTGTATAAAACAAATGACGCATGTTTTCAATTATTCATTACAGGATCTATCCGCTCTTGTTTAGGTTGTTTTAGCACCTATCGTACCCAGCCTGACAGCTTTGTGCGATAGATACATGCAGCCTCTACTCAAGTGCAGATAGATTGTATAATGAACTCATTCGAATGCATCATTTGTATACTATATAAACTTGTGAACATTCTGAAAATGTATCAAACTAATATATTAAGATGTTTTAAGTGGATCAGGGTGAAAGGTACTTACCTGGAGGTCCAAATAGGATGTAGGGAGTTGGTCTACCTTCTCCTTTGAGTATTCTCATGACGGCAGACCTCTGTCGAGCATTCAGCTTATTGTTAAAGAACTCTGCCTTGTCATCACCATCACCACTCTCTGTCATCTCCAATGTAGTAGCTACTCCATCCAAAAGGGCATTGGGTACAAGAAACTTGGGTTCTTCAGAGTCTTTGTCAACCCCTGAGGATTTCCGAGCTAATCGGATGTCCTGGCTGGCATCTGTTCCAGTAGATCCTGTGCTGCTCTCGATGGTGCTTTCGAGGGTACCTTGTGGCTGTGAGGACTCTTTTGTAGCACTTGTCCCTGATGGGAAGTGTCTTTGAATGTTCTTTGGAGTGGGTAGCTTGATGATAGTCCTGGGACGGCCTGGATACACAACTGAACGTTGGATGATCGCAAAGGTGATCTCCACTTGCGGGGACTTGGCTCTCAGCTCACTTGGAAACAGGACTACAAGAAAAAAGGAAATAATTTTCATAAATAAACAAATACATATCATCAAGTCTAACAATAAAACTTGAAGTGAATAACAAGTCATATGCTGAGATTACACAGAAAAGACACTTTGATTAGAGTGTTCTGTTGTCAATGATAAATAAAACTGAAACCATAGATATTCACATGAAATGAGGTTTGCAAAAGAACAACAAAAGTGTATGCTATGTATATTCTTTCTCAGGTGAGCTACCAAGAGGTATTCCATATTATATACTAATGGCTAATTCTTTCTCCATCCATATCTTGCCTTTTCATTAGGACGTCTCTATGCATTGTACTGTACTGACAGCAAAACAGCTCAACCAAAATCTGAGGAAGACACTGGTCAAATAATACTAATACCATCATATTTTTGTGAGTGTACATACCTTCTTTTCCTAGGTTGATTGTTGCATACTCAGCGGCTTGGTGGCATCTTCTCAAAGGTGTTCTGAAATTATGAGTACATTTTTTATTTAGATTGAAGTACAAGAAAGAAATCCCACCTACCAGTAGCAAATAATGCCACCTGCCTAGATGAAGCTCAAAATTACCCAATTGCTAAACAAATACATGTACAACATAAGTTAAAGTACAAGCAAAAGAATAGGGTCACACTCACCATCATCATTTACTTCCAATAGTTCATATAACTTGCGGCATAATGTCTCTCTATGCTTATAAACAATTATGTTTTAAATCATATCAACGTGAGCACTGCTTGTGTCTGCCAAGTTATAGCAACACATACATATTACCCATTTCCCACGGAAAAGTAACTTTTTGTATACAAATAATACATCTGTCTTTTCTTCCTCATTCTTTTATACATTGCCAGCAAAAGAAAATAATGTTACAATGATCTCCATCAAGTAATGTTATAAAGCTTTCAGTAGGAAGTTCTTGTAAAAAAAAAAATAATAACAAAGGTGCACATCTTTTAATATTAACATAACACATACTGAGAGCAGCAAGATCCTGTTTACACATAGTAATTACCTTACTGGCTTTCAATTGATGATATATGTATTGAAAGAAATGTGGTCGCTATAGCAGGCATGCAAGTATACCCTTACCTTGAGATGGTGAACATCACACTGAATAGCTCTGCCCCATAAGAATCATGGAAATGAGGATGGAATTTCAAGAGGACATCTTCACCATGCACCTAGGAAGAGAATTATCAAGTTATCATTTGTTGGAGTATCAGGGATAGTCTTATCTAGTTAAACAGACATGTTTCTTATAAATATCAATGATGATCACTAAAAACTATTGCTGATCTATGAAGTATGCTAGGGTATGCCAATATCAGATGTATCATGCTATGTTTTTAATGTTACACTGAAATGTGAAACAACATGATTGTAAGTGTGAAACATTTATTTATTCATTTATTTTTCTGCAAAAAAAAATGTAACACATATTTTGTAAATCATTGTGTTTTCTGACCAATAAAACTTATTAAGATAAAATAAAAAAAATCAAATTTTTATCTTCAGACCAAAAGATAGTGAATGACATCCTTTGTTACTAAAGTAACATAGACCAACCAAAAAGTACATAGTAATGCAATATACGCAAAAGGTGAGTGGCCTACTAAAACCAGCATCAACTCTTTTCCAGTCTTGTAAACAGCATTTAAAATAGAAAAGTATTTACCTCATGGACGAATCCTTCATATCGTGGACTGTTTGGGTTTGAGTAGGGCTCTGTCAAGATGACTTTATCCCCAACGAGAACAGAAGGTCTTCCTTCAGCTAGACCCGGTACCTCTAAGGATAAGAACTCCCCTCTAGGTCTCATACTAGCCTACACATCATAATCAGATTTTAAATCTTAAAATACTAGATAATGACTTTAATGAACTAAAAGATAATACTTTATAGTTTGGTCTTATGTATCCCTTCTTAACAATGCTTTTCCTCAGAGAAAACTGTCATCTCTACTACCTATCACACTGTTTTCCAGTATGAAACTGTACACAGAGACTAAGCATTACTACGAAAGAGTGATAATACTGAGAATGCCATATCTTCTTAAGTGTGTACGTAAGTCCTTTAAAATCATGTTCAGGGTTCCCACTTGGACAGGGTTCCCACAAAAATTTGAGAACTAATTTCCATGACTTCCCGCAACCAGGTAAGTACATATTGTTGTGGGTTGCGGCATCCAAGCGTTGTAGGAATACCAAATTTTCCCATGACTATGAGAACCCTTCTTAGAGTCCTCACAAAATCTGCATTAAAATACAGTCAAACCTGCCTTAAAAATGGTTTCTCATTAAAACATGTACTATAGGAACCTGTCTACAAAGACCACCTGTCTCCTAAGACCACTTTTTGTTTTTCCCTTGGGTGGTCGCTATAGACAGGTTTGACTGTATTATCAAACGTCGTGACACACCTACAGAACACTACTGTAAACGCTGTTATTTTCGAGCGATTAATTTTTCGCGCTGAGTGATTTTAAAAACATATTCGCTGGTCATGTCATAAGAAGTCATGTTTATATTTTCGCTGGTTCTAAATTTTTTGCAGAATCCGCAAAAATTAATGTACCGCAAATATTTCCACGTTTATAGTATCTCATCCATGCTCATATAACGCTTCAGAGAAAGGACCTCTTGAAAAGTTCACTATCAACCATAATAGGCGAGCTTACCCTTTCTATATCAAATTCTCTCATGTCTACTTCCATCTTCAGTTCTTCTATGTGCAGCAGTGCTGAGAAGTATGTGGAGTAGTTCTCCAAGCTCAGAGCCTGCAAACAAACAGTTTAACATGACAATGAAAAAACTTGCTTTAGCAAACAAGAGAGACATCATACAATGGATAAAATAACCTTTAACTTCTGTTATAATATTTAGGTGTATGCAACTTCTATATACTTTCACTTCTTTCCTTGATAACGAGTAAAGACCTATGATTTTTTGTAACTGATAGTCAAAAGTTCAGTTCAGTTTCAGTTTATTTTATTTTTGCAAGGCACCAACTTCAGCCAAAGGCTGTTCTTCTGTAGGTCCGTGCGCAATATAAAAATTACATGTATAATTGTAAGATAACAAATATCATAACATATGAAATATATATTAAAAAACAACAAAACAAAAACAAAAACAAGAACACAAGTATACAAAGAAAAATGAATATGTACACACACCAAGATACTACCCCCCCCCCCAATTCTTTCCAAACAGTGTTTATTTTTGGGGCAGTTCTAAGGTTTTATGAGCATTTCTCAAGCTATAATGATATTCTTTAATAGTCAGTAAACTATTCTTGTATTTTAAGCTATTAAAAAAATTGGATCGGTGCACAGGGTGTTTATAGATCACATAAAACCACACACAGTGCACCATCAAGTCTTTCTGATTGAGACTATAAGATAAACATGGGTAGGGAGGCTATCTGGGAGGGCAGTTGAGAAAAATATTAAAACAAATGTTGTTCCTACAGAGTATTTTTATTACTTTTCTGTCTCTCACACACATTCTGGGTTACTGTTTACCTCCTTTAATTGTGGAATAATTTCAGTGATGTCCCTCTTTTCTGCATACCCCTCTTTCAGCCGTTTGCTGACTGGATACATGGCAAGTTTTACTGGAAGATTTGGGTTAGAAGTTCTGTGAAAAAAGATGAGGATTAGAATCAAGATGAGAAAAATGCAGAGTGAAAATAAAAGTGATTATTGAGCAACAGATATCACGATTGCCTGGAGCAGAATATGTGAACCTCGAGTGATGGAATAGTGAGCAAGATAGAAGTTCTTTTCTCTGAAAATCATTCTATTTTTTTTAAAACTTCATAATGACTCACAATGGAAGGAAGAGTTTCACAACAAAATAAAAATTTACATGTAACCATAATTCCTGACAAAGTTAGCTTGTCAAACTACACAGAATACCCACTACTTTTCCTGCTGAAATAAGGATGTTTTCTATCACCAATTCTTTGAAACACCGACAACAGGTTTTAAAATTCCTGGCTTAGCTAACTGATCTTACATAACATTAACATAACTGCCATTGGCATTTTGGCATGAGACACTATTGCATATTCTCTTAACCCTTTAGCTCACACTAACACTAAATGTAGGTTCTACTAAAGTAAACAACCACAAAAAACCTTTCCTAACCTAGCTCGTCCAAGTCTTGGTACCCCCCCCCCCCCCACAGTATTTTGCACCCAGACACAATAATATATTTTGTATACACTTCAATTAAACACCATAAATCAGATTTACACTACACAATTCTTGATTAACCTGCTGATCAATCTCTTTATTACAGCCCAGTTCCATTCAAACCAATACCAAGAGATTATTTATCAACACTTCACCTTACACCATTAAAAGGTTCCTGCACAACACCATTCCTGACTAACCTGGCTAGACGCACACCAGGTAACACCGCTGGTCCTTTTCCACTGGACGTTATGGCAAATTCTTTCATCCATTTCTCCTTACCGCTTAGTCGGCCAGACGTCTGCAGGGGGTCGTTGCTTACCTGGACAGTAATGGGTATTGGACGGCTGATAGAGCAGGTGTCAAAGGTCAAGACAATCTGGCAGGCAGATTTTCCTACGCTCCTGTAAAGGCAAACAAAAATTGATAGAAACAAAGAAACCACCAATGTTTCAAAACATAATGTATAAGTTTTTATTTAGAAGGCCTTACTAGTATTCAGTATTATTGTTGTCCAAGTGCTAATGTAGATTCATTTAGTCCACATATGAAGGGCACGCTTGTTTTATATATCATATTCAGATAGCAATCCTTGAAATCTCCATGTATTTTAACCCTTCTGATGCCATCAAATGTAATACCTTATCACACATAAAAAAATTGTGCCTCTTTCCACTTTTCATTCAGAAAAAATATTGAATACATGACATCAAAATATAAAGTAAATGGTTTGGAAATTCCAGATAGCAGTGAACAGGTTGATCATTGAACAACATACCTTGCTGTGACTGCTACAGTGAGGCTGATTTTGCTGCCAGATTTGATCTCGATGGATTGGTTGCAGCAGCTCAACCCTGCGGTTTTCTCCACACCCTCTGCACCACCATCGATGGCAAGATTTAAGTCACTCAAAAGGCACACTGCTTCAGCTCGTATAAGCTTCTGCGTTTCTTCACCTGTGTTTCTGATAAGTGTTCAGACAGAATATATATTTAGCAAAACCGAATAAGCTTCTGTTAAAGTTTTGAATTGGAGGATATGATAAAATGGAAATTTTCGATCAACTACAACACATTGGAAAGAATAATCTTTCACCAAAATAGATCACAAGTCGTATACAGAAAAAGAATGAAGGTTTGTGACATTAAGAAGTAAAAAAGTGGATAGTGTACGGATGATGGTCCCACTCCTGCAGACATAATACACTCAAGTGTCTTGTATGTTCAATATTTCATCTTAATTCTATATTTATCTTGACAATGTAGATGTGAAACCTTCCTTTATATAAGGTAATATTTCCTTTGTTAACCCCTCCAGTAACTCCTTCCAAGCTTACCTAACATACACTGTTACCCTTTTCTCTTGTCCGATGCACATCCTGCTAAATTCTCCGCTCACAGTCACTGCTATACCGTTCTCTTTTGTCATCCGCTCTCCTTCTTGAAAGCTGTGGGCAGGAAACTGTTTGGTGAGGACCATCCTATTAAAGGAAAATAGTTAATGACACTTTCACGTGTGAGAAAACAATGTGCTTCTATAACGCAATAGATTTGTTTGTCAGAAAGTCTTCAATCTGTTAATATTTCAATGAATTTGCAAGTTCATCAAGAGTCTTTTTCTTAGTTGAATGCATTTGCTAAAACATTTAAATAATTATATTTTAATCAAAGTATCAAACCAGTTTGTCTTATTGAAGTATGAATCCTTATTTTCCAAAACAATTAATGAACATTTACTTTATAAATAACTAATCAAAAATAAAATATCTAGAACTACCTTTCTTGTTTCTTTAAAGAGACCAAGACAGCTCTCCATTTGCCCTTGCTCTGATCTGATTCAATAGCGTTTCCTTCCACCTGGTCATCACGCTTTGGTACATAGTTCAGCTCACAGGCCCTCCTGGAGAAGAAGATCGTTCCATCTATGAAACCATAGCCTGGGTACACGTGAGTCACAAACCCCTTGAAACGTTTCTCCCGCAATGGCCGAACAGTCTTGACAACTTTGGCTCCTGTCTCGACATTCCTTGTCATTTCAGCAATCAGCCAGTCTCCTCTGTGAGGCAAGAAGCCATAGGGACATGCATCTTGATCATAGAACAAGGTATCATCCAGCCATCCTGATGTCCTCTCTGTCTTGGTCACCTTGCCGATATGCCATTCTGGTTCCTCTGTACCTCCCTCACCATCTTCCCAGTTTGCTTTGGAGATGACGACTTCTGTAGCCCTCAAACCAACATCTTCATGTTCACCAGACTCTATGGTTGCTTCTACCGGCAAGCCAACTTTGGGAGTCATGTTATACAGTACGGCATCATATCTGAAGTGGATTGAATTGTCTATGAGTCCATAGTCCCCATAAACATGGGTGATCTTCCCGTTGATAGTGCTTGTGGTATAGCTTTGCTCTACTACACTCTTGTGCGAATCATCTGTTCCATCTCCCACCTGGAACTGAACAGACTTGGGATAGCTTGTTTGGGTATTACTTGGTGCAGTGTCTTGACCATATTGTGGTTGAACATTTCCATCATAACTGCTGGAGTAACAGGGATAGCTGAGAGGAGTCTCAGTGCCTTCAGATCGGGTATCAGTACCTGACGATTCATCTGACGATTTCTCCTTTGGATGACTGCTACTCCAAACATGCGCTACAGCTTTTGATATCGATGAAAACATCTTGCAGATCAGTTCTTTATAGTTATCACCCTAGTACTTCAGCAAAAAAACATCTGGTAACATGTGGTGTTGACATTGTTGATGGACTAAACTGTAGATTTAAAAGACACAGCAGAAACAGAAACATTAAAAAAAAAGGATTTTCTTAGTAGGGTCTGGTTCACAAACGTGGAAGTTAAAGTGTACCAATCACCTGATATATAATTTGTGTATAGTGGTCTACCGGTAGATAGAATGTATAAAATCAACCTAATTTGTTTTAACCTGGTTTATAGATAAAGGATTAAGGAGAATGAAGAAAATAATGGAAAACATTTGATAACAAGACATACATGTATAGCCCAGGCTAGGCTATAATACAAGCCTCGCACGGAAGGGTTCTGAACCCCAAGTCAAACTTGGGTTCCATGCCTAATCTAGGTACATGACAATCCACACGTCCGCGATGCATCTTTTTGGCACTGCACTCCTAATTCACGATAGATTTCGAGTGCACAGACAGGGCTGTGTTCAAATCGTTAAAGCGCTGCTTACATCATCGAGACGTGGGGAAATTCCACTTCGTCTGGTTCTTGATATTTTTAAGTCTTCAATGGGAAAAAGGTTGATTCCTCATCCTAACCCGATCTATCCATATTGTATCGTTGATTCAACAAGGCGAAGAGAAAATATGCATGCGCTGTAGTGGCGCAGCAAATATAATTATTCATGATATGGACCTTGAGCGCCATTCGCTCGAAACTGCTGAATATGCATGAATCAAAGAAAAAGAGCCATTCTCAACCTCGTGCATATTCAACAATTTCGAGCGAAGACTTCTTCAAAGTTCAAATTGTAATTTCAAGTTGTTGGACAGATGCCCAGAGGAGTCGAAAAACAGTGTAAGTCAAAATTGTAATTACTAGACCTAGAGACTAGAGTCTACCTCTTCACATTATGAAAAAATGTGACCAAACTCGCTGTTTGAATCGTTTTCCTATGTGGGCTCTGGAGCTCCCTCCCTGGACTCTGGAGTTACTCCAGAAGAAGTGACAATTGTTGAGAAACCAATGCGTATGGCACAATAAAGCACACAGCCTGTTGGTGATACAACAGTATGCTAGTCTAGTGCCTACAAACAAACATGTACTAGGCTCGGCCTGGGGAAATCCCGGTATCATGCGCGTGCGTGCACATCATCTGGATTGACTTTGAGTTTTACAGGAGCGCTAGCGCTAGCCACGCCGTGCCTGCCCCTGGGTCCTGCACTGACGGCGGGGCAGCCAGGCTGCATATCATTAGGAATCAACTCAACACACGAACGATTCAGCAACTGTAATACCAATCTTAATAATTTAGATTTACTTTGGCTTACTTTGGCTTACTCCTCTATCGGTACATGTTATAGCTGATGTGGAGAGAATATCAGGCAGAAGGTCTACCAATAATATTTACCTCGATCATCTGAGCTGCTCATCCCGAAACTTCATCATGCACCTTTTCTGAGCTGTTGTTAAAGTAAACAGACAAATCATAAAAGAAAAAGAACTTTCCCCAAGGTTGCTCTTTTTGCGGAGTTACGTCAAAATAATCAAAGAACAAGCCAGATGCCAGCGTGGGGGGGGGGGGGGGTACAGGCGCGAAGCTAGGATTTTATTTCAGGGGGCGAAGCGTGCGACGCTCCCTAGGGGGTGAGAAAAGGGTGTGTGCAGGGAGGGGGAATTCATGTCTTTGACGTTTCATTAAATTATAGAGAAAGAAGACGATTCGATGTACCGTTCTCGACTCTTAATCCTTATCTATATTCATGTTTCCCCTCCCCCTCCCGCGCGAAACGCGGAATACGAAGCTTTGACGTTTCACTGTAGATTAGAGAAAGATCAGGCGATCGATTCACTTTACCGTTCTCGACTCTGAATTAAAAAAAATGTTTCTCTGTCTGCTATTTTTTCTACCTACGTCCTCTTACTTTTTTCTCTTCTATCTGTTTTAGTGGCGTTTTGGGGAGGGCGACGACCCCCACCGCCCCCCGGCTACGTGCCTGGGGGGGGGGGGGACTCAAATATCGGGCCAGATGATAGCATTTTGCCCCGGCATTTTGCATCCTTTACAGATATCGGCAGTGAATAGCTACTGTACAAAGCAAGATACTAAATATGGTTATTCCTATAAAAGGTTTTGAAGCCCAAATAGGCCTACATGTTATTGTGTCGAGACTGTGGTCATGACACTTTATTAACATTAACCTTAATATGTTTAATTTTGTTGTTGTTGACATTTTAGCATTTCAATCCAATCAGATATTTTTTTTAATGGACAAGTCCAAAACAATGGAATAGCTTGAGAGAGAGAGAGAGAGAGAGAGAGAGAGAGAGAGAGAGAGAGAGAGAGAAAGAGAACCAGTGGAAAGATTGGGAAGTGAGTAGGCCTAAATAAGAAAGGAATTACTGTCAGGTGCATGAGTAGAGGGTTAAAATCCCCCACCCTCCTCAGAAAATGACTGATTTGATCTATTGTGATTTAGAGTACACATGTTTGTCTTTAAAAAAAAAGAGGGACAAAAAAAAAATCAAAAATTGAAACCGTGTCCATTTATAGTATAGAGTTTTCCTATAATCTCCGACATTTTTTGTTTTTACCTCTGGGCATTTTTGCCTCTGGCATTTTAACTTCTGGTATATTTACACCGAACCGTATAAACTTTACCTCTGAAATCTAGATTTCAGACATAATAATAATAATAATAATAATAACAATATTTATAAAGCGCAACATATCCATCTCTAGAGATGCTCAAGGCGCATACAAATAATTTAAATTAATATTCAACATAAATTTAACAATATGCATTGAGCATCAGGTGAGTTTTAAGCCCAGTTTTGAAAGAAGAAAGAGTGTTGGCCGTCTGGATAGAGAGAGGTAACTTATTCCACAAAGAAGGAGCTGCTGATGCAAATGCTCTATCCCCTCAATTTCTTTTGGTACGTATTTCTTTAAGTCTAATATTATATGATGAACGTAAACCAGAACGACCTGCAGAACGTGCCACACACGGACGCTTTTCTCTCTCTTTTTTTTTTTATAAAAAAGGTGAGGAACCATTATAAATTGTATCACACTATATTCCTATGCCCCGTTCTAAAAATGCTCCTTTCAGAAATGATCTCGAACGTGCAATGCCAATAAATTCAATATGGGTTTATGATGCAAATACAAGTTTCATAATGGGGCGTGACCATAAATCGCGCTTGTAGCTAAAGGAACCAAGTTCAAGAGAACAGTTCCCATTTTATAAAAAATAATCGGCAAAATTTCATTAACTTGTTATACCAGTTACCACCAATGGAAGAAGAAACCTAAAATGACCAATAAACGTGTCTTCTTCTTTAAACAAAAACACTGTAGTCTAGAAAGAAAAGAGAAAAACATAGTCAGTTTGAACGAAAAACAAATGGCAATCAAACGAAATCAAATAGTTGGTGAAGACTCCCTTTCAGTGGAACACCAGCAATAAAACGGATCATCAGGAGATCGCGAGAAGGAAATAATATTACAACTTTCCAAGTTTTTGAAAGTCAAAACGGGGAGAGCAGGCCTTTATACTAGGACAAATATTATAAACTTTAAAATGGCCTCTTGTAACGTGGCATACCTCATATCACAAAGGCTAGACTAAAAACTTGGTTAACATCTCAAACTATCTCAAGTGGGGTACTTTTATGAAATGGCCGCTTCGGAATGTATAACCGTGTATTTAACGGGGAAGACGCGGTGAGGGGTTTTCGTGGACCAATGGATCTGAGATTCATAAGCTATTAAAAAAGGGAAAAGGAAGAAGGAAAAGAAGAAGAAGAAATAGAACAGAAAATGTGATCAAAAACTAAATTTATGAAGAGTACGAATTTACAAATAGTACACGAAAAAAAAAGAAAAAAAAGTGAAAGGCGTAAATATTCTCAAAAAGAATGATACGCCGATAAACACCCCCCCCCCCAAAAAAAAGAAAAAACATAATCGGGGATTTTTAGACAAGGGCACATATCAAGCCGGCTACTAACTAGCGGGACATAACTGAAAACTTCAAGTAAAACTAAATGGCAGTTCACTTAAATAGGTGCGGAATATGTTAAATTTAAAGGTATACATTATTGACCTTTGTACGAATATATATTTTTTTCTCCTAATAAGTCTTCTTCGAATGTAAGATATAGCATCCCGAGTAGTAGGAGGGGTCAAAGTTTTCCGTTGTATTGATGTTATCCATTTTTCCCGCGTCCTAGTTCACCCTCCTGTGATCACCACGCCCATTTACCCCACTCCGGGCCCCACTCCTAGACCAAGGCCCCGCCCCGTCAAAAAATATGGTTAATGTCGCCGCTCATCTCATGCGACCTGCTCTGACTCATGAATTAATACTCTTCCTTCACAAGAATAAAACCAACACCTACACTCAAAAGTAATGATTAATTTCTACATCTTACGTATCTTTACATTTCATAATGGTCCTACCAATCTTTGCCGACGCCAAAAAAGCGACAGAGAAATCGCACATTGTATTAACATGCATGCATACACACGCGCCAGATACCACTGCTAGAGCTTTTATAACCCCAAAGCTTTGACGCCACTGTGTTATTGCTGTATGCAGTTTCATCCCATACGTGCATGTACAGTCTCCAAGCTTCGGCCTTGTATACAATCTGTGCGGTGACATTATGCAGGTGTAAGATCGCCAAGCAGTTGGAGGAATATCTCAGTAAAATTTGTTACTTTGTGGTACTTTACATTTAGGATAAGAAAAATGGAATGCCTGATCAGAGTTGCGGTCTTTGTTTTATTAACAATTAATGTGTTTATTGATCCATCGGCGGGCCAGACCACCGAGACGATGGCAGATTTGGATTTTCCAGCGCTGAGCCTGTAAGTAGAGAGTTTAGTGTGTACCAGGCGGGCGTCGTCCTGCGGTATTTTACGACTGTCTGGCCATAATATTAACAGCAGTCATGAATGGACGTGATGAACATAATGAATGTTGGTCAAAATGTTATTTGTCTTTTCATCTCTATCTGGTCGTTATCACGAAAGGATGAAAATATAAATGGGAGCATGCCATGGATTACAATCCATGACCAACTCATAATTGCAATTCATTAATATGAGTTGAATATGTAGATTTTTTATCTATTTTTGAGCTTACCGATGCTTTATGCCCAGTAGGGCCCTGCATCGTACACATCCAGATATTTGAATATTTATTATGTTGATGCATGAATGGTAGTGAAACATAAATGCATAGTATTTTCACTAAATAGTCAGAGTATATAGAGTTACTTGCACTATTCATCTGGGCACTCGGCAAGCAATACGCCAACGGTGGTCTGTACTTAACTGGAAGAAGAAGAAGATATATTATAAATAAAATAATTAAGCATATATGCGCTACAAATGAATAAACAGTTAAATTAAAAGTATATGGACAATTTATAGTATGGTAGCATGAAAAAAAAAAGAAGGAAAGATTTATGTCAAATTGTCAAGTAATTGAATAACACATGCTGTGGAAACAAACCCATCGTCAGTATAGACCCTTTATTTTAATATACCAGTATATATTCAATTTTGAATGACACACCCCATTTAACCCTAATCAAAAATAATTTTCCTTTTCTTTCCTTTTGAATTCACACAAAGGTAATCTCACCATATGAGAAAATGCCTTGATTATGCTGTGGATTATAAATGGATATTCCATTTTGAAATTGTGATTGCCTTAATAACTTAATTTGTAAACAATTTCAAATTTTCATTGATAAATGGTTATAATTATGCTATATTTACTTTTTATTCCCCAATGCAGGGTGAAGAAATGGGCCGATAGCCTGAGTGTTTCTTTGACGTCAAACTTAGATGAAGTGACCGGCATTAAGGAACTTAAACAGGTGAGTAATTATCTATTTTATACTGATTTTGATATAAAGTAATTATTTTTTAAAGTACTTTGATGTAATATGTGATGCAGAAATGTCATACTTATATGTCATATTTATCTGGTGATGCAGAGGTCAAGGGAAAAACTAAATTATTCTGTTGAGGTAAATTCAAATCAAGAGTTAAATGTTCTCCGGTACGAGAACGTTCATGTATTTTTTAATATTTTTTTAATGTTTTTGATCCTTTTAATGTTTGCTTGTCTTTTTTGATGTGCTGCAAGAATTTTGTGGATTTATTCATGTCCCATGGATAATATATATATTAGTATTGTGAACGTGTAATTAGTACGTTATATTTGTGTATACTTTACACAAAGGATAATGATGATCGAATGATGCAGGTAAATTGATTGATTGATTGATTGATATTTATTCGTACATTATGAAGAGCCCAAATAGTGGCAAGACATGAATTATATCCCCCATCTCATGTCCTTTAATCTGTATCATTTTTATTTAATTATCTCTGCTGCATTATATTCAATAACAAACAATATTGACATTTTATATCTACTGTACAAATGCATGACTCCCCGACAATCGCCTCTTTGGGACATGTTCATTTTTACACAATGAGAGCTAAGTCATAATGGTCTGCTAGTCAACTACAATCAGGCACACCGATCTATTGTCCTCACACAGAGATTTTAGCTCATCTATTCAAAGCATGGATTTATATGCCTGGCCTCTACATGTACTACCTTATGGTAGGGGTGACACAAAGAACGTCAGAGATTATCTGAGGTTGCGTGTTACCATAAGTGTTATATATATAGATCAATATGGCATACAGTGCAAGAGTGTGGTCAATTCCCCTTTCGTCAAACTGGTCTACATCATCCATGTACATGTTATATAAGGGGCGCACGCTGGTATGAATACCATGTGAATAGAATTGAATTGATGTGGTTTATTGATGATAGCTCACATTCCAAGTACATGTAGCAGCCATAAGGCTGAAACAATATGAATTTACAATCCCTAAAAATGTCTATTAAAATACTATACAATATAAATTTGAGTCACCAATAAATATAAATATAATATTAAACAATGAAATTGAGAAGGGAAGAGACATGATATAGAATAAAGAAAACAAAAGGAGAGGTAGAAGATAAAATTGCAATAGCAATCACAAAATGCTGGTAGTGGTACACATGGTTTAAGTGACGAGAGGTCATAGAAACCGGCACATTTGTTACCTAAATCATAATAAATGGAAGATAATAATTTTTAAATATGTACAGTGTACCTTGAAATATATCAGTTTACCTCAGTAATTATACGCCCAATCGCCCATGTATACATTTATATTCACTTTATTGTTGTTGTTGTAGTGTTGACAGTTTATTTCATGATATAGCACAATTAATATTGGTAAAATATTCGCTCAACTTACTAAAATTTGTTCTTCCTCAAATATTGCCATTTTAAAGTAAATAAAATTCTCAGAGCCGCGAAAAACAAAGGATTCTGAAGAAGAGTTACATCTTCCCTTTTGCCAAATGTACGATGTTTTATATTTTTCAAATCATGTTTTTAAAATGGCCTACAAACTGAAATTGAAATATTGTTAGAGGTTAATTACCGGTAGTTCTCTTTTCCAAAGACGAAGAAAACAAAGGAGAGAGCTGACTATCATTTCTATGACATTTTGTATCCTTGGAGCAAACTTGCAAAAGTGTAATTCAAAAGATATGAAAAGGGTAAACTCAAGAATTTATGGTACAATACAGCTACATGTTTTTTTATTATCATTCCAATGAAGAGTGCATTGTTGCAATCCTTGATATGGTAAAAGAGACTTTGAAAAAGCTACAATGCTTTATCACAAGGCTTACAGGTATGTGTGGTTGCTCACCAACAATCTGAATTTACCCAGAAAGTTGTTGTCATTTTTATTGTTTTTGTCATTTGGTTTAAGATGGCACCTTTCAATATCTCCTAGATTATTTATGCTTTGAAAGAAATCATTGTGATTTACATACATGTATATTAGGCCTTTGATAATTTGCACATGTGTATTGTGTTGTAGGAATTATTGTCTCGTGAATGAAATCAATGATGAGTGATAGCCTTCATTCAAGTTATCATCTGGGAGCTGCGTAAACAAATATCCATGGACAAGTAATCCCCATCCCCAACCTGTCCCCAACATTTCATTGTACACTGTAAGTGTATACTAATGAATGCCCATACATACGCATAAACACAGATCTTGTCTGTTATTTCCAGGCCTATATCCAACTGTTTTACTACTGTATTTCTACAAGTTCATGTACCGTACATGTAGTGCAGCGATATACATTTTACATTATAACATTTATAAAATAACATCTACAACAAATTTTTGAAATGTTGTCTTTTATCAAAGAATATTGTTTTTCATCTTAATTATTGGAAGTAGGATGTTCATTAAAGACCAGAAAGATAAAAACAGAATGTAGGCAATGCTTTGTCCTCAGTTAATAGGGACTTTTAGATTTGCACAACGACAACGTGGATTGCTACGATCGACGTCCTTTTAATGCACTGCCTTGAATGGACGTCACACGTATCAGTCCACGCAAATCTAAAAGTCCCTACTATCTTCAGATGAAGTACATGCGGAAGCCGTATACCGGTAGACAGCTTTACCCATACAAGAATGGACATGCATTGACAGGAGATACACACATAAAAGGAGACAGTGTGTTCCACATGAGTATACAGTATACACACGTTTGTGTGTGGATGCATCTACTGATACTCCATCAATGCACGGGTGACTTTGTTTTAACTGGAAGGGCAGACTCCATGATTAATTCCAAGTACATTCTGAATAATTCATGTACACCCTGTATTATACATGTAGTTTGAGTAACTGATTCAACCTGATATTTCAATATGTGAATCACAATGACAAAAATATTGTCTGTTTAAGAAGAAGGAATAAAAATGTGTGTGTTTTTACCCTAACTCAATTTACCATACCTTTATTTAGGGAAAAATAGGAATACTCACCTACAAGTAATTGGATTTTCATTATGCACAAAGCCTATTTGCTGCATTCATGAGTACATGTACATGTACATATGCAGGAGCTAGGTTCCTGGATAATAAACACATTCACCTGTCATTATGTGTGTATGACCTGCATTGCTGTTCAATGTCTGGAGAATTAAAATTTATTAAAAATATTGCTCATAATATGTACATCAAATATGTGTTTGCTACATCTACAAAGTCAGTATTTTTAGGTGTGATGTAAAGAGGAGGAGAACCCACAGATCATTTATTGTATTTTGTGAGAAAACAAATTATAGGTAAAACCGGAATCTAGTATATATTTTTAAAAATAGAACTTTTATATATATTTCATACTGTTTATATAATATGTACATGTATGTAAATACATATGTTATCCATATTGTACAGTGTGTGTTAGTGAGTAGCAACCTATTTGAATATGAAGACAATTCACATTTAAAGAAAGAGACCCCCAAAAAACCTTTAGCAATGTCATTCAAGAAACAAAAACATCGGTCCTGGTCTTAAATATACTACGTGAAAAGAAAAGGATTATATTTGGATTTACTTGTACCAACTATATTGCAAAAAATGAATGATCATTTATTCATTTTATGGTACCAGCACATCTGAATACCGGTAGAAGTGATTGTGTTAACAACTTACATGTACTTATCACAATTTGGACATATGCGTGCTCTCATTTCCACCCTAGTATTACCTTGTTGATAACAGTTTAATAAAAATACTGGTATATCATTGGCATTTGCATGTACATGTCCAGTATTTATAGTCAGGAGTATATACCTACATGTACCTGTCCGTGACATACATGTACACTTGGATTGTAATGAATCTTTGTTTAGATAAGAGCTTTTTACGTCAGCTCTATTTATGTACTTGTATTCATATCATATGGAAATTGTGAAAATTGTGTTTTGAATGACAGAACCAGAGCATATGGTATTACACAATTGCCATGAGAATTTGGGAAAAGGATTGGTGCCAATTTAGATAGATGACACACAATGTAGAGGTGGTCAGCAAAATGATGACATTTATTGTTGATGACGAGCTGAAGAAAGGATTTAGAATTGCTTGTGTTTCTGCGTAAGCAGCTGATTAAAAAGTAGAATACAATGTAATGAATAGAATAATGAAGAGATATAGTAAGGCGAAAGAATATAATTGCGTTAATTCTTTCATTATGTCCCCCCACCCTGTCAATAATATGTATGCAAAATGTATGTGAATACATGTGTTTGCAAATTCTTTGACCACAACCAGTTTCATTCATGTTCTAAAAAGAATATTTTACATATACATGTATATAGTTGTAATAAATTATAAATGTTTATTAAGATTTTTTTCTCAAAATATTGTATGAAAATCTGAAATAAGGTTAATTATCTATATATTTTTCATTTTTTAATCAATACCGGTATGCTACATGTAAACATTATTTTCTCCCCAAATATGTAACATTTCACTTGAGTGTATACCTATTTATTCCAACCAGCATCTTGATGCCTTTGTATAGAAATAATTTTGATTTCTGATATTTCATTTTTTTTACAGGAATATGAGGACAAGAACTTGTCTTTGGAATATATAAATGGCACAGAACTGATAGACGATGTAGCTCAGAAATGGCAGGGTATACTCCAAAAGAAAATGACTGCAGTGAGGGTAGGTTACAGAATTTCCTTATTCATGACATGATTATTTATTACTTTTTAAATTTTATTTCTTGTACAGAATTTATATTACTATTGATGTTCAGACATATTTAATAGCACATGAGCAATAATGACATTTATTTTTTCTATCAATATTTAAAGGTTGTCATATCATGAGTTTGTATTACATTTTACATAAGATTATTTAAAACAAACACATAATAAGAAATTTGTTTCTCTTTGTGTAATTGATTTATTAAGTCTTACATGTTAACCATCATAAACAAACAGATTTGCACACAGGATTAAAATGCTTACCGTATTTTCTGCACCGCTAATATAAGATGCTAGCCTGGAACCCAAGACATTCACACAAAATGATGAAAGTATTAAGTGATTGGTCTTCATGTTAATGCAAAATCTTAAAATACAGTAGATGTACATTATATTCCATGATCTTTTTTGGCAATGTGATGTGAATGTTAATATTGAATTTTATGTGAACATTTCATCATCATCATAGAATATTTTTTTTGTAGTCTCAACATTGACCAAAAAACCCCATCTAAGATAATCACAACTGCCTTTATTTTAGCTGTGACAGACTGGTGCAGATATTTTCCCCATGCATGCATTATTTTTCATGGTTTTTTTATTGCTCCTTATCCAAAAAATTACACTCATTTGAAAAGTGCTGCTTTTTTCTTTTTTCTCTAACCTTGAACATAATTATATTTCATACTGCACTATGATGCACACACACACAGCAGTTTGATGCTCGTTCAATATGCACATAACAATACATGTACATGCTATAGGCACGTGTACATGTGTTCCCCGGCATCCCTACATACATGTACACTGAAGGCCAACTTTTATGAAAGCCTAAGTTCATGAATTATTTAGGGCCTCTCTTCACACTACAGGTAGCTATGAATTAAATTCTGCTTGAATTCATAGATGAAATTGTTATCATCAGAGTAGGTACATCATAGTCTAATATACCTTATACGTAAGTCATATTTACTAAATAAAAAATTACTTTCTTATAGAGACTGCATACTGGAGTTTTGTAATATAATCTTGAATCTCGAAAGCAATAATTGTAATGTTTAATTAATACACATCAATACACTGCCATGTAATGTATGAGGTGCACAGGCAATCAATTAGGTATGGGTGGAGGCAAATTGGAGATGCAGTCACATATATCTGGTTCTTACATGTAGATCAACACAAACCAGCTGTTAGTGTGCAACGATACCTATCATGTACAGTATATATTTCAAAGTGAGAGTAAAGGAAAAATTGGGATGGAATTATGAGTTTCCTCAAGGGAAATGAAGGTGGGAAACATGGCCAGATACCCAGTCAGCACCTCCCCAGTAGAAACATGTATACATCCGCTACACTATACATACAGTGTACATGTACATTCATGAATGGTGTGTGTTCATTATGACTCCACCTGTTTATGTATACCTCTTTGGGTTGATATTACCTGGGTTGGTGTCTCGTTATTACATGTAGTATCACTAATTGGAACAACAGACAGGTATACTCATAGCCCCTGCAGTGAATTGTAGAATGAACTGAAGAGTACTAAGGCAGGGCATGACACTAACATGGACACACACACGGCCGCCCAAAAATCGAAGACTGTACTCACAAGATTGTTAAAAATTTTACATACGTAGAGCTCATGTATATACACATTATAAAAAATTTAATCCAGATTCCCTTCCCCCAAAAAGCTAATGTGGAGACCTGATGAAGGTATATTTAGAATTTATGTTATAATACATGTATATGTGATTGAAATTTAGCTTCTTAAAAAAGCCTTACTCTTGTTTGTAAATCTACATGAACTTGATGCGGTAACCCAGCATTTACTCGGGTGACAGTGGCTCTGTGTGTTATTTCATCAAGAGTATGGGGTTAGGGTTGCACTTAGGTTTTAGATTCAGGTCTAGGGTAAGCGTTAGGGTTAGGTGTTTGGTCCAGGGTTGAAGTTAAGAATTGGGTTAGTGTAGGAAAATCGACGGGGAGTAATAGTCGCGGGAGCAAGTGTCGTACAACCATTTGATGTTCTTTATGCACTTAACTTACATGTACCTACTGTACATGTACACTATGTGAACTTGTACAATACATGTATGTCCATATCTTCTAAAGATATCGTATTCTCAGTGTACTGTTCCATTAGTTGCTTCATCTGTAATCTGGAAATAGGCTGAAAATAGAGTTACATATATGCTAGTACACTTACAGAATTGACATTAAACATGATTAGCATTCAAATGAAGTGCTACATGTACATGTACATGCCCTCAAGCTACAATTCAACCATGTTGAAAGATGTGGGCATGTACTTGTACTTTAACCCGGCTAAGAAATGTTAAATCAGATATAATTTCTCAATTGATACTTCTTTAGTTGACATGTAGTCACTCAAATCTCCAAATCATTTCCAGTAGTAGTTTGCATTTAAAAACTGAAGATAATCATTTTTCTTGTGTAACTTTATTACTGGTAGAAGTATTAATCAATTGACATTCCTTTAGTAATGTTTGTATTTATCTATGTTTAATGTCTTTTTTACTTTTTGAAAATATAAAAAGATAATGGCATAAGTGTCATCTATTTGTCACATACTTTATCAACTAAATGGTACAAGAGAAAACATGTTAAAATGAACATTCAAGCCTAGGCTACTGCCTTAATACACAGGATAGTACAAGGTGGACAAAATAATACATATAATTAAACATTTACACACAGAAAACCCAGGATGAACATACAATGAAAAAAATACAATAAACACGTCATATGGAAGCACTACCTAAATGTGGGCACTTGGAACATTGACTCAAATACCATGTACTATAATATCAAATAAAAGTACTTCAGAAAAACACAAAAATACCATAACACCTGCCAATTTACAATTATTTTACATAATTACTTAATGAGTAATTACATTAATAATTCATGATGCTTTTGCCCCCTCCTATAATGTAGAGTATGGTCCCAAATTAATAAATTATACATTACCCTGAAGCCTGTATGTATCATGGATCTCGCTGTAAATTGACAATTTCTCCCTCGTTTTTTTTTCTTCCTGTTTCATGCAGAAAATTGTAGATAAGCTGGAGCAGGAGTTTGCTAATTATACTGCAGACCATGAAATTGAAGTAAGTACAGTAGATCAATGATTTTAATCCCGAAAGATGCTTTGAAATATAAAAAGAAGAAAATAATTTATATTAAATGTATACAATTCTAGCCTCTCAGGTTTTTTTATTACAAAAATATAGAACAATTACATTATGATTTGTGTATTTACAAAATCTTTTTTATTATCAGACTCTACAGTAGACTGTACAATATATCTACTTTATTTTTAGTTGTATTTTTTGTGACTATACCGGTACTTACATGTACATGTCTGTTTTTGTATATGCAGTAAGATAAAGTAAATGTTAATTATACAATGTTGCATATATCAGTCACAGTATAAATTGCTGCATTGCAATCCAAACAAATTAAATCCACAAAATTGTCAAAATTTAAAATATATAAAAGATCTCATTATGTCGCTCATCATACATTGTATAGGTTTCTAATAATCAAATGTTTACTTTGCATTGTCTGTATCATGTAGATTGAAGATGTAGACTACAAGAACTCCAAGAATCTGACAAACTTGACTCTTTCGTATGATGATAGATTCATTTCTTACGTCAATCTAAACTGCAGCTCGGTCCAGATACCTACAGACATCTATGAGGGAGGTAAGTACATGATTGCACACCAACGGTCCCACTCACCGTTGTTTTCATGCCCAGCCCCCCCCCCCCACTTTGTGAACGGAGGGATACCATGCGTGTTCCCAAAATGTCCGGTAAAGGGGTACTTTTCATGCACCAAAGTCTGGCTCGTAGTACACAAAAATCTGACCCGTATTGACTTTACACACCAGACTTAGGGGGATGTTTTCAAAAGGAGGGAACATGCATGTGCGAACCCTAAATAACACTCAGTGGGGGGGGGGGGGGGGGCTGGGTTTTCATGCAACATCTGGCTGATGCGGACATAATTATTCCTATATTATGCTTTGATTAATAGGGGCTATAGGAACTAAGTTTCAGGTAACCCTATCACTATATCCCTGAACCTGACCTAAACTTAATCTGAAAAATAACCCCAACATACTTAAACGTGAATAGTATAAAATTAAATAAATCTTAGTGTAGAACCAATTTGGTGTCATTTTAATTATTTGGTTTGTTATCAATGGAGTACAATGAAATAAACTTCATTAGTAGAGAAGTGATAAATTGTGGAAATGAAAGCCTAATATCTTATCTGTGGCAAATAGGCACCATGTTGTTTATGAGGATTTATATATTGTGTGAGTCTAGTAGGTGGATATTGGGTTGAATATGCATGGTGAAAAAGACTAGTCGTTATGGATGTTTTAGTATTCCAGTTCAACAAAGGGGAAATACATTAAATCCCTTTGTGAAACTAGAAAGTGTGCAAAGCATGGAAATTGTATTACTATCTATAGGTCTTTGCAGTGACCATCACTGGGAGACAAATTTAGTAGATGATGGAAAGATGAAACAGCTGGTCTATATGACCTCTGATAATCAATTGAATGACACACTCATGTAGATGACAGATATGTATCATCTGTTCAGAGCTAGAAGGATGTTAACTCTGTGTTATAGTACATGTATTAATGCCCTTCTGGCTCCAAGCTGAGTGAGTAGGAATGAGCTGCTGTAGATTAAAAGTAGCTTTTGATTGATCTATCGCTCAGGTGCTTGTCATCTCTATCATCAGTTAGGGTTATTAAATTTAAAACATTTCTAGCATTCCTTAAATACCATTTTGATAGACAGAGGACTATTGCACCTTGTTCGAATAAGGTGTAAATATACCTATCTCATATGATATATGCTGAATTGGAATTGTGCAAACTCTTGGCCCAATTAAAGGAAACAAAAAAACAAATTGCAAATTATGATGGGGTCCATTTTCATATAGGATTTTACATTCTAAGACGTTAGGAACAAGTTAGATCTTGTGATTTGTTAATGTATCGTAAAAAGGGGTTAAAATGAACAATCAAGATGAAAAGTTCAACATTTGAAAATTTCTTTATATTATTTTTTACGTCAGGAATAGGAGTGATATGATTCAAATGTTGGTTTCTTTTCAGTCGTAATGAGTTTTAAAATGTCTGGAAATGTTGTCTCCAATTACCCTGCTTTACAGTAATGAATATATTTGTTTGTAAATTGTACTCTTCAGAGAATTAATTTCCATTTTTTCATTTTCAATCAATCAGTCAATTGCATTATCTTGTCTATAATGTTCTGTGGATTAGGCCAAGTAATCCTTCTTTAATTCCAATCATTTACAATGTACATGTAGTATAGTATATTTCTTTCACTTTCGACGTCATAATTGACACTGACCTTGGATGTACATGACATTCCAGCAGCCAAATCCTTGGTATAATACATTGGCTTCATCAAGTATCCTTTCACACTGAACCAACTCATTTTAATGACTCATTACTCCACACAGACAAGGTTATCTTGAATGGTATCCAGGCCACCGAGGGTGTTGATAGTGTCTTTCTCAGTAACTTTGAGGAGGATCCCCAGCTTCTCTGGCAGTACTTTGGCAGTGCCGATGGATTCTACCGATCTTATCCTGGTAAGTGATCTTTAACCTTGTCAGAAAGAATTATCTCCTGTGTGCCAGTCAAGATGCGGCTCTATAGATTTTGCCTGTGCAGTATCACAGCTGTGGCAGAGTAAGGGTTGAAGGATACATTACCACGATTTGCAGAAATTTTGATTTTGTTATGATATCATTCATTAAGTTATGATGACAAGAATGGTTGAATAAGTGCAATTACATGTAAATATGTACACAGAAATAAGCCATTTGTGTGGAGTCATACAAATAAGGTAAAACATACAGTAAAAAATTACAAAAAACGGCAAAATAATTATGAAAATCTGGTCAGTAATATTTTTGAAGTTAATACAAATTACTATTTCAAGAACCTAATGTGAATTAAACTGTCATGCCTGTCAGTTCGGTATAAAATGGTAGTAACAAATAATGACTCCATATGTGTGCATTTGCAGCTTTTCGTTCACAATATATAGGCATAAATAGTTACTCAATGATATCAGCTACATAGTAAAATGTTTATTAGCCACTTTAATCACATTAGTTCCTCTTTCTAGAAATTTTCTTTAGCAAATGATTTTTGACTATTTTGCATTTACTGTTATGTATGTCATATCTGTGTGTGACTTAATTTACACAAAGATTAAAGTGATACCTTTCCTTATATTATCACGACTTGCAGCGGGTAACGGTAGGTATTTATCTTGGTAAAGTTTCAAGAACAAAAATTCTTAAAAAGCTTTACTGGGCAAATAAAGCATGAAATTTTCCTGGTTTCAAGGAGCAATTTATTTCCGACTTTGAATTTTTTACGGAATCACATGCAGGTTTTATAGACTTTGTTTGTTTCTGTTTAGCCACCAGATTTATTAAAGAGGTATAAAATCTGGTAAGTAAAGTTTTCAACCGCAAATAGCACCAGATTTTTCTCACAAAGGAATTCTACTAAATTTGTTGATTTTCATGCAAGATTCTTATTTTTTATTTTTTTAGCATGTTTGCATCCCAGAAGGCATAATTTTTTTAACGCAATATGCGTAATCTCTTTTTTTTTCAAAATCTGTGAATTTAATACTAACATGTTAAGAAATAAATAGCACAATTAGAATTCAAAACTTCCTGAGACTTGTGTTATGGCCACAAGTAAACTAATAGAAAGTCTCAGATAAAACTTCTCCTTTTTCTTTTTATTCGCTTAAATTATATAGAAGAAATGAGAAGTTTTAAATATTGTACCTCTAGATCATCTGTTTGGAGCAAGAAGGGCTTTAACTCTTATAATTATACACACAGTCAATGCCGAACTGTTTGGCTCCGAAACAGATGATATGCTCTAGTACACATGCAACTGATGTAGATATCAGGGATGTGCATGTGGTGCGGAGGTGATGACATGAGAAAAAAAAGGGTAATTCTTGAAATACATAAATACTAGTAAGTCATAATTTACAAGGTAATGATTGCTTTTAACCTAATAAGTTAATGGAATTTATTAGAACACTACAAACATGTGCATGTGTGCAGTATTAATAGCAGGCAGCTATTACACTTTTCATGATATTTTTCTGAACAAATGAAGGTTTTTTTCACATGTATTGAGTTGGTTAGTATTCAAGAAAGAAAAGAAATATTGTGAATTTGTGATTAAGAGGATCTTTAAAAAACACAAAAACAATTAATTGGGGGTAATGCGGGATTTGCAGTGCATGTGCATTGTAAAAAACATTGCTACAGGTTTTCTCTTGTTGATGCAATTAATGGAATGTAGCAGTGAAAGTAAAAACAACTTGAAACTTGAAGACCATGCACAGTATTGGAAAGTATTATTCTTTAATTTTTTCTTCTTATGATATTGCTATCATTTTACATTAGATATGGTTGCATTTCCTTATAAGAAATAAAAACATGTATCTTTGGTACTTTGGATGGTGATGAATCAAAATTTTCCCCTGTATATTTGAAATTACGAACAAACAAATATTTTTCTAGTTTTTTTTAAATTTTTAATATCAATGGCTTTCCAGAGGATGTGGTGATCCACAAAATAAACAGCACCACCGTCTCTGTGTAATTTTTTCTTAACTAATGTGACACACTTGCCACTACTGTACATGGTCTGTAGAGCTTACCTGTCTCACCTACATCTTATGAGTTACAAACAAGCCGGCTTTGTGATCAAATAAGCGAGTTAATGAGTGAGATTTGAATGAGATCATAATCATTTATACCTACAGCTGGACCTTATATTAATGGACGTTATGATGCTCGTTTGAGGAAATGGTAAAATTATTATTTTTGTTATTTATGACCATCTTGCCAAGTATCCTAGCTCCCATGGATTGTTGCACGCAATTTCTTTTCTCCCATTAGTGACCCATCGATCATGTACATGTACTAACATTACACTGCATACATATAGACATCCATATTGTAGGAATCTATTTACGATAGTGATTGTATGGGACATTTGTGTCCTTCTCAAGACAGAGACGATAAAACATCACTAATGTATTCATCCTACATGTACATTGGTATGCCATATGACCTGTTTTCTTTTATAAAAGGCTGTTGAAGCCTGTCTTCTGCTAGTTTTGTTATTAGTCAAGGTAATTTGCTATTAAGAAAAAAATAGTCCAAACTCTTCAAAATAGGAGTTTGCTTGGAGAACCTAATTAAAAACCTACCTTGTATTTCAAAATCATAACTAACTAGTGACATAACTAATAGTCTAAATAATGGTAATAGGGATCCACGTTGGTCTAAATAATGGTAATGGGGATCCACGTTGGAGTCTTTCTGCTCAGAATTCCTTTTTGTGACTCAACGAGTCAATATTGAATTTGAAAAGTTACAATTTACCATCCAGGTGAAACTCTCTCAATATTGAATATTGTAGGCTCATAACAAACCTTAAACATATTGCAAGAACACTTTCTATGTAAGCAGTGCCAATGGTCAGCCATAGGTGCTAACAAAAATTCTTAAAGCGCACTGAACTGACTTAAGTTTACATACAACCTTGAGAACATTTCTTCTTTTCGATTCCTATTCTGGCTGAGGGATCCAATCTTTACTTACCAATTATAGTGTTTGTGAGGTGAATTTCTAGTTTCTAGTGGAATATACTCCAAATGTAAATGGTTTAAAGGGTGAATTTGCATTTTTGATACTCAAATAGTTTTTAAAAAGATATATATTGCACATAATATGAAATTGTACTGGTATTAACTTTATTTTTTGTACTGTACTAGCTTGGGACAGAACTCTCCTTATCACATCATTTAAAAACTCTACACATGTATATTTGTGATTTCTAACTTTTACAGGTCTTTCATGTAGTAATTGACTTCAGTGTAAATATGGAAAATTATTGCTAGAGGAAATCACATTAAAGATAAACTTTAGTACTGGTAATGCGATTGCATTGTGAAAGAAAAGGTGTGGAAAGGATAAGAAACAGTTGCTCATGTAGCATGTAAGTATTGGTGTGCACTGCAAGGTTCTGGAGTCATCAAAATCATAATAAATTTGACCGAGTCTGGTGAAGTAACATGCACTGTACACAGAAAGCTATATATGGGACAACACACATGGTGTTCGGGCTAGTACTACCTTGATTTCCTTGTCTTTCTATGTTCATTACTCAGCCAGTATACATTTTCTTCCAAAATTGTTTGGCACATGTCATTTATTTGTAATCTTGAACATTCAGTGTAAGTTTTGTTTGATTCTGTGGGAATTAATTTTCTTTTTTTTACCAGAACTGGAGTTTATCTTTAAATTGTAATAATATAGTTGGGAGAATTAAAGAATCAATCAGATCAGTTTTTCCCAATTTGTACCATGAATAATGGTCCGTTTTCACTCAAATGTTCAGATTATCTCTAATTGTACATCTAGCATTCCATTTCACAATTTCATCAGTATTCAAAGTGTGTTTTTAAAACAAGGTTTTAGCTTTTTGTAAGGTGCTTGTGGGTCATGTTTAAAAATTCAATTTTCAATGCTTTTGTGAAAGGTAAAGCAATTACGGTAAATCCACATGCAAAAATGTGTGATTTACATGTAAGATGCAAACCCACATTTAGTCATTGCCGTTGATACAAATTTCATCCCCGTATAATCACTATTAATCCCGCCATGGCACAAATGTTAACTACTAGTACACTACAATGTGCCTGTACATGCAGCACCTATATATCTCACGACCTTTATCATTGGAACAAACAGCAGACAAGAATACCTCTGTTCCTGTTTTCTGTTTTGTTTTATTACATTTTCAGATTCATAAACATTGCTTTCATAGTAGGCTTATATTCAAAATTCATGCACATGTATTTGGGCTTTTTAATCTACAGGTATTTATGCATCCATTGCAATACAAGTGCATGTAGTGCATAATTAGTGGGGAAGAAGCACAGATGATGCAGGTTATTTAAGTGTGGGTTATATACACTGTAGTGTGGGTTATAGAGTGGGTTAAAGAATGTGGGCTATAAATGAATTGAAAAATCTTGATGAAATTTTTTTTTTCCACACAAGATCACCTGACATGGTTACATTACTAATCATGTGACACATACACCTGTAGTCTTAGGGCATGCACGCCATGCAGTGTGTGTTTTAAAGATGTGTTCATAATGTAAGTTCAACAATCTAACCTTAACAGTTGTAATCTTTAGAGAGTGTTGTATCTTTTCCTAACTTTTTTTTAGTATGAATTATTTAATTTTGTGTCTTTTTTAATGCAGTGACCACCTGATTATGTATCTTTCTAACAGAATGTATGTAGAGTGAAAAGTAAGCCCATGTGATCTCTGTAATTTTTCTGTTTTTGATAGTGAAGTCAATGTATATAATTATGTTTTATGTCCATAACATGTTTGTGAGGCAGATGCAAGACTCCCACAAGGAATTGTAAAAAGAGACTTACAAATTGCAGGAGCTGCCTACAAGCTACCACACTGGAGGACACACACATGTATGCATAACAATGTACTACGGGTTGAGTTGTGACCATATAGCATTAGGTATAGGAATAGGTATTACAAATGTAAATTGGCTGTGCATACATAATAAAACAAATCTTGAGTGCTTTTGTTGTAGTTTTTCTAAGGGTTCGGTTAATCTCGAAAGAACTTCTGAACATTAAAGGAGATTAATCTGCAAGTAGCTTGTTTTTGTTTTACAACTCTTGACTATGATATTCATGTTGCATTTGAAAATTGAACAAATAAACCTCCAACATTGACAGTTCAAGAAAATAGTTTGTACAAAAAATTTAGGTATTTTGAAGAAAAGTCAATGATTTGTTAGGCACTTCAAGTTGATTGATGTCAAATGCAAATGTTCAACAATATAAACTCATGATTTTTGGATTGCAATGTGTGAGTGTTTTTTCAGTATCAACAAAGGGATGCAACTATAATGAAGACGGAACTTTGAAATACAGTGTATTATGTATGGTTTCTCTCCTTACAGCCAAAGAAGTTAGGGACATACCTGACCCTCGTATAAGAAAATGGTAACGATCTTCCCTTAGAATTGTTTGTGCTTCCTCAGAGGGAGGTCGTTAGACTTAACTAAATGATCATACATATCATTTGTTGAGAGCTGAAAGGGCATTATAATTCTAAGTAAAATGTCTTCTTGGCTCTCAGCACATGAACTCACGATCATAACAGCACTTAGTTATAGATTTTTTGAATGTTCCTCCATTTTCTCAACCATGCATGCACCCAATGATAGATTTAACTATTTGCAATCTAACATCCATGATACATGTGTCTGTACAAACAAAAGGTACACATGTATGCAAATTTTGAATTCAAATTTTAAATACACTTCCTATAGCTTAAGAAATGCTCCTTGTATATTTACTTTACCAAGAATTAAAACGTGCTTCAAAAAGAAAAGTTTAAGTTATTATGGCATGTAGAAACTAAATATAAACCAAGTAACCAACTTACTATACTCTCAAAAGGAGTTTATAATATGTGTAATATCATGTTTGACTTTTAATAGCAAACAAAAACAACTGATTTGTTTTTTCTTCTAATTTTTTTTCTCTGTTCGTTTTCTTTTTCGTAATTACCGGTAGGGCTTGTTTGGATTTCTCGCCTTCTTACCTATGTGTATATACATATGTGTATGTTTTACTTAACTTTGTATGTTAACCATGTTAATCTACAATGTATGTTTCTTTGGAAAATTGTGATTGCTTTTTTATATGCACGGCCATGCTGAAGAACAGCCATTGGCTGAAGTATGCCACCGTGCTAAAATAAAAGCAACAAACAAACAAACATTTAACCATAGAACCTATAAAGCATGCAATGTTTATATAATGTCTTCTTTAGTTATTCAAATAACACTCCACTGATTTTAATTCTAGTTGTTCCAGTTGTTGAACCTGATAATTGGACAGAAGATCCTCGAAATAGACCCTGGTAAAATCTTATACAGGATTCACCATTGCCAACATGAATTGCCAACATGAATATACAGCGTATATATACTCTGTACAGTGCTTTCACCAATTATTCGTTACTGGAAATGCATTAAATATAAAGATTTTATCCCAGTACCTGCTATTATTCTCTTTTCTTCTGCATTTAACAAATCTGCCTCATATTTGTTAAAGTATAGGATCAATTACTGTATGTTTGGGGCATTAACTATACTTGATCGCTTGTTAATGAAATCTTAAATTGTATTTGTGAGGATTTTAATCATCTATTTCTTTCAGCTGCCCATAAATATTTGAAACTACCACAAGTAGTGAGCAATCAGAAACTGCTTTGAAACTTTAACAATGAATTAATGATTAGTACGTGTCAGGCAAGTCTTATCCAAATAGCTAAATTTCTGCTTGGTAGTGACTAGTGATATGGTTTTCTTCTGCAAACTAACTTGTAAGTTATCTGAATTTTCATAGCCAGTCATATTTTAGTTGGGCAGTTCAAGACAAATCTGGACTGTCTGATATAGACAGTTTTAGAAAATATATGCTGGAAGGAACCGAGAATTAGTTACGTTTAAAATATACTCTAGGTAGAGTTCGTTATCAGTACTTCCTGTAGCTTATGGATTAATTCACCTATTTACAATTAATAAAAATAGTGATGTCCATCATGTAGATAAATATTTTAAAAGTTACAATGTTGCAAAGGATAACTAAAGTGAAGCAATGTGCTCAGATTCTTTCTTTCTGCAACTGTTAAAACTATTTATAATTATTAGGTTTTAGTCACAGTTCGTTAGTCACAGATAATACATTTTTCTTCATGTCAAAGTACATACAGCACTTCACATATACCGGTACATATGAAATTGATCAAATGTGTGTTCCATTGTAAACGTATGAATTCAATCAATGAATGGATTTGTATGCCTGTACATGTAAATAAGTTTACATTTGAAGGAAATCATTATATACATGGTTTTATATCGTTTTATATTGGAGTTTAAGGTTTTCAGTGCAAATTCTTTTGTGTGTACACAAATTTTGTTGGTACATTTCTACTTGTTATTATATGTATATTCATTGTTACATCTGTCTTGTTAAAAATATGTTTGATTACTGAATTCTAATGTAGTGCTGTAACATCACGGATATCTCCAATTCAGTTTAACCGCCAGTCAAAACCGGACGTTTTCGGTTAAACAATTTAAAAAAAGCCAGGTCCGTGTGAAACATTGCCAGCCATAGTGCCAGGTGGAGGGGCATAATATTTATTAAAAAAATTTTTTAAAAAATATTTAAAAAAAAAAAAACACAAAAACGAAACCGTCCAATTGAAAACGGAATCCGCCATGCGCGGTCGGATACCGGATGGTTAAACGTTTGACTACAGCACTATTCTAATGCATACAAGCTGTAATGGAGTAAGAATTCGATAAGTTTAGTTAAAGATAAAACAGAAGCATTTCCAATGCAGAAAGACACTGAAATTATACATCCATGTCATTTTCAGAGAAGGGAAGTATGGAGATCATATTGGTTGTCATCCTTCATATTAATATTCAAAGATAGAAATCACTAATGCCATCATAATTGTTCATAATTCTTTTTTGTTCAAATATTAGGATGACATCTTGTCTAAACCTTATTATGAGTAGTACTTACACATGATGATATTGATACTATTTTCTTTTCCCAGCGAGGCAGTATTGTGAAGATGTAACTGCACCATTTATTGCTCGTACTAGGAAATGGTATGAGAAAGCAGTATTGAATGTTTTATTTTGCTGCAAGGGAAACAAGCTATACCTTATTCTGTGCCATCCAAAAAGGAACTTGTGTAACTCCAGAAATGCCCCTTTCTCCACGGAAACTAACTTTTCACAGCCTCAGCAGGCAACAGTTGATGGAGCTTATATAGTACAGCTGAATATCTTTCCTCTGTATGGGCTAGTTCTTTCTTAATATGCAAATCTAAATATTTGATGTTTATCTTTAGGTACATGTATCTTTCTGTATAATTGTGAGAGATGTATCAAATGCTTTTGGGACTGTTCTATGATCCATGTTCAGTCTGCGGTCTATTTTAACCACTAACAAGATCTCTAAATGCAACCTATGACTAGGTACCACTTTACCTAAACCTAACTTTGACCCTCAACCTAACAAAAACAAAACAAATGGGAACCATAACTCTTACCCTACATGCATTCCTAAAGACACTTTTGCATAGCATGTGTTTAATCACTGTACCATCCAATATAAATAGTTCTTATTCATTGAGAGCAGAAGTTATTACTCGCTCAATACCATGAATTAGAAAATCATACAAATTTTGAATAGTTATGCTTTGTATTATAAGAAGCTTTGAAGATGAATGGTTCATCTTTGGAATAGAAAAGGAACTTTATTAAATTTTGATTTATAAGCTGTATATATAGTTACATACCAGTGAGAGTTTGTTGTCATATAATGATTTAAATATGCAATTAGAGCTACCGGTACATATTATGTGAGCAAGAGGCATAAAGTTACTCTTTGTTCTTGTTTTGGATTTGATACTACTGTCCATTGTAAGTTTAAGAATATGGTACTTTTCCATTGACTCAAATGATAATGTTGATTTTCTGGCAAGAAACTGTTAACTAAGATTATGATTTAACCAACTCACTACTGAATTGTGTCATATCTATAGGATATGTACAGGAATCATGTGGTCCCTGTTGGCAATGGGTTGTATGATAAATAAACCTTTTGTCTACAAAACCAAATCCTTACAAGTACATGTAACTTGTTTTCTTCTGTCATTAATATTCTAGAGTTAATATCTTAGTCTAACATTCTGTACTAAAATATACCACTGCGACTAATTTTTCCTTAGTAGTTTATACCATTCCTTTCTGTGGTCCACTAACATCCATAGTCTCCTTCCGCATTCCATCTTTCAGCTAAGCAGTGGGTTTCTGCAGGGGAGCCTGATAAAGACCAATATGATGTTCGGCGTAGGGGCTGGTAAGTGAGGCTACTAACAGGAAACGATGCTGCTTCATAAATGTGCCAAAGTGCCCAGTATAGGGATCTGCTTTTTATATTGCTTTTCTTTATCATTCAGAGCATATATTTTAAAATACTTTTCTCTTGATAATTCATGAAGCATTAGTAGGTAAACTAATAAACATCTTTCTTTTTGTGAGTACTTGCTGTTATATTAAACATGCTCAGTATGTATTTAGTTGAATTTATCAAACTCCCAAATATATTCATGACCAATAAAACTCTTTGTTAATGTAACATTCATTTAAAAAAAAAAAATGAAAAATGGAAAATTATTTCAAATGAAATTTCTTTTCTTTGCTCAAACAAATAATTTCTCATGGAAGTTCTCTATTTTCAACTACAACCCCACAATTGAACAAGATAAGGAATAAGCCAGCCTTGAAAAGATATTTTCTCAAATCTAATTGACTTTTTGTCAAACTGATAATGAAGATGATAACGAAGATGAACATTTGTATTGTTATATGATTTAGTCCTTTATTCTGAGGCACATGTTTCTCATTGTATTAGTTCAACAAGCAGCTTGTTTTAGTCATATACACATGTTCTTGTGTTATAATTTTTTATATTGGCTATTATCATGTATCCAAGATATTTGCTCAGATTCAGTCTTTCCAGGATTAAGTATTGATAATTCATAATAGAATGCCTGTGTCTAAATATGTTTTGTTTTCCTTCCTGAGAATAAACAGTACCGTACTTGGAAATACGTATGTTTTTGCTTTTTTTTATATGATATCTTCACAATCTAAATTCAGATCATGATCTTGGATAATTCAGTTCTTGTATAGTGTGAAACAACTTAGCACATATATACTAATTGCATGCGACCTTTTAATATATTCTGTTCAATGTTTAGCTGTAGCTTTATTTCAATGCACTTTTTACACCAAATTACTTTCCTTTAACTTCGCAATGCAATTTTTTTCTCACTAATTAATCCAAATTAATATTTTGTGTTGCACATTATTTTGGGTTTTGATATATTCTTATGTTTAACCAGGAAGTGAAGGTTAATCAAACAATGATATGTATTTTTTACTATTATGAATATTGATTTCTATGAAAAGGTAAATGATAGAGTATAGTGATACATATATATATAATCATTTCGTCTATTAGGCAAAGATTTATACTTTTAACAATTTTCATCTTAGAAAATGTTTGATAGCATTCAATCGTGTAATGCCAAATTCTATTCTAATTTCTATGCAAAAGATATGCCAGACTTCTACAAAAAGAAGATACTCTTAACACAATGAAGCCTAAGTTCTCAGGAATTTATAGAAATTTAAAAAAAAGTTTGCACATTTTGAAACAAGACACATTTCTTTTTTATGATATCTTTGATTTGATAGATCTTGATAAAGTTCACTTTTTCTTACAATTCAATTTTGTAAATGGAATTTGTTTTGTTTGTTGAAAAGATTGACTTTGAACTTGTGGATCCTCTTGCTTACAGGTACATCCAGGCTACTAGCTCTCCAAAAGATGTCATGATACTCATCGACTCGTGAGTTATATATTCCCAAACATTTTAAGAAAGAAAAATTATCAAATGAGTTGCTGTTTTATCTAGTGATCTGGAGTATTTAATGTTATTGTAGTGTGTCTTTTATGACTAGAAGTTGGCTGCATTTAGAAGAGTGCATTGCAAAAATGCAAACATAGGGGAACTTTTTCTTGCACCATTGAAATATTCATCTTGGGGGAAAAAATGTATTTTATGATTTATAGAATTTTAAAAATCAATTGTGGTAAAAGTGATTACATGTACCATACCACCATAATGATGTCAGTCGGATCATGTAGTATCGGAACAAATGGTGGTATCTTATATTTGTTCCCTGACACATTGCACACATCTCCTTTTCATGTAGGGCCTTGCATAATAATAGATTATAGCTCTTTATAACATCCGTTGAGTATATCATGCTTGTAAACTAGATGATATTATTCCCCAATAGTTCTTGCTAATTTTTGTATAGACTGATGTAAAGCAATGGACAAACAGGAAGCATGTTATATCAGGATGTTTAAAAGGTATGAAAATTTTAGTTGACATGGTAATGTATGATTTATTCTTTCTTCATCCAACTTATGAACAGGAGTGGAAGTACATATGGAATGACTCTGAAGATCATCAAGGTGTCTGTCTCCAAGGCTCTCGATACCCTTGGCAATGACGACTTTGTTAACGTAGCATCGGTGAGTGATTCAGTTCATGCCTAGCTAGGTTCCTCACATCAGTGCTACTTGACTGGGCAATGAGTCAGCGAGGGAGAATTGGATAATGCTGGACTGTAGATATGAAGTCTTCTGCAGAGAGCCAGTATATATAGTGGGATATCATGGAGTGGCATAGCGTAAATCGTTCCTTCGGAAGGAATTTGATGAGGAAAAAAAGAAGAAAAAAAAAATCTTTTTGTTGAGAAAAGCACATACCGGTATATCATGAGGGATCCTTGACTAAAATCATTTAATGTAGCATAAGGGAGTGTTACACCTAAAATGGTGGTTTAGTCCGCCGTGTCACGGTAATGATTTTGTTACCCCCAAAGTCACCCCACTAGAAGGATGATAACTTTAACCATTCACATAGTCAACACCTTTCTGGTTCTCGGCAGACGATATGACCAAGTTGATCATGTGTGTGTCCATATCTTGCTCATGTATGCTAACAAGCTAGCTTGAGTACAGCTAGCTCACCAGTTCAGGAATCGCTTATTTTGAGTGACTCAGGACCTTGCACAGGTACACCAACAAAGGAAGTATTGTGCAAGGTATAGCTCTCCTTGGGATTCTTTTGATGTAGAATTGGGAGCTGAATTCCAAAATGAAGGCCACAAAAACTTCAATTAACAGATTGATATTTAATTTACCCAGTAAACATGTATCATACAAAGGTTAATGTTTGACTTCTTTTGAATATCTTCTCTTTCCAGTTCAGTAAAGATGTCCAGAATGTAAGCTGCTTCAATACTTTTGTTCAAGCTAACCTCAGGAACAAGAAGGTGAGATAACGTATCTTCTCTTTGGAGCCAGGAGGGTACTGAATTTATACATCTGTATTTTATCTTCCATGTTTCACCTTTCTGCTGTGGGTGGTTTTTTCCGTCCATATTCTGATTTTTCTCTGTCCATATTCTGATTTTTCTCTGTCCATATTTTGATTTTTCTCTGTTCATATTTTGATTTTTCTCTGTCCATATTCTGATTTTTCTCTGTCCATATTTTGATTTTTCTCTGTCCATATTTTGATTTTTCTCCGTCCATATTCTGATTTTTCTCCGTCCATATTCTGATTTTTCTCCGTCCATATTTTGATTTTTCTCCTATTTATTTGTGGACTGAAAATGTGTGTTTATCTTCTTGAAATTCAGAAAGCAATATGAAAATCCTGGAGTTAACATAGTTATTAGACAATTTATTTAAAAAAATCTTGATTTAAAAAAAATTATTCTTCTATGCACTGGAAATTCATTGCTCACTTTGAATTGATTTTAAATAAAAACAAGTAAAAAAAACAAAGGAATTTGAAACAATTTTAAGAGGAAATGATTATCTTCCTCATGAAAAATACAGAACACAGCCAGTCTACGATATTTATAATATAATTATGTTGTATTTCGATCTTCATTTATTTTGAGAAATCCACAATTCTGGTCCAAGTTACTAACTTGAGATTGAATTTATGTTCTAGGAATTGAATGATGCTGTACAGAAAGGAGTGACTGCTAGTGGGATAGCTGATTTTGCAACTGCTCTCAATTATGCTTTTGATCAATTTGAGAATGTGAGTATCTGAAAAATTAAGTTTTGAAAATCGAAAGTAAGAGCCAACTTAAGGTTACGCCCTTTTTGGAAATAAATGTAAATCATGCATTTAGGTACTACATGAATATGATTATATGTACCGGTAAATGTATATCCTGTGTTTTGTCCAGATGTATAAGAAACATAAATATTAGGTACACATGAATCATGAATGCATGTCTTCTTGCCTAGGTATTCCTTGAGAACAAAAAGATATATTTGAATAGAGTCATAATGATAGCAGCTATCTTCTTATTATGCTCATTCATTTTGTAATATGTTGAACAATTCTCCTTTTCCAATAGGCTTAATACATGGTTTTATAGTGTGGAATTTACCTTTTAGTTGGATGTGGAGAAAAAGAAATGGTGCTGATATATGTCATTCATGGCATTATGTATGATTTTATTCAAATACCAAAATGAAGTGGAATCTTGTCCGAAACAGGCACTATGAGGAAAGGAAGCCAATCTCTGACCTTTGACCATCACTTTCTTTTCAATTGCCTTACAGTTCAACAGAACGGAGAGGCTGGGTGGTGAAGCGAATTATCAGGGCGCTGACTGCATCCGAGTTATCATGATCTTCACCGATGGCGGAACCTCCTCTGAGGAGGCCATCTTTGCGGCTCGCAACAGATATCCGTTTAAGGTAAGGAGAGAGTTGTTCTAGGAATTTGAGAAAAAGAGGTTGTCTCGTAAGAACTTGTTTAGAATTTATACAGTAGACTTGCGGGTGCACCATGTGAGAGAGAGGGAGGTGGACTCGGTAATCTTTCTTGAGGGTGTGTAGTCCTGAAAAGGACTGTTGGTGTAGTCTTAAAGAAAGACTGTTGGTTTGTTTAGAATTGTTAGTCAAAGACAAAGAATTAAGATTCAAATTCAGATTCTGATTTACATGCTAGATATGTTTCTATATTAAGATATGTGTTACGATATACGATATCCGATATATCCGGTATCCGTGGTAGTTCAATAAACATGGTCACCATCATCACAAACCTGACTGCCGACCCGTCTATTATCATGAGTATCTACCAAATCTAAGACCCTCGAACTCATCATGGTGGCAGCTGCTGGGATCTTCGAAATCAAGTTTGATTTTTGAAGACACAATTGATCCAGTTCACGACAGTTGGGAAGTATAATTAGCAAAATTATCGTCGATTAGCGATTGGTCACGTCGCACTTTTTCGTATGCATAGTACGTGCATCGTACATACCGCACAGTGTACCGAGACACTGATGCTACTGCATAATCCCGATGAACTCGTACGTGAATGGTGATGTGTGTATGAGCATATAAAGGTTCATAAAGCCTGCTCAGAATAGCCTAATCAAGTTATAACTGTGCTCAATCACTGACACAGGGGTCTGCATAATAACTTAACTAGTAAAGTTTAAATCTAAAACTAAACTAAATCAGAGGTGTGAACATTAAACCTGTTTTCAGATAATATTAACAATAATATCTGGTGTGTGAGGAATTGTCACTGTCGGACATATTGAGTGAGAGTGATCAACATTTTCATTGCATGAGACACCTAATGACATTCACACAGGTGTGAGAGCGTACACAGGTTTACGTGTACGAACCTTATCAACACCAGCCGGTTAGGACCTGTTCACACTAAGATAAACAACACAAAGATTTACACTCATTCATATAATCTGTCGTAACCAATACGCACACGTGACATATACAATGAGTACTAAGTATCCAGAGATGAACTGGGAGGTACCAGACCTACCCGAAGAGTTCAAGCTATTTAAGCAGAGAATGGAGCTTGTGTTGGCAGATCAAGAAATAACTGAAAACAAAAAAAAGGCTATAAAAATCAAAATCGCTGTAGGCAACGAAGGTTTGCGCAGAATCAATGCGTCTGGGCTATCAGAGGCCGACCAAGAAAAACCACAAGAGCTGTGGAAATTATTTGAGAAACAAATAAAGGTAAACATTAATTTTCGGGTCCATCGTCTCGAGCTGATGCGATATCGGCAGAGACAAGATGAGAGCATTGACGCATTCGTTACTCGATGTAGAGACAAAGCCAACACATGCGATTTTGAGGAATCCGAGCTTGCCGAGCGGATAATGGAGGTAGTCATCACCTCAACACCAAGTCTAGAATTCCAGAAATTCCTATTGGACCAGCCTAAAGGATATCTAATCGAAGCAATTCTTATAGAGGGTCGAAAATACGAGGCAGTTGCGGCGAGCAGAAAATGCCTAGAAACGCTTGAGCCGGCTAAAGAAAGCATAGATTCATTCAAGCGGAACCAGGGACGAAAGACGTGTGGAAACTGTGGACGTATCCACAAACCTCGTCAGTGCCCTGCGTACCACGATGTGTGTCGTGCCTGTGACACAAAGGGCCATTGGGCCAAGTTCTGTAGAAAGGCTAAGAACGATCGAAGTCGAAAACCAGATCGTAGATCAGATGACCATAAATCTGATGACCGTCAACCGAAACACGGTAACCAATCACGATCAAAATCAAAGGGTCGAAAGTATAAACCGATAAGTGAAATGGACACTGAACATGATACTAGCACAGATCATGAACATCAACAATCAGCAGGTCCATCAAACTTCGAACATTTTGACACCATACACACGATCGGAACACACACAGTGATCAACTCAAAGGGTACAGTAGCTTTTGCAAACATTGACATCATATGCCCACATAAATCAGGTCAGCATTACCTATATCTGAAGATAGACTCTGGGGCAAGCGCTAATACTATCACAGTACGCACAGCCAAACAAATATATGGTGACAAGTGGAGGCAAGTAGTGAAACGTACACCAGTAAAGCTAGTAGCATATGGCGAAATATCAATACCATGCGTTGGTACACTAGACATAAAGTGTAGATACAAGAGTCCAGAATGGTATACACATACATTCTACGTAGCAGACGTGAATGGACCAGCTATCTTAGGGTTGTTAGGTTGCACAGATCTCGGGATTATCACAATCCACACAATGCACAAGGACACACCTACACATACACCTATCACAAGTGTTAGTGACCTCAAACAAACATACCCAGATCAGTTTGATGCCATAGGAAGCTTTAGCGGGAAAGCAATGCTGCATCTGAAAGATGATGCAGAGCCAACCATAGATGCACCTAGAAAGTGCAGTGTCCATCTGAAGGACAAGATCAAAGCCGAACTAGATAACATGGAGAAGCAAGGAGTCATCAGAAAGATAGAAAACCACACAGATTGGTGTAGCTCGATGACCACCGTTGTGAAGAAAGATGGATCCATACGGATATGTCTTGACCCCAGAAGGTTGAACGATGCCTTGAAAAGGTGTCCACACAAAATTCCAACCTTGGAAGAAATCCAACCAATCTTCGCAGGAGCTCAATTCTTCTCCAAGCTAGACGCAAAGGCTGGATACTGGTCAGTACACCTAGCAGAGGAATGCCAAGACCTGACCACCTTCAGAACACCATTTGGAAGATATTGTTTCCAAAGATTACCCTTCGGCTTATGCACAAGCCAAGACATCTTCCAGCAACACATGGATAGGATCGTCCAGAATGTGCCTGGCTGCGTATGTATCGCAGACGACATTGCCATTGTCGGGAAAACAGAGGAGGAACACAACAAGAATCTCCACTTACTCATGGAGACAGCGAAACAGGAAGGACTCGTGTTCAACAGCTCCAAGTGTACTATCAAGAAGGAAGCTATCAGCTACTTTGGATCCATGTACACAAGATCTGGAATCTTCCCAGATCCAAGCAAGGTTGAAGCTATCAACACAATGCCTTCACCCAAGGACAAGGAAGATGTTCAGAGATGCCTAGGATTATTCACATACCTAGCACCATACATTCCTAATCTATCAGAGAAGTCAGCACCACTTCGTGAACTCCTTCACAAGGAAATTCCATTCGTCTGGGACGAGGATCACGAACATGCCTTAAACAGCCTGAAAAGCGCAGTCTCATCGGGTGCATGCCTGCAGTTCTTTGACCCAAAGAAAGAGACAACCGTTGAGGTAGATGCATCAATGAAAGGGCTGGGAGCATGCCTGCTCCAAGATGGCAAACCCGTAGCTTTTGCATCCAAAAGTCTCTCCAATGCACAGTCCAACTACTCGAACATAGAGAGGGAAACCTTAGCCCTAGTGTTTGGTATCGTCCGATTCCATACATACCTATTCGGGAAGGAATTCACTGTGATAACAGATCACAGGCCCTTGGAGACAATTTGGAAGAAACCTCTAAGAAGCGCACCACCTCGTCTACAGAGACTATTGATCAAGGTACAAGGATACAGATGCCAAGTCAAGTACCGACCTGGGAAAGAAATGATTCTTTCAGATACCTTGAGCCGTCTTCCTAACCCCAAGGAAGCACGCGATGTTCCACTAGACATCAGAGTGGAATCAATCTGCTCCGAAGTAGAAGACACTCATCAAATCGACTTGATCTTCTTCGGACAACACAAGAGAACAGAACTCCAGAGGGAAACATCCAATGACCCTGTTCTTAGGTCATTGTGGCAGACAGTCACTCAGGGTTGGCCTGAAACTCTTCAGGAGCTGCCGACATCCCTCAGGGAATTCTGGTCTTACAGAGATGAGATTGGAGTATCTCAAGGAGTACTCTTCAAAGGAAGCAGAGTCATCATACCGAAGACACTTCGAGAAGATATCCTCAGACAACTTCATCTTGGACACATGGGAATCGAGAGCACGAGACGACTAGCTCGTGAGACAGTGTTCTGGCCACACATCAACAAGGACATTGAACAGATCGTAAAGCAATGTGCTGCATGCCAGGAACACCAGGCAAGGCAACAGAAAGAGCCGTTGCTTCCCCATGATGTACCTTCAGCACCTTGGACTAGACTAGGAACAGATTTGTTCATGCTAAACAGACAAGACTATTTACTCGTCACTGACTATTACTCCAAGTATCCGATAGTCTACAAGCTGACTGACACATCAAGTGCTGCAGTAGCCAACGTGATGAGTGGAATCTTCAGTCTATTTGGTCCACCAGAGGAGATCGTATCCGACAACGGTCCACAATTTGTCGGGAAGCACTTCAAGGACATGTGCCGGAAGTGGTCGATCACCCATACAACCTCTTCACCTCACTATCCAAGATCCAACGGACTAGCTGAGAGAATGGTTCGTACCGTCAAGAATCTGTTGAAAAAGTGTTCACAGACTGGCCAAGACAGTCAACTGGCTATGTCACACCTTAGAGCAACACCTGTTGACAGTCACATGAGATCACCTGCAGAGATGTTGTTTGGAAGACCCATCAGAACAACACTGCCAAGTCATTATCTTTCAAGAGAATCTACCACCACTGATCATCTCTTGAATCGACAGAGTAAGATGAAAGAAACGCACGATCGACATGCGGGTCCAGATCTTCCACCACTCCACGTAGGACAACCAGTCAGAGTCCTACATCCCAAAGATCATACTTGGATACCAGCCAAAGTATCCAAAGTCTGCGACGAGCCTAGGTCGTATGAAGTATCAACACCTAACGGAGGAATCCTGAGACGAAACCGATCTCACCTGAGGGAGATTCCATCGTCAACCAACCCTACTCCAAAGCGTGTTAGGTTCGACGAAGACTACACTTCATCTACTCAAGCAGAAACACCACAACAGAATGGCAACAACCATCAGCCAACACCAGAAACTCAGAACATTCAATCTAAAGGACCAACATCAAACTCGCAAACCACAACAAGATATGGACGCAACATCCGTACACCAGCGAGATACATGTTTGAAGATTGAAACTGAACTCTTAAATTTCTTCAAAGAAGAGAGAAGATAAAGAAGAACACAGAAGACGCTTAGTTTAATGTAGTCTAAGAAGTTTATTGTTCATATGTATGTATAATCATTGTACAGTATTTTTGGTATGACAAGCATAATGTTTATAAGTCTAAACAGATGCTAGCCCAAACATGTTTCGTTTGGAAATTTATTTTATAAAGGAATTAAGTTATATCAAAACTACGTTCAATCTTGCAGATCAACTGTGAAGTTGAAAGTAGAACGATATAATTATTTATACAGTAAATACTCATTCGTTAATACGATACAAAAGAAACGTATTGAAAACAAATCAAGATTTTATGTTATATAACCTGATTGGAAAAAGTTTATTAGGAAGCAAATAACCAAAACTTGCATACTACCAAAAGTATTGTTATCAAAGCAATATGTCATTAATCATCGATCAGTGATGTTCACTGATTCCCAATCTTTCCAGAGGAAGGGGGATGTTACGATATACGATATCCGATATATCCGGTATCCGTGGTAGTTCAATAAACATGGTCACCATCATCACAAACCTGACTGCCGACCCGTCTATTATCATGAGTATCTACCAAATCTAAGACCCTCGAACTCATCAATATGTATGTTTCAAAAAGAAAATTCAGACAGGTATTTGTAATGTAACAAAAGTGTTGAAACTGAGGGAAACGTTGATTCACGTTCAAGTGCTTGCTTAGAACCTCCAATGTTCATTCTTGAGCCAATTATATATTTGTTTCATGCTGTGATGATATAAGTCTATATCGTGGCATTTTTACTCCTTCTTTTCATGTTTTTAAAATTTGTTTTGTTATTTGTGTAGGCTCGAGTGTTTGTGTACAAGGTGGGTGCAGATTCTATGGTGTCATCGGACGGTATCAGAGACATGGCATGTACCAACAAAGGTAATGACTTATATGATATTATTTGTAGGTTGTAAATGCTTGCTGAGCGTCTCAACTTGGGATGTGAATGCTGTGAAATGTTGAAAAAGAAAAAAAGTACATGTATTTTCTTCTCAATGTGTCTTTTCAGGTTACTTCAGTACAATCCAGTCCTTTGGAGCTGTGAGACTCACAACTCTGGTAAGAGCTTTACTTTGATAAGTGATTTTTACTTTTTACATCATTTTCCATAGAATGTCTATTGATTTCCCTTGTATGTTCTCAGTATTTTGTTTACTTACTGACTCTTTAAAAAACTAGCATTAATATGTGCATGTAAAATCAAGCATACCAAGATGCGAGACGTTGGGAAGGGTTTGGTCTCTTGCAGACTCTTTGGTCTTTGAAAATACTTTAAAAAGGATTATTCGGTCTGTAGTTTGAGAGAATACCTTATTCTATTGTCATTTTTATTCAAATCTGAGCAGTATTTTGTTTTAGTGTTGTAATTGCTTTTACCTAATTTGAAAATACATTTGACTTGTGGGACACTTTACAGTTCTTAATTTCTTTTTTTTTGGCCATTTTTATGTTTGTAATGTACAATTGGGATTATATTTTGTTTACGTCATAGGATTATGTTCCAGTTGTTAGCAGACCGATGGTCCTTAGTGGTCAGAAGAACTTCCAGTGGTCAGATATCTATTTGGATGCCTTGGTAAGCCTTTAATATTACAATACAAATTAGTAGTAGTAGTAGTATTATTAGTAATAGAAACAAAAATAAGAGCTAGTGAGAGAAAAAAAAGGGGGGAGGGTGGTGGGGAGGAGGAGCAGGAGTGAGAGAAGGAGTGAGAGAGATAGAGATCAAGAAAGGAAGCATAAGGGAAATACCAAGAAATTGTAAATAAGAGAGAGAGAGAGCAGAGTGAGAAAGACAAGGAAAGTGAGAGAGAAAGAAAAGTAGATGGTGACAGTTATATCAATTTGAGTTTAATAATTGGTTTTCTGAATATCTTTTCAATTGATATAAATTTTAATATAGATCTATGTAGTACATAAAGTCCATGCCAGTAGCAATATATCTTTAAATAATGACATTGTATTAATTTATTTGTTCATTCACATGTTTTACATTACGTCCATGCCCACATCGCATTTTGAAATAGAGAACTAGTGCATTTCCATGACATCAGTTAATATGCTGTGTCTCATATTATGTTCCTGTGTGTAGGGTCTAGGAATGATGACAACGCTGACTCTGCCTGTTTACAACACAACAAGCTACATTGTAAGTATCTCTTCTGCCGAGATCTAGTAGACAGTCTGTGCTTTAGTGGCTTAAAACTTGCAGTCTCTATGTATAGGGTAAAGATGAATATTGTTATTGAACCTTGAAATTAATTGATGATCTCATGTGGCAATGGATGAAGTGAATGAGAGCTGTTCAATAGAACACACATTTTTTCTATAAGATAAATGTGCATGGTTGGGGAATTGCACAGAGAGTGATGAGAATAATACAGCTCAGGTAATGTACAATAAACTATATTAATTATGTGTCATATGTTGATTGTCTGTTTAGACTTGTATGAATGTTTTGGTAGAGCTCCAACCAAGATGGATTATTTTTCTCATCTCATGACGGTTTGTGGATATTTTGTTTACACTCCTTACTCTTCTTGATAGAGTGTACATCACCTCCACACTTTAATACACAAAATACTGATTGATTTCATGTGTGAGACAGTGAGTAGGCTATAACTCTGTCACAGACAGCTACATCATGTTAATATGAAATGCCTTTTTTGTTTGACTTGCTCACCTAAAGGTGCCAGGATATAACGATACCAGACAGGTAGTATTTTCATGCCCAGACATCAAAATCCCTCTTGAAACCCTCCCTTTGCCTTCCCTCCACCTTTTGACTTATTCCCTGAACCAGACGTAGCATGTATACCTGTTCATTGAAACAATGCCTTGCCTTTGGTATTCATTAGCACTCTATAATCAATAGAAATGATTTTTCATTCTGCTTTTGATTTCATTATATCTTTTGCTGAGAAAATATTTAAGTTGAACGGAGCATGAAGGCAAACTTAGTATTATTTTTTATTTATCATGCATGCCACTTAAATGTGTTTAAATACAATTTTCGGAATATCTTGAATAGTTTTTTTTTAAGTGTCATCTTTGAAAGATTTATTCATTTGTCTTCCTTGTCTCATACCAAGTTTTTCAAGTTCATTTTTTTTAATGATGATTTTTAGATCAAGATCTTCAATTTTTGTTTTATTCATTTATTTAAAATCTGAGGTCTTGGAGATGGCAAGCAGGAGTTTAGTTTGTCCAGATAGTTTATTTCAGTTTATTTTTCTTGTAATCATCTTTTTTAAAGAAAGCTCTTTTGAATCACTAGTATGTTTCATCTGCTGCACAAATGTGAAAAACAAACTTTTCTATAGCACCTATTCATTCCAATCAATACTATAGAAATCCTAGGCTACTGGTCCAAATATCTTTTCCTCAATTACATTTAGAGCGAAAACATCCTTTATCATTACCCTCAAGTAAAGTGAGGCCTTGACCAAGTTTGTAATAGCATTAGAAGATTTGTTAGGTTTTGTAAAAGGCGAATGGCAGACCAGTTTTTATAGGGTCAGCTTTCAGTTGCTTTGGTGTGATTTCGCAACAAGTTTCTGCTTCAGAAGGCCATAATTTGCTGACACCAGACTCAGTGAAAATACCATTGATTGATGACTTTACCATATGGGATAAAGGGTGGAAAATTAATGCATATTAGGCCTGTTGGTCATAAAAATAAAGTCTAATCCTGGAGATTAACAACACCATTAATTGGGTAAATACCTGAATGATTTTGAATCCCCCATGAGAGCCCACTACAATGCGTCTTTAACACAGGGTTAAGTCCCCTTCTGACACAGAATAGACAATATGTAAGAGTGCATGATCCATTATCATCTACAGGTATTTTGCTGGTACGTGATTGTCCTTGAGAATATCACACCATTTCTTTCCTATCATCTTCGCCCCCATGTTCCACTTTGATTGATATCCTTGTTCATATATAATTTACCCATAACTTTACTCATTTTGTTGTTGATGGTGATACTGGTACCTGCTGAATGGTATACTAATGGTATACATTTACCTGTCAAATACCTGTTTATTTTCAGCTTGTAATTAAAATTGCATCATTTGTATCTTTATGTATGCTATGTGAAGGACAATTATATTATTTTGCTTTGGATGATTTGCATCGATTCCTCTTTTGAATTAGCTCCCCTTTGATTTCTCTTCCATCAACTGGTCTTATACATATTTTGAGTTTTGCACCACACTGTTCGAACAAGTATTAACATTTTTAATCAAGTTGGTTAAAATTTTAATCAACCACCTGTTGATTAAAATTTAAACTGTGGTTAATTAAATTTTTAATCATTTATTGGTTAAATGTATTTGCTCAATGTTGGTTGAAGTGGTGATGATTAAACTTTAACCATTTGTTGATTAAAACTTTAACCATCCATTGATTTAAACTTTAACCATTTGTTAATTATTTATGCTTCGTTCGGGGCTGATTCAATGATGTTGGTTAAACTTACATGGGTGGTTGGTTAAAATTGTAACCATTGTAGGTTAATTCTGTTTTGATTCTCACGATGTTGGTTAAACTTTAGTGGGTTGTTGGTCACAGTTATAACCACTGTTGGTTAAACTTACAGGGGTTTCGAGGTCTTATCCTGTGTTTATCAGTATATATCATGTAAAGATGGACAAGTTATCATATTTTTTATTGTCCTGTCAAAGGTCGTAAAGATCGACTGTCATATAAGTATGCTTTTTGTTCTCATCATGATATTCTGAGAATAATTAAAGCCAGGATCGTAGCTGAATTTAGGAGGAGGCATATCAGAGACGCAGTCACACTTGTCTTTTTATCTATACTTTCTAGATGTAATTAACACTTAATTAACCAAGTATATTTCACTGTCTTTTAAGGTAAACACATAATTAGCTTTTTTATAAAGCAATATCAAGTAATATACAAATCAAATCAAGTCAAATCTTCTATGCCAAAAGATTTTTCAAATCTATTTTTCAAATTTGTTATATCCCCACTGAATTTTAAGTTGTCAGCTTGAAAATTAACCCCCAATAATGCTGCCTAAACACATTCAACTCTTTTATTTTTGAATAATGATTCTTTGAATGAATCACAAGTGCGAGCAGAAAATTTCATTATTTGCACATGATTATTATCTAGTAAAAATCAGAAGGGCTTTAACTCGATGAACACGGTCACGAGTTGGTGCCTTTCTTGCTCTCATTTGAAAATATTATCATGTGATACCTAAGGATGTTGAGGCTACGTAAGTTAATGTTTGGAATAACTCATATCTTCTTTTGTTTTCATTCCATGTTTGTCAATATCAGAGTCAGCAGCTGCTTGGTGTTGTAGGTACAGACATCACTACCAAGAACATGGCTGATACAGTTCCTATGAACAAGGTATTTCTCTTTCTTCACTCTCAAAAAAACAATCAAATTTAGGTAGTCACTCTATTGTCTTAATGATAAGTTATCTCTAAGAGCATAATTCTAATGCGATGACAGGGCTTATATGCAACTTGCCAGGTGGTAATTATTGTGCTGTACCAATTGCCTTTCTCATCATTTTACTATACCTGTATGTATGACAACCATTCACAATCTTGACTGGAAGGATTTCATTTTAATGTTGTTCTATTAACTCAGCCATGTTTTCTTCAGACATCATGCTGGATAAAACAACAACAGTACGACTGAATCAAAGTGGTTTGTATGGGTTGTGGAGTCCATGAAATTTGATTTAGAATACAAGTTTCCAGCCTCATATATTAGACATGGTGGGGGAAATGCAAGGAAAATTGGAAGCTGTAAAATATCTGATGGTGATGATTGCACCTGACATCATTACAATATTCCAAGAATGTTGGAAATATAAAGTTATTGAGGACACAGTGGCATAGTGGCTCTTACAAATGTTGCATCTTTCTCACCCTATTGCCTCCTAATGTTGACCACCCTATTTTCTTAGCGAGAACCAAATATGTGCAACTCAATCTCTTCTAATTGTAGTGTTTAGCCAAGAGGCTCTTGTAGTTGAGTAAAGGCATGTCTAGCAATTTGTTGTACTTTGTCCCAATTTTGTGTTCCATATGACTATTGACAGGCCATCTGTATTATTTGAGTAGACAATTTGGTGCTATGAATGTTGAAAAGATAGGATGAGGAAAGGTTTCTGAGGAGTAGGAGCTTGGAACCACTTTTTAAAGTGTTGTTGCATGGCATTGCTTCAATACTAACCGCATGTTGTTTTGTCATAGAAACATACTATCATTCTTGCAATTATTCAAAGAGGGGGGGGGGGGGTGACTCTTTGAGAGGTTGGAAGTGCTGTATTTGATCCTTTCATTTCATTGTTACAAGTTCATGTATTCCATTTCCGAATGCGTTAGAACGGTGCTTGAAGTGTTCAGAGTTCAAAGTTCACCACGTGATACATGTACTTGTATATCTAATTTCGATCAATGTCATCATCAGCTACAGCAGCAACATCATCTTGAAATCTAAAAACCATTTGAAAACGATTCTACTTGTTAATTCACCATCAGACTTTCAGCATTACGTGAATCACATAATGTTCTATCGTTTTGTTTTGTTTTGGACACTGAAAAGGCCTGATAAAGATAATGCCTCCCTATTGCTTATCTCATTGTTCGATTTGCATTACATGTTACATGGATGTAAGTGAAAAGTATTTTGCAATGATTGGTACTAGAATAGAATAAATTTTCTGTATGAACTTTTTTTTTTTATAAAGGAATACATTAAGAATACAATTAAAATTTGCACTTAATGTGTAGAAATAGTACCCCTTTCTTTGGGTATGCACTATTTTGTGAAGGAAAATATGAAACTGAAAGAAAGCACTGCATTTAGGAAGATGTTAAGAAAAAACAAATCACATCATGTTGTTTAATTCTATCTTTTTTCAGCCTGAGTATAATTCTTCATTCAGTGAATCTGTAAGTGTGTGATCTGTTTAAATGGACAAGATTCTATGCTGCACAGCATGTTTATAAACCCAATATGTGTACCTGCCTAATATCTCTTTCATCCCACTAGTCGCTCCTTAGTATATTAGTGCATTAGATTAATAGTGATAGATAGCACTAACATGCTGTGTTCATGTATGTGTATTTATGTTGTCCTATGTATGCGTGTTCTCTTTAATATTTTATTGCACTTCATTTAAGCTTCCGTTTGTAAATGTAATGCTACTAAACTAATTTACCAAACTGCAGTGGCTCACAATGGCAATATTGACATTGCTGTAGAGTCTAATTTCATGTGAGGGGGTTCGATATTAAAAAGCCACAAGTCGACTTGTGGTTTTTATTTTTTCAAAAGAAGCAACATTTCACTTTTTTTAAAGTATATTGTACTTGTGTAGTAATAATTCATCATTATAATTTATAGTTATTTATAACTTCTCTACTCTAGTGCAATCATCCATCCTTTTTATTTAATTTGTTTTCATTTGTTGATCATTAATTGCAGGATTTTATTTTTCCATTAACTTGTGTCATCACGATGGCACTCAATACCTATCTTCATTTGATCTTCTGCTTTTTTTTCTTTTGTTTACATTTATTTCATACATCTTTCTTTTCTCTTTCTTTGATTAATTTATCTATCTTTTATATGTTATCTATCTTTCTTTCATTTTGTTCATTCATCTTTCTCTCTTTGTCGATGTGTCTGTGTTCTTTCTTTCATTTATATGGTTTTCATTCATATGTCATTTATCTTGTGTTTATTATTGTCTTTCAAATTTTCATCCACCTTTCTTTCATTTGTCAAACAATCATTTTATAATTCATCCATAATCATCACTATGATTTTATTCATTGATTCATGCTTCCAATTCCATTATCATTCCATGTATATTTGTATGTACATATAATTTTCAATCTGTTAATATTTACATTTGATATCAATGCATGCTTTAATATACTTTTTACATTTCATAGTAATCTATATTCCTATGAGCTTATTAGTAATTTGCTTTGATACATGTACCTCCAACATTTCAATTCATTTCATCTTCCTCTAACACTTCACTTATTAAATTTATCTTATATATGCAAATTTACAACAGGGAATTGAGAAATAAAGATTTTCTTTCGTTTTTGTATAGAATTGTGTAAGAGATCCCTTTAACCTGCAACAATTATTGTTTTAAGTGGGATGCGCAACTATTATTGATTAACTCATAAACGTAGATAATGGAGCGTAAAGACAAAAAATGTTTGAGCATCAGCTACTAATTATTGTACGTACCTTTTAAAGACATAAACAGTATACTTTTATATATACATGTAGTTAGTCTTTTTCGAATGACACAGTCATGATTATCCATCATTTATATAAAGTAAAAGTGAATGTATGATGAAGGTAGGTAGCTCTTAAAATGTAACAGGAAAATTCAATTCTCATAGCATCACCATTATTTCAATAGATATGTATCTAATAATTTAACTATTATTAACTTTTTGCTAACAACTAACTTGTTTATGTATATAATACTAATGTATAGAAATATACTTGTACATAAAATGTTTATGCTAATAAGGTAGCTGTAATAACAACGACTAGTGGCATTAAAAACCATATCTGCTGCTGATATTAGAGGCATTGAATCACTGATAAATATTCTTAAATTTAATTGAAATGATGGAAAACAAGAATTGTCCCAAACTATAGAAAAGTTTTGATAAACCTACTTAAATACACATTTCTAAAAGATTACAAACCGTAAAGAAACAAATATGTTGTACATAACTGGATGCTCCGACCTGACCTGACCGATAGATATCCCACCTCTGTTGCAAACATGGTTTTATGTGCCGCTAGGTTTCGTTCAGCTTTTCTTCATGTTGAAAATTTCAAAACGATAAACAAATTATGAAGGTTGATCCTGTAGAACTCTCTTAATATTATGATCAGAATGGAGAAAAAAAAGGGACTACGATTGGAAGTTTGTCAAGCATTATGTAATTTTTTCATAGATTTTTGTCAAACTTGTTGGAACAGCTTGTCGTATTTGTAGCAGATGGAGGAAAAGAAAAGATTAGCATTATAGTACATGTAATATGAAGAGCATATTTTATTTCAATTTGTAAACAAAAATTAGAACTTCCAAAAACCTATTGTTTCAGATCATTAACTGTGTTCTCATTGTTTTAGGTATTCTCTGTTATTTTATTGCTTTTCTTTTTATGTACAATTATTTGTTGTCAAAATTTATGATGAACTTTTTTGTGAATAACGTTTCATTATCCATGTGTGGCATGATATGTAATAAATCTGAAAGATAGATAACGTTAAACATTGTGCTGCATAATGTAAAATTTGTAGAGTTTGACAATGATAACTTTCCTTAGATATTGGAATGGATAAGGTAATTATGGATAATATACGTCGAAATTTCATGCACCAATAGATTTTCATGCACAATTCTAGTAAATACATGATGCAGGTATACATGAAGTTGATATTCCAGTTTCAGTCTTGAATGTTAGGGGTACAAAGCAGTTTTTTCCAGGACATATCCACATCAGATAATTTAATGCATATTTGATCACGTTTTGTGTATATGTTATTGATTTGATTTCTAGATTGGACCACAGGCATATGTGTTCGGCATCAACAGTAATGGCTACATCTTATTGCATCCCAGACTGAAAGCTGAGGTAAGATTTATACAATTTTAGGTACAATGATTATTTAATTAAATCAGCAAATGCATTATTAATAAATTGTGAGGTTTTCATGAAAAACACGTTTTAATGTTACAGAATTGAATCTGAACATCCCTCCCCAAAAGGTGACTTTCTACAGGAGCAGCCAAAGTTTTCCATACACCCGATGAACAAATAAATATGTTTTATTCATGATTCCCTCTCCCCCTACAATTTCATTTTTGAATGATTTATTGAATGTGTCACCAATTTCAGATACCATAATGTAAAATAAATACACTATTGTAATTAAATTTTACTAATAACACAAAACAAGATTGATATTCATTTTCATCCCAGACAAAACCTCCAAAGACATACTTGGCTTTCTACATGTCGTGTGGCATGCCTAATTTCTTCAAAATACATGTAGTTGCTGTTTCTACTTGGACTAAATTAAGCTAGAACTAGTGAGAGAGAGTGCTTGTACTATACCATTGATACTACGTAGATAGAAATGCTATATTTACTAACACTTGTTGCTATTGTTAACATTTTCGTCCTACAGTATCTGTACTATTTCCTTGAAGTGTGTCTGTGTGCATGCCTCTACGATATTATTCCCCAAAGTGAGGCGTAAAAGTAGAATTGTCCCTTTTACATGAAAAAAGTGACGTCCTAGTAAATGTAAAGTCCAAATGAAATTATCTTTATGTAAATAAAGGACAGTTATCATTATTGTGAGGTATGGGATGTCATCTCAAAAAAAATTGTTGTCTTAATGAGTTGCTGGAAGAAAAATGATAGACTTCAGGGAAATAGGATTATGTTACATAGTTTACTTGAGGCATAAATAAAGGTAAAGGTTGGAAGTGTCATTACCTCTCTTTACAGGTGTATGTTCCGTAATGAAATGAAAAAGATAACAAATTAGGGAATGGAGGACATTTCACCTTTTGGTACTCTTTCTTATAACTTGCATCAAGAGAAAACTTATTTTGAAAAAAAGCCTATCAGTAGGAATAAATTTCAGAACATTTTTGTACTATCTACAGGTCAACTAAAATCATTTATGGATTATGATTACAGTTCTTTTTAATTTGTCATACATCTCAGTTTTGCTCAGGTATATGCAGTAGACAGGAAGTGTGTCTACTTTACAACTCGTCTAATTGTTTTTTCATTTGAAAATGAGTATATATAATTAGTGATTTTTCAATATGGCATGAGAACAACTCGGAAAGGTATGGTTTTAAGACTAGACAAAGGGATTTCTCATGTTCAGCAACCTTTATCATCTGGAGGCATACCTGTTCTAATGGAGTGACTTGTAATGATATTTTCCAGTAGTTAAGATAACGCAGGCATGATTGAAATACTACTCTTTCATCCACATGCATTTTGTGGTTTTATTTCTTGCATTTTTAGAAGAATACCAGTGTTTTGTTCTTTTGCATTCCCCAATTTAGAGCAGCTAAACTCAATAACCTTTTGAAACATAGTAAAAAGGAAAAAATTAGATAGTATACATAGATTTAGACTACTAAAACTACTACTGTAAAAAAAAAATAATGACATGTACCTCAGCTTCAAAACCCCATTTGCTGCACAGTGAAGGTGTATGATGTAATTATAATGGTATCTTTTAATTTTGTAATTGCTTTTTTACGATTTTAATCGTCTTTATACAAAATATGATATTTTAATGATGAGTATTATAGTGTGTGACTTCTGTAAACATAAAATGTAATGTTACATAATGTTTTTTTCAAAGCTGAAGAACTTTCAAACGCAGCACGCATAATTACACAAGTATTCTTTCTGCATGTCACATAAATGCCTTAAACTAAAATTGATTTTCCTCCTATTTATCTCTATCTTTCCTTTGAGTAGAAGGATTATTTGATAAGTTGACTGCAATTCCCAGCAAAGCAACTGGGTTATTTGACCTGCAACTCTTGCTAGTTGCTATCATGTTATTCTGTATGCACTTACTGTGATTAAACTCCTCTAAGAAACTCTGTTATCTACTGTAGTTGGTAAAAAAAATATATGATGCTATGAGAAAGTACAGTCTCAGAGAACAACCCCTGCATTATCCTAAATGATAGAGATGTAAATACATTTCATAAAAACTTAAAGCATGTACATTGGAATATATCATGTATTGAGCATGCATGGTATGATGGAACATTGCATTTTTGAGTCATTTCAATTCAATTTATTAAAGGATCTCATCATGGTTACATCTCGATGAGGATTCTACATCGTATTAACTCATTTCATTCACTTTGGATTCTTTTTTTTCTTCTCCATGAACCATATTATTTATAAAAGAACATTATCAGTATTTTAATGAGGTGAATGTACTGGAAACCACATTTTGAAGTTGTCCTAGATATATCACCAGCGTGAATATTAGGTGACTGTAAATTATTATTTTAGTGCAGTCAGTAATTTTGTGGTTTTTATACTCTATAAATTAATCATCTGATCAAATTTTACAAGTTAATCATAACATTGGGACACTCTTAATCTTGTGATGAGTAATTGCATTCTTTTTAAAATTTGCATCCTAAGTAGTTTTAAATATCATTTATACCCCATGCAATCAAGATATTAATGCCTTTTCCTGAAAACAGTTTACAGCATTTTACTTTTTCACAATGCCCATATTTGATTTATTTTCATATTTTTCAACACATTCTTCAGTTTCATCTCATATTGACAGGTTAAGACACATAATAAACATGATTTTATTTGCTTGTAACATATCTTTATGTACATACAGTACTCTGGGAATTTTCCTTTTTTTTTAATGGAAACTATAAAATATAGTGAATTTGATATGTGATTGATCTGATGATGAATAGGCAAGTGGTCATTGAAAAGGAATAGGTACTCATGAGTTCTGATTATTGCAATAAAAACACTTCACGCTTCAAATTCATGCTGAATATTAAAAACTAGAGATGCATATCATCTGCCAATCCATTGACATTGACAAACTGCACTTTACTTGAGTTTTGTGTAAAGAAAGCCAAATTAATTACAATTTTGTGCATAAGTACAATTTATTTCATCTAAATGACTTAATTATAGGAAAGGATTGGCAATAAAATTGTTGATTGATCTTTCAAATTACAGATTTATTTCAGGATTTTAGGATTATCTTTGAAATAAATCATTCGTACTTGGAGAAGAAGGTATCATTCCATTTTCATGTAACATCATGACATGTTTAATTCATTATTTTTGTTGCTTTTATTTTTAACATCCAAGAATGCAACATATTACTACTTTCATCCTTCTCTTTCCATCTCAAATTTCTCCTTTTTTTGTGTTGGTGATGACTAACAGGAAGTGATCGAATCCATTCTTGAGGTACCCTAACACCATATCCCTCCTCTCTCAAGTTCCCATTTTGCGGGAATACCTTACCTTGCAATTTAGTGAGAGAGAGAGAGAGTGGGTGGTTTCACTTACACTCAGAGTTGTATTTATTTGAATCTGCAACCTATATCATATCTATCTATCTCCTTATACTCTCATCATGTATGTGTTTGTTTTTGCATCTTATATACTCTTTGTAGTTGTGTTTCAGGGTTGACCAGTGTGGAATGTATGTAATGTTTTCACACTAAATCAAGTCTGCTTGACACTTCAATAGATAATAATCTTATTCCCCCCGCCCCCTGCCCACAGTTAACACATTATGTTTGAAATAATCATGATCAGTCGGCATGATGACGTCATTTTGATTGTAAACTGATGGGCTCTGGATCGCTCAATGCATGTGCAAGATATTATTTAAAGACTTTTGCCTCAATTTGATAAGTGTATGGATTTTGACCAAATGCAGAAAAAGGCTTTTGATCAGTTACTTAATTTGCCAGTATTATTTATGGGTAGTATGGAATACATGCATTTGAATGATTAATTTTGCTTGCTTTAGCAATAAATGACATGTATGTCATGAATGTTGGTTGATCACTTATGAATACTGGACATTTTCAATACTTTGTTAATTTCAAATGACTTCACATTGGCATACTTAACTTGAATGATAAATTTAATTAGGAAGCAAGGAATTTACTTTTGTTGAATATAGAGGACCCCAGACATATCTGTAGAGATGGAAATTGAATAATCTATGGAGAAAAGCGTTACTTAAGTAGGGCCTGCATGTTTTTTTTTCTTTAATGGAATAAGTAACTAAATGTTTTAAAGGGAAAAATAATATAAATTATCTATGATTTACAGAAAATTACTGCTCATGCTAAAAATGTATTGCTCAGCTAAAAAGTTGGGAAATGTTAGTTAGTTGAGTGAAGTTATTTTGATTCCATTTTTTAGAAATATAAATCAAATTTTATCGGTCTAATATTTGCTGAGAGCAATATTTCATTTGTTACCCTTGATCTAGATTTTTGTTTTAAAAAAAGAAACAGATTTAGGAATTCCCAGCTAACACTCACTTATTGATGTTGTTTATGTAATAAATAACCATGACTGTTATGGTTTGGTGGCTTTGTTATGGATTATAGACATTTTAAAAATAAAAATTAACCCCCAGTGTTTTCAATTATTATATCTTCAGTAATCTAATCTGTGAGTAACACATGTTACCTGACTTTGACGATTTCTACACTCACATCCTTTTGAATATGCGATTCAATTTAGTCTTGACTATGGCTAATGTTTAAAAAAACAGGAAACAGTGACAAATGAGTAATAAAGCACTTTATCTGACTTGTGTCCTATCATGTTATGGTAAATATTAAAAAGGGGTTATTGCCCACATATAAAATAGGAAACTTAAAAATATAGAATTATCCCCAAAGTATGCTTGTTTGACATACTAGCTACCCCAGTCACGAGCAAGCACCCTTGTATTGACGACTAATAATAGTACACAAAATCTGCTACAATACCCAACTTCTCACTTAAATATGATATCCAAATCAGAGAAATGGATTGATTTTTTTTCTAAGAAGTCAGCAGTTACTTTTTGCACATTTTTCATACCATCTGCTGAGATCAGGAAATCTATTTTTCACAGAGATAATTGCCCGTTTTGGTTGATATTCAGCTGATTGCAAGGTTTGTTAGATACCAGATAATGTACTGAAAATAAAGTTAAATGTCTGTTAGAAAAAATAGCAGAATCGTGACATCAAAGGACAATGTTTCTGCTACAAAACTTACTCATGAATTGGTTCATATAAGTCCCATCTACTAAAGTTGTTTAGGTCTGGATTTTATGGACAAATGAACTAGACTTGTTATAGTAATAGCCTTGTAAGATTTTTGATGTGTGAAAATGGTTTAAACTGCCTGTAAAAATGTTATTTAGTTAAATCAATGATGTGTGGAGATACTACAGTAAAAAAAAAAGCATAAGGGAAAGGAATGTTAACATTTTTCAATAATTTCTTTGTCTTTTGTGAACCAGAAGTACAAGAACACCTTCCATTAAGTACAGACTTAAACTCATCACTTTCTGTCAAAATGCTTATATTCTTAATAGTAAAATAAACAAATCAAAACATACTTCAAGAAGTAACTCCTTATCAATATCATTTGGTGCTCATTTTAATTTGGCAAATACAACCAATCATAAGTTCATTATTGCTTTGTCCCAGTCTGTCTTTTATTCTGTATGTGTGTAAAAAACAAAAATGATCTGAGGTCTTCTTAATTTTACCATACATTACATACGTCAACCCTGTTAAAGACACCCAAGCTTGATAACAGGTTACGCATGTTATTAGCTTACATGTCATGTGTCAACTCCTAGGCATTTGAATGAAAGAAGAGGAAACTTTGAGAAAGGGACAAATTCTATTGACCAAAAAAATAAGGAGAGTCATTAAAGAATAACATCTCAACTTCATGGCAGATTTAATCATGTGAAATTCACTTTGATAGATAATGATCTGTTCCTTTACATATTAGAACTGTCGAAATTGCCTTTTTTCATTTCATTTTTTCTGTTTTGCTTTACTCAAAGTAACTTAGTATCAAGATTGGGTGTCTGATAAAATAAATCAGCAAAACTTTGCTTCATTCTGTTGTTAGTCTGTTTCTTCATATGTTTTTTTTTCTCCCTGAAGTGCTCACTTCTATTCTTCTATCTTTTGTTTATATTAATTGGAGGAAATTCTACCAATAATTATAAAGTCCCATCGCTGCAAATAGTACAGCATGATTTCATCCTGCGATCATCCACCACCATACATCATTGTTTTTAACTCATCATTTGTCATTCAAAAATGGCTGTTCTGTTGTGATTTTATTTTTTAGAATGAAAGGTCATGTTTCCTCCAAGTTGTTTCATGGTGATCCATCTTGCATTCAATTAATCTTCAGTTGCTCTCATTGTTTACCTCCACCTCATCATCATCATCAAACATTGAATGTCCCCCCTTCCATCCACCACCATCTTCATCCTCCCTATCCATCCACCTTCATCCTCCCTATCCATCCACCTTCATCACTGTTTCATGATTTTATTGTGATTGAGTTTCATCAGTTTTCATTGTCAGCGTATTATTTTTACCCATGTTTTCCATCAATCATTCTAACAACTGCACACAAAACCCATCATTAATGCAACAATTATTGAGTCAATGTAATGATTAGATAGTATCAAAAATAAAATGTTACTATCATGTGACACACATCGTTTTTGTCATGTAGGCAACTTAATTACCTAGGGTATGTTGAATGTTTGATAAATCTCAAAATAGTTATAGCTTCACAATTATTTATGTAAAATCTTTTAATAAGTCCAAATATTAACACAAAAGATGTGTCCATTACAGCATTTTGTTTTTCAAAAATATAATACATTTTCAAGAACTTACAACTTCTACACCTGATAGTATTGTAAGGAATGAACAGATGAATGAATGTTATTTTTTGTCAACAGTGAATCTACATGTAACACACAAGTTGGTGTGATGGCACAAACATAATTTCTATAGGTGGTACACTTGCTGTTTGTCGCAGTATTATCAAAACAAAATGAAACAAAATTCTTCTTTTTCAAATCAGAGATATTATTTTTGTTGAAATCTGTTTTATTACAGATTTCATATATCGTTCATCCATTCATTCAAAGATATATCCTTCCTTTTTTGTGCTGGAAGCCAAAAATGTGATACCAGTAGTTACTAGCATTTGACATAGAGTAAACACAAACATAATGAATACAGTAATTGATAGAAAAGATGTTTGCTGTGGTGTGATATCTCATATGTTTTTAAGTGTATAAGGGTAATCCTTTTCCCTGTCTCTCTGTGTACCATGGAAAAGAAAGGTGTTCCAACCTGGGGGGTGTTTCACAAAGATCCTAAGTTGAACTTATCTTTAAGTTGGACTTAACAATTATGGAAAGCCGTTAGCATCTTTGAAAATATTTTGTAAAAGTTATTTTAAAAGGCATAAAATGTTGATTCAAATCATTCATATTTCCTAACATCAAGGAGATTTCATGTTCTCGATGTGGAATTTATGAAAAGTCTAAAATACTTAATTTTTTGCTTTTGAATATATTTTATTTTAAGGCTACATATGGCTCTCCATAATGTTTAAGTCCAACTTAGAGTTAAGTTCGACTTAGAATCTTTGTGAAACACCCCCCAGATATTGTTCATATAGCCCAATTGTCCATTATCTGCTTGGAGCCAGAGGGGTGTTAAATCATGTGCTTTAACACAGAGACCTTCTGGCTCTCAACAGACAACATGTACCGATATTAGGGACTTTTAGATTTGCACGACGAGAACGTGGACTGCTACATGTGACATCCTTTTAAGCCAATGTGACGTCCTTTTAAGGCACTGCCAGTGCCTTAAGAGGACGTCACATCGTCCTTGTTTTCACGAAGTGACGGTAGTGAGGAAAATCGTAACGCAAAGTGAATACAATTTTTTTTCACTACCGTCACTTCGTGAAAACAGCGACGACATGTCACATGTAGCAGTCCAGGTTCTCGTCATGCAAATCTAAAAGTCCCTATTGTAACCTTAAGCCTAGTGTCCTATTCATTGTTGTTACTCCATGCATTAACATGACCCCCATCCCCATCATATCATATCCTAAAACCATTGTAGTGTCAAAATATTTAATTGTTCAAAGCCAACACCATTCTTGTAATACTCATTATTTAAACCTTTTATGTGAACTACTATAGATAGGTTACATCCTAATTTTTTGTAGCAAAACCCCATTTCTATCATTTATCTTCAGTATTCATTTTGTGTTGTGTGGAGTTACGTAGTGTTATTATAGAACCTGTACTGTCCCATGTTAGACATTTTATTCATGGTGAATATTATTCAGGAGTGTAATTTATAGTATTACCTTTTTAGAAAAGTATAAACAGTATATAGACCTAAGTGTAATGCTCACTGGTCTTTTATGATTTTTATACTTCAATGAAACAAATAAGAATTGTCAATATGTTAGAAATCACTGTTAGATTTTGTTAATGTGTTGTAGGGGGGAAAAAAGGTGCATTATAGTGTGGCTGTTGGGGATTTTAAATTATTGATATAATGCTAAGAGCCTACACATGCCTGCACGATCTTAATGTTACAATCTTTAATTAATATATTCATGGCTGTGTCTATGTCGACTAACCGCATGGCAATTGCTGACCATGCATGTTCATTTATGATATATACCTGGTATGTTTTCTCATCCATTCTCCTCATCCATTCTCCTCATATTATTTATTGCATGATGTAATCATTCGATCATTTCACATTTCATTACTGATTCTGCATGATACCATTTAATTTGTGTGGAGTGAAATATCTTTAAAAGTTATCTCTTTGTGGCGCATTACTAGATAGTCACCATCAAACTCATGAATGACTGACTGGTTTGTAGTCAATTGCATTCCCATGCCCATTTTCAGGTATAAGGGGAAAAAGTCTCACAGAAATAGTGATTCAACACCAATAATAAGCTGTCTGACTTGGATCACCTTCATTTCCATGTAGTATTTCTACCAAGTTTGTGTGAATCCTATGGTAAACTAGAGATAATACCAAATAAAAACTCTCCTGAAAAGATTAGAACTGGTAATTGTCTTTAAGTGGAATTATATCCGCTGTTAGGAATTTTTGCAACGCGTAGAAAATGCGTAGAAAATAGTCTGATTTTTCAGACATTTGTACTGTATGGTCGTACGTTTTTTTCTGCGCAAAGATTCAATCAGCTTAATTTTGGCAATTACAAGAAGTGAGTTATTGATGATGGTGTACAAACGCCCATGTACCCTTTACAGCTCATTTTATGTATGTTAACTAATTACCAACGGGAAAAAAAGTTAGCCAGTCACTAAAAAGTGTCTGACAGTAAAGTCTAGAAAGTGAACGGGTTTCCTTGCAGAATTTGAATACTAGGACACTGCTAATATATAAATTTTACAGATCGGACATACGTGACATGTTCATAATTGCTGCAAAGTTCTACAGAATTTAATGTCGGCTGCAAAAGGGATACAATGCCTTTAAGGGCGGGTCAGTGTAATGTGCCCCAAATGACATACATACATGTCTTTTCTCCACATTCTTCATCCCAAAATGAACACTCCTTGATATGACCACTGACTAATGGTAGTAATTCCTTAAAGAATCATTTCTCAGAGTTCAAATCAAGAAATTTGTCATTTTTGTGATGAAAGAAATGAATAAAAGGCATATATTATGTAAAACAGGAGTCATTCCTTGCCACGCATAGGACAAGGCAAACTCTGATAGATATGTATACAATAATTGAAAAATTAATCAAGACATGTTTGTCTCAATTTAACAAATTTAGCATTCAGGGAATACATTATTAGATAGTGTTAGGTTACATCAGTCAAACAAACAAAAGCTACTTTCGTGATTAGCCAGCTTATGGCACTGAACAATGTAGATTTCATTAGTGAATGTATTATACCCATTTTCAATGGGTTTTATGCCAGACATACTGTTTGTATCTATGGTTTTTCAATTTTGATACTATATGTTTCCTTAGATATATGACATCTCCTTATCACTAACCTGCACAAAATTAGATTCACTGAAGTGTGAAGGATATGTGCATGTAAAACTTTTCTATTATTAAGAGCAAACCTAAAGTGTCAAATTCTTTAGAAATTTGATTTGCTGTTTTTTGCTGCCAATGATATGCTAATCTTTTCTCTTGAAAATGAAGCATGTTTGTGTGATTTTTTAACTATTTTACTTGTTAGATAGAACAGTTATATTTATTGCAATTCATTAATTTGTGTTTACTCAGTATAGATTTGGTACATTCTTCCAAACTGATAATATATGTATTCTTTCCACTGTAATGTTCATCTTGAGTGAAATACCATATATGTATCTTCTTCACATGCTGTTGCATGCCAAAAAGCATGGATATGTCATATGAGAATTAATGAACGATAGCTATTAGTGAGTGTATAGTGCATGATATCATAGGAAAATGATAGACACTTAATGAAATGATTTATGTACAGTAAAGGTTGGTTGCCTAATATTATATTTTTGTTTTAGAAAAATAATAGAAAACCAATAGAAAAAATATTGACCCCTGAATTCCCTTGAAATATATATCTTGAGTAATGTAGTTTTATATGAAAAGATGTTGTGGTCATTGGCCTTGGTTCCCCATGTATTATTATAAGCACCTTATTATTTCCCAGGGTAATAGGACAGATTTGTATGAGGCACTCCAGTTAAAATGTTTAACAAGAAAAGATTATTAATTTGCCTTTTTAATTTGTTACAATATTTTCTAATTAATTCAATTGTTGTTGAATTCAAATGACATGACTCTTAGTTAAACATAAACATGTAGCATGTAAACAATCAATAATAAGGTGCTACTGGGTTATTATTAAAGACAGGTAACTATTCTATTTTTGAAATGCTAGTTAGGTCAGTGATCTTAATACTTGCCATTGCCACACTTGCTCTATTTCCCTAGCCCTTCAATGCACTTCATTCATATCTAATTGATCCATAAGTATCTTTTAATGACCCACTTTGAATGTTGTCTGTATTATTTCATGTGTCTATTTAGTTGAACTATTTGTCTGATCCACCCAATGTGGACTTCTTGGAGGTAGAGTACGAAACTGAAGAAAAGAAAGCGGTAAGTTACATTGCTAGATTATTTCATCTGTTCTATGCCCAGAATTTCCAGTAGCCTTTGAATATTTATGTGATGGATGGGATGAACGACTTTTGGTAGAGTGATTTATTCCACACTGAATAGTCAGTTTTGCATTGCTATTTCAAAGATTGAATGTGTACAAACAGTCAAGGTGTAGATTGATAGAAGTTGTTGAACAATTAGTCATACATTGGACTAGTTATGAATTTGTAAACATGTACATGTACAGCTGATCTTCAAATATTCCACTTTTAATAGCTGTTGGGATTAGAAATTGGTGAAGAAGTTAAACATCTTGCATAATTGCAGTTTTAATGTAATCTTAGAGGCTTGTATTCTACTGAAAATCAAACTGAGATTAGGATTTTATTGAATTAGTCGAGTATAGGGCAAAGAGTATTGAAGAAACAATCCAGCTTCAAGATCCCACAATTTTAATAGAGGAAAACTAAAGGGGAAATTTGATACAAGGATGATGAGTTATGTTGATGTTAAGATTAGTGTAGATTGAATCAAGAACACAGCACAATCATTTGGCTGATGTAGAATAGGCATGTTTTCACATAAAAAATGGCTTGTTCAAGATTGCAATCCTAATCTAAATATATCTTCATAAGGTCTAAAAAGCTGGGATTGATCCGGGGATACGTCTCTGATTTTCAGTGTTGTGATTTAAGATATGACCGTTTCCTCTTTGCTTTAAAGTGCAATATTCCAAATAACACTACCCAAATATATCCAGAATATATTATGTGACAGGAATATCTCCATTATTGCATTTTGTCCTTTCAGTTGCGTAAAGATATGATTGACAGAAAATCAGGCAGTGTAGAGCTGGATACCCCAATCATGTCCAGAGATGAGGTAAGAATCGCATTAACTCACCTTAATCCGTACACAATAGGGATTCTTTATACTTATTTAAATTGCAACATTTCAGTTTAATATCTGTAGTTATTGTTTGAAGTTTTTGAATCAACAGGAAAAAATGGTATTCATCATTTAATATGACTATCAATGATTTTAGATGTGAAAAATAAGGGAAATGTTTTACTTCGAATGGATCCAGGATTTGATACAAAGTTCTTACAAAATATTAATGAGAGGGATATTTTAATGAGGAGCAGATCGAGATGTTCCAAGTCTTTTTTTATTTAGATAGTAGACTTGTATTTGTATTCTGTAATTTGTATGCATTGTTGAAGTACACATGCATTACTTGTTAAATCAAGTCTCTTGATTGTATTTCATTCTTTTAATTTGTAATTGTTTATTCATCTTGCAATAGTTTTACATTGATTCGAGAACAAATCACCTCTATTTCATTTAATTTTCTCTCTCCTCCACAGAGATATCTGGAATTTGTGAACATGACATATTCCTACACATTCATTGACAACACAACATTCAGGTAAGAACACTGTGAAGAAATGTTTATTTTATATAATTAATTAGTTGAAATTTATCCTGAGTGGTGTGATTTTGTTCTTTAAAATACATGTACACTGTAATTTTATTTCAGGCGATGCAATGTAATTGCCTTGTTTAAGAACGATATTATTTTTCACATTACATGGAATGAATTATGTTGTATGGTTAAGAACCTGACTGAGGAGACCTAAAAGTTAACTTTTCAAATATTATTATGCACTACTTTACATGAAAGGGTTTGCAGGCAAATGTTTTCCAAAGAAATATGTATGTACACAGATGACAATTTTAATGCTATTTTAATAGAAAGGCCTGGAACTAGCAGCACCGCTGTTGCCACCAAAAATAACACCATCCTTAATAACTACTAATGGCATTGATGACAGGCCAACTGATTATAATGTTGCCGAAGATTCACCAACCATAGGGAGAATTTTAGTTGAAAATGAGTATGATGACCCAATTTGTTAACTTATTTTTTATTTTACAGTGTCGCGATTGCTCAGCCCAGCTTTGACTTGTTTCAGTTCAGAGCACCTGAAGACATGGATCTGCGAGTGGGTGAGTTAGGCCCACTGCATGCTATACAATCTGGCTACGATCTTATTTTTGAAGAATTTGCGATAGTATCTGATGTGAACAATCAAAATTCTAAGATCTTAATGGTCAATGATCTTAATAGTTATATAGATTACACATGCTAAATGTTGAAGAGGAAAAGCTATTTATTTATATCGACATGAAATAATAAAGAAAACTATTTAGTTCTTTGTGAACTTTGACAAATTTTCCTCAGTAAAGAGGCAATATGTGATATATATATTTGTGCAAGACACACAAAGTCTACAATATAATCTGTCTAGGTAAGCTATTAATTTTCATCTGATATTCATTTTGAGTAAATGTAAATTGGTAAGCAGATGTTCTATCTACGTATATAATATCACAGTATCTTTTGATATAAAGTCAAGTTACATTGTTTACAAGAGCATATTTGGTATTATGATTTTCAGATGTATATACTGTGGAATATATTGTGGAATATATGTTTTTATATTTTTTTATTTGTTCCCAGCTTTGCTTAACATAATGAATAGAGATGACATTCTTATAGCTCCTTGGTAAGTTGAATAATAATACATTTTCAACAGACAGTCAGTGTTTAGTTTCTTGTTGTTCTTGTCAAAGGGAATTTAATAAGATCTTACTCTCTCTTCCTTGATATGAGAACATGCATGTGTTGTAGTGGATGTGATGCTGGGAGGATGAAATTCAAGGGTTTAAAAACAGAGTTGGTGCAATTTATTTTGCAGTGTTTTGCTATTTGTGTGTACTGAGAGAATGTCAATATTGGCTTTGAAAAGGAGCTCATAGTTAGAGCATTAACATATTTGTTATACTAAAAATTAAAATGGTTGAGTAATGTATAAATGCATCAAAATTCTTGATAAAACTTGTAGGGCAGATTCAGGCAAAATGAGTGTGTGAACAAATATATTTGCCCATTTTTGTTATTTACAGTGTACCTGTATTTTTTAATTTTTTTATAAATGCACTTTTGGTTGCAAAACTGACGCTCAATTGCATTTTTAGATTCTCTGTTTTTCTTTTGGTTGGTTATCTTGATGTCTGCCATACTCTTAATTATTTGCCATAGCCCCTATAATGTTGATTAGTACATTTGATTTGAATTTAGTGTAAAGTTGAGATTGTCATACTTTTCGCAACACTAACACTTATAATCAACATAGACCGTAGGGTTGTCATACTTGTTTATTCAACATCTGAAAACCGAGCATCAATATCAACACTGAATGTTAGACCATCATGCATATAGATTTAACATCTTTAAGCACCGGAGTAACACTGAACAATAAAGTCTTCATGGTATTGATCTCTGCAGGGAGTTTTGTGAGCAGTTTGTTGGAATGGACCCCGCAGATATCACAACGAATGATATCGCAACAGCCATCCAGGACATTATTAAAAATACCAGTGTTGGACTCTCAAGTGATGGAAATTTCAAACTTCAGACATGTAAGTTGAAGATTCATATTTAGATTTATAGTACGAAGCGCTAAAACTGGACTTAAAGTTTAGGTTTTGTAATTAAATGTCTCTTTGATACACTTTGTAGATATTATTTGTACGTTTGTCTCAGCAAGCTTACATCCGATGAAATTATTAGATTGAATTACTGAATTTGTCCTTTGCTTGCCTTTCCTACAAAAAGATCAGTGGCAGTAGTTGTTTTATATAAATATATATATAATTATACATGTGTATATAGATGGATATAGATATAGATGCCAATGTAAATTGTTCATAATTCAGCCATCTGGCTGCGAAGTGCAATCAATAAAACCTTTTCAATCTCAAAAAATAAAAAGATAAAGGTTTGCACTCTTCACAATGGTGCATCATCTTTGATTCTGTTTCAGAGAAATAGGTGAACAGAGAAAAAGATGGGGTGGGGGAGGGGGGGTCATACAATTCCACTGGTACACATGCATAAACATGTACCTTTGATTGACAGGTTGTATATTACAAATATGCAGGTGTGTAACTAACATCGTGTTTACACAGTGACTCGACTCGAGGGTTGAATCCTCAAGCAGGTTTGAACCCTACGAAGAGGACAACTGTGATTGTGTTTAAAAAAAATAAAATTTAAAGGCAAGTTCAACACGACCCCCAAAAGAGTATTTTGACATGGGAAGAATGATCGTAAGCAGGGGGGCAAGCAAGGACAAGAAGAGCAAGAAGGATCACAGTGATCCCTTTTACATGACATAAAATTGCTGTGTTGAGCACGGCTTGCGGGTTGAAAGCTGCCATTCTGGCGCTTAAAAAAAGGCGAGTTTGACATGGCTCGCAGATCACAGTGATCCTGTTTACATGACATATAGTTGTCGTGTTGAGCATGGCTCTCGTGTTGAACCCCGAGCCGCTTTACTATGTAAACACAGTAAATGGCAAGCCTAACAATTCTTAAATTGTAGAATTGAAACATACAAGAAATCAACATAAAGTAATATTTCTATGTTCCAACGTTATTCATGATGTGTAAAAGTGAAAGGTCATTGCTGAATACATGCTTGATGGTTGTATACCATATATACTAGGCCTTGGTAATCAGCCACAGTTTACCACAGTGCTTTTTTAAGAGTATATATGCTTCACATTTTTACATCTTACATCTACGAGACACATGAAATATGTTAGTATACATAGGACATTTGTTGTGTTACAGCTTCTGTTTTCCTCCCCCTTGGCATTATTCATTCAGCACACACACACATAAAAACCACTGAGATTTACTGTATTTACCGTGCCATATGTAGGAGGGCCTTATGTGAGTAATATATTTGTTTCTTTTGTGTTATATGGCAGGTAATGACGAGATGGTGAGGAAACTCCTTGTAGATGCTGAGGTAACGAGCAATTTGTCATCGTACTGGGAAACAAAGACTGATATACAAATGGAGTAAGTTCTCTACCTAAGCATTGTTTTTAATGATAAACTTTTAATGATAAATCATGATTTGGCTTGTACTGGTTTGGAAATATGTATGCATAAATTACCTATACAGTCTTTCATTTTGCTTTTTTCCACAGCCACGGCTTCATTTTTGTCTTAGTTGCTACTCAAGGTGGTCTTACAAGAGTGTTTCCTGGAAGGTAAGTTCTTTCTTGTGATATATTCCCTCATCAACATCAAAATATTCAAAATATGCTGAACATTGTGGCCGTCAGCAGGTTCATACTTTTGATGGATACTGGGAGATTGTTGTGGGATGACTCAAAATGACGATGACCAGATGGTGATCCAATATTTGTTAGAATGAAGGGTTGGGTTGCGATTGGCCTAAAGGTTTGATCTAGGATAGGATTATGGTCAGAATTGGGTATAGTGTTTGGACTCTGAGTTTTATTTTATAAATGTGACCAGTGTAAGGAATTGAAAGCAGAGCATGCACTTGTCACTTTAGCATACCCAAATGTCATAAAATCTTGCACATGCAGTGATATTGTATTACCTTAATTGTGACATGTGTTTTCTCAGGCAAAGCAATAATATGTTTACCTTTGTATGATTTACTTTATGCCTCCGGAAAGACATATTGAATATGAAGAAAAACGCATTGTGCTAGAGCTATCTGCCAATTTGATTTAATTTATTAAATGGTTCAATCATTCACATGGTATTTCCTTTGTTGTTTTGTTGTTTAACTAAGAAAGGGAGGGTAACTGATTTTAACCCAAACTGAAGAAAATATAGTTGCAAAGAAAGTGATTGGTATTAAATCATGCAGATGTACTCACCCAGGAATTATCAACTCCCTGTTATACTTATGATGATCCAACATAATCAGGGCTCATACAAATACCTTTTAATGAATATTATCGATAGCAATAGCCCCATTCCCATTGAGCGGATAAAAATGAACAGAAATGATCTTCTTCCCATGCAGTACAATATCAACTTGGGATGATGGCGAGGTTCAAAGTATGCAAGACCCATGGGAACAGAGCTATTATCAACGCAGTCTCTACACTGATAGATACGTCTTTGCTGTACCATACAATAATGGTAAGATATATTGATTCTTCCACGTTCATGTTTCAGCGGTATGTGTGCCCTGTTTTGTTTACGGTTGTGCATATCTTCACCTCTCCATCGTTTATTTAACTTCTTTACACATTTTTGATCTTTGTAAATCTCTTCGAGCAAAGAATAATTTTCTAATCCCCCTTTGTTTTTTATGTGTCTTTTATGATCATGAACATCACTTTCATCATGCAATTCATGTCCTATGATAATTTTAAATGGTATTCTCTCATGCAGAAAGGAACAAGAGAATGAGCCCTTAACAAATTGATATGATATCCATTAGTTATGCATAGTGTAAAAAATAGAGATGTACAGGTAGATCTTATGGAATATTATCAAAGGGCTTACGCATTTTATTAAATGTATAAGATGTTCTATCTGTGTGCAAGGTTCATAATGTTTTGTCTAATTAGATCTTACTGCATTAGATCATTCAGGGAGAGGGGGGGGGGCAAATCAATCTCCCTCAGTTGTGAAATCTCCCATCCTGCCTGGCCTTTTTGGGTTAAGACCTAGAGGACCTAGATCCAGCCAGTTGTACAGTCGAGTTCTTGTTTCTAAGGTTATATTTATCATGAAAAGGACTCAGATCAGTTGGACCTGGTCTGGATGCTCGATCACCAGCTAAGAATTTTTGTTTCTATTGTAGTATTATCATGAAAATGACCAAGAACAGTTGGGCTTGGTCAAGATCTAGAACTCACACTGGGGAGGCACGATAGCTCAGTCGGTAGAGCAGTGGTCTTGTTATCCGGTGACCCGGGTTCGAAAACAAGTCCATGCGCTAGTGCCCTTTGGTAAGGCATTAATCCTCATTACCAGGTCCCACGGAGAGGACCTTAAGCCATCGGTCGTCTGGTTGCTTACTTACAAGCATTTATGCTTTCTTAGCAGTCAGGTCAAATAATCACCACACCACACACTGAGTTCATTTCTCTATTGTATTGCATCATCAGGAGAAGGACCAATGGGCAGCTTGACGGATTTCCGCGCCAACATCACCATCAGCAAATCAGTGGCTCTTGATAACAAGGCCATGCCTGCAGGTAAGCTCAGTGAAAATAAATATCTCAGTGTAAAGCTCTGTCAGTATGATTGATCAGTCAGTATTACATTTTAGAGTCAGTTTGATATTGATTGCAATTTTTAAGGTTTTAAGGTATATACCTCTTTCAAATTATTAACATGTAGGATCATTTATTGTAACTGATATAATGTATATGCAGATGAAGAAATAAAAGATAAGGATTGCATGAATGACGAGCATTGGCTGGTTACTTCTAATGACTTTTTTTAAAGCCCATAATAGCAACAAACCCTTAATCCTACAGGTAGAGGGATTTCTGAAGAAAAGCCAAGGCTATACCCATTAATAGATGACATCCTTTATATTCTACTTTATGTTTTATGATTCTTTTCAGTGGTAATGGCTATGCTGGATCCTGCTTACTTCAATGATTCATGGTCCTTCACTTCACAGGTAAAGAAAAGCATATTCAAAGTGTCATAAAGAGAATGTTTAATCAACAAAATATGCTTTCATTAATGATGAATTGTGTGAAATCAAAGCTTGAAGAAATTTATATAGGCCTGTATTTTCAGCTGGAGGATACTTCATTGAAGGATTTTGTAAGAGCTTAAGATTGAAGATATACCTTGCTTCTGATTGTATTGCAGGGTTTCAACAACCGTACGTTGGATTACTCATGCGCAAACATGGTGAGTTCAGAATGGTGATGGGGGTCTAAAGTATGACATACTGATCTTATAAAATCTTCCGTGGCACTTTTCAAATGTTTGTAAAAAGTAATTTTAGTCGCTGACTCTTATTTTCAATGTAAAGTAGAACAGGGAGACTGATATTCAAACTAATTCAAGAACTTCATACTTTTCTTTCATTGTTGCACGAATGAAGCTAAATGGTCATGTTTTTTTGCAGAATAGTTCTGTTTCAAAAAGATCTTTTTCAATGAGAGTGGGAAACAAAACAGGAAGTGGTGCAAATTCTTCCATGTACAAGAGATTTATAAACCGGCCGCCATTCTTTCAATTTAGTTAAACAGGTGTCACTTTGTTGGCATTCCTGCATGATCAATTTCTGAATTTCTTTTAAAATATGAGAGCAGCTTAGTAATTCAATTTTTAAGAATTTGTTCTATTCAATGTACATTAACATCGATCTTCATTACAATATGTGATTTCTTGATTTAAAAAAAATGTCAATCCACATTGAAATCTTCTCACATCAGGAGCTGAAATGTTATCTTCTTGATGATGGTGGGTTTATCATAGCTACCAACCAGATATTTGAACAAGATGAGGTAAGGAAAACTAGCAAATGGTAGGAGTAATCTCAATTATGTTATCCATCTCTATTCTCCTCTCCTCTCTCTCTCTCTCTCTCTCTCTCTCTCTCTTTCTTTCTTTCTTCATATCTCTCCATCTCTTTCCCCACACCCCTCTTTTGATGTACATGTATCATTTCCTTTTCCCTTTTTCTCTTTTGATATACCTCTTATATGCCTCTTGACGTTTTTCCTTTTTCTCTAATGACATGTATCTCTCCTGTTTTCTTTCTCCTATTAATTAAGTTAGTTTTGTTTGTCTTGGCTCTTTTCTGCTTTACTCTCATTTGAATTACGACGCATCACTCTATGGTACAAAAGTAATCTTATATTCAGCTTTATAGCTATTCTTTGATGTGATTTTTATGAGCTGTATATTTAATTTATTATTGTGAGAAGGCACATATACCATTCTAGAGTGCTATAAATGTAAGAAACCAACAAATATAAATTTCACAGATTCCATGCAGTGAGGAAACTTTGTAGACCTTTAAAGACAGCTAGTTTTGTTGTTTTAGGCTGTTTGCATTGAATCATGTTGCTGTGGATTTATAAGCAAACTTGTACTTTCTCATATATTTTGGCAGGTTGGTCGTTTCTTTGGAGAAATTGATGGTGACATCATGACTGAAATGACCGATAGTGGAATCTATGATCGGTAAGTTATTTGTTTTTCTTATTATTTCCAACTAATGAAGAGTAGAAGGAACTGATTAATGGTTATCAAATAAATGTATGACATGGTCATTATTTGCAGATAAACTGTTTTTCTTTATCAATCATATGCTCTATTCTTGCGTTCAGCGTTATCTCCAATTATTGCATAGAACTGAATCAATCAGGGCCATTATTGCTGGTTAAGAAATAATGGACTTGTCTTGTTTGACCGATGGACTGCTAAAATCTCTCATTCCCCTAGGTTTAATGAAGAGACCATCAGGTTCATGTAGGGAATGGTTAAGAGAGACTTAGTTGCTATTCTCATTTTGATAAAGGTCTTGACTACTTTCCTCAAATGAATGAAGAGGACATTAAATGAACTATCAATAGCTAACCTAGAACTACTAGTATCAACATTGGGATCCTTTTCAAGCCTACTAGCTTTTCCAAAGAAGGCCATCAAATGCATTAGATGTTCTCAATTTGTCTCTTTTCAAAGTACAATTTGCACCCACCGATTCAAATTTCTTTCTTCCTTATGAATTTCAGCAAGTGGATGTACGACTACCAGGCAGCATGCGAGAGACTGGCACCTAGTGACAGCGCTGGCATAAAGTCACTGTTTGTGGTATGTAGTTCAATTTCTTTATCAGTGTTGAATTTGACCAACCACATGATTTCAGGAATTTTTATTATGAAACTGAGTTTTTAATTTAGTGACGGGACTTTAATTGCCATAACAAATTCATAATGCCTCTTTACGCTCATGATTGCTAAGGTCTGTACATATGAGTCATTAACCCCTGACCTATAATATTTTACATTTCTTATGAGAATCAACTCATCTCTTGCTATAATAAAATAAATGTCTATATTGCCACCTCTGTCAATGTGTGCATACTTCAGCATCACCCCTTCTCATATTATTCAAATTGATGATATGTCTTAGAAAATTTGTGAGATATTGTAGACAATAAAAAAAATGTTAATACTCAGAATAAACATTATTTTATAACCATCTGATGTTCAGATACCTGTACATGCTATTATTTCACCCTGAACTTGAAGAAATGAATAAATACATTTTTCATGTTGTAGTTGTTTGATCTTGCATGTTGTTGTGCAAATCTTAGAAACTAGAACATTTAGATTTGAATAATGTCAGTAATTTCAGATGATCTTTCATAAATATTCAATCAAGGAATGGCAATGCCTTGTTCATATGAAGCAACATCCTCTTGTATGTATTCTTTTATCTTTCACACAGCCAACGCTTAATGATGTATTCAATTTCCATATCTGGGCTGTAAATGCACTATGGTAAGATTTCCTTTGAATAATTTTAAAATTGGTCATGTTTGCTAATTATGTTAGATGCAATCATTATTTCTTGATCGTTTGAAAACATTGTAGAAAAAACGATCAAGACAGAGTGCAAATATGCTGAATTGTACTGGACAAAATACTGTGAATTGGTTTAAATTTGTGAGGAACACACTATTTAAAGTTGTGATTTATATGAATGCTTTAAAAATGCTCTGAATTTTCAGTATGAATTTGAATTTCATATTTACAGCAAGGTGTGGTGGTTATGATGCTCATTAGGATTTATTTATGCTATGTATGATTTTCAGGTCTATTTTTGAATCTCTGTTAATTTTTTCTTTCTTTTGTACCTCAACAGGTCTTTTATCCATCATACCTTTATGGATTTTATGATCTTTGGATGGACTGATGTTTCAAGTAAGCATATGATAGTGATCATCTGATGTAATTCTAGAATGAAGATGCATATTTCATTTGATGTTTTTCTCTCGCAATGGTATTGATTTTACAACTTAGTTGGTATGCAAATGTCAATACAATGCTGTCCAGTCCACCAGTGAATTACATATGGCCACCTTGTCCCAAACCATATTTTGTTGTTGTAAAGACTTTGTAAAGAATTACTTTAATCAATGTAAAGTTAAGCCCCTCTAAGTGTTGGGAGCCCCAAATTCGCCAAAAATTTGATGGCAAAATTTCACTTAAATTGTATCATAATTTGAAAGAAGATGTCACTTCAGACACACTTCTGCAAAGACAAATATTGATAAAAGAATACATAATTATGTATTCTTTCATGAATTTTCAACTTCAAACACATTTGTTTTGAAAATCCTTGCAGATATGTGTCTTAAGTGACATCCTCTTTCACATTATGATACAATTTAAGTGAAATTTGCCACCAAATTGCTGGGGCTCCCAACACTTTAAGAGGGGCTTTAACAATCAATGTAGAGTTTTATTTTTAATAAAGAATTAATAAAGAAAATTATCTTCATGCCACAGGTTCTCTTGTATGGTGGGGTCTCAAAGTGTAGATCTGTAATTCTCCAATGTGTCCATATATATATATATATATATATATATATATATATATATATATATATATATATATATATATATAGAGGATATACTGACATTCTCTAGAAATGTAAGAAGAATATATGTAATGTACTTAAAGATATGCCCATTATAAGGCCATTTGAATGCATCCCTCTTTTTATCCTTCATTTTAAATGCTGCAAATCTCTTCCAAATACCCGTCAATATATATGTATTGTTTCTCCATATATATAACTCAGTGATCGATGCTACTGAGACGACCGAATCCCTTGGCAATGTGAGCTGTATCAAACTGATCAACAACTACTACTTTGGCCAAAACCTAAGCACCGAGGGTGTCATGGAATGTGTCAACTGCAGCAGGTAAGAATGAGATTACTTTTCGTCTAATATTTCTCAAAAGATTTATCTTCCTCTTGTTCCATTTTGAGTACATACCTCTTTACAGAGTATTTATTAACATGATGAAGATATATTTCTATATACTGGTATCCTCATAAAGTAGTTGATTAATAATTATGTCTGTTTCAGGAAAATTTATAACCAACAGAACCAAATGAGGTCATGCATGCAGAGACACAGACAGAACCAGCTAGAGATTCAATAAATACAGGCAAATAAGCAGATTGATTGCAAAAAAAAAGAAGAAGGAAAGATGGAGAGAATAAAGATGCAATTTCGTTTGCTGATGAAATTCTAGCTCTGTAAATGTCTATAGTTCTTTTTCATGATTGTAGTGAAATTAGCAGCCTGTCATGTGGATGCATGACCACATTTAGGATGGTTGTCAGTCGAACAGACTTTAATTTTGATTGGAGGGGAGAAGGTTACGAAAAGAGTAGGAAGAAGGAAATAGAAGAGGGAGATTGGGGGAATAGGAAGGAGGAGATATATGGAAAAAAGGGAGGGGAGGAGATAGTTGATTACACTTCTTACTTTGTAAACACCTATTTATCCTTTGTTATCCAGTCTTCTCTATTTGTACCTGTTTATATTTTGTTATCCAGGAAATGGGCTGGCAGTCGAGTTGGTGGTACCAATCTGGTGATGATTATCACCGAGATGGAATGTGATACTTGCCCCATCACAGTCGTCAAACAAGCTCCACAGGAACTTGGTAGAGATATCCTTTTTAAAATGAATTCAACCGATAATCTGCCCTAGCCCTTGCTACTATGTCAGGGCCAGTAGAGCAGAGGTGATTATGGAGCCTATTTAAGAAGGTTGTATATCAAACAATGTCTATTATAATTCAGTTTATTAACCTATTTGCTACTGAATTTTCTCATTCCCTTGGGCTTTGTACACAAGCTACCTGTTTTCTGGAGGCAATAGATTAAACTTTGAATTTTGACTGCATGTTGGCCCATCCATTTTGCGTAAAATGATGAACGTCTTAGGTAGCTAAGTGGTATGTAGTGGCACAAAAAGACACAATTAAACTGCATAACCTGTCGCCTGGGTGGCAGAAATGCGTTAGCTCGAATTTCAGGTAAAAAATGAAGCTCTAAGCAGAAGGGCGTTAGCACTAAATTGCCTCAAACTTTTATAAAACTGACTTATTTTCGAGAAAAAATTGTGGCCGTGTTCTGTTATAACATTTCCATTAGTCTTTTTAGTTTTTAAAACCATTTTCGGGACGGAAATCAGTTTAAATATAAAACAAATTTTTAAATGCGAATAATTCGAAAAGTAGCATTTGAGTCGCTCGTGCCCTAACGCCCTTCTGCCAGCTGTGCGACGAATTGTTGAAAACCATCATTTTATCACACAGTGGTAGAACTACATCATTAGGACATGGAGTTGGTTAATGTATGTAACATCTCGATGAGGCTTAATGTTAGTTAAACTTTCATTCAGATATGTCAACAACAAAAAAAAATTACCACACATCACTAATGCATCTATTTCTCTTTACTGGGAGGAATCTTTGTTCTAAACATTGTTTTCTCAGGGCTTCTATCATTTATCTTGCTCATATATACATTTACATTTCAAAATAAATGCACCTTGGATTTGTGGCTGAATGTAAGGGTAATATATTTCCTTCAGGATATGTGCAATAATAAGTATGGCATTCACTCCAGCAAAAATCTTTTTTTTTAAAATCTAATCAAATTCCCAAATTTAACCCCTTCAACCAACCCTTTTCCATGCATATGTATTTCCAGCTCTTACCCTAAACCTGATCTAAAACCCAATTGCAACCCATTTAAGCTCTGATCCTTGCCATTTGACAAAAGTTAAGCCCAGAACAAACGTTGCTCAGTAGAGCACATGTCAGATCATCAGCGAGTGATTTGCTTACAATTAGAAATAAACATATATATGATTATGAATTTGTGAATACCCCAAAAGTAATATATATTTGTAGGTGAAGCTTGTTTTCTGCCCTCCATCCATAATACATGTTCATGTACACATTGATAATTTTTGCTAGTTACATCACTCTTTGTGTAGAAATTAGAACTTGCTTTCCTTAACCGTTTCCAAATTTACATGATGCTCCGAGCCCTTGCCTTGAGGAGCCAAGATACAGGAGGAGACCCAGTGAGAATTGCTATGCTTTCAATACAGCTGTAAGTTCAGACGTCTACATGGATCTTTTACATTAAGCTTTTGTTTGTGTGTATGGGGTGGGAGTGGGTGAGGTTTTGGGCTTACGTATAGCCTGTCCAATTACATTCAACAAATGTCCGAGATCAGACATTTATCTTTGACATGATATTTGGGAGGGGTTAGTATATGATTAGCTCTCAGTCGATCTGAAAGTTTAGACTCTTCATCATTTTTAATGATTTTTTTGTGTGTGTTGTTTGTGTGTGTGTGAGTGTGTGTGGGGGGGGGGGCTGATGTTATCAGCTTACATTTAGCCTGCCCAATAAAAATATCTGAGAGGGGATATTAATTTTTTGAATGATTTGGACGGGAAAGAAGTTAAGCATATGATTAGCTTACATACACTTTACAAGTAATTTATCTTCAATAAATTTGTGAGTTCAGATATATATCGATCCCCTTCATGGGGGTGATACGCACCATATCTACAATCTGCTTTCATTGACTTTGTGCATGAGCTCAGAGATTTATCTTTTACATGAAGGCTTGTGTTAGGAGAGACAGCAAAGATAAATATTGTTTAATCTAGGCTAGTTTAATCATACACCCTACAAATAAAATTTGACACCAAATAAACAAAATTGTATATTGAAAATAGGCCCCTTGTGTTTTTGTGGAGAAGAAGTACATTCATTTAACACATCAATTTGTGTGAGGCAAGAGGGACATTGATTGAAAATACAGTGCCATTTTTTAATACTAAGAATCAGCCAAATAGTGGGAGAAAAAGCAGATAGATATACATGTAAAAGACAGTTATCTCTTCCCAAGTCTCAAGGAATACTGTCATATTAGAAATATCTAAATGTTATCTTGTAATTATTTTTTCTCTCACATATACTTGCAGGAGAATACATCAATCTGCAGTGGTGTGGTATCGCTAGCATCGCCATGGTTAATTCTAATTTTACACATATTCTACCTTGGTGTGGTAAAGCTTATGAGCGCATAATGATGATCGACAACCCTTTTTTTGGTTTTTTCTGGATATTATTTCATTATATAACTATCACAGAAAATATTACTTCATGTTTTTATTGAAATGTTTGTGTTCTTGTTCTTTTTCTTAAATTGTGTTGATTTGTAAATGTTTACACAATCAGTATATCTACAATATTTTTATGATGTACTGGTATTACATTTTAACTTTCAAAGAGCATTTTTGTTACTGAAAATGGTATATATATAAATATATATACAATATTCTTGACAAAGTTCATCAGCATTAATTTGTTTATTTGTGTAATTGCAAAAATTTGACAAAATCCAGTAAAAACAATCATGAATTAGGATAAATCAGAATAATTCAGCATGTCTATGGCATAGCACTTTTCTTTCTATGTCATTATGAAAGTTCAGATTTTATCTCTGTTTGCTCATAGGCCGAAGAATTTTAACAGAGAAATTGAAGTTTAGGAAATGATCAATATATGCTTGGGTTATTAAGAAATGGGCTCACACAAACTAGATTATTTAGATGTTTAAACCTGTTTGTATATTGTATATAGTTTGTTAAACGTGCAGATATATTATCAGTACAAAATAACATGCCTATTGTCAGGATATTGAGATTTGTGTACAATTCCAAACAACTCTGTTGATATTACTTTCCATTCTCTTCTTTTTTTAATTGTACAATATTTTATTGTCTGCCAATAACTTGGAAATTTGTTTCAACAAAAAAAAGAAGATGTTTATTAGAATTGATTTGAATGATTACACTTTCTTTGTAGATTTTGTGAGTAAAACTGCCTTTTTTAGTGCCTAAGCCTATTTAGTTAGGATGTTGGTTATTGTTTGGATTTTTTAAATTTGAAATTTGATAAGCTTATCAAATGATAAAAAACAACTGCGAAATTTCACAACAGTAATTTCATTGTAACTACATGTGGAATATTTCTTTAGGCTGTTTGTCTTTTGGTATTATGTGACATTTATGTGTATATAAAGTTTAAAAAAACAGAGACTCTATTTGTTATGTCTTTGGTCAGATCTATTGAATTTAATGATTATCATTCGTGCAGTATTATTTATAAAATTCAATTTTTGTTGTGTAAGTTGGTGTAAGATATTGTTTATCCTTGTAAATTAGATTATATCAAATTGAGATGTATCGTTTTTGTGTATTTGATTTCTATCACTATTATTGTATGGATTCTCTGAAGTTTCCAAGCCAAGTTTGGGCTTGACGTAAGACTTGTCACTTTAAAAATATGCAAGATTGGTAGAGTATGTTAACCTGATAGGTCGCTGACAAAAATATATTCATATTTACTCTGATACTATTAACCCCGTTATAATCACTAGCTTTCACAAATACTAAACAAATATTGATTAAACTAGACATCAGTTTACAGTAGGTCGGTCAGGAGGTCTAATGAATTCTATTGTCAGTTGGTTTTCAAATGGAATCACTGTTTTTTAATAAATAAGAGATAGTTATCCACTCTTAAAGACAATGGGGTGAGAAGAATGATACATTCTCTATGATAAGAGTTTAGTATCATCATATCCTATTATAGAGTAATCTATTTCAATACATATATTTAAAAGAACAACAATCTGGAGAACAAAGAAATTAGAATATATATACTTTTTAATTCAATATTCAATATAGTTCAATATATTTGGGTTGATTTATCACTAGATAGTGTAACCATATCTGTCGGAACTCCTGAGCTTCCAAAAGAAGTTTTTCTTCAGGAAACCTCAAACATGGCTCAAATTACATTACACGCATTCAAGCCCCAATTTACTTAAGAATGTTTTATTTTATTTTCCCCCTTTTTTTTCAATTCATGAGCTTGATGAATGTTTAGAAGAGAGACAAGCATTTTTTCATCCAATTTTGTTAGAGTGACACTAAAATGTAATCACTATATATACTGCATATGTATTAATATCTCATACTATGTACTAATTAAGTATTCAAGATAATATTCATTTTTAAAATAGTTATGAATACAATATCTTGTATGATATTGATAAGGCTGATCTTGAAAGATATATCTTTTACCCATCTATTCATATATGATGTGCAATACAAGCATTTTGTGGCAAATATACATGTATATAGAATATATTATTGACCTATATGAGTTCATGTTATTTGGCAGGTATTAAAGAAGTAGTTTTAAAAAAATAGAAAATGTGAAAGGAAATCGTTATCTGCAATATTGTATGCTTTAACTAAATACAAGAGTTGCTGATATACAATATTCTTCATCTTTAAATTAGCTTCTTTGGTATATAGAAAATGTAAAATTGTGTATAGTAATCTGTACTCTTACATTAAAGATTATATATTAGATGAATAGTGGACAAGTGTGCTGCTTGAAATTAAAAGGCTATACAGTAAACCATAATATAACTTGGTGTGATTGAAACCATTTTACAGACCATTAATACACACCATGTGTATATTTCTGCAGGTTTTTGTATAACAGTTTTGAAAATTTACTCTATTGTTCAAAACCAATTTCTTGGTAATACCATAATGATACGCTAATATTTCGTAACTTGATCATATATTCATTATTCAACATTACATACATATTCTATAATGGTATGCTTTGACACCTCATTTACATTAAATACCGAGGTTCTTGGTGGTGATTGCTGTCCATTATTAATTCTATGAATAGATGAATAGTATGTCATGTATTGATGTACCACTTTAAGACAAAATATCTGCTTAAAAAAATGTTGTTAAGCCCCAATATGACATTGGGGTATGACATTAGTAGATAATGTACTGTTGGACATGTTAACCAATAATATTCCCCAAGTTAAGCCCTTACATGTAGTTATGAGGCCAAACACTGAGAAATGACTCATAGTTTATTGTCCCCTCTTGCCCCTATTTGTCCTAACCCGTTTTAAATTGTAATTTCATATTTTTGTTTAAACATGAGATTACAACAAATTTAATGTTTCTGAGGATGTCTAGAGATAGAAGTAACTAAAGTTATTTATACTAAAATGTAGTAAGCGATCTTGTTTTAAGCCACAGTAGTGAATATAGACGAGTGAGATTTTATTACGAAAAATTGTGTTAAAAGTCATCATTAGAACTTGTCCAAATGAGACGGAAACCCTTAATTAAAAGAAAAAGGAATAATTTTAAACAAAAAAGTAACATACCGAACTAGGATTTTGTTTTGGTGATTGCCTTGCATATAATCATTTCTTGCTCCTGCCATATATCTGTCAGTACATTTGGATTAATAATACTCAAGTACTTTAATATAACAACTTTATATAGTATCATGTAAACTATATAATGTATGTGGTGTATATCAGTTTTAGTGGTATTATTATGCTTCCATTTATGTCATGGTTTCAACAAAATGGGAGCATTCAATGGAAATTTTAAAGTTGGATGCGATTATTCAATGTAAATCGCTGTTTTTTTCCATATCTGCTGCCTTTATGTACATAACATTTTTTGTTCAAGTTACGTGGTACACTGTTATGTTCTTATCATAAACATACACATGGTATGGGGTGGGTGTGTAGATACGGGTGAGTGGGAGTGAAATCGCATTTTAAAAAAGATGAAGTATGTTATTTCACTTTATCTAGTTGAGGAAACACAAATAGAAGCAAATATACATGTATTGAATGCGCACATCCATTTTACAGTTATTTGTTTGCTTCAGAGACTAAAATGAAGAACCATGTTCTTGTAGAGGTAATGGGTGATTTGCCATTTACCCATGCCATGTTTCTATTTGTTGCCTGTAGAAAGAAAAAACATGCTAACCATAATCTAAAATTGGACTTGATGAAGAGTCGGGTAAAATTAGGAGCTGTATTTCAATCATGGAATTTATCTTGTTTTTGTACATGCATGTGTTTCTATATTGATTGATACACATTGTTGTGGTGGGTGCAATCTTAAAGATGAAAAACATACTCAGACAAAATGAATTTATCTATCATGCACTTTTGCCAGCTTTATGTATTATGATAATGGACCTATAAAAGAAGGTAGAAGAGAAAAAAGAGATTTCAAAATATTTATTGATATAACATGGTTAAGGGGAAATTGTCAACTGTTGAGAGCCAGATGCCATCTGATCTTGACACAGACATATGAAAGCTTTTAGTAACTGATAGTAGTAAGGGGATATTTAAAATTGATTATGTGTTGGTGTGTATCTTTTATTTGCAATAAAAACTTAAGCCTATATAAGGAATTAATGCCAACGTTGTCTGTTTTTATTTTCCTACCCTTTCACGTTTATTAAAGAAACAATTGAATTTTGAAGAAGTAATAGTGATGACAATGGAATTACTTTGAAGTTACTTCTCATATTTTTTTTAATATGATTTTATGACTTTCTGACCATAGTACAAATCAACACCTTACTACACTGAAGGCGAGTAGAAATTTCCTTTACCGGTACTTAATTTTGTTTACCCTTAAATGCTCATTGATGTATTTTTTCATTTTTTCTGAAGATTGTTTCATTATTCTACTTTTATTAGAGACAGTTTTTAAACCAGGGTGGACTTAATCTTCAATAGAACACACTTGTGATATCGGTCATTGCCAACCAACTATTTAGAGAGAAAGAAAATCACATGATAAATAAATAAGCAAAGAACTGGAATGAATGCGCACATAGGACTGTAAACTGTAATCCAGTTTTTAATTTCATATAATTCAGATGTTAAACAATTATCATTGGTTGGACTAGATGCTTACAGTGAATACACTTCATTAGAGTAAAACTCTTGATAGAACATGGGACATAAACGGATGAAATAAAACAATAAAATAAAACACATGTATACACTCTGTATTCTCTCATCATTACAACTTAACTTTTCAAATTGCAAGTTTTAGATAATGATTCATTCATAAGTGAAAGGAAGTTTGTCATATTTTTATGGAATCTATGATTAAACCAATATTTTATGTTGATATATGATTATGATAGTATGATATACCACATATTCCAATCATTACAATGCTTCTGTTTTCAGATTTGCATCTATTTATGATTATCCCATGAATTATAAATAACATAAGAAAACATGTACAACCATTGATAATAACATATAAAACAAATACACTAATGAACAATGAGGCATCAATCTCAATAGAAATACATGTACATCTAAATACCTAAAAAAAACTTTACTCTTAGAGAATTTAGGTGTCCAAGTATATGATGGTCCTTGGAAAAAAATGTCTGTGATGAATTGCTCTTGGTTTTTAAACATTTTCAATTCTTGCAACTTCTTAACTTTCGTAAAAAGAGGCACTGTTGGTATGAATGATTACCCATATTGATATTTCAATTAGTATTGGAATACACAGGTACTTACCACTGTCACCAAAATTGAATAACCAATGGTTAGAAGAAACAAAGTACATATACACTCCTTCACAAACAAACTGGCAAGAAATCCCATGAATTGCGTGAATATTCAATAAAATGAATCAAACAGAATCTTGTGCTTCAAAAATGGGTGAAGCTGATGAGATTTCAGGAGGGGGAATCAGCTTTTGCTGGTTGTGCAAATTTCAAAACCTGTGTGTTTCCTCATCATTCATACATTCGCACTGCATCCAAAATGGCAATAACGTCACGCTTTGTGACTTCCCGTATATAAAATATACACTTGAACATATTATATGTAAAGAGATAGTATTACCGACCCAACTTCTGTGCTTGCTACACAAATACTTACATGATGATGATGATATCGGAAAACAACATCAACATTACATATATGGATGATGAAGGTACATGTACATTAATGTACAGAAAATGGTCCAAGAGTGAATCATGAAATAACGAAAGACGTCTCCATGGGTTCCTAATTCAAGATCTTATGCTATTCAATATATATGACTACAGTACACATGACAATGTGGGGACTGACATTCACTGTGAATACAGGAATTTCAAGGAGATCTGAAAACTACAGAGAAAGATGAGATATAATTGCACAGTAATTCCCATCTTTAACAATTACCTTACACTCAATGGCCCGAATTCACAAAAGAGGTTTGTCAACAAACCTAGCTTTATGTGCGTCAAAACGCGTCATACAGTGTATGACACACATAAACCTAGGTTTGTCGACAAACCTCCTTTGTGAATTCGGGCCACAATGGTTGATGATTGATGACAATATTAACCATATATTTGAAATGAATTGAATTCTTCATTACATTTTTTTTTTAAATTTCTGAGATTTTCTCTTCAGTAGAATTTGAATAAAATCATTAAATAAAATAACATTGATATATTAATCAGCACCTTATAGGTGTTGTAGTTGCAAAGTAAACAAAAACAAAAAAATAAGATGTAGTGGTGACAATTTCAATGCAACTTGAGATCATCTTAAGCATGTCAAGATGCTGTAGCTCTGGCCCATTGCATTAAAAATATACCTTCTCTGAATTTCATCACACACATACTCAATACAAACTAGTTGATTAGAACACCACACTCCACCACCATCCACAACATAGATATTAAGATACACTCTGGAATTCAGGTATCAAACGTTGGTTCTATAGAAATCTGGAAAACATTTGTACGATATCGAAGGGTCCGTTGATGGGACGTGAAGGTGCTACAATCCTGACCACGTCAGAAACTTCATGGCAAGCTCAAATCCACAGAAGCATGCCTGTGAATATAAGAGAAGAGGAGACAGAGAGTGAAAAGGAACAGAAAGAGAGGGAGAGAGAGAGGGTGGATAGAGGAAGGGGAGAGGGAGGGGAAGGAAAGAGAAGGAGAGAGAGAGAGAAAGAGAGATGGACAGAGAAGAGAGAAAGACATAAAAAGAGATAGAGAAAGAGAGAGACAGATGACAAAAAAATGAGAAACCATCAAAGCATATATATTTTGTCATAAAATTGAACAGAATTTATGGCATGACATTCATTAAAGTTGGAACAGCTAATTAATGCTCTTTTAAATTTCTGACAAAGTGATCAGAGAAGCTTGGATCAATGCTGCACATGTTAACAAGAACTAGTCATTGAACTTTAGGTTGTTCACAAGGTTTATTATTATCGAAGGGTTTGCAGTGAAAACTACACAACAAATATGTATTGAATCAAGTTTCATTTCATCACAATTTTTTTGTTGATTTCCTATACATTGTTGCAAGACATGCCTATTAGGCCTAGCAAAAAAAGATGTTGCGACTGACCCAAAAATCTTGAAATCTACGGGTCGGCTTTTTAATTTTAATTTTTTTTAAAACCGTTTTGGGGGAGAGAAATTCAAGCATTCAAAATTGAGAAATATCAGCCCAAAGAGAGAGTAAAAAACAAAGATTTCCAACCGACCGACCCATGTTTTGGCACCTAAAGGGCAATACAACATCTTTTTTGTTTGTTGGGGGGGGGGGGGGGCCTTATCAGCATCTCTATTGTCAAATTGTGTTCTCTACTCACTGCATTGGCTGGGAAAGCTCTAAGCATGACTGGCGTAACACCTTTGAAGAGGGCACCTGGACCTTCCTTCTTCATCAGGTCAGCAAACACACTTCTCACACCTTTGGGGTAAGTGCCTTCGGGAGCTAGTGGAATTCAAACACAAGTCATGAAAATGAATTCTTGATTATGAGATTGTCAGTTATTCATCGCATGTCGTCTGTTTTGGAGCCAGAAAGATGCTAGCTTATACTTTGAGATAGAGCTAAGGGCCTTCAGGCTCTAAACAGACTATACCTATCATTTCTACTTTTAATCCGTTGACTACTGAATTATCTTATTCCCATAGGCTTTACACAGGGACCACCAGGTTCCCGTAAGCTATGGGTTAATAAATCAAACTGCAATCAAGGACTGGAATGCTTCTTATCAGTCAGTATCAATTAATTTGTACTTGATGTGTCTATTAAATATCTATCCATGTATTAATATAAGACATGTACATATAACCATAGGGCATATCATTGAAGCTATGGGGGAATTTTCCATACAGAAGGAAAAAAGGAGCTCATTTTAATTATATTCTAAACAAATATTTTTCGGAAGAAGTTCAATTCACAGCACTTCATAGGAAAATACCACCAAAACAAAACTTCTATGGTAGTTCACTAAAACAGACAATTTTTCAAATGAAAGCTTGCTTACTTTTCAAACTTTGGATAACTTAATGTTTTACCTGTTTGTAATCTTGACTTGAGGGTGTCAGGGGCAATAGCAACCATCCAGTTAAAGACACCTGCCATACCGCCAGCAAATAACACACGTAAGACACTCAGATCACTTGGTCTATGATGACAAAATTACAATAAAATACATTTTACATATCTGTAAATAAGTGTATTAAAGCCCCACTGTCCTACTTGTAGCTACTTGTTCCCTCTATATAGAAAACAATGCCTAATCGGTGACCATTGATCCCCCATGATCCTCTTTTTCCTATGTTAATTGAGAGCTGAGTTGATGAGATAGCCAACTGTCATTGACCACGCTGTGTGGTCTAATCCCTCCCGGCCAAACTAGTACAGCCGGACTTTAAGAACATAGTGATGGATTAAAGAATATAAATTAAATTATATAAATAAACACACCATTTAGCAACACTGCCAAGTTTTTATTAAAGTCTTGGTTAAAATTCAAGTTTGAGACAACACACATTTTCCATTGACTACACCCCAAGTTTTCTCAGGCTCAGTACTCAGCAGGTTAAAGTATTCAGCACTTGATAGTTTCCTCTTATCAAGAACTCATAGTTCCGCACAAAATCCTGTTTCAACTTAGATGATGATTATAAATATCCAGAAAGGATAGTGCATGATGTGAATTCAGGAGAAAACAAATTGAGTTAGAATTCTTTGAATCGCTTCATCCTTGATGGTAAGCAACCATTTCTCATATTTGGTGAGAGTCAGTAGGCAGGGGCAGGCACTCTGGGTAGCACTTGAAGGGGGGGGGGGACAAAAAAACAATAAAGAGAGAAAGATAACGAGACAAAAGGAAAATGTATGATCCTAAGGATTACATATACCCATCACATAAAGGAAAGTGCAGTAGAAAATAAGAAATAGTTTTAAAGGTTTAAAATTTTATTTAAAAAAAAATCTACAGTAGCTCTGCCACCAAGCCCCCCCCCCCCCTCCTTATTCCCTATGAAACAGCTAGGAGCTAAAAATAGCCAAAGATAAAGGAATCAACATTACCAGATAGTGAAGTAAATGGGTACCTGGTAGGAATTTGTTCCTTGAAATGCTAGAGCGCCGTATGGCAGCCGTGCTAAAGCCAGGGTAATAATCGGGAGCACCAGGAGGGTCAAATCTGACTGACATGAGCGCTATACAAAAACCCACTATTATTATTATTATCATTATAAGAGAATTTACCAAATTTCTGATAATATGATCTACTCACTTTTGACCTTCAGGCGTCATAGCTGTCTTGAGGAGTTCATACGTCATGAAATATGTACCCGAAGCAGGAACGTCTGGCAGAGACAAAACAACAACATTAATACAAGAATTAATGCTTCTCGTTAATCGTAGTAACAACTCTTGACCTTTGACCTCTATTTACAAAATAACCTACATTTTCTCATCGTTATCTACTACCGATGGTTACACATATTCTGGGGATTTTGGTACGGCATCGATAATATTGATAATTTGGTAAATGTCGTACAACGATCCATTGCACAAGCTTAGCTTCAAAAGGGGTCCTAAAACCGTTCATTTTATGATGTAATCAAGTTGATTTATGTTGATTAATGTCCTATTATCAGTCTCTTTTTCATGTAAAACATTATATCATGTCTTGTGTGGTTTTGAATAAATGAACTTGAGCTTGTTTACCTCGCATCAGGGTGGCCATGGTGCCTTTGTAGAGACCTCTGAAGAGCCCAGCTTCTCTGTAGATCTGCTTGGCACAGTCAAGGGGACCAGCATATTTGGGTTTACCAGCAGAGGCTGCTTGAATCTAAATAAAACCAACACATATGACATTATAACGTCAACATTCCTCAGCTCTTCCAGGGGGTAACAATATATCCTGGTATTTCCAAGAGTTCTAGATTAACATAATACCCATATTTCAAGTTTTCCAAGGTTTGCATTTAAGATGCTTTCTGATTATGTGGGTTTCTCTTTCATTTTTGTTCATGTTTTGTATTGGTTCAGTTTGTATTTGTATTGTTTTATTTTCCTCTCTCTCTCTCTTTTTTTTTGGGGGGGGGTGCTGATTTGTTTTAAAATACATTGCATTTTAGTTTTAAAAACAAAAAAATCATGATACAATCTACAAAGATATGAAGTAAAAGTCAAACATACATTATCATTCAAAAAAATTATGTCTCTTGACAGGGCACGGATCTACAATTCGAGGGGTCAGTGACATAAATATACAACTCCATTTTGGCCATTTTGAGAAAAAGTGGTTTATGTGTCACTGAGCACTAGGGCCTAAGGAGTTAAGTCTATGTTTCACTAGCCATTGACTTCAATGGGGATATAAAATATCCATTTTGGCGAAATATGGAGTTACGTCTTTGTGTCACTGAACCCTTGAATTATCTCATGTTATAAGGAAATCATTCAGCAGTCAAGTCTAAAAGGAAGTTTGTACTTACCTGTAATAAACATTTTATGCGTTCACCGGGGGCCATAATGGCCGTTGTGAATACTCCCGATAACATACCAGCCATAAAGAGTTGCTCAGGACTGTGTGGGTACATGGAAGATAGAACATGAAGGGAGGTATAAGTAAAATAGAGATTTAATGGATAAGTGACTTAAGTGTAACAATATAATTTCAATAGAAAGCACATTCTGCCATTAGTCTTTACCAAAACACCATTCATCAGACTCTCAGCTCTTAAAAATACAAAACTGGTATTCATTGAAGTTTACAACTACAGTGTACATGTAAAATATTAATGTCAAATTTTTAGTGCAGGAATTCATCCACTTCCCCCGTGCTTACAAAGATGATTACAAGTATTTCAGAATAGAAAAATGAAATCTTGTGGAAGCATATGGTACATACAATGATGCATTGTACTTACGCAAATTGTCCATTTGGATGCTTAGGTGTCTGGAGGCTTTTTCCTATACTGTAACCTAAGAAACAGACTGCATACATTGGAGTGACTCCAAGGATTGGGGCAAACATCCCCTTGTAAAATCCTTTGAAGCCCTGAATAAAGACAAATTGAAGAAAACTTATTATTGTTTTAGTAGCGTACATGGTGGCATTTAAAAAAATACCCACCAGTAACTTGATTTTCCCTATTCCATATTATCCTGATAAAGTGATAGTCTTTCACTCTCTATTTCAAGCAAAAAAAGAAGCATGCCTGTATTTAAAATCACATATTAAGAATCAAGAACAAATGAATATGACACAAAGTATTATTAGACTATCCATTAAACCACTCCCATTTAATTTTTTCCTGGAATGAATTGGTGTCAAAAGATCTTTCTTAAAATTCCCATACAACTCATGATACATAATCGATTAATCATTGCAGAAAAACAACATTTTTGTTCATAACAACAGCTTGCTACATGTACATATCAGCAAACTTAGGTTGTTTCCATAGTTATGTTTACCTCAAGTTTGACAATTTTTGCTGCACAGTCAAGTGTTCCTTTGTAGAGCGGAGTGACCCCTGGACCAGTGGGTTGTGTTTGAAGGCGTACCTGCATACAGATGACAGACAAGATAATTCCTTCCTATTTCCAAAACATGCTGGTACAATATCCCCTTGGTAAAATCCCTAATAAGTGTTTGGTGCAAGAATCCTTGGCATGTTAGACTGCATCACAAAGTTTATTAAAATTGCTTTATAGCCTTTGTTATTGGACTGATAATGCATAGGAATCTGACTGATTTATTTTTTAAAATTTCTTCTACTTATTATAAGTCTATCAGTATTACAACTCAAATTTTGATCAATTGAATTTAGTCAGCATTAGTAATAAAGATTTAAGAGTAGATTTACTGCCACTGAGTTTCTTACTTCTTTACTTTGAGGCATTAGAATAAAAATGGTTTATAAAACCTTGATCTATGCATAAATATTGCAGTAATCTTGAAATCCAACACATCAAATCTTTCTGAATGTTGCATGAATCAGACATAATTAATTATCAACTGATCAATAAGTAGTTTAGCTACTTCAGATAATCTACTTCTAGTAAAATCAACTCCAGTAAAGCATATAGAGTCAATGCTAATGCGTATTGACCTCTAGCATTGCACTACCGGTATGTGTTAATAGGCAGCATTTGCACACATGAATAGTCAATACACTTATAATACACAAATGCACACAATCATGCTGATGTAGCTGATCTGCAAGTTTGACAGTAGACTTACAATTTTAATTTTTAATTATTCTTTCTCACATTTGTAAGAATGCTTTGCTCGCTGATTTAATTCGCCATCAATTCGGCGTCGGTGTGAACTTAGCATAAGTAAAAAGTGGTACCAACTGATTGTATGATATATTGCCTTGCAAATATTTTTTGATGGATCACATTTTTTGATAAATCAACTGTTAACCCCCATGCGTAAGTTAGGTCTCATTGTTTTTATGACTTTTTTAGATGCAGCACGCACGCACGATCAAACAAATTTTTAGATTGCGATATCTCTGAAATCCTTTGACGATAAATTTTCTAGTTGAACCAATCTGTAGCAAAAAAACTTTGCCGTCCATTTGGTAATAATTGAAATAAATAAATATGTGTAGAATATGAGAAATCATAGATCGAATATCACATTTTGTAATATGTTGTAAAATGTCTGCGAGCTTTGGTCACCCCTTCGTATATTAACTATTCATGGTGCAAATGCTGCCTACTATTAGTGCAGTGCTACTGCTAGAGGTCAATACGCATTGGTATTGACTCTCTCTCTAGTATCATGCTTTGCTGGATTGGAGTGAGTAAAATCGACACTTGTTCAGAAACCTATCCAAAATTTGACCCGTAAGTTCGGCGTGGCCGTGGAGATACTCTACTAAAATATATCTAAAATGAAGTAAATATTCAATGAATGTCCAAATAAAGGTCATGAGTTAAAACTGAAAATTTGTTAAGTTTATTATCTGTTTCGTGTCAATTTTCTTCTTATTTTTTTAGTATTCTTCTGAAAAACGTTGATATTAGTATACACTTTTTCACAGGTTTCACGGCAAACCGCTGCACAATAAAAGTGCATACCGATGGTGGGTTGCGGGCGGGCGCACGCCTGTGTGAAGTTATCTACCGTAATGAGGATCTGAGACATTACACACAAGCACGCGCTTGCCACAACCCACCATCAGTAAGCACTTGTATTGTGCAGCGATTTGCTGTGAAACCTGTGAAAAAGTGTATACTGTACTAATATCAATGTTTATCCGAAAAAATAATCCAAAAATAACAAGAAAATTTACACGAATCAGGTAATAAAAATAACAATTTTTAACTCATCATCTTTATTTGGACATTTAATGAATATTTACTTCATTTTGGGTATGTTTTAGTAGGGTATCTACACGCCGGAGTTAGGGGTCAAATTTTGGATAGGTTTCTGAACAAGCGCCGTAAAATCAACTGTCCATCGATCATCTTGCATTAATAAAATACAAGATTTCCCATTTCAACATGTCTTTCAAAATCTGCACCATGAACACGTACATCTAATCAGAGTTAGGTCAAGTAAACAAATTAGATCCAAATTAGACTACAATTTGCCTGAAGAGTGCGTTGCTATCTGATTCTGAATGCATAGGCCTAATGGAAATTGATTGGTACTGTAGGTCACCTTCATGGTATCCAACGGGTGTCCAGCCGCGACGAGACACACGCCCCCGAAGCCTCCGGCGAGAAAGTTTTTCAATGGACTTGTATCGGACGACATTTTATTAACTTTTGATTGTCCCTAGATCAATGGAAACCTTGTAATAGTCCTTCTTGTATCCTTCTTCACAGACTTGGTGTTCAGCATGAAAGCAGTAAATCAGAGGGGAAACGTCAGCATGAAACAACAATCCGCTAGACCTGCTACCCGAAATCTTGGTCAAGCTCACTTGAATTGTATGGTGTATTTAGGGACTAAACTAAAAAGAAAAGTAAAAAATCTTGCTGCCGTTTCTAATGAATAATGTTTGATAGTTTTCTATATGTAGTAATGTGAGCTTGGGTTCGGTTGCAAGATGTGACAGCTTTGACATTACTGGAGAGAAGTCATTAGTGCACGTGCATATATAGTGGGCAATTGAGTTACATGACTTCAAAGACTGTATTGTACAAGGGCGTACGTTGAAGACAAGCCTTTTTTTTTTATATAGTGTGGGCGGGGCTGTTAATTTTTGCCTTCAGAATAAAATAACCTTCCATCAACTGCAAAGCGTCTATGAGTGAATTTATTGGCCTATCTTTCATAATTATACACTATTGTTCCAAATTTAACTTCGATTTTGATTTTAAATTTTGTTTTTGAGTGCACTTCAAAACGCTGAAGGCGAAATTGTATTATTATTATTAATAACTTTATGTCACTGGCGTACTTGAGGGGGGAAGGGGGGGCAGAGTGCCCCCCTGACGGGCTCCAGGGGGAAAAAAGGAAAAGGGGAGAAGGGAAAGGAAAAAAGGAGAAAGAAAAAAAAAGGGAAAAGAAAAGAAAAGAAAGGAAAGGAAAGAAAAACAAAAAAGGAAAAGGGGAGAGAAAAAAAAGAAAAAAAGAAAAGAAAGAGAAAAAAGGAAAAGGAAAAAAAAGGAAGAAGAAGAGAAAAGGAAGAAAGAGGGAAAAGAAAAGGAAAGAAAAAAAATGGGGAAATTATTTTTAAAAAGACCATGGCCGTACGCACGGGGGGGGGGGGGCAGTTGACCCCAGATATTTTGAAAACGTACAGTTTTTTTCCTGAAAATGTTTAACAAAGCTCACAAGTAGTGAAGGCCTATACCAAATCCCTTCAATTCTACTTTTGAAAAATGCAAAAGTTCCCTCATAACCAGTTTGGTCGCTCGAACTCCCTACACTCCTTATGCTTTTGAGTTCTTCAAAACTTTTTATGCATCTTTCCCCCTCCCCCATCAGAAAAATATTCCGCATATGGCAAAGAAAAAGACAAATGAATATAGGGAAATATAAGTGATATAACAAATTCGACACTCTTCGCTGGCGCGAGCTGCTTGCTAGCCTATTTTGTATTAATTATTTTCACTTGCTCGTCCCCCTGAAAAAAAGAAAAGGATTAGCATTGCCTAGAATACAATTGTGTCTGCCCCGACTGGACCCGACCTGCAACCATGGCAACCATAACACCCAGTTTATGTACCAAATGTTACTAAAAGAGACTAATTAATTTTTTCTCGCTCGCTACGCTCGCTCGCGAATAAATGAAATAGACATTACTTTGAAAACAATTGTACCCACCCTTGACCTGCAACAACATCATTAAAAATGGAAGTGTTTTTTTCGCCCTCTCGCCAAAAAGGAATTGATATCGTGTTAAACGCGATTGCGCCCATCCCGACCTGCACCAATAAAAACAAGTTTATGTATTAATTTCTATTAAAAGAGAATTGATTTTTTTTGCATCGCTATGATCGCTCACCAAAATGGAATTGACATTCCTTACAAAATATGTGCGCTCCCTTGCCTGCAACGAACATCCCAGTAAATAAGCACCGAACGTTATTTTGAGAGATATTGTTTCCTCGCTCGCCAGAATTGATGAATTGATTGATTTTAGTGATTGATATATGAATTGATTTGTTTTTTGTTTTACCCTCTCTTGCTACGCTGTCTTTACAATTAACATCGCTAACAAACATGCTCACCCCAACCTACAACAAATTACCAGTTGATAATTATGTACCAGACGTTAATCAAAGAAAATTTGGTTTGCTCGCTAGCTACGCTCCCTCGCCAATATGGAATTAACATCACCTTAAACATGATTGTGTAAGCCCCGACCTGCAACAACAAAAAATGAAAATTATGCACCAATCATCATTAAGTTTGTTTTGCCTGCCCACCAAAATGGGATTGACAATGGCTTAAACACGATTGTACCCACCCCCGACCTGCAACAAAGACACAACGTTTATGTAACAATTCATTGAGGACAATTGAACCAAGTTTAATTGGCAATATTATTATTAAAAAAAAGAAGCGATTTTTTATTCTTGCTCGCTACGCTCGCTCGCCAAAATGAAATTAACATCGCTAACGTGCCCGCCCTAACCTGCAACAACATTACTAGTTAATAATTATGTACCAAACATTATTCAAAGAAGTTTTGGTGTGCTCGCTCGCCAAAACGGAATTAACATCACCTTAGACATGATTGTGTAAGCCCTGACCTGCAACAAAAAAACCTGAAATTTATGAACGAAAAATCATTAAAAAAATTTGGCTCGCTCGCCAAAATAGAAATAACATCGCTTTAAATAATCATGTCTCTGACATGGATCAATGAAATCAAGTTTATGTACCATGTTCTCATCGTAGAGAAGTGATTTTTTTTTCGCTCGCTAGCTCGTGGAATTGTGCCCACCACTGACCTGCTACAATATCATTAAAAAGAGAAATGTAGGGGGGGGGGTTGCCTGCCCGCCAAAATGGGATTGAAATTGCCTTACACACGATTGTGCCCACCCCGACCTGCAACAATGAAACAAGTTTTATATCGCAATTCATTAAGAGAAAGGTGTATTTTCGCTCGCTAGCTAAAATGGGTATAAAATCACCCTAAACACAATATAAATAATTGTTCCCGCACCCGGCATGGGACAATTGGACCAAGTTTAAATGAAATTAACGTGGCTAACAAATGAATGTGCCCACCCCAGAGTTGCAACAATACCGATTTATATACCAAACGTTACTTAAATATATTTTTTTGCCCGCTCGCTCGCCAGACTAAAAATTAGCATCGCCTTTTTTGTTTTGTTTCGATCGCTTGCCCCCCCCCCCTTGACGGAGTACCCCAGGTACGCCGATGCTTAACGTGGTCTAGAAGTTGATGATTCAACAGAATGCTAATATATGGGGAGAATTTTAATATATTCATGGTCTTTAACCCTGGGAGGCCCCCCCCCCCTCGACATTTTCGGAGATTGCGCCGCAACCACTTGGAATTTTGAATTGTCGTTTCATGACTTTTTTCCCTCAAGTCTTACGCACATTTTGATACCATTTTCGTCGAAATCAGATATACCTGTAAGGTGTTACATAACAATTACTATGCGCATGTCATCAAAAATATGCTATAGTTTATGCAAATTTATGCAAATTAACCTATGCATTTTCAAATATCATAAAAATAATGTAACCTCATGAATTTGAGATGAAGGAAACATTTATTCAATACATTTTCAACATTCTTCACAAGTCTACAGAGGAATATGTAGAGTTTGTAAAATGCATAACATTAGCATTTTGCATAATTAATTAGGCTATAACGACAACAATATGCATATTAGGAAAAAACTTATTATACCATCTTGTCCCTTACGTAAATATCTACAAACATTCAAATTTTCGCGTTCATCGGACTTTCGACGGCCGAGATCATAGGGGGGGGGGGGGGGGTCTCCCAGGCCCCCCCCCCCCCCCCCCCCAGTCACGAGGTGCTAAAAATAGCCCAGTACAGTAAGGGTTAATACATTTCAAATTTTCACCCTAAAATGTATCATATTCATTCGCCCCATCCCTAATAGAAATATACGGGATAGGGGCAGAACAGCTAGCCGCCCAATTATACGCGTAATTATCAAGTATTAATAATAATAATAATAACGTTTTATTTACCTAGGGTAGCCACTTCAGTTATGAAACTGCTCTTCCAGCGTGCCCTGCATAACATAATATGTTATTACTACCCTTCTCCAATCTAATAGGCTGAGCGCCTACCTAGTAGGCAGAATGTCCCATTGTTGTCTTTGATATGACTCGGCCGGGGTTCGAACCCATGCACAACCTCCCGTTCATGAGGCGGGCGCTCTAACCACTGAGCCACCATGTCCGATCAATTTTGTATGCTCCTTTTCATCAAAAACTCGTTTGCATTGTTGATTTAATATTTGTATTTACGTTTCGGCACTAATGATATTTTATTGTTACCTGGGGGGTGTTTCATAAAGAGTTCGTAAAGTTGCGCATGACTTTACGAACGACTTGTATATGAAGTGCCAGATAAACACACAGATGCTTTTTTTTCCCTCACCAATACTTTATTACAAAAGTTTAACAAACACTATCAAATCTTCGCTTGAAGAATATCAGATAGTAGGCCTACATAATATAGTAAACGCTGAAACATATCTAGCCAGGTATTTTGTCATGTGCTTTCGACTTTTATGCAGTACGTTTCGAAAGGCAGAAATTATTGTATTTGTTGGGTTTAACATAACACAGAGTAACGTTATATGATAACATCATGTTTGTGATAAAGAAACGTGAGAGAAATACAGTTTAAGTCCCTCAAATTCAATTGTTTTTTTCTGCTAAATTCATGATCATAATGCGTTTTGTTTAATGTGTAGATTTGTACGAATATGTACATGCTGCAAACTGCGTTTTGAAGCAGCTAGATGACACAATTACTTTTAACATTGATCCCCTCCTCCCCAAACGGTTATCCCCTTCCAGGGACGGATCGAGTCGGCGGCAAGAGGGGGGGGGGGGGGGCGTCCAATTCGTGAGAAAATATTTAGCGGCGACTCAGCCAACCGGTGAGTAAGGGGGGGGGGATTAACAGCACTTTTTTTGGGGGGGGCGTCCAATTCGTGAGAAAATATTTAGCCAGCTGGTGAATAAGCGGGGAGGGGAGGCCCTCAGGGGGCCCAACGGAGCCACATTGGGAACTGTTATAAACACCTTTTATTCTTAACCTAAGAAGGTATTTATACATACAGGCGCGTACGCAGGGGGGGGGGATGTTTTTGGGGTTAAATGCGCCCTCCACGTTTCTGTCAGTAACGGATCCAGGGGAGGGCCCGGACCCTCCCCCCCCCCCCCCCCGGCAAAAGATAAAATAAAAAAGTTTTTTTTTTATTGCTCAAGGGCGGGGGGAATGTTGAGTAATTTTGTTTTATACACTACCACCCACCTCCCCCCCCCCCCCCCGTCGAGAAAAAAAAATGCTCCTTACCTCCCTCGGTAATTACCGGGCAAAAAGTCACAATTTTGGGCCGAAAGGTAAATAAAAGTTTTAATAAAAGAAGAAAATAAAGCAGCATTGAAATAATGACAGCAGAGAATCCTTCGTTATTCTTTTTCGATAAGCCTAATATACAACCATTCCCAATATTCAACCTGTAACATGCTTTTGTTTTGATATTTTTACCTCTGACATTTTTACTTGTGACATTTTTGCCTCTGACATTTTAACCTCTGTTATTTTTAAAGCGAGCCATGTTAATAAACATATAATAAATGGTATTTGAAAACGTTCAAGCTCGTTTAAGGGATACAGGGAGCCAAGGGAAATACTTCTCGAGTCCGGTGGTTATGGGTAAATGATTTAGCGGTATATGACAGGGAAATTAACTCAACAGGCTTGATAGAATGAAATTCGTAAAAATCAGTGTAATTCTGTAATACATTGAAATGAATGTCAATTGCCTATATATGGTTAAATTGTTATCATGATTATCGACTTTTGAATGGTTATTATTTGCAACCATACGTAACTTCTTGATCTACTTTACAATTTTGTTTTAATGTAATATCCAGGCGCGGATCCACGGGTCGATTCTACCGGCCCGCCCCCCCCCCCCCCCGAACCTCCCAAACCGGTAACAAAATAGGATAGTAACGTAAATTTTACCTTAAAAATAAATTTAAAAAACGCCCCCCCCCCCCTGACCTGCCAGTGACACAAATGCGGCATCAAAATATTTGTACTTCTCTGACCGTAATTAAATGCCTAAAACCCCCACACCAATTTACGCTCGCTACCCTCTACCTGTTCGTAAATACTTTAGCCCCCCACTTTGATAAGCGTTCCGCGGGGCCTGTGTATATAATACGCATACAACACTGATCTTTATGATGTCTTTAACGTGACATATCTTCTTCTCCCCTTGCAAACGAGAAAGAAAACAAGGTTATTAAAAGGGATTAAGCGACAAATAATAATTGTGATTCAAATTGATGCGAATATTTGTTTGAATAAGCACTGCTATATCTTCTTTGTAAAAACAACTTTTTACAAATCTCAGCCATGCTTACTGAGTTGAGACGTTCCATTCAATTTAAAATACTCATTAAAGAATACACTTCTCCTAATCTGAAAGTGATCGTACAGCACAATGGCAGGATTGCGTGGCTGAGATTGGTAAAAGTCGCTTTTACAAAGAAGATTCTGATGAAAAGCATTGCTTATTAAAAAAAAATCCTTGCATCAATTTGAATCACAATGATCATTTTGTCGCATGATCCTTTTATTAAATAACCTTGTTTTCTCTTTTTGTTTGCAGGGGGAGAAGAAGCTATGTCACGTTAAAAAATCATAAAGATCGGTTGTATTATGCGTATACATTATTATGATAACAGAACAAAATGTTGATTATCAGAATGTCATTTTGGAATACCTCTATGCATATACCACATTGTCTTTAGCCCGTATCAGTATTAGTATGAGCCAATATAAAGTTATTATTCTTTATTCAGTTCAGTATAATGCTTTTCCTCAAAAATAGTTTCGCCATTTTTTTTTAGGGTTAAGACGCTAAGAAATGGTTTCGAATGTACATTACACAAACCCTGAACCATTGCATAATGATGGCGGTTCTCTCTCTCTCTCTCTATTTATTTTAATCATGCATTATCAACTACATAAAGCAGCAACAAAAAGCTTAGGGTTATCTGGGATAGGTGAAAGTGAGAGTTAAAAAGAAAGTCATGCTAAAACGGCGCTTCACCTACCCCCCCCCCCCGGAAATTTTTTTAATTAGTGGTCCTCCTCTCCAGCATTCCCCCCCCCCCCGCTTTAATATTCACCGGCCGGCTGAGTCGGCGCAAAAATGTTCCCCCAAAAATGGATCCCCCAAAACAAATATATGTGCTCTTATCCACCCCCACCCCCCGCTCATTCGCCGTTCGCCGGCTGGCTGATTTGCCGCTAAATATTTTCTCAAGATTTGGCCCCCCCCCCCCCCTCTTGCCGCCGGCTGGATCCGCCCCTGGTAATATCTATACACCCTACAACAAACGCTAGATAAACAAAATAAGAAACACAAAGCGAATGAAGTAGCTTGGATATACTCCGACAGTTTTTATTACCCAACGACAGTCTAATCTCTGCATAGGAACCAAGTGTTTGTTATTGTGAATCGTTACTCTTATTTTAAGGCAGGTGTAATTTCTCTAAATCAAGATAGGCCTACATGATAAGGAAACACTCATTTTCATTGATGTTGCATTGAATCTAAATAGATGCATTAGATAATTTCTAATATAAAGCAAATTCCATTCTAAATAACCGGCTGCTCCCACACAACAGGGAGACACGACACAAATAACAAATATAAAAAAACTGCCACGAGTGTTTGATTATCAATTATTACTACGATAATATAAATTATCATTTCAGTTAATATTTAATCAAATAGTATAGTTAACTCCATTCCAAATAGATATTTCTTTTAGGTAAATATAGATATGAAAACATAGATTAAAAACATAAATAACATTACTCGTCAATCTTATATCATTATATTTATTTCCTTAATCAAACTTGCAGCCCACATCAGTTGGTATCAATATGACACTATAAATAAAGGGTAAGATAAAACGAGCATTTTATATCCGTGTTATTATCAGAATACTACATTTCCCCATAATTCATACAACTATTGGATATTATCCTTTATCTCAAATTAAATAATCGATCGCATGTTATAGAAAGACATAATCAGTATTTCAGCTTCGAATGAAATTAAAAGAAACATAGCACATCAATGCAGTCGTATTTTAAACACGTCCTGAATTAGATACAGGTCATCAAATATTTATATATTTGTATACTACATTAATTTATATTTAGATAAATATATATAATATATTTTGAAATAGACTTAAAAAAGTGCAGTATTTGTCGTTTTACTGCGATAATAATCTAAAAACAGAATAAAATATTGAATTTTACGCTAGTCGTATACTAATAAAAGTGGACAAAAATCAACGTACAACGTTAATAACCACAATCTATTGCATAACTTATGATGATTAAGTAAGCTGCGTAGACAGTAAAAAATAAAACGTTCATGTCGTAAAAATACATGCACGTCATGTCATAATGTCATCATGTAATTAAAAAAAAACATGCACACCGTTTGTATCTCACACGTAAATTGACATGTTAAACTGTTATATTTTTTTGTATTTTCATTATTATACATCAATTACATATCCATTTAATAATAATCTATATCTTTATATTCATTATTTGTAAAAATATTATAGTCCCTTAAAAAAAATGATTTTGCTTGCTTAATCAATGAATCTCTTTTATCAATGCTTATTTCACTTCTATACAATGTAATCACTTTAAAAAAATATGTCAATCTTCTTTGAATACAAGATACAGTCCCTTCAGAGTCAGTGTAATTTGTTTAATGAAGGACCCATAAAATATTCTATCCACATCATCAGTGGCGGATCAAGTATTCTCTGATGAGGAGGGAAGGGGGGGGGGGGAGGGGTACACAAATTCTAAACAGTTTGTGATAAGCAATTAAAATTGTCATCAGGTTATTGGTGTTCCGTTTCTTCTTCCTCTCTTTACAAGGTGGTAAATCAGATTCTGCAACAACGATTTAACATAATATCTCTCCCTTGTCATATAACTGGCAAAACTACATTATCCTCTCATTTCCGTCTCTCTCTCTCTCTCTCTCTCTCTCTCTCTCTCTCTCTCTCTCTCACTCTCTCTCTCTCACACACTCACGCACTCTCTATCCATCCCCTTAGACTTCTTACTCTGCTTTTCCCCCGCTCTTGATCTTTTTGTTACCTTTTACTCTAGATTATATTTCTGCAATGCTTAGTATTTTTCCTTGGATAACTACGAATTTTCCTAAGTTTGAATAGACGGTCTTCATCTTTGATGGCCCAGTGTTCTAGTAAAACAAACATTGTCCAGGAATTTAAAATGCAATTGAGCTGATATCAAAGTATAAAAGGAAGCATAACTTAGATCCATAAAACGATTGTCATCAATATATTGACTCATACGCTAGACGGGACTTTGTCCGTGAGTTCCATCCAGTCGAATACCCTGTTTTCGGAGCAAGATTTTGCGTTCATCCTGGAAGCAAAGACGCCACTAAAAAGATCGAATACACCACCTAACGTGTGGAAGAAGGAAATAAACGATAACAACATTAAGATTTATATTATATAAATAGAAACTGAAAGATTAAAGAGAAAGAGATATTTCTTCCACAGGACATTGGTGCCGCGACAAGGATTCTAACCCCGTATACCTTGTGATTTATACAGTCCGAAAACCTATCTACTAGATCACAAGCCACTACCATAAGCCCTGACTTTTTTTCCAGAGCAATAATACAAATATTGGATATATATTTCCAAAGTGCATATATTTTCACCACCCAAGGTGCTCAAGGTGTTCCAATATTACCTCGGCTCTGCTAGGCTACCGCTTTCGGTGCTCATAGCATTCAATTCCTTCCTACTGGTACTCATTTCAAACCTGTGTGGAGAGTGGCAAATGTAGATTGATGTTTTTCCTAAGGACATTAGTGCCACGGTGGGACTCGAACCGCAAACCATGTGATCCACAGTCCGACGACGTATCCCCCCCCCTCGTCTACGACACCTCTAGAATCATCATCGTGACCTACCTGTATGAATGAAGAGAACCTTCTTTCCCTTCAATGTGTCTGGACTCTCGTTCATCATCTTTATAAGATTATATACAGCTTTTGAGGAGTACACTGGATCAACAAAGATTCCAGTCTTTGTGGCGATCTTCTCGATGCATTCTAGAAGTAAGATTGTGAAAAAAGGAGAATGGAAATAAAGGATAATCAATTTAATTTCTTTTCTGTTTAGGGGATGGGAGAATAGGGGAACGTAAAACCAATATCACATTTGTTTTCATTTTCATTTACAGATCGATCAATCGATCTTATTTACTGGGTGTAAATATGTTTAAACTATTCAATATCACATTGTCAACTATTAATCAAGTATGTCATGTGTATCTTTGAATGATATCAAGTTTAACATCAAAATGTTAAGGTTTCAGATGGACCATAATGAAGACTCAAAACTGTCGAATATTGCTTTGATATCAGAGTGATTAACCGATTTCATAAATCTCTTCCATTTTATCGAACGAGTTCAGCATTATTCAAACAAATTTACGTGTTACCTATACATTTAGTACGACGAGAGGAAAATGTATGTATCTCTGCATTATAACCTTTCACTTATTCTACAAGATTCTCGCACATCTTAACACAAAACTGCGATTGCATATCAAGAGACTAGAGACAAAACCATCAAAAGCCCCTAAACCTACCCATTTCTTCTGGTGTATTCATGCCGTATCCAATGCCCACGACTTCAGCAAAGTGCACTATATCGGCTGTTTTAACACCTGTAGAACCATCTTCCGCCTGTAGGCCGTGTGCCCTTAGAATCTTGTCTCCTTCATTGTGGAAATATTCATTAGTAAGACATGCTGCCATACCGTGAATCCTGTGAAGATACAGATTACATCATAGCACATCGGCCATCGTAAACAAACTATTGAGTGATTCGTGATATATTTAAATGGTTGATGTATTTGATCCTTTTCGATTAAATCAAATGAAAGAACCATTATTTTCGAAATAATTAAAAATGTACTTCTAAATCGTAACTCAACGCAATGTCTTCACTCTTCATTTTGATATCTCTTTGTGCATCGCTGTGCATGCAGTGCACAATGTCATTCTTGCATGGTGCGCCTAAGACCACATCATTTCCTGATGCAACCCTTCTATGTCAGGGAATATATATATATATATATATATCACATTTCCTCTGGTAACGGGCTTGAGGACGGTTAACACAATAGCCTACATGTTCTAGGACTCAATATATCTTGATACAAAAGGCAAATTTCTGTCTTATTAGAGGGACTGTATTGTGACTTTTGTCTGACATAATAACAGCTTTCGGGCCTTTTCCCTTCAAATATAATAAGTAAACGAATTATAAATAGCTTGTGACTAGCATTTATTGGATAGATTAGCATGTAGAAGAAAAAAATAAGTCAATCAAAAAGTAGCAATAATACGTATCAAATTACTCATACGTCACGAGTTATCATTAATGCCTCACTCCCTCTTCGGGGGAATAATTGCAAAAGGTTTGAATATGTATAGACACGAGAATCGAAAACGGTTGATCTTACTTTAATTTGCTGCCAGTGAGATAGTTTGCGATTCCAAGACCCATAACAGACCCGCCGCTTCCTCCAGCTATCACGATGTCCGTGTAATTTGATTCGAATAGCCCCTGTAACAAAGTCATGTGGGATAAAATTATAGAACATGAAGTCACATTACTTCTTTCATATTTATTCTTTTCATCTCAGGCGAAGTTAGTAAGTACATGAGAAATTGTAGGAATGCGTAGAGCACAAATGCTGATTCCTGCATTAGCAATAATTAAATCTAGTTTAATCCCAATTTCCATCTAGTAGACATTACGCACACGTTTTATCATTAAGAGCACCTATGAAAGGACGTGATAAAGTATTCATACATTTAAAATCCCTCGTGTTTGATGCTTTATCTTTGTAAGTATACAACGATGATCACAATAATGGTGACAGAAATGTAATTATGAAAGTATAACGGATTATAATGATGACAATAATTCCTCAAAATGATGATCATGATTATACACTAACCTGACCCATTAGTTCGTGAAAACAAGCGATATAGCCCCACACTCCTATTTCATTGGTACCGCCAAAAGGAATCTGGTAAGCTTTCTTCCCTGATGTTTTCCTGTAAAAAACATGAACGAAATTATGTTAATTGTCACATATGCTGTTTCGTTTGTTTGTTTGAATTCTTTCTTTATATAGTTTAAATATATTATTTCAGGCGCGTTCAATTTTTGATATGCACAGAGAGAACGGGAGATTTATGAGCGATAAAGATGATAGTCTTTATTTGCAAAGACAATAGATACCGTATGTCACAATAATTCAGTCTAATACAATGAAGGACTTCGAAACCATCAAAGCAACCAACCCCATCTTATAATGAAGGTATCATAAAATAAACAAATATTACATGTATCCATGGCTTTTATATATATCAAGAGAAAGGAATATCATGTAAAACAACGTTTGATCAAACCGGTAGGCAAGCACCCAGCAGAACTTTCAGATACACGGCTGATTCATAATTATCTTATAAAAAAACCATTATTCAATATACTAAGGGGCAGATCCAAGATTTTGTGGAAGAGGGGCACAAGTCTGTAAAAAATAGACAATTAAGGGAACATTCTGATCGGGTTTCAAAAGATTAGGGGCCATGTGAGGAGGTCTTGCTTACAAGATGTGAGCGTAAAGCTGGCGCATGCGTGGATAAACGTCGGTCTGGAATGGGCAATCTTTTGGCATGAGGTAGAAGTTGCTTCCGACTAGTCTGTCGAGGAGGGCGTTCCCTGTAAACGGCATCTCCTGTAAATAAAATGAAAATGTTAAAAATGTAAACAAATTGTACATTATGTCTTTTTTTTCATAATGGCCAGTAAAAGTCTTATTTTGAAGTCGAGTTTTTCGGAGCCAGCAGCATTTCCTTTTCCTGGGAGAAGGGAGAGAGAGAGAGAGAGAGAGAGACTGCATATAATAATATTATGTGTCAAATCGTCAAGACATTCAGGTATACAAAATAATAATTGCAGAGACACAAGGATTAAATACGTATTTCATTTTTTTTTTAAACTTAGAGAAAGGGGAGAGGGGAGAGACAGAGATTCCAATAATGTGCAGTGGTCGTAAAAAGGTGACAAATTTGTACTCGTGTCAGGCTTCTTGCACATATCCCGAACATGTATTTTCATTTTTCAACGTTCGATGCAAGTTTTGCCCCCCCCCCCCCCCGTTTTCTCACTCTCTCCCTCTTACTTCAAGATACCTCAAAAATTCAATAGACCTCACATGGGCACGCAGGGACTCATGCTGTCACGAATTCCGGCGGATTTATTCTAACCAAAAGTAGGTCCATGTTCTAACTCTTATATTGACATGTACTTGAACTCCGATCTCGATTTATCATACATCTTTTACATGGTTAACTAAAGCTAACATATTACATTTGAATAAATGTTAGAAAGATAAGATAAGATAAGATATTTATTCGTCTTTCTTTCAAATGTCACATAGAGCATAACATTAGATCATTACACATTTACAATGCAAACAAAAAAACAAATTATGGCAATAAAACACGTTTGTCAAGTGCATCTGTGATCTTCCCTACTAACACGAACATCATACTCAATCAAACTGTTTTCAATACAAATACAGAATGAAGCACCGACACAAAGACTTTTTGGTGAAATTAGTACGATGTTTTTTCTTTTAAATGATGCTGTATCAATTATTATGAAAGGAACAATTTGATGACATTGAAATGGCAGACATTTTTACCCCTTTATGTCCGTCTCTTTGCTTCAATTTCTTCATGATCATGATGATATCTAATGGATATCTGTTTATTATTTATGTGTGCAATGGCGTAGCTACGGAGGGGGGGGGGGTTATGAATGTATGTATATGATTATGGGGGAAAGAGAGACATAGACAAAAGCACAAGAGTATAGGATGGAAAGATAAAGAGAGGGGGATAGAAAGAGAGAGAGGGGGGAGCTGAGAGAAAGAGAGAAGAAGAGAGAGAGAGAGAGAGGGGGAAGGGAGAGAGAGAGAGAGGGGAGAGGATGGAGATATAGAGAGGGGATGGGGATTAAAAGAAAAAAAAAGCGTATCCGGACACCTACCCCCTGGACATCCACCCATGGATAACCATCCCCAGTCAACTACCCCCTAGGACAACTACCCCCTAGGGTAACCACCCTTTAGGACGACTGCCCCCCCCCCCCCCGGGCAACTACCCCATGGACAACTAACCCTCAGACAACTACCCCCTAGGACAACTACCTCCTAGGAAAACTACCCCCTCCCCCCCAGACAACTACCCCTAGGATAGTTGTCTGAGGGGTAGGTGTCATAGAGGATGGTTGTCATAGGGGGTAGTTGTCCGGGGGGGGGGGGGAATTGTCCGGGGGTGGATGTCCAGGGGTAGGTGTCCTAGAACCGATAAAAGGATCCCCTTCCACTGACCTTCCCAAATCAGTTACCCTGATAATATTTGCATTTTATCCACCTATTACAACCGCCCCTTGGTTCCCAGCTCCCCTTCTATGCCTGGACCCATGCTATGCCACTCCCTGTCTGAGTGCTACTCACCTAGTTTGCAGACCCAAACCCTTCTCAGTCGTTGTGCGTATCAAACAGTGTCTGTTCTGTGAGACTATGCTGATGGCATGCTGCAAAGGCAATGTACTTTAGTTGCTCCAGCCATGCAGACTGACAGAGCTAGTCTCGGGCTCAAGGCTTTGTTAATCGTAGTAAAGTGTCAAATTAGAGTCTGCATGAGCCTGCATGCAGACTACTACCCACCGTTTCCTTGGACCAGAGTAGAAGGTGGCTGTCCAGTCCCATCTGCCTTGCTGCTATGGCTGCAGCTCGACACGAGTTGGAGAAGATCCCGCCACAGGCAATGACGGCCTGGCAACCTTTGTCAACACAGTCAGCCATCAAGAACTCTAGCTTACGAACCTGCCAAGGAAAAAAATAACGAAATCATCTCTTAAACTTTTTTTAAAATTTCAATGCAACGCCAATGCACTACAAAAGTCTTGTGAAGGCCATCCGGCGTTTGTTCGTTTCTTATCTATCAATATTTGTCGATTTTTGTCGAGGGGCTCTGCGTTTTTCCATCGATAGTCACGATAGTAGACCTATAACTCCATGATATGACCTCTTACGCCTGTATGACCATTATCATTGAGTAGTCAGCTATGACAATCACAACAGATGCATACCACCTACAGCCCTGTAAATATAGATCGGAGCCGTCATGAATGCAAACAAATAGTTCCTCTTTGCTTTCATCGTCTATGAAGTTGTGTCCTTGACTCGGGTTTGAAATAGATTATTCCAACGGTCTTCACTTTGTGTTGTGTATTCTACTATTAGGCTCAATAATAGTGTAACTATTACTACTTCTACTATACTACTACTACTACTACTACTACTACTACTACTACTACTACTACTACTACTACTACTAGCCTACTACCACTACTACTACTACTACTACTACTACTACTACTACTACTACTACTACTACTACTACTAGCCTACTACTACTACTACTACTACTACTACTACTACTACTACTAATAATAATAATATTACTACTACAAAAATAGTGCAACTATTACTACTTCTTCTACTACTACTACTACTACTACTACTACTACTACTACTACTACTACTACGTGGCGTAGTGCGGTTCCCGTCATTGAGGGGTGCTTGTATTATGGGGGGGGGGGGGACGCAGTTCACTCTGTATCCACCGTGATCATATTTTTCATCCTCTTTTGCCCCTCCCATTTCCTTTCCTTTCCATTTTTAAACCATATAGTATTTCACAATTTAATAGAGGAGTGAACACGTGCTCCCATGCCCCCGTGCCCCTTTAATTACTACGCGAATGACTGCTACTATTTACTACCGCTTTACCTTATTGCCTGTTAAAACACTGCCTGTCATGTCATCTCGTTTGACGAAGACTTCAAAGTCATCTGGTATATCTGGCAAGCGCCATCGCTGTATCGGTGTGTTCAAAGTCCCAAGCTGTAATGAAAAAAAATACAACAAAAACGAAATGAAGCATATTGGTTTAAAGGTAAAGACCAGTATTGGAAACGCCCCAATTTCAAAAAATGAAATGGAAGCTCTTATTACCAATCATGTGAATGAATATGTTTTGACTATTACATGATGATAAACATTTTGCCGAGAAACCGCCTACTAATTGATATATTTGGTAAATAAGTTTATCTACATGGTCTGTGAGAGATAAACGCACGTGTCGCGCACGTGTGCGTATAGTATATACATCTTTCTGTGTACAGTGCTTGTAACTTTATGAAGACTGGGCCATATTTCTTATCATTTTGATGATTCCAGAACCTTGCAGTACACACCAATACTTATATGCTAGATGATCAACCTTTTCTGATCGATTCCACAACGTTTCTTTCACAATGCAATCACATATGACCATAGCTGGTCTTTACCTTTAAACATAATCTAATATTTGCTAACCCATGTGTTAATACAAGATACTAAACTTGAACGTAGCTAAAAGTGTGTTGCAGTCTTTAGTCAGTATTTTCTATACATTTTTTGCGTCCACTTTTTCAAATTTTCCGGGGGGGGGGGGACGATATTCCCTACGGAATTTTCGGGACAAAAAAATAAAATAAATATGTACAATCCAAAATTGGATTTTACAAGGCACTACTTCGATTGCAGTGGAATACACATTTATGTAGACCAGTCGCATCCACTGAATGCAGATTGTCAATCATCATTACCCTATTATAACATAAATAATTACGTATGACATTACATTTTTCAATCTTGGCGTTTTCTCCAAAAATCTTCAACTAACAGAGCTAGATTTTTAATGAGCTCATCTCAGATGCAAATAAGGGAGATGGAAAAATACAAGATGATGACCTAACATACGACATTTTGATATCTTATTTGCATAGTCATTAAGTAGGTATTAACGGGTCAGACGTCTATTCGAGGACACGAAACAAAGGATTCTTGATATTCATGTAGTAGAGACTGACAGCTACCATAGCACTGGAGGGAGATAATAAATTGTGCATGTGTTTCAAAGTTCAACCGACCAGTAAAGGCGTTCTCATCTATTTTGTGTTATATAACGGTACATACTATCATATATACCAAATTATATACAGCTTCTTTACTTTCTAATGCCCCTATACACGAAACTTCACTTTTCGATCAAAAGTCCAGGAATCGTGCGACGTTGATAATTATTATGTTCAGGTTCCATCGAACAGTCATTCTAGCGTTGCCTGGTAGTAATTCCAAGATATAACTCAAAGTGGTGGTGTGAACCAACAACATTCATTTTCTTCTCCTGAAACAAAAGTTTAGTCCATGGCCTCTCAGCTCAGGGAAATTGGCCCGGTTTCTTAGGGGACATCTGGTAACCCCTTTTCCTCAATTTCCCCCCTCTCGTTTTGTAAAGTCCAGTCCTTTTGTCCTGCTTATTTTGACAAGTTTTGGTACTTGTGCTAGATGGGGTGAAATCGACTCGACTTTGAGTTTGGGGTATATTTCCATGATTTCGGCGTCTCTAAACCCGAAGGTTACAATAAGGCTGAAACAGATAATATGTTGGTGTTTGATGGTGGTCAGTGGAGGGTCTGCGATCTGAATATATAATATTCAACGGTCAAATTTTATGGGCTTGATGGAATGACACTATCGTGATAGGCCCATGGCTAGCAAGAATAACAGGAAGATATTATTGGACTCGTGATTTTGTTTAAATCATTGTTTCTTGCACTGGAAATCATCAAAAGAGTCAGAATACCGGAAAACAGGTCAAATTATTTGGACTTGATGGGGATTAGATTTTTTTGGGGGACGGGCCATTAACCTATAGCATGAGCTGAAAGTAAACAGGAAACACTATTCAACTCATTATTGTTTATTGTTTCTTGCATTCAATTTGAAATTAGCAAAGAGGTCACACGGCCGAATAAAGAAAATAGGACGCTGTCAAAGTTTTATTTGTAAAACACGAAGTCTGGAAAAAATGACAGTGCATTGTAGATATTTGTATACAATTTAATGTTATGGCATCACGACTTACTGCGATCTTATCAAGGATTCCAAAGTTTTGGACAACATTTATGTAGGCCTATTAAGCTTTATTATGTACAACTTCTTGCGTGAGGATACAAGTATATAGAGACTAAATTGCGATTTCTTCAAAGGTTTTTTTTTTTGAGGGGGGTCATGTTTTCAATGTGCCGATGAGGCGTGTTCGTCATTATACTATATAGTAACGTATAAGTCGATGATAAGCTGGATAATGTTTCGCTTGAATATTTACATTTTGGAGTCTGTGAACCAAGGAAAGTTTTCTTGTCAAATATATAAACCAAATGACTCACTTTGTTTTTATTCTGCGCAAAAGATTCAGAACAAAGGGGAACTGGTCATCGTTTCACGAAACCGTCAAGTTCGCCGACTTCCCTTTAGACGAAGGTTTACTTTTGACGGTATCATGAAACGATGCCCTGAATACTAATTGCTACCAAGAGAGATATAATATACGTGCTTATTGTAGCAACCTAAAATGTCTTTACACCCACTTTGTCCCCAATTAACAGTTCGGATTTTTCATGCGTCTGAATATGTTCAAGGATTAATCCGTCGAATACTAGGCTGAATTCTACGAAAAATTTGTGTTAAATCGTATCAAAACTTCAAAAGTATTAATTGCCTTTATGATATTGTGATTAACCAGACAGTGATTTACGAATCGAGATTTCAACACCATTCATGCAAATCCTCAGTTATTAAGATTGATGTTAATGATTTGAGATCGATTCATAAGACATACTTGGCACCGAAATATCAAAATAACCAAACGACTGATAACAGTATTAAGAATGCATACTTATATACTTTATGTGAATATGATAAAATATAACATTATAAATACAGGTTAAAATGGTTATGGATAGGTTTTCACTTAAGTAACTTAGCTGCGTAAAGAAAGAGGTAAATCAGAGTAAAACAAATTACAGATAATATTTCCTGCTTACCTTAATTGTGTATTTTGGTATCATATCCTTATTAATTGTCGAGGTCCATGACGGTGCTTCATAGGGAACGAGAGGGTAATCGAGATTAGATTTCATGGTGGTTCGATGACGCCTGCGAATAATAATAAAAATACGATCACCGTCAATGCCACGATACCGGTCTGTGCAGTCACTTCAAGTAGTATGTGTTTCGTATTGAGTCGCTTGAACGGTCTGTGAATCCAGTAGAGATTGTTCGGTTTCTTGGATGAGGGGACAGCAGGTATGCCAATGTGAGATTGCTTCTATCAGGACTCAAGTATATAAAAACATTTTGACTAGGATTATTCGATTAGAAAAGAGAAATTACTTTGTAAATCGTTTGAAACTTTTAAAAATGATATGCAAAACACTTGGAAGGTAATCAAACAAGCAATGAACCAAGTTAATAATAAATCTGAGGTAAATAAGATCAAATTTGATAATGAGATTGTTGAAGACCAAAAAGATATAGTTAATATTTTTAATACTTATTTTTCTTTAATAGGTGATAATCTCGCTAAAAACATTCCGCCTTCAAACACAAATTTTGTGGAGTTTTTAGGCCCTCACAATCCAAATTCTATTTTCTTTGTTCCAACTAATAGGCAAGAAATTATGAAAATTGTTTCTAGTCTGAAAGATAAGAAAAGTTTAGGGTATGATGGAATCAATAATGTCATACTATAATCCATTATTCCCTTTATTGCAGATCCATTGGTTCACGTCTTTAATATATCACTTTTACATGGTAAATTTCCTAATTCTATGAAAATAGCCAAAATAATTCCGTTATTTAAAAAGGGTGATAAATTGGATGTGGGTAACTACCGCCCAATTTCTTTATTATCTTCATTTTCTAAAGTTTTGGAAAGAATAATCTATATCCGGATGATGTCCTTTTTGAAAAAATATGATGTATTTTCAAAGTTCCAATTTGGTTTCAGAGAAAAGCACAGCACCGTTCATGCTTTAATGTCTTTTGTTGAGAAGGTTGCCCACGCAATTGATACATCGTCACACACTGTAGGTATATTCCTGGACTTCTCCAAGGCCTTCGACACGATCAATCACGAAATTTTACTGTATACAAACTATCTCACTATGGTGTACGTGGAAAGGCCTTGGAGTGGTTCAGGAGTTACCTCTCTAACAGAAAGCAATATGTACACTTAAACGATCATGCATCTGAATTATGCAATATTAGTTGTGGTGTCCCACAAGGTAGTCTGCTAGGCCCGCTACTCTTTATTCTTTATATAAATGACTTTTGTAAATCGTCTAACTCCCTGTCGTTTATTTTATTTGCAGATGATACTAATTTATTTTTTTCACACAAAAATCCAAACGTCCTGGTTGATATAATCAATGCCGAGTTATTGAATATATTGCAATGGATACAAGCAAATAAATTGTCACTTAATCTCCAGAAAACAAACTACATGCTATTTAGTAACTCTTTGGATTCATTACCCTCTGACATTATTTTTGTCATGTAATTTGTTACGTCTTCTTGTTTACAGTCATTACGTGTTTTAATAAATGTTCTCTGTTGGCCACTATTCTTCTTTCATTGATTATGTATTCAATATTTTGTTCACACTCATTATTATCTGAGGGGTCCACAATTTACAAGCTTTGCTTTTCAGTGGACCTCTCCATTTTCTCAAAATATAAATGCAATTAAATTTTAAAATTCATTTTTTTTGTCTTCCTAAAATGTATAAATTATTATTAAGATTTGTTTATTACCAATGTAACTATGTTTTGTATACAGTTTACATTGTATTCGTTATTATGTATTGTATTTTGTTGGAAGTGAAAAAATAAAAATGAAATGAAATGAAATGAAGTAGCTTCTGGGTGTCACTAACTCCTGAATTCCTATAGGGATTGAAATACAAAAGAAGATAGTAGAATTAGACTTTGGCTTCAAGCAATGTTGCTAATCTTTAACAAATGTTGTTATCAGTGCCTTCCCTAAAGCCCAATGTGCCAAACATTTTTTGAGCTCTTGAGTCGATCATTAAGTTATTGCTTAATAGTTTCAAAGTCTAACACGAAGGTCTACTACCTACTATACACAAAAAAACATTACTTTATACGTTATAATTATATGCAATACATGTCTATTTAACCAGGTCAAGTTATGTCAGGCATATTTTATCATTCATTGTGGGGCATGATCTTGCTTGTTCAATAGTTAGCACTCTTTTTATTAACCTGTTTTACATAATTATGTAAAAGTCACAAAATGCAATTTTTTAATAACGAAATTTTGACTGATAGAATTTACGTTTTTTATGTTCGGGATGCTGTAAGTCATTTAGGCAATCAAGCTGGATGTGTTGTATATTTTTGCTGTTATTTTTAGTGTATGATTCGATTAAGACAATGTTTAACTGTTATATGCTTAAGTGTAAATTATGGTCATATTTCATTCGATGCAAGTAGATGCATTTTGTTAAATTTACAAGCATAATGTACACATGTGCAATTCAGCTACTGGCTGCGAGACTTTTTTGAATAAAACCTTTATTGAATTGAAAACAGAAACATACGTTTCGACTTACCAACAAGGCCTACAAAAAAAGAAGATGTTGTATTGACCTTTAAGTGCCAGCACCTGGGTCGGTCGGTCGATTCCCTCCCCCACCCCCTCTTTGGGCTGATATTTCTCAGTTTTGAATGTTTTAATACATTAAAAAAAAAAATCATTCAACGTTTTCTTTCTTCTAAACAACGGATTAAAAAAAATAAAAATGATAAAAAGCCGACCGTAGATTTTAAGATTTTGGGTCGGTCGCAATGGGCAATACAACATTTATATTTTAGGCCCAATGATAATGGATTTGATGACAGATAATTTCGATGGAGATGATCAATATCCATAATATAAAAAGGCGAAGATGTCTTTTGATTTTTTTGCAACATAATGACTTTCCTAATTTGATTGACCAGCCATTTTCTTTTCCTTTTCTTCTCCTTGTTTTTGCGGGAGGGGGTAATATAGTCATGTCTGTTAAAATTATTCATTACAGTCATTACTGCATTCATGGTTTATATAAACATATTATTCAGGACTTGATATCTATAAAATAGTAATCAATTAGTTGCCAGAGTTTAAAGCCGGAGTAATAAGATTCGAAGTCCAACCAAACATATATAAACTTTATATCGTGATGTAATATGCGCGATACAAAAATGCAATATGATAATCATTATTATTTCATTATTTTATCAAATACCCCATATCCCCTTTGGTGATATTTTTAGTTCCCTAACCTATAATATTTTGACAGTTTACATAGGCCCCATGAGGAATATAGCAAATAAAAAATGTTTGCAAACTACAGAGACAGTTTGAAAAAACATCTGCTCTTTCGCAAATACATCATACAGACATTTTTTCTCAACAGCTAGACCATATCATTTCCGATATACATGTATAACACTTAATAAAATGGGATCATTTCAAACACGTTCGGCTGCAGGCCTGCCATGCATAATTTGATCAGACACCGTATATCTCTTTGATCAGGCTGATTATTTTGTTTGTTTTGAAACGGAAATAAAATCTGAAATCTGAAATCTGAAATCTGATATTCGCCTAAATTTAAATGTGAACACAGGGACACGTTCTGGATTTTGTATAAAAAAGGGGTACACAGTAGTAAACACAAATGAAATTTCTGAAAAGAAGAAAAAGAGCTTGGTGTTTTGTATACCTAAGGAATGCCTGACTGAGTTCAAAAGAGAAAAGAACGGGAGGCACACACACAAAAGAAAATTTTAAAGAGAAGGAAAAAATGAAAGGAGTGATCCATGCATGCAATCCTCCAGTGTCTATAGATTAGAGTTGATTTTCATCTGTGATCGGGGTACATGTCTAGTAATAACTTGAGGATAGTTCAAAACAGCAGGTTGGTTTTAATATGGGCAGGAGAATGTGAGAAACATGTCGGTAAAAGTTTGGACAAAATCCGATTACAAATACGAAAGTTAAGAAATTTTGAAGTTGTAATCAATCACCCATAAATTGGCAACTCCGTGGCGTATCTTGCGAGGTCCATCCCATTTGCTCTGTACTAATATACAAATATGTATATAACCTATTATATATTATTTTTTGAGAATGTTGGAAATACTAGGAATGATAGATATGAGTCAATAATTGTTTATTCTATGAGGATTATCTGTTGTATGTACCGCTTTACCATACCAATTTTGAGAGAGTTAGGACACTCGCCATTTGATTAGTGAAGATTAATAATGTGATTTAGAGGAGAAGCAACTACATATATCATTTTTTTAAGGAGCGATGTATGTATTCCGTCGTGACCTTATGCTTACTACTTTTAAGGTCATGTGTTACAGTAATTATTTCATTGAGGTTATCAGGGTTAAAAAAAACATTGATTAGGATGTGGGTTCGGGATGAAATCTAAACTAATCTACACCATTATTAATCAATTTGTTCGCAAGATTAGAACCTACATTAAACAAAAAAGAGTTAATATTATTAGCTACACTATTATTAATAATAATATCGTTCATTTCAACATTTTCCTTTGACAAATGTTGCCTTTTCTTTCCGACGATTTTATTTTTAATTCCCCAAGTTAATTCAATATTAGATTTTTACTTTCTCTAATTGTTCTGAATAATACAATATATTCGTGTATATCTATTTGAATGATGTGTGGTTGCGTCACAAAAATATACCTTATATAGCCCATTTCTGGTGTGAATAGATCTTAAAATGACTATAGTTATCCATGGCGTTTTACTTTGTTTGTATTACATTTACTTTTTTCAAAGACAAATCTCTGTCATAATAAAAAATAATTAAACAAAATAATCAAATGCAACGTTTACGTTGGACTGATTAAATACATATGCTTTGAGTTTTCAGTGACCATATCATTTGACATATAACACAAATTGTAAAATGATCTACTATCTCTGAGTAAAGTAGGCCACAAGTAAAACCTTTATGAAAAATGTTCAGCAATTTGTTATCGATCAAACTCGAAGAACGAAGTTTAATTCTTGCAGGTTTGTTTATATGTAAAGCAGGGCTCCCACTTAGCC